GGGGGGGTTGTCGTCTTCTTGGAGAGAATGGGGAGCTTTTGACATTTTGAGGGGCTTTGCAAGGGATCCAAACAAAGACGCAACCGCATTGTACTGCTTGAACTGCCACTTTAAGTTTTGCTCTCATTAGATGGGCTTGAATAAATTAGGGACGGCTATGACCTGACTCCTAGAATTCTGCGCCACCAATGCGAGACGATGTCTTTTGGGAACAAAGTAGGTGTACGCTTGAAAGGAAGCAGTTGGAGTATGGAAGAGGAACATTCATTTGTGCTTGAGAATGACCTGGTGCTTTCAACTGTCTCGTTACCACCCGCCATCTCCCGGCTCCATCGCCCTACCAGCATTTCTCCCTACCCTATGGGAGATGAAGAGGGGCCAATCCAACTCGAGTCCGCTTGGTCTCTGGGGTCGCCAAACTAGATAGCTGCTATTCTTCTAGACTTCTGCTCCTGCTCCAGCGCTTCCTTTCCCGATTGCAACTCGTTCCCCCCAGAAGGAGACGTTGATTCGTGCCCTACGGTTTACAGCGATCGAATCGCAAAGGCAGCGACTGGAACAGGTTGGAATGTCTTGAAAGCGCCTTGAAATAACGATCATTGACTTCATCGCTCCTGTACTAACGCTCGTATTTGCTTCTTCTCGATCAAACCGCCGCTTGCCATTTTACTTTCACATTGATATGCTACATCACTCACTTCATCACTCTCTCCGTCAATCTCAGGTCCACACTCTCCGAGTCTCTTCGCCAACGCCTCGCTCACTTTCTCTTTGTGATCTCCAAGCTCACTTCCTTTGTCAGTCCTAGGCCACTCTCCGTTAGCTGCAAACTCACTTCCTCTGTCAGGTCCAAGACTCCAAACTGATTCCCCTCAACGACCCAACCTCACTCTATCTCCCACTTTCCAGCTCAGTACCCACTGCTCACTTCATGTACAAATCAGATTGCAGCATCATGCGGTATCGAACAAGAGACTCCGTGCCGGTCAATATCGCCTCCCGTCACTCAGCCCCCTTGAGTTGGGGTTATGTATCGTTCGTAAACTTGGCCCATACACTCATCAAAGTACTCTCTGGCGTCGCTGTCCACGTCACCATCGGCAGCGCGCTGAAGATGAGCGACTAATCGGGTGAAGTCCCTGTCGACCACCAGATAGGCCTTCAAATTGTCGTTGGTTATGATCAGTGAGTAGACTTGGGAGATGGTATCCTGGAGATCAGGATTAGCGTCGTCAGCTCTGGAACCTGGCAGGATACCGGCAGCAGGAGTCTCGCCTATTTCTTCGTCAGACTCTAGCTTCTCACCATCAAACTCGCCTGGCTGAGGGTCACCACCCGCAACCAGCGCCCGCCCTTACCGGTCTTCGTCCTCGCCACCTGCAGCATCGGCATCATCGTCGCTCCCCTCAGCTGCAACAGCAGACTCGTCCAAAACGGCACCCTCAAGGTCGTCAATCACAATGGTCTCGTTGGTCGAGGGGATTGCATCCTGGTATGTGGTTGCTGTTCCAGGGTTGTAGATGTTGGTGTCGAGAATCTTTGCTCACTTCAGGATGTCTTCGAGCTGCTTGTAGTACTCATCGGCCATGTCCATCTTGGTAGAGTTTACGTGCCAAGGCTCGATCAGTTTGTTGTTGTTGTCGTCATTATTAATACGCTCCTGTACATCTGTAGCATCCGATGAGGGCCAGCCAGTGAACATACCAGATTCGTGAGCACGGTGAGAAGCACTAAAACGTAGAGGGGTGTGTTTCCACAGCCCCAATGGCAAACCATGTCTGTCACCGTACTTCTCACTCAAGTGCTGTAGCTCTGGTTTCTTCGTCATAGAACAGCAGTACTGGAAGAGGATCTCGCGGCACAACGTCTCTTCCGTGTCTTTCGTCTCCCACTTCTTATTGCACACAAGTGGCATCTGCGCGAGACGCTCTTGGAGTAGGAGCATCACAGCATTGCCCTCAAGATCACTTGGGTTGCTGTAGTCCAAGCGTTTGCCATTTATCAGTTTATGAAGTGTGACAGCAAAATGCTCCTCCGTGAACTTTGCACACAACTGAGTAATAGCCCAGGTATCGTCATCTCAAAGACTAATTTTAACAGCCTAATACGCCGCAACATTCTTCCAGATCTTTTGTCTGGTCCGTTGCTCCCAGGGCGTATGCTCTTCAGCACTCGTGCGACCAGCTACTGACTGTGCAATAATTTTCCATGGGTTCTGCTGAAAATACCTCGATGGCACAGTAAGATCTTCAATTACGGGAGAACTGGAGTAAATAGCAATTTTGCTCCGTTCCCGGCTAGTGCATGGTTAGCTTGACATGTGATGGGAGCTAAATCCTGCTAGCGCGCCTTCCTCAACTCGCGAATTCTTCTAGCCGGCACCGCCCAATCACGAACAAGACCGCAAGTCCCATATGAACAGCCCGCTTCACGGCCAGCTTCACTTTCATGTCTCGCCACCCTCATTTCCAACATCACACCCGTCCCGCACTACTGGAGAACACCCCGCAAGATCAAACCCACACCAAGCCGCCACCTCTTCCTCGACGCCATGGCACGACACCAAATCAGTGAATACCTCACGAACAACACCATCCGCACGTACTACGCCCTCGACAAATCCATGATGAAGGCTCACGCCGAAAAGCGCAACGAAGACGCAGAGTCTATTGCTCGCTCGCTGCTGGAGAACCTCGACCTTCCCTTGCTCCTTCGCGCCCGCGCCTGTATGATGCTGGGCTGTGGGGAGGGTCCAGACTCTCTTGATATGGCGAAGGAGAGTGTCCGCGTTGCAGAACTGGGCCTCAGTCTGTGCGAGGAGCCGGGAGAGCTTGAGAAGAATCTCGTGAAGGATTGCAAGAAGGTACTGGAAGAAGCGCAAGAAGCAGCCGACCAGCAGGACGACGATGACGATGACGAGAAGAACGACGATGCGATGGAGCTTGTCTAGGAAGCTGGCGAGGAGGATCTGAAGGAGGAGGAGACGGAGTCGATGGGAGACACGTCGAAGGACAAGCAGCCAGCTAGGAAGACCGACATCCCACGGTTGATCACGGACCCATCGAAGAATACCCGGGTTGGATCGTCGCCTCGTTTTCTGTCGCCAAAGTCGGAGAAAGAAAAGGCTTCAGCTGAGGAGAGCGATCGAGAGGAGGATGATATGGAGGAGTGATGGAAAAAACGGGTCTAGCAAGAGGACCAAAGGTCAAGAACAGGGAGGAGATCGGTGTAGTCTGACTATATCATCTTGGCACCTTTCTCCATGGACTATCTTAAGACTATGCTATCCCGTCTCCTGGTCGATAGTCAGTCCTAGCACAAGTCTTTGGGACAAACCAGAGAACGGAAGGTGAAGAACGGGCAAGAGACCTGTCTAGTCTGACTACATCATCTTGCTACCTTTCTCCTTAGGATCTCTGAACACCTTGCTGCCCTGTCTCTCCCTCGAGAGTTGGTCTTGGGACAAGTCTTGGGATCAATACGAGAACGAAAATTTAAAAAGGCCAGGGGGCCAGTGTAGTCTGCTCTACATCATCTTGCTACCTTTCTCCATGGAATGCTTCAAGACCGCGCTATCCTGTCTCTTCCTCGATAGTTAGTCCTAGAACAAGTCTTAGGGACGAATAAGAGATGAAAAGGTCGAGAACGGGGATGAGAGCAGTTCTAGTCTAACTACATCACCTTCCCACTGTTCTCTAGGGGATTTCCCAAGACCACGCTATGCTGTCCCTTCCTTGGTAGTTGGTCTTAGGACAAATCTTGAGGATGAAAGAAAAAAGAACGACAGGGCGGCTTCTCGGCCTACTATATCAGACTGCAGCATCCAGCATCATGCTCGACATATTTCAAAGGAACCCTTGAAGATACGGCTGAGGCATGTTCGGGTCCCACGTAAACTCCATGGAGAAGTCTGCGAACGCCAGTTGAGGGTCGATTTCCGGCATCGAAAAAGAATCAAAGCCGTCAGACAACTGTAGAGTACTACCCTGAGGCCCCGCCGGATCTCGTTGCCGGTAGAACAAGGCCAGCCGGTCGTAGTATACTGCCAAGCAATGATAGACAACGCTCGCTCCCAACCTTGTCTGGACTGCGAGTTCTGGCTGAACCGCATTCATAGATGGACTGATTTCTCCCATATGCCAAAGCCTCTTCATCGAGTCGACGAATCTTAACGGCAGGTCTTTCTGGTCTCTGTACTGCACAGCTTGCTGCCGAAGACAGAGCAGTGCAGCATTGAATAGGACCTTCCCTGAGTTGTAGTCGACTTCAGCACCGTAGCTGGAGAACGACACTTTGAAGATGATACATGTCGCCAATAGTATCATCCGAAGGGTTGTCCGAGGCGAGTACGTAAGTATGTCGCTGCTCTCATCTTCTGCAATTATCGTGCTTATAAGGGAGGTAGCCGTCTCGTAGGCTTTGAGAATGCCTTGTTTGCGTTGCATCGACGGGGAAAATATTTGAAAGTGCATGGCTTGTAGATGAAGCTGCACCGTGGTGAAACGCAGCTTGTTCAGTAATGACATGTTCTGTAAGCTTGTACTCATAAGACCGCAGTGTTCGGCGTCGGCTTTGGTGATTTGTGTAAGAAGGGCATGATCGGAAGGCGAGCTGGCTACCGCATTGCCTCTCTCAGGCAGGTCGGTGAAGATGTTGTAGGCATGCTGGTGAATGATGAGGTAGTGTTGCAGGTCTGTAGGAATGCCCGGGGATGAAGGTAGGTTTGCTACTTCTTGTATCTTCCAGTTTGAGAACGGTAGGCGGACGGGAAGACCAAGATCCATCGCGAGGCTGTCAATCGGTCAGCAAGCAGCACTTCCTTTGGGACCTTTGAGTACTGACTTTTGTGACACAGCCACACAAGCTATCCAAGTCCTCGCTCTTTCTGTTCTTTCTCCGTCTGATAACTCTACTGCCGAGCTGGTGTATTCTTGCTCGTAGTAAGGACTATGAAGGCCCAGGTACATGGCGCTGGACGTCGCAATAGTAGCAAATGTCATGGAACGGTCTCCCCAGAAGCGGGCATTCGACGGCGGCCACAACGCTAGAAGTAACAAGGCTTGCACTTGACGAAGCGAAATTATGTTGTCAAGGACGACACCTCCCAGCGCTTCGGCAAAATATGGGGACAGGTTGGATAGGAAGTCTTTCTGGGGCTGCTGCTCACGAGATGCGACGGAGATGATAGCCCAGAAGAGGAACTCGCTCGCTTGATGGCACTCTTGGGCGTCGAGGGTTGGGTCCATGAATGGCACATTGAGATGGTATTTGTCGAAGAACTTGGCGAAGAGACTCTCTGCTTCTCCAGCCCCGAGCTTGACGTCTCGAACCGAGAAAGTGTCATTGCCATTGACGGGGACATTAGTAGCGGCAATGTCGTCTTCAAGCCTCAGCGTAGGTTCGAGGCCTTTGTCTGGGTGGTGGACGCTCCCGGCTGTATGTGTCGGTGTAGAGGAAGTTCCACCAGACGTGGTAGGAGTAGGAACGGGGTACACGTTCACAGCACCGGCTTCCTGGAGCGTCTTGAGCCGTTGCTCCAGTTCATTGAAGCGATCCTGGTTCCTGGTTCGTCTGAACTGCGAATCAAACTCACATGCATAACCCATGCGCTGACACCGGTTGCATGGAGTCTGTTCCATCCCGCACTTGACCTTGGACTGCCTGCATTGCCGACAAGCATTTCGACATCTTCGCTTGCGTTCCGGTTGGCCATCTTGCTCATTCGAAGACATCGTAGTACGTTTGATTGGCGTGATTATACGAGCCGTATCAATGCTGAGGATGACGAGAACGCTTCGATAAGACTGAGTGCTGCAGTGGTGTAGGGAAGTCCGAAGGATGACGTTCTTCGTCGGTCCGAGTGCGCTTACGCAGCCTCACGAGCCAAACTTTGTGACCAACACTGCCGATCAATTCAGCCCTCGCGTAGTCACTGTCATTCGAGGACAACATGGAAGATAGCCTCATGACCGCACCCTTACCAAGCTTGAGGCATTAGAGTTGGTTCTTTTAAGGTGGAATGTGCGAGCTCATCGGCTGTCCCGGCTCTGCAAGCGACGAGTTGGCGTTCAGAAAGACCAGGGGATGCACAGTAGGCTAGGGTGTTTGTTCCTGGCGCAGGAAACACTTTGAACTACTCTGTAAGACTAATCTCAATCTTTCCAGATCTTTCTCTATCTCGTTGGAAACGATCTCTGTGCAGAACACGGTTTTGAATGAGTCAAACATCCAAGCATTGCATTACTGATACCCGCGTGATGTGACAGGTCTTGCCCTATACCTCCTCAATATCTTTCATTGACGGCTTCTGCTTCCCGCCAACAGGCTCGCCCAACACATTCTTCCCAAAGCTCTTGAAAGCAGCTGTCACACCGCCGGCTTCAGACGACCGCTTCTCAATGTCGCTGAACACGACGGCAAAGATCTTGCTCTTGCAATCCACAAGGCTGTTCTCCAAATCACTCGCAGTGGGGGTATCCATGTTCGCCAGCTCTCAGACCAAGTCATCCTGGACGGTGATATCAAGCAGCCCACGGTTGACAGCGAGCAGCGTAGATGAAGACAAAGCTCTTCACAATCACTGTCTTCGCGTATGTGTCTTTTAGAGCAGGCATCGTGACGTCGCGAGAAGAACTCTTTCTGAAGCCTCCTCCGGCTTCAACGAAGTTCTGACCGTCTTTGGCCACATTCGAAGCTCCGGCATGGAGAACTCCATACAATAAGGGTCAATTTCTTCTACTGTTCAATCTCTCCCGATTATTTGGCGCATCAATGCCATCTGGCTCTGCGTAGTGTATCTCCGACTCATCAACGGTCCTCTCGTTGTCAATCGATCGTCGTGCAAGGAGTTCGCGTGGTCTGTCGGCGTCTACCTTGTCTAGGGACTCTCGAGGGTCAACATTAAGTATACTGACTGTTGTCTGTGTCACTTCTGATACTGCGGACTAGTGAAAGCGAGCCTCCACTTCTCTAACTTCAACATTCCTGTCACAGCGCTGAATTCCCAAGAATTTAGTCGGTCTCTCACATAATGCTAAGCTTGTCGACTTACAGCGCGCATACTCGATATTGCCAATCAAGCATTAAATGACAGATGCTTCAAGATGAGTATACTAATGTAGCCAAGGTCATTATTGTATTAGAAGCAAGGCGATGGAATAAAGGGGAGGCAGGTGCTGCGAGACGTATGCGTTCTCGCTCCGGTGAGGCGAGAACGCTCCGGGCCCGCAAACGTGCAATTGACAACTGAGGGTATGCTCAACACCGACGCTTTCGGGATCAAGAAATCTAAAGAGAGCAGATGTTCATGTAGAAAGTAGGGTACATATATGGTTTTGATATTAGCAGTTTTGCGGACCCCAAGACCGCCCCTTTAAGTCGCTGTTGACACGGGCTGGCCTTGGAGTAAATCCCCTGTGAAATGTCTACAGCTTGTCCACATTTGCTATATCCACACCGCCGCTGAAAAAAAAATATGAGACGTTTCAATATGACTGCAACGGATCTGAGTATAGGAAATCTCGAGTCATGGACCATTCGTAGTTGAAGTTGAAGTCGCTTGCGCGAGAAAGAACAATGTCGCCGATAGTAGTAGGTACTTCTCCCCTTTCTTCTGTCGTTTGCGTGGTCAGCTGCCTCTTTCACGAGATCTTGCCTTTGTGTGGCCATATAGTATGATAGTACGGGTTCTGTTAGGAATCGCCATCGAAGGAAAGTCAATCGACATTGGCGTTGACGAGAGGCTGATAAAGATCGAGGGGGCAGGGGACAGTGGTCGTTGCAGCTGAGTGCTATCGAGTAATGGGTGCTACAGAACAAGGGAATCGCCAAAGCGACTCGCTGTACGAACAATTGATGCGGGATAAGCCTTGAGGAGACCAGCGACAGAGAGCCCAAAATAATGGCCAAAGGTTATGAGAAGCTTCAATGGTGATTTTACCGAATATTCTTGCATATATTTCGCATGAATGCCTTGATACGCATGCTTTAGTATCGGCAGAACTCCCCTAAGACGCCATAGTTCCCACCGAACACTCTCAAAATCACCAAAACCTCAGCCCCTTCAAAGACTCTCTTTGCCACAACGCCACAGAGACCGCAAGGACTGGTGCTGCCATCAGAGAGACCTTGACAACCATCTTGCCCAAGGAAAGATACCACATAATAGCATGAGCGAACAGGAACTCTTTCTTGTCATTGATGCGCGGGAAGTCCTCATCAGGAATTGGTAAATCCAGGAACCTGCAGATTGGACCCCATCCCTGTTGCACTCGGTATTCGAGAAGACGATGTCGGGGAGTCACTTTCTTGACTCTTTCATAATGCTCGAGGAACACCCTCCTGGCTGGGCTCTGGGGCGAGAAGTCGTTGAAGACTCCATATGTTGCGGGCATGACTGAGTTGGCGAACCTCCAGAAAGGCTGCGCTAAAGCCGGATCCCAGGGGGACATCTGCTCCCAAGCACGCCAACGCAGTACCGTTCCCGCTGTACTCTGCATGCTAGCCAGCCATTGATCGACGTCGCGATGATTCAGAATGACCTTCGCTTCTGGGTATGCCGTGATGAGTTCCTCGGCAAAGCTCACACCAGGAACATCGGCGATGCTGTCATAGTTGCCCAGTATTTTATCGAACTCTTCTCTGCCCCATTTCTTCCCTTTGCCGTAGAATTTGGCATCGATACCTTCTCGCCACACATCGAGATTCGACTTCGGGGACGATATCGCTTTGGTCATGTGGTAGGGGTGAAAGCCGAGTTGCTCAAGGCTAGCAAAGACCGACATGGTTCCTGTCCTTGACATACCAAGCACAAGGACTCTCATTGGCGTGGTGCGCTTGCCAGGGTGATTGTCGATGAGTCGACCAGTCTGCGGGTGCGGTTTGAGATTGTAAGTCTCCTTCGTTGCACGAGGATTCCAGGCATCGTTTAGCGATTTGGTTTTTCTGTTGGATTCCATGTTGAAGCTGATTGTTTCTGGCCTCGACGTTGACGGGAGAAAAGACAGACTTCAACTTCTTATAAGAAGTCTAACAGCTATTCAGCTGAGTAGTGAATGGATCGCACTAGGCTGCATCAGGGTGTTTATAGGGCTGAGGAGCGAATTTCGCGAGGGAGTGTGGAGGCCGTGGTGTTGCCGCTGCTGACAGCCGGACGCGGTATGTCCGGCCGTCATCATCAGAGGCATCAGCTTTCTCAATTCAGTACCGAAAACACGGTTTTGTGGTTAGCTAGCCAATGTACGACCAGGCCTTTGCGTTATTGAAAAGGATGGTATATCGGCTGTACAAATAGTCTCAGTGTATTCAAAGAACTTCAATCGTCTTCGCGATGGTTGTGTTCTCACAATCCTGAGGATAGAACTATGCTGATTGGTATGAAGCGGCTCGCACTCGTACCCTAAGCTAGTTTGGATCTCCGCTCCCGAAGGAATGGCGTAGCCAATTTAAAGTAGTCAACCCCTTTGGACATTATTTTGCGCTCGCAAGGAGCAGAGTCTCTCACCTGAAAGGTATCATGATTCAGCGGTTATGTCACCGGGAAGCATGTGGGAACGGCATAGGTTCGTACGAGAAAGCCTTGTCCAAGCCTTTACTAAACTCAGCGCCTTTGTTTACAGACAATAACACGAATCTAAACGAAACGATACGAGAACAGTGACAAATGATCTCGAATGGATGTAACAGCCGATTGAAAGGCCAGCTGGAGCATGGCAAGAAGTGTCAGTGATGTGAAGCTATGTGTTCGGTGCCATGAATAAACAAATGTCGAACGGCTTCGACAGACCTCGTTCAGTTTAGGTTCATTGACCTTGAATAACTATCACTGCGCTTTGGGGCAAGAAGAAGGCACGATCAACGGCAATGACAATGCGCGGTGAATGCGAAGGCCAGCCCGATTGGTGAAGCTGATCGAACAGCTAAGCTCTGCATGAAGTGACAGTAACAACATCATCAATGAGTTACTCAAGTGTTCCAGCACAGTAGATGTTGAGCCGGAACTTTAGCAAGAGAGTTTAGCATGGTGCGAGCATGGGGAAATATCAGTTCAGCCCAGTCCCGGTCGACCAGCAGGCTGTGCCAAGGCTGTCAAGACAAGGAGGGCAGCATCAACGCATAGTCGATATTACAGAGCTGCGATCGCGCCGAAACTTCAAGAATGATCTTTTATCTATCAGTGACTCCACATTTGTGATTTCATCTACGTCAAATTTCATCTACGTCATTGGGGACGCTACTCCTCTGTTCGTGTCGGTTTTGTAAAGCTTCCAAGCCGAGCCTGAACTGCGGAGTCCAGTACCTTTTTATGACGGACTGAAAATGGACTTCAGCGTGGAAGTCACAGCTACCGATTGATCATCTTGCTTGAACGCTGTGCGATGTCTTGCGAGCGGGAAAATGCTCGATTCAGCCGCATCCTTTGCATCTTCCAGGGCAACGGTAGCTACGAGATACGCCTGAAGGTTCGTCCACATGTCAGGCACAAGATGATGATGGCCTTTTGGTTTGCAACTTGATTTAGGCATGGGGTACACATAGTCCTGCTCTAAATGCGTCTGCTGCTTCGATAATCTGTCTCCCTTTGTCTCGCTCACAATATGTACTTTTGCACGTACACAATATTGTGCGCCGTTAGTTCGATATTGGTAGCAGCTCACAGCCCCCGGAGCCTCTATAGCCGCGCGAATGGAATAACAACGAAAGAATCACAGCAAGATTCACGGCTACCGGACCATGAAATCGGGTCGTACCTGCGCGAAAGCCAAAGTCGCTTCTGGACCCAGAAAACCGGCGATTTGCGGTACATGGCAACTCCGTGCCAGACGTCGACTTCGATATAGGAGAGTCCTATGCAGGCTTGTTGCCAATATCTTCGATTCCACACGACACTCGCAAATTATTCTTTTGGTTCTTCCCTTCAATTACCCTAGACGCACCCCACGAGGTCCTCTCGTGGTTCCGAGGCGGCCCAGGATGCAGTTCGCTTGGAGGATTCATCAGCGAAAATGGACCTTTCACATGGCTGCCAGGCACATACAAGCCGGTTCGGAACGCCTACGATTGGCGCAACCTGACCAACGTGCTTTGGGCTGAGGAGCCGGTTGGATTTGGCTTCACAGAGGGAGCGTCTGACATCACGAACGAAGAAGAGCTGGCCAAGCAATACATCGGGTTCTACAAGCAGTTTTTGGACACCTTCGATCTTCGCGGATGGGATGTCTACCTCAGTGGGGAGAGTTATGCAGGTTACTATGTTACATACGTCGCTAACGAATTCATCGACACAAACAGCCCAGACATGCCATTGAAGGGCATTGCCCTCAACGGTGCTTTGATTGGCGATGGAACTCTCCAGCTAGCAATGCCCATTCAGCCATTTGTGGAATACTGGTGGAATGTGCTAGGCTTGAACGATACTTTCCGCAAAGCCTTTGCAGAAAAGCAAGACCAGTGTGGATACTCGGCGTATCTGGATATGTATCTCAAGTTCCCGGCACCTCAGAGATTGTTCTCATCTCCAGTTTATACTTCAGAAACCAACGATGGAAGCTGCAATACACATGACGTCGCCGAGGCTGCGCTCTTCGAAGTGAATCCTTGCTTCAACGCCTATCACGCCACAGACTACTGTCCAAGGCCCTGGACTGTTCTTGGGCCGATCAACGAGTATGTCATACTCTCATCATCACAACGAAACTGCTAACATTATCCAGTGACTTCGATCCCGCTCCAAGAGCCATCTACTTCAATCGCCAAGACGTGAAGCGAGCCATCCATGCCCCTCTTGGAAGAAACTGGACCGCATGCGCCAGCACACCTTCCAAGACTCAAAGTGTCTTCCAAGGTCCCAATCATAACGAGACAGGCGAGGACCAAAGTCTGCCACCAGGCCAGACTGACGTCCTACAGCGTGTAATCGAGCACACAAACAACGTAATCATTGGCTCAGGGGGCCTCGGCTTCCTTGTCCCAATGAACGGCACCCTCCTCGTCCTGCAGAACACAACATGGAACGGCATGTAAGGCTTTCGGATGCATCCCGACAACGAGTTTTACGTTCCATCTCTTCCAGTGTACAATCTTGGCTCCGTTGCAGGCTCTGGTCTGCTGGGGACATGGGGAACAGAAAGGGGTCTGACGTTCTATGAGGTCCATCTGGCTGGGCATGAGATGCGGCAGTATGCGCCTGGGGCGGCTTTTCACGCGATAGAGCTCTTGTTGGGGAGAATTGACAATCTGGACGATCGTGAAGGATTCACCACGGTGGACGGCGGTGGTGCAGCAATGAAGAGGAGGACAGCATTGGAGCCCATGTGTAATTTAGAAAGGCTATGAAGACGCAGTCGATGAATATCACAGGCAGCGTTGGTTGGAGCTTTGACGGCAGGACGGTGACCTGTCTTCGTATAGGGTCTTTTTTATCAGCGGGAATGGGCATGAGTGCCATTGAGACAGTCTCTATCTTGTCACTGAAATGTACGCCGATGATGAGCCAGTATCTCAACGACACATAGTCTATATCGGCACCTCAATCCGATGTCGAAAGGGGGCAGCTGTATGCCACCGGGTAACTGCTCGATCCTTAGGGGAATGTGATCTTGTGGGAATCTGCGAACGATGATGATAAAAATGTATGCCAGTAGCGGCCTGAGCGTATCTGCATTTCCTCGGGCTACGGTACCTCCTACATCCCGAAGACGTGTGTCTTGACGCATCCCTGTGAAGACCAAGTAATGTAGACACACTCACTGTTGTCAGTGTCTCGATACTCAACAGTTTGGCCGCTCAAGAGATAGGGGCAACGATGCTACGGCAACCGCTTCCGTCACCTCCTTGACATCGGCTAGCTACCCGACGGATGTGTTTCATTCTGGAGTAGCGGAGCTTGATCCGTGGTGACGGACTCGCTGCATCCTTCTTATGCATTTCAATACCGCTATGATGCAGCATACATCATCTCCGGACACTTGCGGGTTGCAACAGCAAATCGAGGCAGCGATGAAGATGCTCCAAGCACTCTACAGTGTTAGCATCAAGACCAACTTGCAGAGGATCTAGGGCATGTTTGGAGGCACGTGTATCCGTCTATTGCCGATAACGATCAAGCCGGCCAGATGCGACATGCGGAGCAACGTTAAGACGCACAGCCTCTCAGATCTAGGCCAATCCCAAGCATATCCGGACAAGTGCGAGTGCGCTGCATGCGGTTCTACACAATCATGTCGATTCCAGAGTCCAAACAAACAAGTGCCGTGACAAGAGCCAGTTGTCCACACACCGGCAGCCTTCCCGACACTCCAAACCAGGCAAAGTCCCCCATGGGGTACCCCATGCCCACACCACGTTGAAACACAAGCCGATCGATCCCATAAACCAATCACAGTCCAAACGACATCATTGCAAACGGCGGACTCCATCCATCGACGTCAGATCGAGTTTCCATTAGCAAATTTCTGAGGGGAAAGCACATACCGGAAGCGCCTCCCGATAGCGACTAGGATGCCCAGAGATACGTAGCGTGCCTATCTTGGCTGACGGCGAAGCCTGCCTTGTCGGGAAGACCGGGTCGATAAGAAGGGGGCTCGCTTCCATGCGTCGCCCACGTGAATGGGAAGTGTACAAAGTTGGCGCTGAACCCCCTAGTGAGCCGTATCCAACGGGGCTTTTCGTTGAACGGAAGAACGATATGAACAACGAGAAGATGGGCAAGGAAACCTACCCACCGCACGACGAGGAGCTGGCTCCCTTCCCTTCGTATCCTGGCATTGTTGAGGATTCCAAGGAGGCGGAGCATGATGCTGTGTTTGGGGCTATTACGGAGGATGGGCCCAATTATCGAAATGTAGGACTTACACCTCCAAGATCTTCGTGCGACAATGACTGACAGTTCGTGGTTGACAGGTCGGCTGGCTCGGCACCGTCGCCCTCATGATGAAGACGCAAATCGGCCTGGGTGTCCTCTCCATCCCAACAGTCTTCCATACTCTTGGACTGGTACCGGGCATCATCTGCTTGATCATAATCGCCATCATTACCACGTGGTCGGACTACATCGTTGGAGTCTTCAAGCTTCGACATCGGGATGTGTACGGGATCGATGACGCTGGACAACTCATCTTCGGTCGTGCTGGTCGCGAGATACTCGGAGGTGCCTTCGTGCTGTACTGGATTTTCGTTGCTGGTTCTGCGATGCTGGGGATTTCGATCGGATTGAACAGTGTATCGACGCATGGGGCTTGCACTGCTGCTTTCGTTGCTGTTGCGGCAATAGCAGGAATTGCGCTTGGAAGCATCCAGACCCTTGGGCGTATCACATGGTTAGCATGGGTTGGAGTGACCTGCATCCTGACATCCAGTACGTGAACAGTCGTACGATTCTTACAAACGGGACTTTCAGCTGACGCAAATTCTTCGCAGTCTTCATCCTCACCATAGCCGTCGGCGTTCAAGATCGACCCGCTGCAGCACCACAAGAAGGCGTTTGGAAGTCAGACTGGAAAGCATTCAACAGCCCGACCCTCCCAGAAGCATTCGCAGCTCTCTCCTCGCTGGTGTTCGCATACGCCGGAACGCCAGCTTTCTTCTCGATCGTATCTGAAATGCATGATCCACGGTTGTACACTCGGTCGCTGGCGTGCTGTCAGACCGTCGTGACGGTGGTATATATCACCATCGGCACGGTCGTGTACATCTACTGCGGATCTTACGTCGCCTCCCCAGCTCTCGGCTCGGCTGGCGTTTTGATGAAAAAGATTTGCTATGGCCTTGCTTTGCCCGGACTGCTTGTCACTGAGACGCTCGTGATTCACGTAAGTGCCCTCCATTCCGTTTGTTGGCGTACCTTTGCTGACCAAATGTCCAGGTCCCGGCCAAATACATCTTCATCCGAGTTCTCCGCGGTTCCAAACACCTCACAGCCAACTCCATGATCCACTGGGCCTCTTGGCTCGGCTGCACCGTCGCCATCGGTCTCGTCGCCTACGTGATCGCAAGCGCAATCCCAGTGTTCGGCGGCCTGGTCTCACTCGTCGGCGCACTCCTCGGTACCCTAATGTCCTTCCAGCCCATGGGCTTCATGTGGCTGTACGACAACTGGAAGAACGAGAGGACGACCAGGTGGTACTTGATGGTGACTTGGGCGGTGTTTGTGATCGTCTCCGGTACATTCTTGATGATCGGCGGGACTTATGGCTCGATTGTCGGGATCATCGACTCGTATACGGCGGACGGAGGGTCATCGGCGTGGTCGTGCGCGGATAACTCCAATTCTGTCGCTGCGGGTTGATGAGGACGCTCGCGAGGCTGGAACATAGAAGAGTGAATCAAAAGCAGATGCTGTCCTTCAGCCTACTCTCGATTTTGCCACAATTTCATTCGGCGATCACCCCAATTCAATGTCTGTGGTCAGACTTGATTTCACTTTTGACGCCCTGAGACGGCAGACTTTCGCTTCAGCTGCGGTCAATGAGGCAAATCGTGCCTGTGTCTTCGTGGTACTGAAGTCTCACTTGTTCTCGCCCCGTTCGTCGCCCTCTAACGCCCTCCTGCAGCCATCCATTAGCGCCATCCCAATCAGTGATGAAGCTCTCTTGTACCTGCCTCTTATCATCGCCCTTCCCTCACCGTCGTTTGATGGTTACCTGTATAGTGAAAGGTAACCGATTCTCACAGGCGATGATGAGAGCGATTTAAGGAAGGGATCTCTGCTATAAGAGACCGAAAGAAATGGAGCTGTCGGTGTTGAACGCCGAGAGAGTGACTGCTAGGTGGAGCATCGGACATCAAATCCGAGAGACGGAAAAGGAAGGAGAATCCGGATAGATTTGATGCACTGGCGAGAATAATAATACACAAAGAGGAATGAAGGTACCGTTACCACTTCACCAGCCTTCGAACAGGCAATGCCGGATCGAATCGTTCTTGGGACCCGAAAAGGTTCTGGCCAGTTTTGTGAGAAGACATCGTCTGTCCAATTTGGCAGTCGAAGTCCTGTTTTGAACATACTTGGGATTGGCTTACAGCCTTGGTTCAGGCCATTGACCCTCCGTCACGATTGTTATAACACCCGTCTTCGCTGGACCAGTCGTCTCCTGCTAACATCAGTAGTGGCCCTACGTTAACACACAACTCATAGAGTCGAATCACATACCTTCAGCTTCTTATGCGCCGGACACTCCTTGTCGTAAAAGTCATGATCTTCGTGCGTCTTGAAGATCGACTGCGAGGCCACCGTAAAGCCCTCGCTTATCGGCGCTGAAGAATTGAGGATCTTACGAGCGGTATTGGAAACAACATATGGTTTGCCATCCTGTATACACATTGAAGAGTCAGCCCAAGCACCAACAGCGACAAAGGGACTCGCCAGAGACTTGCCCTTTTCGCATCACTCCTCAAGACCTCATAAGCCTTAAGTACCTTCTCAACATCCTCCTCCTTGGGGATTTTGAACATGGTCAATCGCTTGATGTACGTCTCGCCCGTCATCGTGGATGAATGCCTCGCAGCGAGTGTAAAGGGCTTGAAGAGAGCTCGTGCGCCATGATGTCGGAGCGGCAGCATCTTGATGATATAAGATCAGATACTTGATGCAGGTACATTGCTTTGCCGTGGAGGATGGGAGCTCTGCCACACTCACCTTCGGGCGTTTGCCGAGGCGGTCGCCTCCGGAGAACGGGGGATCGCGGGACGTATATGAAGAGAATAAGAAGATGATGTTAGTAGGATGACTCGGTGGAAGCGATGCTGCTCAATTCCTTGATGTTGTAATATTAGTTTGTCCAAGACTTCAATCTTGTTGTTGCAGCTCCGGAGGTCAATTAGCGCGCTAGCCTAATGTAAAGACAGACGCATTAATCATGTATACTTAGAATACTTTATCCCGGTCTTGATATGTCTGGAGACAGATCTAACTAAACACAGCTTAAGTTATAATAGATGTGGGTTATTGCCAATTCACGTGCTGCACTGTTTATCTCCACATCGAAGGCGAGGTGCGCCGGAAGGTCCTGCGGCATGCACGGTACTTTACAAGAGTCGAACACACTAGGACTCGCTTCGCTTCATCATACAACCATCCTGATCTCCATCCACCAGTTTATTTTAGCAATCCGCAGTAGCGATCGTCTATCATTTGCGAATGTAATAAAACGATACGGGATACTTCATACCGGTCCGCAGCGCCTGCCTGTTGTAAATTGTGGAGACTGTGCTAAATGTTTGCAGAAACCATGTCTGAATTCATCTTGTCAATCGTTGTCTACGGGCCGGGCACAGACCCCAACCATCGATCTCACTGGACCCTGGCGATTCACCGAAGGAACGACGAGTACGGCGTCCTGCTCCATGTGAACGTAATCGACCTCTCGAGGCTGATCTACCAATTTGACATCCGGCGAGATGTCCTTCTTCATAGCAGAAGCTCTGAGGGTTCGTTTGTGGTGGCGCAGTTAGGCCAAAACACCATCAGGCGGGTTATCGCACTCATAAGCGAAGAACCTGCGCCGAGGGACGGGGTGGAGAGATGCCAGGATTGGGTGCTCAGAGCTATGATCTCACTCGAGGCGGAGGAAATCGTGCCTGCGGGCACATCTGAATGGGTCTCTCGCCTGATTGGTCATTCTGCAGAGGAAGTGGCTCGAGCGGTCTCGACGAGATGGTCGTCCACGGAGGCTTGAGGCGGGAATCAGTCGTCGTTGGCGGGGGGGTATCAAACACAAGTGTAGCGCGTGAGAGCTTGGTTGAGCTGTTGAAAAAGCTCGAATGGTTTCCGTTCTTCCTCATCGAAGATCTCGTCAAGTGCTGCACTCCATTCTAGGTTGCGGGCCCGAGACTTGGCTTCAAAGTATTCTCTGCCGCGAACGCTGAAGCCGGCGCCCTCCCAATCGATGATTCCTGTGATGCGATGGGTCTGCTCGTCCACAAGAATGTTACCGGGATGCAGGTCGCCGTGTGAGAAGACTTTGGTGTCGTCGGTGAGTCGATGAAGCTGCTCGACCAGATCTTGATCGAGGTCATCAAGAAAATTGCCGGGGCGAGCATTTCGTAGCGCATCAACGAGTCCCCGGTTGTACTCCAAGCGAGTTTTGAACGGCCCATATGATAACTTCACGTCCAGGAACGGAAGATGGATGAAGAAGACATCCAGGCTGGGTTGGTTCCAAAGAGCACCAAAGAAGTCCCCGCGAAGTGAGCTCAACTCCTTGAAGATTTCCCGTAGCTGGCTGACCAATGAACCTCTCTGATCTGGTGAGAGGTGCGCCCATATCTGGGATAACGGCCTGCCATGCACGTGGTCCATGTAGATATAACCATGGTCCGTCAGGATGTACGACTCGTGCACTTGGGGGACGGGGATATTCGTCGTGCGAGAGACGAAACGCATGGCCTCGGCCTCGCTGAGCTTGACGGACGATCCAGCTTTGAGGACGTGGTTGGTGTTGTCGATCGTGTAGATGCGGGGAGCGTTGTCTATGCGCTGTGCGCCTGCTGGCAGCACGAGGGTTGTCGGCGACAAGAGACCGGCGAGGATGTCGTCCATGGCTTGCCGTATTGATGCCGTCTGGCGCTGGTGTTACTGTCGAAGAAGAGGAACAGGATCGGATCGGCACCAGAAGCCGACAGTCACGTGCCCGACTAGAACGGCATAGTCTCCATTTTTTCACCCGCGAAATAATTATCGTCGATATCAGGGCTTTTCTCTAACTCGCTCCGGCACCTGGGAAGAGGGACTAGCTTTGAGCATTTGATTGGCAGGCAAGAGACAAGAGCTAATGGATGTGTTTTTCCGCGCCTCCGAAGTGCCTGGCTGTCTTTTCCGGCAACCTTCTTCTCTTCATCAGCACCGACTTTCAACATCGCCATCATCGGAAAAGGGGAGTTTGAGCGGCGGACATTCCAGAAAATGTTCCATTGATTTCAACTCTTACCAAGACCGACTAGCCATCCTCAGCCTTGCCGTATGAGCACATCGTCGGGCATGAGACCGAGACTGGCCCCCGCTGGGAAAAGACGTCAATACGAGCACTACATACGCAGTGGCATCGAATTCTAATCAACACCAGCCACCAATACAACACTCCAATCGCACCACAGACAAGCTTCTCGCATAATGAGCTTGGAATGCTTGAATCAGTTCATCCGGCCGCCTGTGCCACGCCGATCTGCAGGGCGGTATCTCGTCTGGATGCTCGTGCCAAGCCGAGATTGGAAGGTCGATTGCAAGGCTTCCACTAACGACCAATGACGAAACCGCACCATCGTCACCGTACCTGAAAGTCGCATCGAAACAGTGCAGTGCGCCGAATGCCCCGCCGTGCGTGGCTGCAGTAGCACGTCAGGTACGAGATGGCGCTGGGAAGGTAAAATGCTCGTTCTTTCAGTTTTCAGCTCTTGAGAATCTCTTTCCTTGTCTTCACCTGAGGGAGTTGCAGGAGGACGGTGTATTAGAGATCTGAACCACAGATCGGTATCAGCCACTTCACCACTCGCAAGACATCAAGATGCTGTGGAACAGCTTCGTCGTAGCTGCAGCCTTTGCGGGCACAGTGACAGCTCTCGCAGTCCCCGAGACTCACATTGTCCACGAGAAGCGGGACTACACATCACGAAGATGGGCCAAACGAGATCGTGCCAAGCCTCACGCCAGACTCCCAGTGCGAATTGGTCTGGCACAGAACAACCTCGACAAAGCTCACGATTACTTGATGGATGTCTCGCACCCTACTTCCCCCAACTACGGCAAGCACTGGACTTCGGAAGAAGTCATCGAAGCATTCAAGCCTAGCGATGACGCTGTTCAGACGGTCCGCCAATGGCTCGTGGATGCTGGAATCTCGGTTAAGGAGATTGTACACAGTGACAACAAGCAGTGGTTGGCTTTTGACGCCTCGACTAAGCAGATGGAGTCTCTCCTCCATACAGAATATCACGAGTATGAGGATATCAAGACCGGTGGTGTCATGCCTGCGTGTGATCAATACCATGTGCCAAAGCATATCCAGCAGCACATTGACTATATCACTCCTGGTATCAAGTTGATGGCACCTTTGAACAAGAAGATCACGGAGGAAGGCTGGAAGAACTTGGAGAAGCGATGGGGTCCACCGCAGGTACATTTCATGATCTGTACTGCATTTGATTCTGCTGACACGGATCTAGAATGGCCCCGGCGGCTGGTCTCACGGTGGAGGTCCTCCAGGTTGGGGAAACCCAGGGTGGAAGTCCTGGCACCCTGACTGGCCCGACCATGCACCACACAACAAAGCCAACTTGAGCATTTGCGACAAGGAGATCACCCCAGCTTGTGTCGCTGCTCTCTACAAGATCCCTCCTGCGCCTCGCGATGTTGTGAAGAGCAACTCCATGGGTATCTTCGAAGCCGAGCTGCAGTTCTGGGATCAGGTGGATCTCGACAAGTTTTTTACCAACTTCACGAACATCCCGAACGGCACTCACCCTATCGACTACAATATCGACGGTGCTGTTTCCAAAACTACTAATGTCTCTGAAGCTGGCGTGGAAGCTATGCTGGATCTCGAGTTGGCCTACCCGATTGTCTACCCTCAAACCATCTCAATCTTCAACGAGGACGATCTTTTCTATCAAGCCCAAGCCAACCAGACATACAACTACGGATACAATACGTTCCTAGATGCCATTGACGGCTCATACTGCACCTACTCGGCATACGGCGAGACTGGAGATCTTCCAAACGTCGATCCAACCTACCCAGACCCCAATCTTGGTGGATACAAGGGACAACTTCAATGTGGCATTTACAAGCCTACTAACGTGTTCTCTTTCTCGTATGGCGGCCAAGAAGCAGACATCCCCGTTTCATACCAGAAACGCCAGTGCAACGAGTACCTCAAGCTCGGCCTCCAAGGCATATCGTTCATCTTCGCCAGCGGAGATTCAGGTGTCGGTAACGCTCCAGTCGCACTGGGCGGCGACAATGGTCCGTCAGGGTGTCTCGGTCCCAACGACGACATCTTCAACCCAACTTGGCCCGTCAACTGTCCATACGTGACCAGCGTGGGAGCCACCAAAGTCTACCCAGGCTCTAGCGTCTTCGACGCACAGCCAGAATCCGCCGTCTACGATCCCGCGGGCCACCCATACCAATCCAACTACTCCTCCGGCGGTGGCTTCAGCAATGTCTACGGCATCCCATCCTTCCAAAAGTCTGCCGTGGCAACATACTTCGCAGATCACGACCCCGGCCTCCCCTACTACAGCGGCCTGGCCAAAGACTCCTCCGACGTCTATGCTCACCCTGATGTCGCCGCCCTTGCAGGCTCATCCGGCGGCATCTACAACCGCATTGGCCGCGGCATCCCGGACGTCGCCGCGAACGGCGACAACATCGCCACCTACGCCCTCGGCAGCTTCGCGCTCCATGGCGGTACCAGCGCCAGCACGCCCATTTTCTCGGCGATCATCAACCGCATCAACGAGGAGAGGCTGAAGCGGGGCAAGAAGACGGTGGGGTTCTTGAATCCGACGCTTTATGCGCATCCGGAGGTTTTGAACGACATTGTCAATGGTACGAACAAGGCTTGTCAGGGCGAGGGGTTCAATGCTGTCAAGGGGTGGGATCCGGTATGTTTTTCTTCGCTTTTTCTTTGTTGTTTTTGGATGTGATTTGCTGACGATGTGCAAGGTGACTGGACTTGGGACGCCGAATTATCCCAAGATGTTGGAGTTGTTCTTGAGCTTGCCATGAGGAGGTATATGGTAGATTCGTGGACGACGGTGGAGAAGTCTCGCTGGGGTTAGAGTCAAAGACCGGCCTGTTTTCTGGGCTGACTTGATAGATCGTACCTTGAGACGAGTATCCAGCGCTGCTACTGAAACCACTCCTTGTCTTACCAACTCATTATGCTTCATTCTCTATTACCATTGACAAAATCGTTTTGCCATGCCACTGAACCACAGGCTACGCCTTGACCAGGCCCACAACAAGTTTCTTCAACGAAACGACGGCCTCGTCACAATGATGTAGCATTGAATTCGTTTCGAGACCCATAATTGAATCTTGAATATTAGCACCGTAGAGATGCATCTGGGTATTGTATGCGGAAGGTCTGGACCCCCTCGTCATCGCGTTTACTCCAACACAGCCACGATGTGGCGCGCACTCAAACTCCAGCCATCAGCTCGTCCGCCGACGCAACATGACCCAGACACACACACCGCCCATCTTTCACTCGTCGCCATTGGACGGGCGGGCCAGCAGTGCCTGCCACGGGCTCCATACCACCCAAATGTACATATTCAGATGATGTCTCCGACGTGAGGCGGGCGTGCGACAAGCAGCCCTTCCATTGCCGCCCAAACGACTCGACGGCCGACGAATGGCAGGACGACTGCCAACACCTCGCCGGGCCTACTGCAACTGACAGGCACGCTTGTCGAGACACGTCGGCTGGAGGAACCACCCCCACCAGCATCCTTACAAAGACATCATTGTCTTAAGATAGAGACGTCTTTCGGGAGGCCTTTGTTCCGCCGACAAACAAAGGACCACGAGCTTCACTGCTGCTGGCTGTAACCTGCCTCCTCCTCCCTCCGTTGACTGCGTCTTGTACATACACCCATCGCATTATACCCCAACGACCGAAACGAACGCACGAACGAACACGACAAGCTTGCTGGACAAGCCAATCGAACGAGCGAACCTACCTACCAAGTAATCAATAGCCATGCCTGCCCTGGTCAATCAGACCGTCACGATTGTGAACAAGTCGGGCAAGATCGTCAGCACCTCCAAACACCTCGTCAATGTCTTCAATGAGGCCAAGAGCGCCTACAATGAGCGCAAGGCGGAGATCAAGGCCACAAGGAAGAAGGAGGGCGAGGATAAGGAGAATGAACGGAAAGCACGGAAGCAGTTGGATGCGTTGAATCTGGAGGACGAGGAGGATCGTCGATCGCATGTGTCGCGGAGGAGTTCGAGACATGGCAGTGACGATGGACGATCAAGACGAGGCAGCGACGATGGGCGGTCAAGAAGTGGTCGGCCTGTCAGGAGAAAGCCCGTCCCCAGTCGAGTGGGCGAGCGTCCACCCGTCGACCGCGGCATCTCAGATAGCTTCTACGCCAACGACCGTCCTCGCCCACACCAATCCTCGCGCCTCCGCAACGATGTCACAGCCTCCATGCTCGACGACGAGCCCCGTCTGGGTGAGCTCCAACGTCGCCACACCGACGGCATGCAGCTCAACCGCCGCCACAACGACTCCCGAACCCGTCGTAGAAAGAGTGCCGACAGCATCGATATGGACCTCGCATACGGCGAACTGCCCCCTCCCCTCCCGGAAACCCGCCGCGAAGACGAGCTCGAGCTGAAATCCAAAATCAACTACCTCCAACGCCTCCTCGACGAAGGAAACTGCATGCAGCACTCCGTCACCGCCATCATCGACAACCTCCAAAAGAACCCCGACGCCCTCGCCGCCGTCGCCCTCACCCTCGCCGAAATCTCCAACATCGCCGCGAAGATGGCCCCCGGCGCGTTGGCCGCGATGAAAACATCCTTCCCCGCCGTCATCGCCCTGCTCGCCAGTCCGCAGTTTGCCATCGCGGCGGGTGTCGGCGTCGGCGTGACGATCATCGCGTTCGGAGGCTACAAGATCATCAAGAAGATCAAAGCGAAGAAGGACCTCGAAGAAGCGAACCTCCTCGAAGCCGACCCCTCCCCGCAACAAGCCCCCGCCGAGGAAGGCGAGGAAGACCAGCTCCGCGAAATCTCCCGCATCGAACGCTGGCGCCGGGGTATTGCCGATGAGCAGGTCAACTCCGTTGGCACGAGCGTCGATGGGGAGTTTATCACGCCCGTGGCGACGAGGACGATGATTGAGGAGGGGAGGTTGACGGAGGCGGATCTTCTACCGATTGATGACGGGAGGAGGAGTGAGGCAGGGAAGAGCAAGAAGAGTAAGAAGGTGAAGAGTCGGAAGGCGGGGAGTGCGGTTAGTAGTAGTGGCGGTGGGAAGAAGAGGGAGAAGGAGAAGGAGCCGAGTGTGCTGAGGAGTTTGTTTAAGGGGAAGCGTGAGAGGAAGAGGGAGAGGGAGATGGCTTTTGTTTAGAGCGTGTTTTGAGGATTCTTGTTTGGAGCGTTTATCATACGATTGAACGAATTGCATGGGAAATGATAGTGATAGCAGCACATACGATAGTGAGTGCTATCGAATGCCAAGGTACATTTGAAGGAAAAGCATGTCCTGCCACAGCACTTTCTTTTTATTAATCATTGGAAAAAGAAACCCATGTGCAGATATTTGGGGCGTCATCGTCAAATCATCATACCTATGTCTATATACATCAACCCTTGGCCATCTGTCTTCTATCTCCAACCCATCTTCCCCTCATTCACAAATCCCCCTTCTGCACCACCATCGCCCTCCCTTCCCTGCCACCCACCCGCCTAAGACTAACATTCCAAGCCGGCAACTCCACCACCAAATCGTCACCCTCATCCTCCCCAAACCAAAAAACCATCTCATTAACAGCCTTCCCCGCGTACGACATCGTATCCACATCCGTGACGCAGTCGTCTTCCCACACGGGGGCATTAGCAGGTTTCTGGGTGAGGACGGGCAATACACGATAGATTTCTCCTGAGGAAGCGGTTTCGTTGGCGTGGAGGAGGGTGGGCGTGAGTTGGGCGTGCCATGGATCCCCTTGTCCCTTGGGCTTTGGGTGATGGCGTGGATGCGAGGAGGTGGCGGCGGACATGATGCCCCCAAAAAGGGCAGCGAGGACATCGGTGGAGTTGGAGATGAATTGCTCCAAGTGCAGTCCTTTAGCCGGGGATGTCGCGAGTGTGAGGGTTGTGTTCAGATGTGCGTAGTCCTCCGTGGGGATGAATCTCCCGGTATAGACAGATTGCATATCCTCCCAAACGGCCTCCTCCGCCGCGCGGATCAGGTCCGTCGTCACAGGCGTGTGCAGTTCGTCGAAAACAGCCCCATTCCCGCCTACGAAGAGACTGATGCCCAGACCATATTCCTCTAGTAAATAAATATGCGAATAATACCCCGGCAGCCCGCCCGATTTCGTCACGAACGTCACCGGGCGCCTCGACTCGGGAAGAAGCTCCTCCGTCGAGAAAATCTCCCAGGGCATGCCGTAGAATGAGTGCGGGCCTGTGCCTTTCGATACCGGATGGAACCAGTTGACGCCCGTCGCGAGCGCGTTGTAGTGCGTCAGGATGTAGCGGAGGTAAATCCCCATGTCGCGCGAGGAGGTGTAGATCCCTCCTGTCGGGTTCTGCACGCCTTCGTTGACGTCCCAGTAGTTCGGCTCGCCGGCGGGCATCAAAGGCAGGACGGCGCGAACGTCCGAGGCGGGTTTGGTGAGGGAGGAGGACGTCATGTTTAGGGGTGTGAAGATGAGGTTGTGGATGATTTGGGCGTAGGGGAGTTTTGTGATGTTTTCGAGCACGAGGCCGAGGAGTTCGAAGTTGAGGTTCGAGTAGGTTGATTTCTGGTTCGGGGCGAAGACAGGTTTGGATTTTTTGAGTTGGGTTAGAAGGTCGCTGCGGTTGCAGGGTTTGTAGTAATTGTATTCGTCGCAGGTGGGGAGGCCTTCTCCCGTCGCTGGGGGGAGACCAATGGACGTGGGGTCTTGGAAGAAGTTCCAGATGTCGCTTTGGGCGAATTCACGTGGGATGCCGGAGAGTTGGCTCGCGAGGGAGCGGAGCGTGATGTCTTTCCAGGGGAGGGTGTAGTCGGAGGAATTGAGCTCGGGGATGTAATACGTCACGGGATCGTCGAGGCTGAGGTTCCCGGCGGCTTGTTGGTACAGAATCGCCAGCGTGGTGAAGGTCTTGGTGATCGAGGCGATGCGGTAAATACTATCCGGCGAGACATTCCCATCGCCCGGTCGAGCGGGATTAAGGTTGGCGGCGGTGTGGTGGTAGGACCAAAGCGTCGAGGTTTTGGAGGTGACTTCTACCGAGAAGGATGTGTTTTCGAATTTGGGAGCTTTAATGGCAGTATCGTATTGTTTTTCTAGGTCTTGGAAGGCTGTTCTGAGAGTGGAGGCGCCATTGGGCCAGCTTGGGACGGGGAAGGCGGGATTGGGAGCGTAGCAGCGGCTTGTTGCTGATGTTGCCAGGGCTGCCAGGCAAATTGCTTGCTTCAGTCCCATTTTGAGAATAAAATTGTTTGGTGTTTGAAGAAGAGGAGTGCTTGAGGAGTGGTTGGGATGTAGGATCTGGCATGGTCCGAGCGCCTGAAGTCCGTAGGTTGAGCGGAGTTCGACTTCCCGGAGTTTGACCTCTCCTCTTCTCCTCTTCTGTCACCATCACTGTTACATCAATTCATCATTGGACACTCGCTGGCACATATCGAGGCGACTTGCATGACCCAATACCACAGATCGAACAACCATGGCCTGGAACGATGAACGCCGACTGCCCGAAAGAGCGACACCTTAAATGCTCTCGCAGCCCGGAAGATTCAGCCAGACCACCCTAAGTTCGAAGTTGTTTATGCTCACGAAGATGGGAGAGTATCAGAGGTTGTATATATCAGATTTGCTAATCTTTTTCAGTCAGCCATGTGTCGTGCAGCATTCTTAAACGGTTTCCATTACCCCCTCTATCTCCATGCATATGTACAGATAACTTGAGTCTCATCTAGCCGCCCATCTGCCCCTTTTCCGAGCTGCACCAGGCCTGAGGGAGCACGCATACTACCGCCTTCATTCAGTCACAGCCAGAGTCTGGTACATTTCTCGCCACTTGTCGATTCTCCGCCTCGAAGCACCCTGAGCAACCATGCTTGCGCTGTCCTCAATCTCGACGGATCGGACATCAGCATCAGCACCATGCTCCCGCGATTGTTCCTCGCCGTCTTGCTCGATCTTCAAGTTGTCTGAGATCTGCTTCAGCCACCGCTCCATACCAGCTGGAGTGACGCTCGCGATCATTTCCTTTTCCTCGCTCACACTGTACCCATCGTCAACACCATCCAGGAAACCGGACTCCATTTCAGAATCGGCGGTGTCAACGCCTGCTAGCAGACAGGCCTCTTTGGCTTTGGCGAGGTTTTCCTCTGCTTCTGCAAGAGCTTTAGCTAGACGTCGAGTCTCCGTGATATCTTGCATGTCGAGTTGGAGCAACGACTTGTCGCTAATGACCTCGCCTGCTGCCGCCTTTTGCTGCTCGATGATGTATCGATTGTGCTGGAGCTTCTCGAATCTGAATTCAAAGTCTTCCTCAGCTCCACGGAACATGGCCTTTGCGATCTGATAGTCTCTCTTCATGGGCTCCTGCGATTGGGAACTGGGACTAGTGGTCGGATTTGATGCAGCATCCGTCTGCAGTTTGACACTCGTTGACTTCACTGAAGTCGCCGTCTCTTCGCTGCTCGGCGAGGCCGCCTTGGGACCGCACGCATCGGTCGAATGTTCCGCCGGCTCCACCGCTGGCGTCTGAGTATCGTCTTCTGCCTCATGCCAATCAGCGTCGACGGGCTCGTCAAGCTCTGGGATCAATCCATGGCTCACAAGAACTGGATGCATCGTGTCATACAACTCCATGAGAACTTCACGTTGACACTCGTGAATATCGGCCTTGTCATCGTGGAGAGACTGCTGCTCGGCTTTGAGTTCTTCCAAACGGCCTGTCATGGGTGCCAGTTCTGCTTCCAGACGGGCGATATCCTCTTCAAACCCGCCCGCCCGCTTAGCTTGCCAATTTGCGCTTCCAAGGGGCTCATGGCGATATGTAGGCTGAACATCTTCTCGTCTAGGCTACTGATATGGTCGTCATTGTCGGCCTCCTCAAGCTCCAATGCTCGGACACGCAAGACTACATCGCTGAGATCTGTTGCTAGGCTTTGTCCAATCTTAATTGCGGCGTTATTTTCGACAATGAGCGGGGCATCCAAGCTACCCTCTACTGTCTTTTCGTCCTCGGGAGATTTCCATCCTCGGGTCAAGCTGACTTTGTGCGGCAGCAGCTGCTTGCTTTTGCGACATTGCTCGCTAACGAACCCCAAGTGCAGCCTTGCCCACGTCCTTGTAGTCGGTCATGGTGTTGGCGGTAGCCGTGTCGAGTTTAGGTACAGAGTCAGTCGTGTCTGGAATCAATTGAGTAGGCGAGCGTTTCAGGCTGCTAAAATTTTCGGACCGGTGGTAGAAGAGAAGGAGAAAGAAAAAGAGAAGCACGACAGCCACCAAAATAAAGTACAAGATTTCCTTGTTGTGCGTTGGAAATTAGCCAACAAAGCATTCTCGAATCGACTTGTAACGAGCTGTAGGGCTTTGTTACTCGACAGCAGGTGAGATTTCTTGTCTTCTACTCAAGGACAACGGACCCCAGAGACTCGAAGAACGTTTGCAACCGGTTTCTGATGCGAGATGCTCGAATATATACTGCTGGTGACGATGGACACAGAGCACATCCTGATCAAACGCAAATACCTACAGTACCACCAAGAGCTACATCCGACTACAACACAAAAGCGAACAGAGATATCCAGGAGCCAAGATGTCCAAAGCTAGAAAAGGTACGTCCAAGGTCGACGGCTCCACCGATCCGTCTCATCGACATGTGAAAGCAACCACGACATTTGGCTTTCTGTTCCAAAGTTCATGAAGAGAGCAGAGAACGACACTGGAAGCCCAAAACGCAAATCGAAGAATGAAGGGACAGAGAGCAGCAGCAGCAACTCAACTCCAAGACAGCCATCCACTGCCGCTGCGGAAACTTCAAGCTCCGCTACTACCCTTGGCAAGAGGAGTGATGGAGTTGCGTGGAAGGAATGCAAAGGAAAGCAGACGAACTTTGATCATAGACTTCGCCCCGTTGTAGACACTCGGCCTTGACAGAAAGCGCCTTCGAACGCCTCCGCAGCCCCTCAAATCCCTCCACTTGCTCGTTTCCAATCTGGAAACTGCCAAACTACCATGTGGCGAGGCGAGACTCGCCATCCATCAACCTCCCATCATTCTCACAGTGGTGGTTCCCACTATGGTGGTACCGGTCGACGTCGACGCTATAAATCTAGATATCTTGGTGGTGGCTTCGACATTGACGAAGTCACGCCAGGCGCGATTATGTTCCACCGCGAGGTCGTTGTGAATTACAATGACGCAGTTGCCGCTCGACAAGCCCCCCAGGTGGGAAGCATGTATGTCTTCCAAACCAACAGCGGCCATTGGTACATTGAGAAAGGCCGTTACTTCCACGTTATCAAAGTCTTCGATAGGCATTGGACCGAATGCCCGATCTACACGTACCAAGGGCAAGGTCTGGAGAACAAGTCTCCTCAACTGAAGGAGGAGCACGTCGGTCTGAAGCCCATGCATCTCGCTCTGGACGAGTATGAGCCGCAGAATGAAGTCCAAGTCAGGACGATGAGAAATCCGAAGGAGCGGTTGAGCGAGAAGGCTGTGATACATTTCACTGAGGCTCGATCATCGAACTTCAACACGAGGATTCGGGCTGTGGGGTTTACGGATGGCAACGGTGTGAATTTGATTGCTGAGCTGCGGAAGAAGATGGGTTGTGTCTAGGAGATGGTGCTTGAGGGGCAAGCTGACGATATGGCAAGGCTGGAGGGAAACTTGCAGCGTCCTGTACTCGGAATTGGAGCTGGGTTGTTGTACAGGATATAGGACAATGAGCGCTTGCACAGAGGTACTCTACTTGCCTTAGATAGAAACGCTCCCTGGAAGAGACGAAGTGACGTCTGAAATCAAGATACAAACGCCACAGACGCTGGTCCGCATAGAACCATTCGACAGAGTCTCAATGTATCGTTGCAATACTTCCTCCCACTCTCATTTCCCGTCAAATTCCCTTCCGCTATACCCTCAACACAGCCGACCCATCTAATAATACCACCAATACCCCAATTACATCAACGTCACCACCACCACGACAAACCTCGGCCTCGACCTTGTCATCCATTACCACCTACCTCTCCCACCAAAGCTTGCCAAAGCTTGACGGCTGCGCCACCACGTGCATATTCTATGTGCCGCGCACGCACAGCTGACTACGACGGATTCAGCAGCCTCAGGCTGTCGCATGCCGAAGTGCTGAACTCTAACCCGTGCTTCTTGCCGGAGAGGGGGGATCTTCCGTTTTGCTTGTGGTGGAGGTGCCAAGAATAGATTGTACTTTGCATGTGAGGGAGATGTTTTGGGGTTTGTTGTGCAGTGGCGATTTGGGGACGGGTGAGTTGATGCTTGAGGGGGAGGGTGTAGTGGGAGGGGGAGGTTTCTCCGGGACGGGAGAGCTGTACAGTATTGGAAGGGTGTATATAAGGCTCAATGCGGTCTGCAAGGGAAAGGTCGAAAAGGAGAAGACAGCGATCACAACAAGAACAGACTCCCAACCCATCCCTGCCTCACGCTTTCCACAGAAACACCAACCAACCCTCTCCTTAAAAATGCCCAACGCTCCCAACCACCACCCCCCCTCAACAACCACCACCAAATCCTTCCTCCTCAACCCCTTCGACCCAACCGCCACCCCTGCGGACCCAGGGCACCTCTCCCTCCCCCAACGCGACGCCTTCTTCACCTACCAACACTCCCTCCCCACGGGCCCCTAAGGCCTCGACAAAGAATCCCTCTGGGCCTCGTTGATAATCTCGCACAAACACCTCTCCGCGAACGTCTTCCACACGCTGCAAAAAATCGGTGTCCTCGTCAAGGACAAGGGGAATATCGTCGACACGAGTAAGATAGGCCCGAAATTCACGCACCAGCTCGCGGAGATTCCGGCTAGGCAGCAGAAGCGCGTGGTGGATTTGCTGTTTTGGTGGGAGGAGGAGGGGCAGAGGTTGAGGAAACTTGAGGGGGAGAGGGGGGATATTGAGGGGTTGTTGAGGGGCGAGGCGGACGGGGAGGGGGAGAGGAGGGTTGTGTTGGGGAAACTTTTGGAGAGGGTTAAGGGGAAGATGAGGGCGAGGCCGAGTGAGCGGGATGAGAGGGTGGAGAGGGATGAGGATGAGTTGGTTGTGGGGCTTGGAGGGGAGGGGGAGTTGCCGGCTTATTCGAGGACGTGAGTGGGTCGATTGAGCAGTTCGTCTCCAGTTTGTGCCAGATAGCCATTCGTTTGGGAGTCAAATTCATAGACTGAAACATTGGTTGATCAAAAGGCCCTTTTCCACTGCCCTCCACGAGACATTCTTGAATTCTTGTAGACGGTGTTGCGAGGTTCTTCAAAACGAGGCATGCCGAATTGAAGATGCTTAGGGCCTCAGCTGCTCGAAGCATGTTCAATATAAGAAATGCCCCTGAGTCGATTCCGCCAGTGAACAAATGCAAGCCCAGCAAACGATCCCCCAACCCTCCCACCTCAACGTCAGACCTCCCTCAAATATGACTATCCTCCACCGTCATACACCTCCCACAGAACTGCTTTCCCCTCTCCTCAACAACATGATGCTCCGCGGCACTACAATGCAACACCCACTCATCCACACTCCGACTCACAAACCCACACCCCGTATGCACACACGCCCTAGTCTGGAAATCCACCGGTAAGTTCGAATTCAGCTGCTCAAGCCGTCGATGGCATTCCATGTGCGGGCAGTGGAAGTATGTGATTTCCAGATTCGAGGCGTCCTGGGTCGTTGGTGAGAATTGGGATGTTCGAATGGTTTGGAGGAGGGATTGGAACGATTCGAAGTCTTCCGGGAGGGGTTGGATGGGGCGGAGGATGTGCTTTCTGGGTTGTCGTCGTGTTGACTCGGAGAGATGGTTTTGGATTTGTTGGAGGCGTTCCACGGCGGCGGATTGGGAGCGAGTCCAGATGTCTTCGACTTCGTCTAGGTTTTTCCAGAGATCCGTCGTCTTTCCAGTTTCGAGGGTGGTTTGGGATGAGCTTGCTGGTGATTGCCAGCCGCCCATGACTGCTGGTCGCAGAGTCACGTTTGAAGGCAATCTTGCCTCGAACCACGCTGGCTTACCTTGTGGTTGCTCGGACTGCTCTTCTTTGCTCGCCGCCTCCCTCTCGTACTCCTCCCCTCTCGCCTGCATCTCGGCGTAACCACCACACATCCCCTCGCCTTCACTTTCTTTCCAACTTCCGACTCCACTCTCCGCAAACCGCTTGAACTCGATCTCTCTCTGCGCTTCCTCCTCTGCTTCTCTCAGACGCCGGAAGTCACAAGCCAGAATTCCGCCGCCTTGCCTTCGCCTGGGGACCTCTCTCGCCGCTGTAGTCGCCATTGGCAGTGCTTGGGAACTTGCTTTGCCAGCAAATCCGTACGGTACGTCGATTCCATAACCAGAGCCATTGAATACATCCCTCGCCAGTCCACTCGCCGAGTTGATGATTCTTTCGCCCCAGCTTCGATTGACGCTTGGTTGGTATTGAGGTTCGACCATGCTGGACATGTTTGCTGATCTTGCTTCGAGAAAGATCAAGTTTTCTTTAGTCTCAAGACTTCCCGTTCAATCCTTCTCCAAGCCGTCCACTTCGACCTTTCCCCTCTAGCCACAGACCTCGTTCTCCCAAGACCTCTAACAAACACCACTAAAATCAGCACTCACGCTCCCACAACACAAAAAATCAACATCAAAGTGAAAGAAAGAACATATGGTACGAACTCCCTCAAAAAATCATCAATTCCTCTTTCCCGGACCTCGCCGCACAAAAGGTGGAGGTGTAGCAGACATGGGTGAGAAAGAAAATCGGCACCACGGTCCGATGCTTCAAGGGAAGACGTACCGAAGCAGGACAATCTTTCCGCCCAGATTTCTCAATGTTCGTCCATGTCACTGAAGAAGGAATTGATAAGTCTTTGTTATTGTGAGCTTTGGAGAGAGATGCAGTTTCTTTTGGTGAAGAGAATAGGAAGAAGATGGATGGGAGAAAGAAAATGATGCAGGAGCGAACTTCTCCTCACTTCTTGCCAAGAACGACAAGGTCTCACCTGTACGGAGTGACAAGGCCTTCGGAACTGACATTCTGGCCTAATCTCCATCTATCCGGGCGAAAGAAGAAGTGCTAGACCTGGCAAACTATAGTACATAGCTAAGGATTTGTCAGAAGGGATTGAAGCTCATGAACGATTCTATTGCATTGTGACAACTATCCCCGTCAGAGATGCTCTCTCTGACTGCCCGTTGCAGCTATCAATGCTACGGTAGGAGACTCATTTCTGGGGATAACACCCCTATTCATCACCACCGTCTTCCGGAACGGTGCTCATCTCCTCACCCTCTTCCTCCTCGAATGTATCGCGTGGGACCTGGTAGAGGCGAATCGTGGGCTTATTAGGGTCCTTGACGAGCACGAACTTGCCGTCACCCTCCTCCCTCATGACCATATCAATAAAGGTGCGCACGATAGCCCAACCGTTGTTGAGGTTGAGGTTCATCTGGGTAGCGAACTCGCGTGGCTTGTAGCCCAAGACACCGAGGATGACGTGCTCGTTGGTCGACTTTGGGTTCGCGCGAGAGACGAAGCTGCGGTCAATGTTAGCATGTGTATGTGAATGTGAATGTGGATGATGATTGAACTCACCCAAGCTTCATCAAGTCAGCCTTGGCCAGGATACTCTGCATGGTCCACCTCGCAAGCTTGCAGCTGTTGTTCTTCATCTCAGTGGCCACAACAGCACCACGCTGGCTGGCCAGCTTCGTCCGCCAGTCGAGAGCACCACCAGCTCCCTGTGCCTTGTTGTCGAACTCGTTCAGCGCCTTGATGATGAGGAACTGGTCTTCGCCGCTGATGTTGTTCTTCACAACAGCATCCAGCTCGGACCGGACGATGATGTGAAGAGGCTCCTGGTCTGCTTCAAGAGACAGGTCGAATCGTCGGTACTTGTATGCCTTGGAAGCTGGAGGATCGGTCTCCTCGTTTGCGTTGTAGAATGGGTGCTCGTTGTTCATGTCGCGTCTGCTCGAGTCGGACTCCTGAACAACCTGTAGTGGGAAGACATTGTTGATGTGTGTCGCCTCCTCCTTCAATGCGCCAGGGCTGTTGATCTGGTCCTTGTTGCCCTCGCTGATCTCCAATGGAGCGTCTGCGGCGTTCTCGTTCACAGTGACCATATCCAAGCTGCTGCCCTCACGCTTGTCGATGAAGATCTTGCCACCCTGCTTGACAATGACGATGTCCCAGCTGTAGACACTGCGAGGAGCGCACATGAGCATGGAGAGGATGTTGTCCGTTGCGAAGATGCTGGCTTCATCTCTCTCTGCAAGCTCTTGAATGACAGGGTCGGAGGAGGTGGTGACGTTGTATGCGGCGCGATCGAGGACGGTCAGTTTGCGGGCAGAGGTGGGAGCACCAGGCTGCTTGTCGTACGAGCGGTCGTAGTAGTAGAGGAAGCCGTAGTCGTCGAGGTCCTCGCCCTCGCCAGTGTCGAGGTTCAGCTTGGCCAGACGATTGAAGTCAATCTCTTCCAGCATGCGCCAGGTGTCCTTGGGCTGGACAGATGCCTCGCGGTTGCGCTGAGGCTTGTCGTAGTCCTTCCAACCAAATCTGCCACCACGTCGGCCTCCACGGCCACCGCGAGAGTCGTAGCCCTGCTGTCCGCCTCGGCCACCACCCACGCGCTGGAAGGTGCCACGTCCGCCTCGCTGATTCTGAGCCGCGCCTCGCTGTCCACGGCCGCGGAAGACTGCATTGCCCCTACCGCCGAAGCCACGGCCTCGAGTGGATGTCTGTGAGCGGTCGACGAGCGAGAAGCTGCTCTCCTCGTTCTGTCCCTCGATGTTGAAAGCCGTCTGTAGACCACCGGGACCAGCGCCATAGATCTGATCTCTGTAGCGGTTTTGGAACTGCTGGCGACCACCGCGCTCTCTGTCCTTGCCCTCAGATGTCCAGTCCGCCACGCGTCCTAGCTTGTCGCCTTTTGAGAATGGAGCGTAGGGCACACCGTTGAGCATCGTCTCTGTTGTAGTAGGCGGGCCCCAACCCGACCCCTCGGCGGGCAGCGAGTCGATGATCGCATGGAGATCCTTCAGTGCAGATGCCATATTGTCGACGCTATCTCCAGGAGTAGGGGTGCGACGGAGGCAGGGACGTGTTGTTCGAGCGTTGTGTCAATCTGGAGAATTTCGAGATAATCGGCGTCGCCAAGACTTTCGCGGAACGCGGGGCAGCTTCCGCCGACTCTCAAATGCGGGGGCCGAAGGTCAAGCGTCAAGAGTCGCTCCTACGTTCATCCCCAAAGATTCGCCATCGTTCCATCTACTATACCAACATCTCTCAGCTTGGTCATTACAGTTCGCACGGGGATGGTCCCTCAAACCATGGGCGGATTTTCCATCGTCGAAAGCGGGGGCCGAAGATCAAGAGGGCAAGAGGTCAAGAGCCGCTCTCGTACACAGCATTCAACTACAATCCCCAAATCTTCTCCATCATCCCATTTGCTACACATAAATGCCGCAGCCTGGTGATCACAATCCACACGGGGATACCTCGCATTCTACATGCGTTGATCCGTTCATAAGCCGGCTTTCGAAGGCGTACCCGTTCCCTTCACATGTTTGGTGGTGATCTGGTATATCCAACCTATCCCCAACGCACATGTTACTATCTGGCCTTTTATCCCTGAGGATGTTTCCTTGGTTGTCCAGGTCGTTTGTGAGTTCGGTTCGTCAATATTCATGCCAGACCTCAGGTGGGATTCACGCTCCGGCGGAGCCATGCCAGCATATCACTCGTCGACGACATGAATCAAAACGGACGAGGGAGACGAAAGTAAGATATGATCAATTCAAAAAAAATCAAATACTAGCCGAAGCATACCGCCGATGCGCCTTGCTCGAAGACGACGCCGCCGCCGAAGAACCCTTCTTCACAGCAGCACCCCTCCCCGAAACCCCATTCGCCTTGGCCCTCCCAGCATGCCTATTCCCACTCGGCGGCTCCTGCAAAAGGTCCTTCTTCGCCGCCTCGCGGAACAACGCACCCCACTCCCCCCGTTCAGCAGGCGGCGGAGGAGGTTCCGCCGGTGGTGGTGTGCTCGAATCATACGCGCCATAGTAGCTATGTGCCCGCGGTCCTATATAATGATGCTGTTGCTGTTGCTGCTGATGATTAACGCCGTCCAAACGCCCTCGTGTCTCATTAGCGCTTTCCTAGCTGGCCTGGATTTCCTTGGCCTGCTGCATGGCCAGCGCGGAATTCTCTGGTGCTTGGCGGAAGAGCACTATCTCGCTCTGCTTGAAGTATCTCCGCGCGTCCTCGTCGATCAGGACGAGGGATAGGTAGTATCGTGTGCTGAATTTCTTGTTGACGTCCCGGAAGGTCGGCGTCAGGTCGAAGCCGCCGAGGAAGAGGCGGATGGGAATGGTTTCGCCGCGTGAGGGGGAGCCGTCCATGATCTCGAAGCGGACGAGTGTTTCCGACTCGTTGTATTGGTTGGGCGGGACGCCGGTCGTTTCTCGCCGTATGATGCTCAGCTCCATGTGCCGGATCTTCAACCGCACCAGCAGGAAGTATATCCTCCCCACAATCACGTCCTTCAGGTGGTACTTGCTCTTGCTGTATTCAAACTCAATGTGGAGGCAGTCTTCTATGCCGACATCCATCTTGATGACGCTGTTGCTCTCTGGCGGTTGGCGGTATGAGTACACCCAGATGTCCTTTTCTCGCACGACGTCGGCCATGCGGCGGGAGACGGTGACCCGCAGGAAGTATCGTAGCTTGACATTGATGCCATGGTATGACTCGTACTGCTTCTCCACATTCTTGAAGGTGAAGGGTAGTGTCACCGGATGTTGGAGCTCGCCGGGTGCAGCCAGTTCGGTTTGGAGGGACAGGAATTCGTGGTGGGTGCCGCGGTCGAAGAACATCTCAATGGTGCCGACGAACTGCACCTTGATACCGGTATGCTCCAGCCGCTTGCCATCTTTGGGGCGGATGGTGACAGCTCCCTTGAGTGTTTCTCCATCGAGATAGAGCGGACACTTCTCGCGGCGGTTCTTGTCGAGCTTGACGTCGACGGTGGGGCGGTCGTCGGTGCTGTCGAGGACGATGTCGATGTCGAGCGGCGTGGAGAAGTTGAAGAGCGACATTGTGTGTCCCAGTGGTGGAGCAGGGCGGTTTCTCTTGTTTATCTCGATTCACTGCTGCAGCTCAGGTGTTCAATGTTGTTGCTGTAGCCTGCCGTCATGCCTGCGCCTCGTGTGGCTGTGCTGCCGTCGCGGCCGCCATTGGAATCCTTGCTCTATCCCAATCAACCTCTCCCCTTCAATTTGGTTAATCAATCAATGAATGAATGTATACAAGAACAAATGGAATGCAGTATGTATGTCTGAGAAGAAGACCACTTGGAAGATGCTGTCTACTCCCTATATGCACGTCTCTCCCGCGGCGCCGGAGCATGGATGGGGGAGATGCAGGACAATCTCGCACGGCTTCTGCAAACCGTTGGCCTCCATTCTCCGAAGACAGCATCATCATTTCGTTCTTCCACAGCCCTCCCGGCTCCTTCGTATACCGTATCATCACATGGAAACGGTTGCTTCAATGACATTTGTTCACAAGAATCGGCCTCCCTATTCTCACACAGCAGCACTCACAGCCGAGCTTTCTGGCACGAGAGATTGATGGCCATGGCAAGTCACACAGCAACAACGCAGAATTGCAACATGAACATTAGACCTACTCAATACGTTCTATCTCTACACAATCACCCATAACGCCCATCCCAGCTGACAGCCCGCTCATGACTTCGCCAACCTCGGAAACAACTTCCTTCCGGCCCCTCCATCAATCCCCTCCCTATGCTCCTCACTCAACACCGCACTCCCCTCCAACTGCTGCGTAAAAAACACAATCGCCTCCTCCGGACAATTCGGAAAATCGCTCCCAAACAAAATATGATCCCTCCCCGCCACCGCCTGCAGCGCCGCCAACTGTCCCGGATCCGACGAAAGCGCCGTGTCGTAGTAGAACCACCCGGCTTCTTCGTAGATCTCCTCGCGCGTTTTCTTGTGGGCGCCGCCGAAGTCGGTGAAGCGCTGCATGCCTGCTGCGCGGCCGAGTAGCATGGGGAGCGTGCCGCCGGCGTGGGAGAGGATGATTTTGCAGGATGAGGCGTGGTGCCGGAGGGTGTTCGAGGTGATGAGGTCGATTGCTGTGCGGCCGGTTTCATGCGGGTAGTCCCACATGGGTTGGGGAAGGGAGGGGTTTACGAGGCGGGTATCGGTGCCGTGCGTTGGATGGACGAAGACGACGGCTGGGAGAAGCGAGAATGTGAGTTGCTGGCAGCTTGTGGTTCGAGCCATTCGACGTACCTTCTCTCCGATTCAACTCCTCCCACACTGGAACGAAGTCCTTGTGACCCAGATACATCAAATCCGGATCATATCGACTCAGCAAAACCACCCCATCCGCCTTCAACACATCTACACCCACCCCATCATCAGCAAACCCCTTCACCCCTCCCCTCCCAACCCAACTCAAACAAACTCTCCAAGAGCAAACCCAATCTCCCCCAAACACTCCTCCCCAAACCTCGGACTCGGCACCGCGGCAAAAAACCCATAGTGCTCCGGATCCTCATCGCGGATCCTGGCACTATACTCGTTCAACCTCCTCGCGAACGACGCCTGCTCCGCCGCGGTCTTGAAGTTGTCCGGGAAGGGCGCGGTCGGGGACAGGATGGCGGTTTGGACGCCGATGCGGGCGCACAGGGCGCGGTCGAGGGAGAGCGTCCAGGGCGGGATGTACCAGCCGGAGGGGTCGCCGCCGGTGGCGTTGAGGGCTGGGGACGGGGGTGTTAGAAAGTGTGTGGGGTTTTGGGATGGAGAGGAGAGCGCAGGGGGGCTGACCTTCGGTGTAGAAGGGGGCGTAGATGTGGTGGTGGACGTCGATTTTGGAGTTCATTCTTGCGGGTTGGCGGTGGGAGGTGAGTGCTGTTTTCTGTCTTCTCTGTTATGAACTTTCTCTGCTCTGCTTCCTCTTGGATCCTCATCTCTCCTTATATCTCATCGCCATGGCCATATCCACCGCCGCCACTGCGACGGGTTTGACGTCAACCTACTCTCCAGAACCACGCCTCATCGTCATGGCTGAGTATCCGCGGACACCCTATCAAACATACCATGGGCAACGAGCGAAAACAAGCAACTCGGCCTCTTGCCTTCGAATATTGATAACCGGGCGACTGCGAAGCATATGGACTTCGGCTCGCCGAGAAACGATCCGGGCCCGAAGCCGACTCGGTATTCCGAGATTTCGCTGTATTTCCACTTCGGGACACGCAGCCTGATCAACAAACTTGTCAGCCTCCATCGCATAGAGGGCATTGGCAACTTGAGTGAAAGCCTTGAGTCTGAGGTTGTTGATAAGGAGGAGATTCGAAAGTCTTTTGGAGGGGATTTCGGATGGAATGGGAATGTCTCTGCATGACAATGGCACCCTCGCCGATACTTGTCGAATACGATACTGGCATCGGATAGGCAGAGGTTGAGCGATGTCTGGCGAAGGTCATGTCGAGGGGTTTCGCAGCGACTGAAACCGGAGGGCGAGTTGGCTCCTGTATGAGGGCTGTTAGATCTTCTGAACTTGAACGGCAAATCAATGACTTGATATTCTGAATTATTTACCCATTCACGAACAGCTGATGCAAGCCTACGGGCTCAAGTCCTTTTGACCAGCCCTGAATCGTTCCGTGTTCCCTCTTGTGGACCCGGCAAATATCTAAGCCAGCTTCCTCATCTGCTCACCCGCCCTACGAGCAGCCTCTCTCAGACTCTGCTCGAGCTGAGCGTCGGCCGCCAACTCGTCGAACCTCTTCTGCCAAAGCCTCCATCGCTCAGGGCAAAATCCATGCTTCCCCTCCCACAACGGACCTCCCTTGCCCGGCTGGGCTCCTCTATCCGGTGGGAAGTCATCTTCGCATTGTTTCAATGACTTGCCAGCCAGATGAATCCACGCCGCGGCGGCGGGAAGGAACGCATCGAGAGGTTCGGTGTCCTGGTTTCTCTGAGACACTGTGCGTTCCAGTGCGTCTCTCATAGTCCACAGTGCGAACATGGAGTAGTCAAAGTGACGACTGTCGACTTCGAAGAGCTTGGCGGCGAACTGGTTGACGTGGACGAAAGCGTCAATGCCATCTTGCCGTTCTTTGCCATCTGGAGCGAGTTCCAGAGCTAGTTGCAGTTAGCAAGATGAGACTCTTTCCAAGGAGAACGGATCTATCCAATGACTCACCATTCCACTCATGGTTGAACTCCATCCCCAGCCCGGGCATTTCTTGCCACACACCCCCCTTCTCGCCCTCTGGTGCAGGCAGCGTGACTATCGCCTGCAGCAGCTCCACTAGTTTCTCCTGCATCTCGGGGTTCTCACGCGCAGCGACGAGCACGCACGCCCACGTGATTTCGAGGCCCTCGTCCAGGCTCTCTCTGTCTGCCACAGTTGCATTTGCTAGCTGCTCTGCAGCGACAGCGGGAGTCACACTGCCGTCGAACAGCTTTTCCAGCACGTGTCGCCTGCTGTTGAAATTTTCGAACGTGAGCGGGGGGCGTTGGGCCATGTTGCCGTGGTATGATTGGAAAGGTTTGTGATTTCTGCTTGTGTAGAAGAGACTTGTCCTGCTCGTCTCGATTCTCGGACGTTTCTCCGGAGTGATGGCGGGAGATGTTGTTTGCTACTGGTGTCGAGTACGAGAGAGGAGTTGGACGCCTTGCAGGTTCCACGACGAATGTGGCGAATCGAGTCGACCGCGTAAAGCTTGTCGACCGCACTTCGCGACAGCGTAGAAACATCAACGATAGTTCCGTTAATTGTCGACTCTGTTCAACTTCTTCTTTCGTGGTTGTGAAAAGAGAATGCAGAAGCGACACCTTTCACGCCTTGACTTGTGCAGCAAATTGAGAGCAGCACCCTTTCGACAACGGCCTCCTAATGCATATAATAACTGAGCAAGTAGGCCTACGAGGGAAGCTTGCTAGTGCTAAGATCGACTAAGTTGGAACTATTCATTCTTCTCCACGGACTCTGGTTGTGAAAACCTACGTCTATACGAATCCACCATGATGATTGAACGCCTTCCTCATACAGTATCTCCTTCCTCGTTCAGTATCCCCTGAGTAATGGACTACTGTGGGCCACCCACGTGTGCGGACCATTGATCCAAAGAACAACACGTAGCGTTCCGCGGAGCACAACAAGCGCGAGGCGTCTTACTATATCATGTTCAAGACATCTAATGGACATGTGACGGTGGCATGCACGGTACAGAGTGTAATGCAACACCCTTCTGCTCCTGCTATTCTGGTGCAAGACATCGAGCGATCATCCGGCAACTGGTGTTAGCGTTCGAAGCACCGGCGACAATAGTGCCTCAGCAGTAGTGTAATGTCTTCCGCAGGCAAAGGTATTTGAACGTCTCTTTCGGGCGCGTTCAATCCAAGAGTCATCCATTCGCTTTCACTCGTTTACCTGCTCTTACCAGTACCAGCCGCATCCATCCCAAGATGATGTTCACAACCCTCCTCCCAATCGCCCTTATCGGCCTTGTCTCGGCCAGCCCGGTCCCAGCAGGGGACATCGTCTCCCTCGAGAAGCGCCAGAGCGCCACCACTTGCGGCAGTAAGCCCCTCCACAAGGCCAACATTGCCATCTCGCTTCCGTCTCCAACAAGAGCTAACCGAAACCCCTCAAGGTACCTCCTACTCCCAACTCGCCGTCCAGCAATCCTACGGCGCCGGCGCCGACCACACCATGAAACGCACCGTCGTCCGCTCCGGCGGCGGCAGCAACTACCCGCACGTGTTCAACAACAAGGAGCAGCTCAGCTTCCCGGCGTGCTCGGGCCTGACGCTCTACGAGTTTCCCCTGGAGCCCGAGAACCAGGTCTTCACCACCGGCGATGCTGCTGGCGCGGATCGTGTGGTGTACGCCACGACGGGGCCGAACCAGTTCACGTACTGTGGAGCTATGACCCACACTGGGGCTCCGACGAGGAGCGGGTTTGTCCTTTGCTCGTAAAGGTATCGCTGGGCTGGATGAATGGCTGGATGGATGCGTGTGGCAGGGAGACGACCTTGTGTGTAGCTCCCAGCTTTGAGATTTCTCGTATATACAACAGCAAAGTATGAAATAGAACGAGACGGATTTCCAACTCATAAGTTTTTAGGGGAATGTTGCTTGAGTTGTTTGCTTTTTCTCCATGCTACTGAGGTCTTTGAAAGTAACGCCGCATATTGTGTTTAGATGTTATCTCATGCACTGGGAGGCTTACGAACGCAATGCTGCAAACAATTAAATCGCAGCGATTTGTGTCTGTTGTCGAAAGAAGACGTCTGAAGCTGCCTTTGTCTTCCCGTGCTAGCTTTACAGTCCTTGCGCAGCCCGGGCTCAGCCTGACGCGGAACGGAGAGAGCACTATGCAACAACATACCGCAAACTTGGAAATTAGGGCCCTCCCTATTTCTTCTGCCTCGCCTCTCCAAATATATAGAGACCGACAACACAACTGTCAATGTCCTCTACACACAAAATCAACCATCATGCCCAAAACGCAACCCTTAATAGACCTCCCAACCCCCCCAGTCCCGGATCTCCAGCTCGCTACCTTACTACACCATCACCCCAAACTCAACAACTTCCATCGGTTTTCACGACTTCATCACCAACAAGCTAGAAAATGCCCTCAGCTACGCTGTCCATCTCCTCGACGAAAAGCAATCGGCGATAAAAGTCGCTCTCATCGATGCCAAACCCCAAATACCGTACGTTATCCTAGTGAGCGAACCTGCAAAGTAGCTGATCGAAATTGCACTTGATGAAAGCCTATCTCATATCATGTGATTGCCAAGGCCGTTTGTAGCTGAGCCAGACTTGTGTCAGTCTTTGCTCGCACGTATTTGTTGATATCGTGGTCGAACGTGTCTTGACTGCAGACCTATCCCAATCTCTAAGTGGAGGGCCTTCCATTCATATGGGGATGAGTATGCAATATCTTTCCAATGTACCCGTCTACCTCAGCAGCCCTCTCAATGCCCCCAAGAACGCTTTCTGGAACGACAGATGGTCCTTCTAGCAGCAAGTTCGTCAACTTAGCTGCGCGCTCGGCGGTCGACGTGACATAGCTGTCACTATTATGCCTTTGATTCTGTAATACGCCCAGGATAGGAGCAACTCCGCCTCAGACAGACCCATCTCTCGAGACGCTTCAAGTCGTTGGAGTGTTAGATTCGCGGTGGCGTCTGGAGCGAGCTTCGAAGATATGACGGTAAGAAGGCCGTAGTCTGCGTTTTCGGTCAGTGTTGTCTTCATGCAAATTTGTCCAAAAGGAGGTTGCGTCTCGTCGAAGCGTATCCATAGATGCAATGACTATAGCAGTCGCTTACCGTAGCTAACGCTAGCTACATATAGTCCTCCGTAGTTTGTTTCCTTCCCGTTCCTTTCCCAACCCAAAACAAACTTAGTCAACAACCATCAAGGTCCACACCACATCTCAACCTCACCTCAAGATGCTCTCCAAAACTGATTTCGACAATCTCCTCACATCTCAAGGCCCACTCGTCATCGATGGCGCCCTGGCCACTGAACTAGAAGTCCGCGGCCACGACCTGAACCATCCCCTGTGGTCGGGGAAAATTCTTCAAGACGAGCCGAAGAGTATAGAGAATGTTCATCTGGATTACTATCTCGCCGGAGCGGATGTGGCTATCACAGCATCTTATCAAACGGCCACGCAAGGGCTGACAGATCACTTTCGAATCAGCGAGGATGAAGCGAAAGCGCTGATCAGACGCAGCGTGGAAGTTGCACAGAACGCTCGGAGAGAAGCATACGATCGAGGGGTCAGCACTGCGAGCACCCTGCTCGTTGCTGGGAGTGTGGGTCCCTATGGTGCGTATCTGCACGACGGCTCTGAGTACCGTGGAGACTATGTCCGGACGCAGGAGGAGTTCAAGGACTTTCATCGACCGAGAATTCAGGCTTTGGTCGAGGCGGAAGTAGATCTGCTTGCACTTGAGACGATTCCGAGCTTGGACGAGATCAAGGCACTGCTCAGTCTTCTACAAGAGGAGTTCCCAGACGCTATTGCCTGGTTGAGCTTCACGACAAGGGATGCTGGACATCTCGCTGACGGAACCTCATGGAAAGAGGCCTTTGTGGTTGTCGATGACCACAGGGCGCAAGTTGTCGCTATAGGGGTGAATTGTGTGCCACTGGCTGGTGTTACTGAGACACTGCAAGGCATGGGAGCGCAGACTGACATCCCGCTGCTGTGCTATCCCAACTCCGGAGAGAAATTCGACTCAGCGACCAATTCATGGCATGGTGAGCGACCGGACGATGTTCTAGGCAAATCCAGCGAGCAGCACTTCGATACCAAGCCATGGACATCAGCCGGTGCGCAACTCATTGGGGGATGTTGCCGGACAGGACCAGGGTTCGTTACCGCGATATCATCCGACTTGCGTGCTTTGTGATCAACGAAGGACTGCAGACTCAGCCATTTGCATTCACGCAACGACCTCGCTCACGACTTCAAGACCTGAGATGGCGAAGCTCTGGAACATCTGCAGGTGTGTCATCTCGTCCTAGCTCCAAATTGCGTGACACCAACCCCACTTGGAAAGGAAAGTCAATAGCGACGTACCGCTGGACGAGATACGCCAGAGCTCTAGCATTGGAAAAGCTTCAAGAAGCTCTGTCCTCCCTTCTGAGGAGAAAGAGAAACATCATCTCTCAGCCAACATCAAAGAACATCAGTCAAAATGGCCACCGGTGCAGCAAGCGTTCCGTACTCCACAGACTTGGCTACAGATCCCACAGAGATTCAGAAGAACCTCGTCGAGAAGAACGCTGAGTATGCGTCGTCATTCGACAAGGGCCATCTGGCGCTGCCTCCAGCGAAGAAATACCTCGTCGGTACGACTGTTCTTCTCCTACTTCATGACGACATCTAATCTTCTCTCTAGTGACATGCATGGACGCTCGAATCGACCCAGCCTCGGCCTTTGGCATCACCCTCGGCGATGCCCACGTCATCCGCAACGCCGGCGGCAACGCCAGAGACGCCTTACGAAGCATCTTAATCTCGCAGCATTTGCTGGGCACGAAGGAGATCGTTCTGGTCAAACACGTCAGTATCCACCACAAGCTCAATGCCGCTCAATCTATCAGACTAACTTGAACATGTTATAGACCGGCTGCGGCATGCTCACCTTCACTAACACCGATGCTCTGTCTGTCGTAGCGCAGAACGCTGGAGTAGGCGTTTTGCAGTCTACTTTTGATTTCCAGCCTTTCCCGGACCTGGAGCAGGCTGTTAAGGATGATGTAGCGTGGTTGAATGGCAATGCGGCGTTGATTGGGAAGACAATTAGTGGGTGGGTGTATGAGGTTGAGACGGGGAAGACGAAGCGGATTGTTTGATGGGCGGGCGAGAGAAGATCAAGGAATGGGGGGCGGTGTGGGTGCTTTTGAATTTGCCAAGCTGGTTTTTGTAGTTGAACTGAATTTGAGCAGTGTAGGAATGGAGCGATTGGGTATGAGGTGCTTCCAGTACATACTCCGATCCCAACCCTGAAGCAGCTTCCTCTAGGGCCTGGGAGCGATCGAAGGACATCAAGACGTCAAGGTAAACTGCGATTTATTTCGCAAGCGGAAGGTTGGGTCTCTCGGCCTTCACACGAGCGTTAGAACGCATCTCGTACCCCACACGCTTGATGTCGTCGAAGGCAGGGACATGAAGAGCCATCTACATTTCAGCCTCCCATCGTCATTATGCTGATTTGACGCTTCCTACGGCCTTCTGAAACTTCCAAGGCGCAGATGCTGTCTAGAACATACTGAGGGATGCACTGTGCAGCAAAGAGCAAGCACCGCAGACTATCTGACCGTACGGCAAATTAGTTGCAGGAGCTGTGAAAGGAACGATAGGAAGAAGATGCTAAAGCTTTCTGCGACCTTCCCACATTCCCGAACTTTTTCTCGTCGCGCGGCTACGTTGTTGTCTCTAATTGCGACATCCACGGAAATAGATAAGCTATTAATATACATTTTATCAGGCTGGCTCTCAGAAGCTTCTGCTATCCTGCACGACGACCACACTGAAGCCATCGCCATGCCTCTACAGATTTCGGATACCGTTGCAAAGAATGCTGTCATGGACGGCATCGACCCCTTAGACCATTCCGGTGTCATCGAGTAGGGCCAAAATAACATCACTGGATTCGTCCTATTGAAACAAAATGAAAAACACGCCCTGGCTTCTCACGTGCAAGTCAAAGCGGCAGTGATGAAGATCGAAGGGCCAAAAAGCGACGAGGATGAGGATGAAGATGAGGATGGGGAAGGTGGTGTGCGCCTGGAGGAAGTGACCGAAGGCGCTGTGATGGAGAGTCGATGTTCAAAGAAGGCTGAACGGGACTCAGCACCTCCTAAGGGAAAGAAGAAGAAGACGAGACTTCCTGTTGTGAACCATGTCACGGAGCCTGTTGATGAGATTGCATCTCGGGTGATGCAGGCCGATCTGGACTTTCGGCATCCCCAAGCCACGCTCATGTTGTGGGCGTGGTGCGTCTTGAACGTGGCAGGGTTTGTGGAATCTCATCCGCAATTCCGCGAGGGGATTTCTGAAGGAGTGACCAAACTCCTCGTCAACGGAGACGGTACCACTGAGAGCACTGCGGATGACATCAGCGGACCTCGCCTGCAAGACGAAGGGGTCGAGAGCGCAGAGGCACGCAAAAGACGAAAGAAGAAGGAGAAGTGGTACAACCAAATGCGAGAGTCTACAAACGAGATCGCCGACCGCTTTCCATACCAACAGCTGAACTACGCCGTAATACACAATGTCACAGCATGGTGTATCCTGAACGTCGACGGCTTCGCAGAATCAGGAATGATACCACGGCATCAGATCCCCTCGAAGATTCAGGAGGTTCTAGAGGAGATGCATGGGCCGTACGAGGACGGCCCAGATTTGAGTAGATAGATGACGGAATGTCGTCGGTGAGATGGTCTCAACGGCTGTGGATTGTTTCTTACAAGCGACTATGGACAAAGATTGATGGGGTACAGACGCTAAAGAAATCTTGGAAAGCGATAGTAGGGGTCAATAGCGTTTGCTCATAGACGCAGCCTCGTTGTGGTATAGGGCTGGATCATCAAAACTGTTCGCTTCGTGTACTCTTGATGATGCGGATGTGTTTTCCTAATCTATCGAAGAGATCTTTTTCGAAAAGAAAATTGTAAAGTTCTCTATAATCTATAATACCGTAGTACTATGTTCGGTTCAAGACTATGTCTACGTTTTCTGGCCCCGCTCATCCCCTACCCCTTTTCGCAGGCAGATAGCCTCCAGAAAACGTCAGCCCCAACAATCGGAAATCACACCGACGAAAAATAGACAGATCGAACAGCCGTCTCGCCATTGTAACACCCCGTCTCATCCGGCGGAATCTCAAACACATTCGAAGGAGAAGCACAGTCGTCATCCGAGTACAGACCGATGCGATGACCCGAAGACGCCGCCGCTAAGATCGACACAGCCTCTTCAGTCCGCATACCCAGATTGATGCACTGCCCGGAGGCTCCCACCACCTGCCATTCTAGCTCGCCATTGCAGAGGGTGCCGCGGTATCCTTGGACGACAGAGCCGCTTGCTTGGGCGCCGGTCAGCAGAGCGAGAGTCGCGGTGGCGAGGAGCGTGAGCTTGGATGCCATTTGGCTGAGGGCTGAGAAGGATTAGTTGAGAGATCACGTGGATGTGGGCAGGTACATACCTGTGATCGAAGGCGTTTTCGGTACGACTGGTCTGTTCGGAATTGAAGTTGTTTTGCGGGTCTGTTCGGCGCTGTTGTTTCTTGTCTTTGGGATCTTCGCTCAAGCCCTTTATAGAACCCATGCTGGACTTCTCGACACATCCTAGATGTTGAATGAGACCACCTGGCTTGTTGTTGAACCCGGAAGATCTCCTCGTGAGTTGGACATGGAGCAGTCGACGAAGCCACGGATTGCATTAGCACGTCCACTTTGAGGACCCCGTTCCTGTGATGGTGACTTCGTTGCTGTGATGGTGACGCGGCTATTCGAATGAATCCATCTTGATCGGCTCTACTGACTACTGGACACTGTAGAGCTGTGCTATCGCCGCAGTCGCCATCTGGAGAGGTGGTGGAGGTGGTGGAGGTGGTGGAGCAGAATAGGATCTAGCCTTGCGAACTCGCTTTTTCATACTTACGTGGCCTTCTAACTAACCATGCTCCACTCCTCTTCGAATGACCGTCTGTACACTATTGACATCGAAGGAATCCTTTACGCACGATTCGGCACAGTGTGACGAATGCGGATGTACACCGGATATAGGGGTTTCGTTCGGGCAAAAACCGCCAGGCTAAAGGTTGTGTCTCTTCCAATAGACCATTGGACCACTTGGAATGATGGTCTTCGAGTGAGACTATCAGCAAATTGCAACATGTCACCGTGAAGGTTCTACCCTCTATTTCACCTTCCAGAGACAAGTACGAGATTGCCATAATTCGTGCCTCCATGCAGGACAGCCTTGTAGGGTCGGAGGGTCCCCGAAAGGGTAACTTTCCGAGGAACTTCGCAATGGCAGAAGTACGGAGAACACTGGGTCTGAAGTAATGTGAAGCGATGTGATTGTCGTACAGAAGCACTAGCTTGGCGAACGATCATGCAATACACAATACGCTACGTCGAAGCATCTGCGGTTTTTTTCTTGCGGTTCTTTCCCGACGAATGTGGATGCCACAGCCTGCTGGTTTCCCAACAATCCGGAAGCGTACAACTCGGAAGCGCACAACTCGGAAGCGCCTTGCCAAGCAGATCCTATGATTCCAATTCTCCCAAAAAGTCCAGCAAAGTCACGATCATCGGGGCGCCTCGTCATCTCTTTCTGATGTCTACATAAAGAGCCGTGCACCACTTCATGTCACAGTCTTGCACCATCACTCTCCCCTCCTTCGACATCAACCTGATAGAGTCTACACCTATCCTACATCTCCCACAATGGCACTCCTTATCACCGCCTTTGTAACTTTGTTTGCAGGCCACGCACTTGGAGCCAACATCACCTTCTCCGACACGGTTGACTGCGAGGGGATTGCGACATATGGAGGAAAGAACTGGACGTCCGTTCCATGTTATGCGCTCCCCGACGAAAGCGAGTCTCTGTCGGCATTGCTCAGCGGAGTCGAGGGAGCACAAGTCCAGATCTATGCGGACAGTGACTGCAGCTCCGAGCTACTTAGCACCAAACAGGACGTATGCTATACGGCCCCCAGCCGCATTGGAGCATTCAAGATCTCACCGGTCGAAGATACCACCCAAGGAAACTACACGAAGGATTTGGCAATCATCCACCCCAAGCTTTCCAACTACACTGGTCTAGCAGTCGCGCCATACGACATTGACAATATCTTTGTCGAGGCATTCATTGCTCTAGGGCTCAGGGGCACCATCGAGGTGCTTACGTTCGCAGCGGCCGTCGTAGATTGCGTGAGTGCGGCCATAAGCACTGTCGCAGGCAAGCCCGAACCCGTCGCAGTTTCGGCCTGTGTGCTGGTAGGCACCGCGAGCCTCTTATCCATTGCAACGCGTTTTTACGAGAACAATGTTGGGGCAAGGATTCGCGCTGCATTCCGGGGCTCGACGGGCCAAATCACGAACACTGCAGAGCGTCGCGATGTTCATTTTCTCGATGCTCCTCCGATTGGGTATGCCACTCGCGAACTCTCTGGCGGTGTGAATGTCACTGCCCCCGTCTATGAGAGCGGGTTTGGAGACGTCGGCAAGTGGCATTACGCAATGTTCGAAGACCCTGTCACCGGAACACATCACCACCACATCATCCACGAGAACGGATCGCCTTTCAATAAAAACGACAGCGACGCAACGCTCGCCAAGCGCCGATACGCAATCGATTCAGTGAGATGGCCTTCGGGTGGCTTTTATCTCCAACTGTGTCCCGTGAATGTAGGCGCGGCGTTTAGTGGTCTTTCCAACTCGACGGTGGACAACTACAACCTATTCTACGACCAACTGGATTGTTACTTCGCCAATAACTTTGACGACTCGATCACCAAGATCGACGCCGATCTGTACAACAACGTCGGCACGCTGATTGCGGAGTATGGTCTGGTGCCCTACAAGACGTACGTGGACGTTCCGTCGTGCCCGAAGAAAATCCTCACGGCGGACGAGGATTGCATCATCGAGTGATGTCGCTTGATCGGACAGGCTTGCAGTGTCTTGTCGTCCAGTCCTCTCAGCGGGCCACGAAGACGGTCAACGGGTGTGAGGGAGCGGCAAAACTCGCAGCTATGGGCTGAGCATCGGCCTGGTTCTTGGTTTTCAACAATACGACATTATGATTTGGAGGTTTCTTTGTTTTGGCTCAGCTCACGTATTTTTTGATTCCACGAACCTGCTGGCTCGAATGCGGCTGCGTGGCAGAGATCTTCGTAGCAATGCACACTCGTTTACACATTTGTTCCAACATACACGTTGCATGTCTTAAGATCGTGCCAAAATTCCTTTGCCAGACAGTGTTGCAGCGAGTCTGACCAATCTTGACGTATAGATCCAGCTCATGGATTGAAGGTAGGCTTAGGACATCGGGTCTATCGTGAGGAGGATTTTGAAAATAGAAGAAAGAAGTGAAGTTGGATTTTCGGATTCATTCTCCGATGCGTAGGACAACGGCTCGCTCGCCTGCCACTTGATTGGTTATGAGTCAAGACACGCTAATGGAGGTGTTTTTCCGGCGTGTTTTGACACAAGTGCTTTTCCGAAAATCTGCGTGTTCGTTTTCGTATTTTCTAAAGATGGGCAGCTGCAGAGTTTTGGGTCCTTTGCGTACTGTGTCTTCTTGGCTTCGGCTTGTCTCCTTGTGTCCTTTCCAGTCTGAAGTCGTCTATGTAGGCATGTGCCGTCAGTGTTGAGCGAATACCTTAGTCGAAAGGGGTTAAGCCTAGCTGAGGAGAGAGATCCGACGCACTGCCATCCAGTCTTCATCGGCCTGTACTGGAGAGGATTTGTCCGCGCGAAAGAGATGGGGACAGAGAACTGGAAGACAGCAAATATACAAAGAACGTGCTTTAGCTTTGGCCCCCAAATAAACAGCATGCATATGGCCCAAGCGAAAGTCTAAAAGTGGAAGGATCGACTTCAGCTCGTGGCGGCTGTGCTACAGTACACCTCACTGCCACGATGCTTGGATGCATCTTTGACCTGGACTTGATAGCGAAAATGTCTCCAGCCTGACAGTTCGCCATCCCGAGAAAACTTCACCCAGGACTTAATGATGGGAACGGCATCGAAAGCCCACGCTCAATACCTCTAGCCTATCACCCCGCCGCCAGCCGATCATGCCATCTCTCTGGAAGGCGTACGCCCTCTATCCGCTATGGGCTCTCCAAATCATCGTCCTCTTCCCACCGCTCTACCATCAGATTGAATCCATCTTCCTCACCTTGACACACCCTGCATGGCTATCAGGATGGACGGTCTTCTGGTTGTTAGATTTCTTTGCGATGCTGGCGTGTCTTCTGCTCGTGGGAGTGGAGTTTGCGAGGAATAGGACGAGGAGGCTAGATACGACGTCTTTCCTGAAGGCGAATGCGTACAAGCTCGCTTATTGGGTCTGGAATCTTGTATATGTCGCTGTGTATAGGAGGGACGTGTATGGGAATGCGAATGCGTTGTTGGCGGTCGAACATCTGTAAGTATTCGGAGCGTCTTGGTTACTTTGAAAGCGATGCAATACTAATTGAGAATGCGTAGAGCCACGTTTGCTTTAGGCTTTGCATACGCCGTACATGTCTGGTGGCGAGGGCGAAGACTAGGACGAACCCGAGAGGAAGCATCGGCCGAGGGTGGGCACCAGCTGGACGCGATCAACGTACCGAAGCGGCTGAATTCTGCAGCTGCTATGAAGTCAGCATCGCCTTTCGTCGTGAGGATGGCGATGTGGGTGAAGCACGATCCCGCATGGATGCACGCGCTGCCTCCATCTGTGAGAATGGTTCTGAACGTACCGTTGTGGCTGGCGAGGTATTCGGTCGGCTATATCTTAATGGTCTTGATCGTGAGTCTTGCAGCATGGACAATGTGGTGATCTGCTCATGCTAATACTTGGTAGCTACCCTTCACAGGACGCATTTCCGGAGAGCCCAAGAACCACTGGAATGAGAACAGTTCCCAGGGATTGAGTCAATGGGACTATCCCAAGCCAAGATTGTCTATCCAGGAGGCGTATAGCGATGCCGATGCCAGGCCACGGTTGCCAACTCCATTCCCACAAGGCGACGAGGAGGCGGCAGTAGACACACTCAGTCTTCGAACCATAGACGATGATGTCGCCCTACGGCCAAGTCCACGGCCGGCTCACAGACGAGCATTTCAGCCATCTCCGAACCGAATGCTAGGCCCACGATATCTATGTTTTATCGTCGATGATGAAGCCCGAACTTATGTCACCAAGAAGGTCGAAGACTGGATGTCACAAACCGGAACACGAAATGAGCCGGACTATGTCTTCATATCGTACACTCGACAGCAGTTTTACAGTCAGATACCGAACGATCCTACTGTGACTCAGCATGATCTCGTGAATCGTAGAGCCGCTGCAGACAGAGACCAAAAAGTCCTCACAGACTTCGCAGTTAGGGCTACCCAGGAAGCGCAGGTGCCTGCATTCTGGATCGACTTTGAGTGCGTTCAGCCGGAGGACGAGAATGACGAGGACCTTGATATGGAAGACGTTTACCGGATCTGCGATATCGTCCGAGGGTCACACTCTTTGACCATCATTTGTGGTCCTACACTCGATCAACATTTGGATCGTTCGTTAGGAAGATTGTCCACTGCGGCAGATTGGCTATTGGACTGGGGAAAGCGCTTGTGGACTCTACCTGAAGCGCTGCTCTGTCCTTCTGAACATCGTATATCGATATATGCTGTTGGAATTGAGGAACCTGAAAGAATAGCAAAGCGCAACCTCCCTGGCCGACTTTGGGATGATGCCGCGACGATTCGCCAACTCATCGACCATTACGAGGCCTCCCTACAGCTGACTCAACTGGAGCTGATCAGCATCGCACTTGAATGCCTCCAGCGACGACAGACAGAGAAGCGCAATGCCGGCGATGTTGCGTACGCACTCATGGGTCTTCTCCGTCTACGCCCCAAAGTCAACAAATCAGACTCCGACTTCCAAGCCTTCGCTCGCCTTTCCCTTGCCAATGATAGCGACATGATCCTCGAACGCTTGATATGCCTGCGAAGCCCCGACAGCGCCTCACCTTGGCACGATATGCAAGATCTGTGGGACGCCAAACTCTGGCACATCGACCCCGTCTTCCAAATCGCAGGTGTCGGGTCCAGAAACACAGTCATCATCGGCGACGCAGCCGGAACCAGCATCGATTGGACTTCCCTCAAAATGATCGACATCACGGGCACGGCGAGCTCATACACTTTCCAATGGCGGTACATTCGCCTCGTGAGCGCTTACTTCGTGGCTTACTTTTTCGCCTACCTGATCGTCGTGTTCATGCTCGCGGATCCCATACAGCGCGGTCGTGGACGATTGCAAGGACGAGATCCTGCGAGGGCCTTGAGGATTGCGACGTACCCTTGGATCCTGTGGATGTTGATGGCGATCCCGGTCCCTTATGTCCTCTCGGGGTTCTTCCAGGGGACGATCACTTCCTCACAAGCTAGGCTCTTCGGAATGGCTGGCGTGCCCGATGTTAAAGAGGTGGAACGAACTCTTCTAGGTGAGGCTTGTGGACGCTTGAAGTGGAACAATGATGGCAGCGTCAGTGAGCTTGGAGACGATGAAAGACCAATCTTCACGCTCGTCGATACGCTATCTTTGACCTTGACGACTTTCCGCGCGAATAAGCCACCCACTATGATGTTTGTCGGCGGACGTGAACGGGGGTTGTTGAGGATCCTGTTGTGTTCGTATGATGGTGCTAGACGATCGTTCGTCAAAGAGACGGTCACAAGGCTGGAGAGTGTCGTCAGCGCCCGTTTGCCGAGACTTGATCGCTTCCGTTTCTCGGTGCAGCCGGAGATGGAGATCGTTGAAGAAAGAGGACAAGACTTGGGAGAGGAACAGCTGTACGACGAGGATCTCATGGAGCTGCCGGATATACCCGAATTTATCTCTCTGGACGATTGAGACATAGTAATAGCGGTCAGGTGTCAACTACGATGTCTCGAGAGCAATGGCCCGTACCTCACCTCACGCCACCGAGCGTCACAGCCTTTGTCACGACATACTCATCAGTGCGCTGTCTGCTTCCCTCTCTGCCGAATCCAGACTCTTTCACTCCTCCAAAAGGCATCGCAGGGTCAGACACAAGTCCAGTGTTGACGCTCACCATCCCCACCTCCAATGCCTCCGCCACCCGATAGCACCGATGAATATCCTGGGAGTAAAAATATCCCGCCAACCCAACATCGCTGTCATTCGCCTGCCGTATCAGTTCTCCCTCCGTGTCGAGCGGGAACAGAGCTGCCACCGGACCGAAAGGTTCTTCTTGTGCAACCTTCATGTCAGGGGAAAGCATGACCGCCGAGAAGTAGTGTGTCGCCCTTCTGCACAGCGTCGGCGGCGTGCTCCTCTAACGTGTTGATTCACATGCAATCGAACAGTAGATTCTAGCTAAAGTCTCCTATAAGAACAAGACTCCGAGAGACATACTCGACAGATTCTCGGTCAAGTCGTGATTATTCAAATATAAACGATCAGGCCACAGAACAAGCCATGCCCATAGCAAAGCTGACCTCGCATTAAAACGCACATGTACTCCTATCCTGCATCACCTGCTGCCACTCAGACCCGCTCATGGCTTTCTCGGCAAAAGCCCTCAAGGCTGCTGGAATAACATCGCCTCTGCCAATGTCCAACATCCTTGCAATAAACACAACCAAATGAGCATCGAGAGCAGAAGGCCGCTCCAGATCAAAGAGCCACGAAGTTCGAGAGGTTTGTAGAAGGGATTCCAGCTTTGCCACGAGCTCTTTGGTATACTCCTCGTTCTTCTTCGTTGCCTCGGGCGTTAGGGCGCTGGCCTTTTCGGAGTCAAGGCTGTCGAGATGTTAGTCTTAAAGCTTCGTCTGGATGTGGAAGAGTATGTGCGCACCGTTGGAGCTTGTACTCAATCGCTGCTCTATATCGATCGCTAATGTCGCCGTCTAGGATCTCGTGCAGGTGTCCCTTGCTTCTGCCGACGGTCTGCGGCTTTCCTGCAAAGGTGAAGCCGAAGAAACTAATCCTATGGAGGTCGTGGAGTAGTTGAGAGATTTTCTCTTTATGGGGCTCCGGGATCATAGAGGGATAGGACTTCGCCAAGTACTTCGTGATGGCCACGCTGTCCGGCAATGGCTCTCCTGTCTTGAGCGGTACTAATACAGGAACCTGTTGTCCTACTTAGCGGTCTGGTTAGACTCATGGGCTGATACATCGGACCTCTCCATTGGCATTGACATCCTGCACGCTTGTTAGTCGAGTTCGTCATCCAATTCTAGGCCATGGCCGCAGCCTGACAACCCATGTAAACGTTTTACTTACGCAAAGGAAGTGCTCACTCATCTGCTCCAAGCTCCTCACAATATCAACAGGCTGCTCTTCAAGAATAATCTCGTGATCTTCATCGACTGCCGGTCCACGCAAGGCAAACGCATAACGGACCATAATCGAGCAGATGGAGTACTCGAAATGATACAACACATGAGTCGCCTCCTGCGAAGCCATCCTGGACTTCAACCCGATCTTGATGAGGTGTTTGTGACTCTTTCCGTTCGTTCGCGAACATATATACGGTCCCGGCAACCGAGCCAGATTTCTTACTTCCGCTTGCGGGCTCTTTCAGCGGACCTACCGGGACAAAATCCGTGGCCTTTCAGGTCTGACTAAATGACAAATTCGTACGTTTCGATCCGACTGGACGGACAAAGTTGCATAGGAAGTTTATTGGAGGCGCTAGTGTGGCACATCCGGTGGGGGATAAATACTGCCCAGGTGTGTTATCGGAATTTGAACGAAGGATTTGAAAGAAGATGTCGTGGATTCCAAGCAGTTTGAGAAGACAACACCGTAACAGTGGTACAGACCTTGTGGGTACGAGTATTTTGCTAGTCTTGCCGTAAACAAAGAACACATTTATGAGGACGGCATGCCCCCTATAATGTTCTCTGTACGGCCGCCCAAGTCTTGCTCGCGGCCTTGACTTACGAATTCAAGCCCCTGAAAGATAGACCCACTCAGACATGAGCTTTCTGACGCTCTGCCTCTCATCAATGCCAGATGTCTAATGGCCGACAAGAGTACGTATGTATATATAAAGTGTAGAACATAGCGTTCACGCGAGCGAACTAGACCAACTTGTCTTCAACCAACTCTACTCAACCTGTGTGATTGCATCTCTACCTCTATGATCTACACCACAGCCTCACCAACCTCGACCAAAACAATCAACACTGCGGCAAAAGCTCCCGTGCCCTCTTCTCGATCTCCGCATCTCGCACCAACGAGAAAAACGCCTCCATACGCAGCGTCCGTCTCTGGTAAGCCTCAAGCCACTTCTGCGTATGACCGCTAATCAACTTCTCTCCGCCTTCGCGGTTGACAAGGCGGACGAGATCCTCAACATATGCAATCTCTTCCCCTTTGCCTTTCAGCGAATGGAGAGCACGTCCTGCGCCTTTACGTTGAAGTCGGGCAAGGTATTCGTCCCTCATTACGTCTGTTGTTGGCAGGGGAGCTTTTCCGGCGTAGACTTGTGCTAAAGCCTGAAAGGAATTGATCTTAGCATGTGCTGTTTCAGGAAGAACTCGAAGGGTCTGACTTACCATCGCTTGGAACTCAAATAGCGAGAATGTCGCCACATGGAATGGAACGCCGATGAACGAAAGTGTTGGATCAGGGATGTACCAAATGTCCTGGTGCAAATTATGAACCGCTTGGCCATTCGTCACCAGCGTGGACTCATCCGCATCTTCAACGGGTGTATCGTCGGCGTGTAGCTGTCGCAGGAATGGCAGTGAAACATGATATCCGGTGCAGACGACGACTCTGTGTATGTTGCACAGCTTCTCGCCGGACTTGAGCGTTATCGTACCTGGAATGCTCCCATCGCTGGCCAGTACGTTCGAATCTGGACGACTGAAACCCTCGACGCCTCCGATTCGGACTCCGTTGTCGGGCAAAAGATGTGAAGGTAGATCATACGGTCCGCCTCGACTGGATTGATAGACAGCACGAGCGGAGACTCCAATGTCTTTGGCGATGTCGATAGAGGATACCCCGGCCCCAAGTAGAAGGACATTCTGTCCTGCGAAGCCATCCGGATTGCGATACCGCTTCGAGTGGCTAACCCTGTCAGGGAAGGCTCTCTTCCATGCTGCGAGACCTGGGATGTCGGGGATGTTTGGGGCGTGGTAGTGGCCGGACGCTACCACGACGGCATCGTAGTACTGTAAAACATCAATCAGTCATGGTAGTGGACTGATTGTAGAATGATGGTTACCTCGATTTGCTCGACATGCCGAGCATTGGTGCCCTCGCGCTCCAAAGTCCCGACATTGACTTGCCACTTATCACCTTCCTTCCGAACAGAGTTCACTCTACCTCGTGTTAGCGATCTTTGGGAATCGACAGTCGCGGGGATTTGTACCTGGTGTTGTATCTTATGGAATTCTGTACGCCGTTGTTGGTCGCAGTGTCCTGGATGTAATCTCCCAAGACATGGTGAGGTACGAATTCCTCGGTCCCAGGTTTCCACTGCTGGCAACTCAGCTCCATTTCGATCGTCGAGACATTGTTCTTGAGTGCGACATAGCCTGGCGAAGGTCAGCTTGGGCAGTGGTACGAAGTCCCTAGCTCGTTGTGACTTACATGGCCCCGGTGGCGCAAACTCCAGAGACAAATCATCGGCGGAATAACTCTTGCCGGGCTCTTCTCTTTCGTCAAGGCCCGGAGTTCCAACAGGGGTATCATGCTTAGGATGCTCCTGACTCGAATACAGCCTTTCGAACTCAGGGGAATCTCCGACAGACGGAGTTACAGACGGATAAGCAGCATCGTTTGAACTCCGTTCATCGTAGACCCTATGTGACACATGGTGTTAGCATGCTCGTCCGTGCTGGGCCTTAGACGCTCCAGCCTGACCAGACGCCACCTGCTCTTGAAGTCCTCTCGAAGATCGTCACATCGAGACCAGCATGTTTCAAGTGAACAGCCGCTGAGACGCCACTGACACCGGCTCCGATGACTGCCTGTCTTGATGTCAGCAAGAGCTTCCACATCCACGTGGAGGTAGGTGAAGCTTACAACAGTGCGCACGTGCAAGGTAGTATCTGCCATGTCGGAAAAAGGACATGCAGTACTGAGAATTGCGATTGGACCGTCCCAAGTATACTCGATGCTACGGAAGGACTTGTCAAACGGACACAAGATTTCTCTGGGTTTGGTTCCTGATTACGAAACATTTGGGAACGTAAGATTGGAGACCCTATTGCGTGATATGCAGGTCCGACCAGTACATAACGCCACTATCAATGCTTGTCAACTCGTTCACTCGTTCAATCCTCACACTCTCTCGCACTTGTGCAGTAAATGGCGACATGTATACTAAGCTCATAAAACTAGTTTCAGTGTCTTTACTATATGCCTTGAGATTTATATTTCCTCCTTGTGAAGCGCTTACGCCTTAGCGTCAACGATGACTTCCTCCGCAAGCTCCCCGTCAGACTCACGCTTATGTGAACCGATCTGTCTCTGATGCAACCATCTAGTCAACATCGCCGTTCCCATCATGAGCACTGCCAGACATGAGACTGTGATATATCCTTTCTGGTATTCCGGAGCATCCGTCTGCTTCCAAACGAGGAGTGGTAACCATGCTTGGACGACGTATGCGATCTCGTTCATTGACCCTGCAAGTAAGATGGAAAGTCAGCTCTTGTCCATCGAATGTCTAGTCTGACATCCATCTCCTGCTCTCATGATTACTCACCAGTGACCAAAGCTCTCTCTTCGCGATCATCAGAGCAGATCTCATGCGCCCACGCAAAGGCTAGACCAGAAAGTCCATATCCAAATCCAGCCAAAATAAAGCATGCCCACTTCCACCCAATTGGTATGTCCCACACAGCCAGCGACACACAGCAAAGTACATTCATGCAGCCACCGACGATGAATCCCGGCCAACGTGCGCCGCGGAAAACTGTATCCGAAGTCCAAGCATAGGCAAGCGTTGTGACGATCTGCACGGCGAATGTCGTTGTCGGGTACACATTGATTTGCCAGATTTCATATTTGGGAGTTGTCGATGCTTTGAGAAACTGCGAGAAAGCCGGCGCCGAGGCGTTGTTCCCGTTGTTGAAGGTGATGTACAGCAACGTCAGCACATAGATGTGCCAGGAGCTGAAGATCTTCCAGAATTTGGCCCTGGTATATGGCTGTTTTCCTTTGCGGCCCTCTTTTTCCATGCGCTTCCTGCCGAATGCTCGCTCCTCGGCCGTCAAGTACAGAGCCCTGGTATTTTCCGGTTCATCTGGTAACATGAGGTATCCGGAGAGAGCAATGGGAAGAGATATGATGCCATCCACGAGGAACAGCCCTAGGAGGTTTAGTAAATTGCACGGAACAGAGGGAAGAGATTGCTACTCACATTGCCAGCCCCTGAACCCACCAACACCTTCAAGATGGTAGACGGCAGCCATCAGATACCCTGAGAACATCTGTGCGACAGCACTGGAGCAGTGGAAGATGCAAGAACGTTTTGCCAGCTCGTCTTTCCGATACCAGCTGCCAATGACATATTGCATGCCTGGGTAGAAGCCAGATTCTGCCAGTCCTACGAGAAAGCGAATGCCGTACAATCGCTCTGCTGTATTACATCGAGAAGTGGCGAATGTTAAAATAGTCCAAACCAGTTCCAGGCTCGGGATCCAGATCGATGGACGGACCCTACTCAAGATAATGTTGCTCGGTATTTGGCCGATGACATCTACCGGGAATGGTCAGCCAGTGTCGAGACGTCTTGTGATATCTGGTATGTCTTACATCCAACAGTCCACAATGTTTGCATGTAGTTCAGCTGATCGCCATAGAGGGACAGGTCTTCCTTCCTGCACGGCGTATGAGCCATGGTCCATTAGGTTCGAGCAGTCTACTCACATTCCAGAAACGAATGCATTGTTGATGTTCGCCTGATCGAGATATTTGATCAAATAGCCGAGAGAGGCAAAAGTAAGGACCGCAGAATCGAGCTTGAACAAGAACTTCCGCTCTTCAGGCGATTTGTCGAGGCTGTCCCAGATGTAACTTCTCCAAGTTGGTTTGACTTCTGTGGCAACGACTTCCTCAGCCTGGACCTGAGGATCTCGTGTCTTGTCGTCTGTGTTCGACATCGTTTCCGTAGCAGACAGGGACTGGTTGCGAGCACCAAGTATCTTGGTCTTGGAAGAACATCCTGGGCGGCAAGTTCGAATACATACCGGTCCAAAATTCTTATCACACCCACTACTACCCAGTCAGAGGATCGACAAGTCTTGTTTCTAGCATGGCCGTGGTCCGGCTGTCGGCCATGCTCGCAGGATTTCGTTGCCGGCAGAGAAGACGGAAGAGCGGCTGTGGTGTCCTCAGTGGGTCGTACAGACGTATATGAGTACTGCCATTCGACCTTGTGCTGATGGCGTGCTGTACCTTGCCAAGCACGCAGCGAGATGTCACCGGAGCTGCTTGTACATCAGAAGCTTTCGCTTTAGCCCCTAGTTTCGATAGGCAGTGTACTAGAGGTGAACGAAAAGGCGGACAGACGATATACGATTCAGGTAGAGCTAGAAGTAGACTTCTTTGTTCGTTCCAAAATCGTACGCCAACTCTTCAACGAATACTTGCATTCTGATAATTGTATCGCGAATGTCGACAAAAAGGGGTATCGGAGCCGGCCCGCGATGTCGTGCTTGCTGCAAAGATGTCGAGCTCAAACCTGGGGCTCCACGCCTGCACGAGCTGGAGAGGTCTTGTACCGCGTGCTCGTACCTGTCAATGTTGCACTCTCCTGCCAATGAGAGACCACTTATCAGTAGAGCTCGCGAGCTCGGCTTATAAATGGTATATTATCAGAGGTCATTGAAAGGTAATCCGAGTTCTTGATTGACAACTATCCAACATTCACTCGGTATTCAACAACGAAAGCCCTAGTTTCCATCATGGCTCCAATTGCAATTGATCCTCAAATCAGAGATGTCGCCCAGCCCAAGAAAGACACATTAGCTCTCCCGGCAACCACACGTGAGCGGCTTGATAGGGCCGGAATAGACCTCTCCAATGGGTATCCATATCGCCCAGCTCGACCATTGTACTTGGACGATGCATTTGCCATTCGCAACGAACCCTGGCAACACGACGATGCAGGTGCCAGAGCCGCCAAAACCGATAAGAATAAGACGGCTCTCCTCTCAGCGGCATCGAAAGTGACCAATCTCACGTCGCATATTGGAACTGAGATCGAGGGCCTCCAGTTGAAAGATTTGACTTCCCAGCAACGAGATGAGCTGGCTTTGCTCATCGCCGAACGATCTGTAGTCTTCTTCCGCGACCAAGATCTATCACCGCAGCAGCAGAAAGAGCTTGGCGAGCATTACGGCAAGATTGAGGTTCACCCACAGGTCCCACAAGTGCCCGGTGTTCCCGGTGTGACGGTATGAGAATCACTCCATACAACAAGTCAGTTGAATCCAATCTCATCACATATAGGTTATTTGGCCTGCTTTGCAAGCCACCGAGAGAGCAGCGAACTTCCGCAACCCAGGAGGAGCCAGTCGATGGCACACGGACCTCGTCCACGAACGACAGCCTGCAGGCATCACTCACCTCCACAACGACACCGTCCCCAAGATCGGTGGAGACACTCTCTGGGCATCAGGATACTCTGCGTATGAGAAACTGTCTCCAGAGTTCCGCAAGATCATCGATGGTCGAAAGGCAGTGTATCAGAGCGCCCACACATACCTCGATCGTAAAGATCCTGAAGCCGGTCCAAAGCATATTGAGCGTGTTCATCCCCTTGTCAGAGTGCATCCAGCCACTGGATGGAAGGCTTTGTGGGTAAATCGAGCATTCACGAAGCGAATCGTTGGCCTTGACAAGGCTGAGAGTGATCTGATCCTCGGATATCTTTTCGATGTGTTTGAGAAGGTATGTTGTGTCAATTCATCAGCACTCTCAGTTGGTCACTGGCTAATGCCTTATAGAATGTCGACATCCAAGTCCGATTTCGTTGGACTCCAAGGACCTCCGCCCTCTGGGACAACCGTATTACAATTCACAATGCCAGCTGGGATTATGAAGGTATGTTTCGGCGGCCAACATGCAGAACTTTGAGATTGATGCTGACTTGTCCCCCAGGTAGCGAGCCACGTCACGGAACTCGTGTTACAGCTTTGGCGGAAGAGCCATACTATGACCCAAATGCACCGTCTCGCAGGCAGGCATTGGGTCTTGAAGACCTTGAATGAGTGGCAAGATGGCACTGTCCTGCCTGGATTCGCCAAATCCGTTATAAACTTCGTGCGCTTGTTCGCCTTTCCAGCTTTTCAATGAAAGCAGACCCACCTTACGTCGCTTTGACAATGCTTTCACAAGTACCACGGGGTCCAGGCGATGTAGTGACATCGAAATCATACCCCTGAGACGTCTGCTCGAGCCCCTGGGACAGTCTGACCCGGACTACGTGACAGGCTCACCATAGTAATTCCGCTCGCCACAAAGTTGCCGGTTTATAACCCTCCTCCTTATAACTTGAACATAATCGGAAGATGCAGGTGAAGTCCACGATTCGCCTCCTTGCCGTTCAAAATCGCCGTTCAAAGGCCCAGGCACACACGAGAAGATTTTGCTGATCGAACGATGGCCAGCCAAAACCAAACAGCAAGATACCGCTCCTCGTATTTAATACTGACTACGACGCTGGGGTCAGACATACAGAGCGCAAGACAACCTAAAATCAGCACATCTACAGCCTCGTCTGCCTAGCTGGTGTCCAATTCCGGACTTTCGAAATTCCCATGCAGACACGGACCGCATAGGTCCGAGTAGAGAGGCATTGTTAGACACTCCTTTATTTGAGCCTCTTATCTCTGATCTACGGTTTCGCTTGGGGCCATGGAACGGTGGCGGATGAACACAACCCCGTCGGATTGATAATGCAGCCTTGTTCCAAGACTACTCGCCTGAGATATGCGAAGGGTTTTTGAACTGGATAGCGAGATGCTGAGGAATGAAGAAGCATGCCAGAGGTTTGGACTGCATATATAGCTAGCTACCATGGACGAGGGAAGTCACATTAAATCAACAACAACATCATCCTCTCAACCAGTCTGGGCATGCACGACCACCGCACGGGCCTCCACAATGACTTCCAAGCACCAAAGCTATACGCTGTACTATTACAAGCTGTCCATAGCCTCCCGGATGGTAGGCTATTCCTTCCCACTCCGAAGGAAGCCAAAAGACCCAGACAATGAGGTCTTGATCTCTCGGGAAGAGCTCATCGATATCACGAGTGGCGAGCAGTGCACGGAGCATTTTCTCTGCGAGATCAATCCTTTGGGGGCCGTGAGTCAATGAGGTTGATTATGTGATTTTGCCCTCCACTGATTCATAATACAGGTCCCTGTCCTCCAGAGTAATGATGGCCAGGAGACCATCCCCGACAGCCTGGCAATCACAAAATTTCTCGCTCAAACAGATTCTTCTCTGATCCCAGCTTCGCACCAAACCGAGATCGTCGATCTCCTAGAGGAACTCCACAAGATCAACTTCTTCACCCTGATTTTCAGCAACAAGCCCGAAGTCCCACGCCAATCCAAGGCCGCCTTAAAACAGCTCCTCGCCGGCGACATCAGCGAGAGGTACGCTGAAGCCATCAAGGGCAAGATAGAGCAGTAAGTTGCCCGAGTCCCTCCAGTAATACCTATCCGACCTTCTGCGTAGCCTCAATAAAGAACGCATCGCAGCTCTCGAACCAGAATACATCGCTGCAACAGTCAACAAGGCCGAGAAATGGCTCGCCAAGATCGACAAAATCGTCCAGTCGTCACGCACCACGTGGTTGTTCGGAGAGGAACCTACTGCCCTTGACGCACATGTCGTGGTCTTTGCGAGCACGATGGAGGCTGAGTATGTTGGGCGTGGGAGGATGACTCCAGAGGCTGTGAGGGCTTCTGAGAGGAGGGCTATGGAGAGCAGGGAGTGGGTTGAGTTTGAGGGGAGGTGGATGGCAGCTTGAAAAGGATGTAGGGAGTAGTAGGGTGGCTGTTGGATTTTCAATGGAAAATTTGTACGCGCGGAAGCTGCTTCAGTACACGCCTTCATCAGGAGAGACGCCAATGGAATTTTGCAATGCTTTGAGATCAACCTCATGGAAATGTAACAAACCATAGAGCTCCATCTATATCTCCCCACCGCCTTCTCTTATTAATCCCTCCTCAACACAGTCCTCCAAGCCCTCGCATCAACCCCCACCCCCCTTCCCTCCTCCCCCTCAATCAACACAAACTGATCCAACGCCCTCAACCCATAACTAAACAACGAAATCTCCGACCAAGTCTGACAACTCCCCTGCTCGAAAAACAACAACGCATCCTCCTCTTCCGCCTCGTCTTCCGACAGAACATCATAAACACCCTGCCACGTCCTCTCCTTGCCATGCACGAGGTTCGTGGGATACAGACGAAGAGTCGTCTGTCCCGGCCCCGAAGCGCCGAAGATGGTCTGTCCGATATTGGAGATGATGGTGTTGACGCCGTTGACGGTGAAGTTTTGCACGAGCAACCCCGGGCCTGAGTAGACGGAGAGGGTGATGCTGTCGTTTCCGGAGGTATACGTCCCTGCATAGCGTTCCTTCGCCTGGGCCTTGTTCGTGCTGTCTAGAGCTGGAATCAGGACGTCGAGGACTTGCGATAACAGAACCTGCACGATTCCTTCGCTCGTATCTGGCCCTGCGCTCGTCACCGCGAAGATCAGGTCGTAATCTGGGACCAGCGCTATGAGTGAGCTGTAGAGATTCAGGTTCCCTCCCTTGGTGTATACGTCGACGATGTGGCCATCACCTCCCGTTAAGTTCATTCCACGGGCGATTTCCCAGACTTCGCCGACGAAGGTGCCGGATGAGGAGGTAAAGGAGCGGGGTTTGAGCCAGGAGAGGGTTGTGGATGGGCGGAGGAGGGCGGTGGAGAGGATTGAGGCGCCGAGGGAGTAGATGTCATTGGTGGTGGAGTAGATGCCGCCGGATTTAGAAAACCATCTACGTTAGCCGGACTAGACGGCAAGGATAAGGTAAGGGGATATAGGGGTATACCTCGCCTCAAACCCAAGATCAAGATCTCCATCGCCCATCTCAGCCGTGATGAAGGCATCTTCTAAACTCAGCGGACGATTCACACTCGTGCGGTTCAACTCCAGCGGCTCCAGAATCGCCTCCTGCAAATACTCCGCGAACGACAGTCCCGTGACACGCTCAATTACAAGCCCCAGCAACGCGTATCCGACATTCGAGTAAACGGGCGTGGTGAAAGGCGCGTAGACAGGATTCTTACGGGGCCAGGACGTGAAGAAATCCGGAGAGACGTCAGTCACCATACACTCCAACAGCAAGATATGAGGGAAACATACCCTTCCATGTACAAGCCCTCTCCGTCGGCACACTCGAGCTCCCACACCCCGTGCCTTGCTCCGTACCGTTCAACACCGGCAGTCCAAACGCGCTGTAGTTCCCCGGCGCATTATCAATATCCTCATCGCCCACTAAACCCGTCACATATCATCGTCAGCAAATCCCTCTCCCTCCCAACAAAAGCCCATGGATAGGACAAGAAACTCACAATCCGCCGCAATCCCCCCCTCATGCCCCAGCAACGCCTCAAGCGTAACATCCCCCCACGCCGTCCTTTCCACCGCATCAATGACCTTCCTCCCACCAAGCGCATCATACTCCTCCAGCAACAACTCCGGAATATACTCTGTCACCGCATCCCCTAATCGCAGTAGTTTCCTCTCCGCGAGGATCTTGACCACGTACGCGGTGAAGAGCTTCGAGATGCTTGCGATGGCGAATTGGGTGTTCCCATCTACTCTCTTACTTCCGGTGGTGTTGAATACGGTGGGTGCGTTGTGGAATTCAAATAAGGCCTCCTCCGTCGTGCCGATTTTGATGGAGACGGCTGTGGAGTTCAGATTCTCTGTGAACGATTGTAGGAGGGCTGTGATGTTCGAGAGCGCTTGCTGGACGGTTGGGTTGGTGGTGAGATTTGACGCGAGGGGAAGCGTGGGTCCTTGTGGGGGACATTGTGCTCGCGTGTGTGTGGAGAGGAGGGAGGTGAGGAGGAGGAGGAGGGGAAGGGTGTGGAGCATTTTCGAACACCTTTCAAGAAGAAACAAATCTCACCCAGATGTCAGAAAAAGGACAAAACCCACCAGCGGTACGTCAAACATCCCTCGAGGACATACAGGCAGAGTGGTATAGATATACCCCCTCCACCCAGCAACAAGCAAGAACCCCATCTGCCGTGTTCATTCGGCTGCAGCCTGATCCTGATCCCCACAATCTCGCCAATCCACCAGCACAATGGCTAGGAATAGCCGCAGCTGCAGCAAGGTACAAGATCGCCCTAGTGTCCACCAAGCATATCAAGCTTTCCTTGACGACCAAAAGCCTCATCTGCCTCAGCTGGTTAGCGCTGGAGATCGACCTCGTGCTCACCTATCTACTGCAAGTCCAGTCTGGACACGATGAGGCATTTTAGCGGAAAAACTACGTCCAACACATCCATGCCCCTACCAGTACCCATTATCATCACGAGCACTTTTCCTTTCAGCCCTCGATTAGTCCTTTCTGCGAGGAAAAACTTCATTCCCATAAGCTCACAAACAAATAGACTTCTGCTGACACACCACTTTGGCGAGCTCTGCACTCATAGCATACCTATCAAAGCTCGCGGCCTTCCTCCGGGATGCTTTCCGCTTGACTGTATCACCGTTGCCTGCTCTGCGAGGCGAAGTAGAACGTTCGACGGATTAATAGTAGTCTCGTTACTCGTAGGAACTAGGTATGTAAAATAAATTCCTCGTCAAACTGACGACGCAACCAACGCCGACGCTGAATGCCCATATCCATCCACCCATTCCACTCCTCCCATATTTCCACATCTTCATTCTTCAGCCGAAAGTAGCCCTCCTCTTTTGCCTCTCACACAGGGATATCCAAATCCATCACTGCTACTCCTCCCCTCCCTCGACCTCACCCTCGCCCTCGCCCTCCGCATCACCAACCTCCTCAACCTCCACCTCCTCCTTCAAACTCGACCCCTCTCTCTCCCTGCCATTGCTACTCCCCGCACTAACCGGCGTCGCCAAATCAAACCCACTCCTTCCCTCACTGCTCACACTCGGCGTAGCAGGCGTCCCGGGTTCAAGGCTCAACTGCACTTTAATACTCAAAATCCACTCGTGCTGCAATAATTCCGCCGCGCTAGCTCGTTTGGCGGGATCTCGCTCGAAGCAGCGGTTCAAAAAGTCCAGTCCCACGTCGCTCATCTGCTCGTGCGTGGGCATTTGGGGCGAGTTGCCGTTGGCGATGTTGTACATGATGGCGAAGTCGTTGTCCATGTTGGCCCAGGGGCGGGAGCCGGTGGCCATTTCAGAAATGACGCAGCCGAGAGACCAAATGTCCGCGGCGCCGAGTCGGGCGTGAGGATGTCGGCCGCCTTTGATGACTTCGGGAGACATGTACATGGGCGTGCCTTGGACGCTTTTCTGGCGCCCGCGGCCATCCGGCCCGTCAACGACGACGGTTTTGCCTTGTTTGGCGATGACTTTCGCGGCACCGAAATCGACGAACTTGATGACGCCGTTGTGGTCGAGGAGGATGTTCTCGGGCTTGATGTCACGGTGGACGACGCTGGCTTCGTGGAGATAGCCGAGACCTTCCAGCATCTGCAGAGCGTAGACCTGGACGACGGTTTCGTCTTCGATGCGACCATGCTCGAGAAGGCCGGCGAGTGACCCGCCTGAGCAGTATTCCATGAAGATATAGACCTTGTCTCGGTGAGGCTCGATGCCGTAGTATTGGACGACGTTGGGATGATCGAGGACTTGGAGAACGCCCATCTCGTCACGGATCTGCGACACGATCGTGGGGATCATCTTCGGGTCTTGCAGTCGGATTTCCTTGACAGCCATCAAATGGCCACTATCCAGGTTGATGGCGGCATAGACGGATCCGAAGGTGCCACCGCCGACGAATTGTCCCTGCTGCCATCGTAGATGCACGTTACCGGCAGAAGCAGAGAGATGCGTCAACGCTCGATCAGCGTCGTTCGAGTCTTCAAGCACTCGTCCGAGAGCTTGTCGTTCAGCCTCGCGATCTTTCCTCGCTTGATCCAACTTCTCCAGCTCATCAAGCCACTGCATGCGTACAATCTTGGAGCTTTCTTCGTCGTCCTTCAACTTACCCACATCCAGTCTAAGCTTGCCAACCATGGCATCCATTCGCTGCTTCTCGGCCTGAGCAGCAACAGTTCCTCTGGCGCCCATGATGTCGAAGTGGCTGATGAGCAGACTCATACAGCCTGCGACCTTGCTTCTCAAGATGCCGTATTCGTCATCAGTCATGGTCAAAATGCTCTGCCCTCTTGTCATGACCATGGCAAATTCCAGAGCGACCACTGCCCACCGAAAGGTCTTTCGGTCAGACGCAACGCAATCATCACAGATGAACGACACCCAGTCGAGCGCCAATTTCGTGAGCTTGTGCTGATTGTCAAGTCTTCGCTGCGCATCCATGTGAATAGCCGAACGCTGTCCAAACTCCGTAGCGAAAGCAAAACAGGTCTGGATGAGCTCTTGACTCTCCCATTTCCGACCAGCGGCTTCCGTCTGCGAGCGTACTATCGCAACAGAGTCCATGATGGTATTGGAGAGCTTGTGCGCAGTCTTTCTTATCTTGGCGAGTTCCTGGTTGACCCGCGGCAGATTGGCACGCTGCTCGACCAAGACCGTGAGTTCGAAATTACCGACTGCGTTCTGGAAGGCCATGTTTGCGTTCGCTAGTCTTTGTTGGCTGCCGTCAGCGACAAGTCGTAGTCGTCCGGTCTTGAGATCCAGCGAGTGTGCCGACTTGAGCATCTCATTACCTACAGGTCCCAATGACACTTCGATCCTCGAACCTTCCCAAAGAAGGGGATTTTCTGGTCGAAGTATCACAATGTAAGGGTTGCTCGGATCCTCAGGACTGTCTTCGGCGTGGTAGCATGTACCGAGCATGCTCTGGATATCTTTCGATCGGTCTCTGAGTGCCGGACTTGCGAGGATGTACATCCTGCTCCCCACTTTGCTTTCCTCACCAGGTGTCAGCGGGCTGGAAGACGGGGTCTCGACGAGAAAATGGCCCGTCATCTTCAAGGTATGAAGAAGGTCCTCGTACAGCTCGCTGTCTATGTTGATGCTGTACTCGGTGGCATTCTCGAATCGCTGGCTAAGGATCCTGCCGAAACGGAAAATCTTTCGCTGGCGGACACGGACAGAGTCGAGGATAGACTTGTATCGCTTGTCCATCTCGGCGGTTCCAGCGACTTCATCCGGCGGTCGCTGAAGCTCTTTCTCGAAATGCGCTGCTAGGCGGCCCATGGATTTGGAGGTCAAGCTGGAGAACTGTTCGGCCACCTCAACATCACCTCCATCCAGGTACCGGCCCAGCTCGTTTGAAAAGTCCCACTCCTGTTCCAGAATCTCAGCTTCCTTGAAGGTGTTCTTGTTTGCCATGAGCTTCCAGTTGAGCATCTTGAAGTAAAACTTCAACGCATCGAGAATGACTGAGTCGAAGTTGTCGTCAATGCAAGGTGGTAGATCCCAACCTGCTTCGGGCTGTGCGACAATATTGTACGCCTCCTTGATTTTCACAGCAAGCTGAAGCAGAATCTGAAACTGCAGAATCATCTGCTCAGCAGTCATGACGCCTTGCTGAGACGGGTCCTTCATCTTCTTCGCATACGACAATCGCATGCGGATAATTTCCTGGATGAGACGACTCGGGAAGTTGATTAAAGTTAGTAGTTCCTCAATGTATGGCGGGAGATGGCGGTCAGCGAAAGCTTCGGCGTTGCCTATCAGCGTGGCCTTTGCCTTGTGGATGACCATATTGACTCCGTTCAGCAAACTCTTTTCACCTTGCAACGACTTCAGACCGTCCTCTTTCAAGATCCGATCAATGAAAGAGCTGTCGTCGAAGAGGTGGTTGTGTTGCTCGCCTTCAGGCCTGGTGCGGGCTTTCGTAAAGTCCAGCTCCAGATTGCCGACCCAAGCCTGAAGAATGCCCAATTCCGTGTTGATGAGCTCGGTGGTGTTGTGCCATGCTATGACAGCATCGCAAGTCTCTTTGTACGCGGTCGACGCAGCACGAGGGTGAGCAGCTTCAAAAGCCTGTCGAGTCGGGTACAGGCCTTCTATCTTTTCGATCTTTTTCACGACCTCCTGCACCTGCTCGACAGGCGATTTGCCCACCTCAGCCTCGCCTTTGATCTCAAACGCAACGATGCCCTCAATGGCTTGCTTGATCTTTGCCCGTCCGTCTTCAATCAACCGTTTCTGCGCCGCAATTGATCTGCCACAAGTCTTGGCTCTCACGCCTATCCACACCTCCGTTTTGAGCGTATTCTCGCCTTTATCTTCCGGCCCACCAATCAATCTCTTCTTCTCCTGCTTCACGACATCTCCAGTCAAGACATTGGCCAGCATCGCATGCCATTCCAATCTCTCGCGATTCGCGGGAATTTTCAGTTCTTCCATCGAAGGTTCGAGATCATCACCGTAGTACAATAGAGTATCCGCTTCGGCAGGGTCGTGGTCGACATAGTTGGCGTTGGTGGGAGAGTCCTCATCAGATTCCGACCCAGAGCTATAGTCCAAGCTGGGCGTCCGCGGCTCGGCGTAAAAGTCATCTTGTGGCGCATCTTGCCGTATCCGCTGGACGTAGGCCTTTTCCTGCGCCCTGTATTCTGCGTTGGGGTTCCTCTTGCTCCTGTGGGTGGATGTATTTCGTGGGCGAGTCGAAGTGTTGAGGGAATATTGATGCGGTCGTCTCGCAGGTGCATAGGCGTTGCTAGGTTGGCGAGTGTTTCCAGGTCGTGGTGTTCTGGTTGGTAGACTGCCATTCATAACGGCAGACCCAGGCGGTAGAGTCTCATACTGCGGCGTGGCAGCGACACTCCCGGGTCCCAAAGATCCAGGCCCTCTCGTCCGTGACGAAACACTGCTATTCGGCGTCCATCCATAGCTGCTCCAATTGGTAAGTGGAGTCACCTCGTCGGCGCCACCGTTGGAGCTGAAATGGCGCGAGCTGATGCCGTCGCTGTCGCTGTACGCGCTGCTGTCCTGCCCCGGCCCGCACTCTGCGTCATTACTACTGCTGTTGGTACCCGAGCTATCAAAGGTCTGCAGATCGGGCCGCCCCTCGGCTTGGATATCCTCCATGATGGTCTCGTGGCGCGTGACGGGGATGGCCGAGTCGGAGGCGTAGCGGACGTGGGCGCCGCGCAGGAGGGCGAAGGGAGGGAGGGCGGTGAGGGACGGGTGGTGAGGCGGTTGAGAGGAAGGTGGTGGAGGTGGAGGAGCGGCAGGCATCGTCTCGTCTTGATCGGGCTGGTAGGTCAATTCAAGATCCGCGGATTAGGCTCAAGCGGCCGTCGATCGGCCCGGGGCGATGATGTCGCGAACGAGTGGCGGTGGCTGGTGTCGGCGATGGACTTTGCGAATGAATGTTGCGGTGGTGTTTGATTGATGGATTTCATTTAGGACTGTATGTTATGGAGGTGAATGTTACGGTGGTGAGAGGAGCGGCGGTGTGGTGTTCTTGCTGCGGGCCAGCCGGTTGCTCATCCTGGCTCCGTGGCTGCTTCTGTCCACTCCAATCTCGTCGCCCACGATCCAGAGATACGCGAGCTCACGTGTAACCAACTCTCGGGCCATAGCTCCCACTCACATTCACTTCACCTCTCGACATCCATCTTGGCACAGTGGACGAAGATGGAAATCACAACTAATGGCCCCCTCAGCTCTGACCGCAGTGCTCCTCATCACACGCACCCGTCCCGGCCCCAAGCTGGTCTACCACTATCCAGAAATACCCGACATCAAATTGCAGACGCATCACGATCAAGATTCTGATGACTCCGAAACCGAGACCGATGAGCCTGCGGATAAGCACGGCAGGAACTCACGAAATGGACCAGCTGTCAGTGGAAACACCGTCAGCAACGGCAAGCTCACGTCGGGATCAGAGACGGTTCTTGGCCATTCGGTAGAGACGTTGGAGAAGCTGCTATCGCCTGGGAGGTGGTGTGATCAGAAGAAGTTTGAGATCTGTGTGAATGGTTTGACATTCCTCGGCCATCCGGTCTATGCTCTAGCAGATGGCGAGTGGACGGAGAGGCCGGCAGAGAATGCCGAAACTGCTGCAGCGAAGTTGAAGAAGCCTGGTCTGAAGGATCACCAGAAGTATGGAGAGTACCACATGTATCTTGATCCAGGGAGTCTGGCGACCACGCCTCTTGCCGGGACTGGAGCGATCAAATCGGAGCATGACTTCACACATATCCCAGAAAGTCTGGATTCTCAGAAAGGACTAGCCACGTCGATGGAAAGTGGCTCGACAGGTTCAGCTCCGGCTTCTGAACAAATGGCAATGTTTCATGTTGTGTTTGCGATGCGTCCTCAGGGAGCAGATGGCCAGCGAGAGGTTCCAGCAATGCATGACGAGGTTGCGAAGACGCTGAGCAGGGCACTGCATTACTGCCAGAAGCAGAGCAACTATGTCTCGAATGAGAGTAGGAGACTGCTTGCTTTGCGGGCCAAGGCCAGGCAATCGCAAGACTCGATGCAGGGGCTCTGGAAACAGATGATTGAGACGAGCGAATTGGCGTGGGCGTTGGAAGAAGTGTATGAATGCATATCCAATGGTGAAGTGGCAGGCATCAGACTCAATGGCATGGAGATGTCACTGCACATCACCCGCCCTGAAAAGCAAGAGAATATACTGGATCCCGAGCCGCTGTCTGCTCTCCTCCTCCTCGAAAGCAAAGAGACACTCCTAAACCAACTCTCCCACCCCGACGCATCGCCCCTCGCACACTTCATCCGCGAAATGACACCCACCAAGAACCTCCAAAAACACGCCACCAACCTCGGCATGCCCATCAACGACATCCTCTACCTCGCCCGCCACCTCATCAAATGGCGCAAAGCCCGAGTCATCATGCCCCTCCACCAACGCAACATCTACGTCGTCAGCCCCAACGCCCCATTAGAAAACCTCGCCCACCTCCGAGACTCCTACATCAAGCTCTTCCCAACCCTCCCGAGCCTCCCCAACATGCTCAAAGTCCTCTCCGGCAAACCGATCAAATACGGCCTCATGATTCCCTCCCGAGATCACCGCGGAGCTTTCATGGAGATCCTCTCCTTCCTCGCAAGACACGACCTCGTCGTGCAACTCAAAACCTCCGGCTGGCTACGTCTCCCTAAACACCTCCCAAATACCTCCCACCACCCCTCCCGCCTGGACTCGACGAACAAGAGACCCACCTCCGCCCGCGGTCTCCTCTCGCCTCGCCTCCGCGCTACCGAGGACGACACCCTCAGCATCCACTCCGACAAAACCACCATCGCCGCGCCCACCAGCATCAAAACCCCCTCCAACCCACCCCCTCAAAACGACGACAACAACCTCCTCATCACGCATCCCACGCACCCCACACCAGAACAAAGCACCCTCCTCGCCCACCTCCCCTTCGAACTAAGCAACGTCGAGTTCCGCGAGAATTTCTCTCTGATCCTACCGCATCTCGATGGCGAGCATGCTTTCGAGGAGATTGCTGCGAGGGTGGGGGTGAAGAGGGGGAAGGTGGAGGAGTGGTTGCTTGAGTTGGAGAAGAAGGGGTGGTTGGTGAGTGTGAGGTGGGTGTGAGGGGATGTTGTGCTGGAGCTGGGAGAGGAAGGCGGCGCGGGCTTTGTGGATGGATTTTATTGGTGCCTCGAGTCTTGATATGACTTGACTGGATGTTTACGGGAGTGATCCCGAATCACCGCCGAATGTACGAGATGGTCAGGGTATCCCATAGAGGAGGCCTTTCCCTCTTCGCCGTGCCCACGTAAGCCGAAACACACCTCACTAGCCAGTCCAAAAGCCCACAGGCCATGATCAAAGCAGACAGCTTCATCATCAAACTGCAATCCATAGGCTACGACGATTGCGGAGGTGAAGAGAGGGAAGGCTGCAAGGTGGACACGGAGGGTTGATGATGTCTGCGATCCGTAGTCGAACCGCAGTGTGCAAAACAGACCGAATGACAGGAAGCATATCAGAACCATTACGAGGATCCGCGAAGCACCGCATCCTTGTTTTGTAGCATTTCATACACATGAATTTGTCCTTCCTCGACTGCTATGTGAAGTGTCGTAGGACCGTAGGTTGAACCTCCCTGTAGCCGCGTTTGCCTCTTTTTCAACGCCGCGCTGGATGCAAGCTATGATGCTCCTCCGCAGTCCCGTGCCTTCCTTGTTCTAATGCCCAAACTTAGGAACGGTGAAGTTGGTGGGTTTAGACTGCCTCGCCACGCATCTTGCGGAAGAAATCCATGACGCCGGTGAAGACCTAGAAACACATCAGTGATGAGTCTTTCCGCCATAAAGACTCGTCTCGAACTTACCACCAACAGGATACCACCACCAGGACCCAGACGCAAGACCTTGGGCAAGAAACCCTTGTAAAGCGCACCGAAACCCTCCTCTCTCGCCACAAGACCCAGAGCCGGCCACGCCCAGCCATACTTGGGAACACCACCAGCAACCTTGGGGCTGTTCTGTATCCGGCTCTTGACGACATCCATAGGCGTGTTGAGGATCGTACCGACCGTACCACCGATCGAACCCGAGATCAGGTCGTTGCGCATCTGGACGGACTTGTCTTTGGTGGGGTTTGCGGGGAGAAGTGCGCGGACTTGGAAGATGCAGCCAAAGTAGCCGCTGTTCCAGAGGACGTGACGCCAGATGGTGGACTCGAGACCTTGGTAGAGGGTCCAGACACCTTCTTGTCGGACGATCTTGGCAACGCAGTCGAGCATGCCGTTGTACTTGGCTGCTTGCGCCTTGTCTGGGAGAAAGTCAGTATACCGGTCTGATGGTTGGTGGGAGGTGACTGACCTTGTAATCGAATCTTGACGAGCTCGAACGGCACGACGACGAACGCCTCAGTTGCACCAGCAGAAGCTCCCGTGAGGATCGAGAGGGACTGGTTCATCTTGGCGACACCGAAGAGGTTCCTGTAGACCTTGCCCCACTCGTCGTTGGCGGCGAACTTGGTGGCACGCTTGGGTGCCTCCATGAGGATGGGTGCCGTGATACCGCGGTAGAGACGCGAAGGGCTGCTCACGGTGTCAGTATCGGGGATAAACCCAATGTCTCCCAATTCCTGTGCTCATGTTGTCTCTGTGGTCCTGCCCTGCTCTGCTCTGCTCTGATTGCTGTTGCTGTTCATGCTGCTCTTGTTTCTCAAGACCTCCACCACCGCTCACACAGCACACATATCACACACGACTCTCACTTACCCTTCATTCGCAATGATCTTCTTGAAACAATCCAACATGCCGCTGTAGTGATCCTGGCCCGGAACAGGGACACTACCCTGGATTTGCCTACAACACCAGTCATTGCCACATCCTCATGCCCAGATTATGCGTGTCTCTCTCTTCTTACACTCGCGTCTTCACGACATCCAGCGGGTACATGACCAGAATCTCGGAGACACCAGCCACGGCGCCGGCCGCGAACTGGTATATGAAGGGGAGGGGCTTGTCGGTCGACATGGTGACGGCTCGCTCGAGGGTGGTTTGTAGGGATTGGCGGACTGTCGACGTCGAGGGGCGAGGTGGGCGAGGTGGGCGAGGTCAATGGATGACTGGACGTTGGAAGCCGTCGAGTATTTTGGGGAAGCTCACCTCGCCAGGGTAATCTCTCTATCGGGAGGCTGAACCTTAATGAGCGGGTCGGCCCCCGCGTTTCAAAAGCCGATCGATGTCACGTGCGAGTGGAATGGGAAGGTCTAAGAGAGTCAACTTCACTTCTTGTTCCTTTTCAATCTGCTCTCACTCTCTTGGTATACCCATCCTCTTTGCCAGACTCTTTAATCTCGTGAGCAAGATACATTGAATCAAGATTAACTAATCTGTTGATTGGCTCTGATATTGGGTACGCTAATGGCTGGCTGCATGGAGGGCACCACGCGTTTCACACGAGAACCACGCCGAACTGCTTGCTTGGCAATGCCCATATCCAACCTCACCCGATATGCAGTTTGGAGAAAACACAAAATTAGAGCGGTGACAAGTGCTAGGAAGACTGCAAACGTATTATCTGCGAGGCCTCATCTTCTGCACCTTTGCACAATCTTTCAAGTGACATCTACGTACACAAGTCTAATCTCCATACACACTACTTTGAGCATGTGGATTAATATAATTCGTCTTGAAGAAGGTGATGCAGCATACCAGCAGTATCGCAGATCCGAAAAGAGCTCCATATCAGGACGGGCAGACTTGCACATCTTCCCCGCCCTCACCGCGAGTCCCTCGCCGTGTCTGGACTCCGAATTGTCTTCCTTGATGCTGCATTCGTTAGGACAACCAAGCGCTTCAACAAGCAGCGTGAGGAAGAGACCATCGAACTTCAGCAGGGCAACGCACGGAAGGGCTTGGAGGTATGCCTCTTGAAGTCGAGTCGATTGGCGGTCACTTTCAGAAGCCAATCTAAAGTGAGTGAATACACATCTGAAGCTGACGCTAGGAAAAAAGTCAGTTGACAGCTAAACGAACTCATTCGATTTCAAGTGATGGCACTTTTGTTCACATGCACTTCACTAGCGGGGATCCAGCACAGACCACGCCCAGACGCTTTCAAAAGGCCGGCTTTACGCTTGGAACTTGAACCTCCTCCTCATCGTTGCCGCACCACTCGATCGCATCACCTCGACACCATGTCCGCCCTCCGTCCTTCTAGGCGCACCACAGCCGAGTCGGATATCGAGTCAACTCCCGAACGACCTCGGCGAGGAAAGGTCGTCAACTATGCAGAAGATAGCGACGACGAGCAGCAGTCCCCACGACCATCACGCATCCTCCCAACCAACCGACTGAAGAAGGATCTTCGCCGGCGATATGATGCCAACGCCAGCCGATCGGGACTTCTCAGGCTCCCTCCTGAGATCCGAGACAGAATCGTCAAGCTTGTGCTGGGAGGTCGCACCATTCACATCTTCTCCGACAAGCGTAAGGCCCAGAAGTCACAAGCCCTATCCTACGATGACGACTCATATGAGCCGGAGTTGCCTCGAGAAGAGCACAAGACGAAGAGCTTTCACACCCCACCTCAGAAAAAGCAAGCTGCTCGTGAAGACTTACGAGTGGCCCCTGGTGAGGATTCTTGGGCCTCGCCTTACGATCTCTCCTCCGGGCCGGTATTCGATGCTGAACATGGTCGCGGACAATACATCACGAAAAGTATGACGAAGAGAACCAAAGGAGAGAAGTCTTATGAGTTGCATCTCTGCCGCTCTGCTTGTGTTGCAGACACGACCGACGAGGACTACATGCAAAAGATCCAAGCTGAAGGCGAGGAACTGCGTCGCCGAGACCACACTCGCTGGATCGAACGACATCACCGATGCCGCCATGCCCTTCACGACGGAACTCACCTCCACATTCGCGCGTACACCCGACCCCTCGACCTCGCCCTGCTCAGCGTCTGCCGCCAACTCCACGCCGAAGCAGCCCTCCTCCCTTACCAAGAAAACACCTTCACCTCCACCCGCTTCTCCGACCTCCAGCGCTTTATCACCACCCTCGTCCCAAGCCAGCTCCACGCCATCCAGCATATCAACATTTGCTACGCATACCACCAATCCGACAACTCCCAACCCAGCATAGAAAACAAATTGAGGACCGCTTTCCGCAGCCTCAAGTCCCTCACCATCCTGCTGCACTCCAGCGGCGACTGGGCCTTCGAGTGGGAGCGCGTTCAGATCTTGGCCGATCTAATGCAGTTCAAGAAATTGAATATCGAGGCTGTCAATGTCTATCCGTACATGACGGATGACAACCTGCTCAAGTTCGACTTCTTCACGCTGACGCAGTTTGAGGGTTGGGCGAAGGAGATTGAGGAGGAGCTGAAGAAGGACTGGGACACGAAGGATAAGAAGGTGCTCCAGGAGATGAGGGTCGTGGCGAGGAAGAAGTTTGGCTTCTTCGATCAGTGGACTTGATAGCTTCATTCGAAGATCAAGCACAAGGTAAATCTCAACCCATAGAGACATGGAGAAGGAAGAATGGACTCGGAGTTCCAGACATCTTTGACAAACTACGATGATGACGACAAACCAGCAACCACTATAGAACACGACAACACAACACACAATCTCCGCCCAACACAACAATCACAGCAATCACAACAACCACACCTCACACCCCGAATCCGAACACCACCTAATCTTCATCAAAGCCAGCCAAACGTCGACATCGAGCGGCAACAGGGAAGTCTCAATTAGTTTCATGAGGCAACAGTTCCTAGCAGCAGATCAGATCAAAAGCGATTGAAACTCGAGCAAAAGAGCATGAAAAGAGGGCGTCCAGGCAGAAGACCGAGTCTCGACACCGATGACTCTCCTTTCGAATTGAGAAACAGTGGGCACCGAACTGGGTGGAGACGCCCGGTGGACCACACCCTTCATCTCTTGCAGTAGATACTTCTAAAAGCGACAACACCAACACATTCTCCTCACTTATGATTTTCTCGTGTCTCCCTGCCCATCTCAATTAAACGCAATCCCACAAACCGGCCTCGGCGTATCATCCCTCCCCTCACAAACCCAATACCCCCTCCCCCTCTCCCCACCACCACCCGCGCCCCTCCAAAACCTCCCCCTCTCGCTCTCATCAAGCGCAGCCTCCTTCCCCAGAAACCAATGTATCGACGCAGTAAAATACACCTCACACTCCTCCAGCACCGGCAGTGCCTGAACCAACGCATCCAAAGGCACGAGGACTTTCCCCTCCAGCCACGGCGCGAATTCCCCTCGCGAGGGACAGGTGTGCATGCAAGCGTACGCCCCGATGTTATCCTGAAAGGCAATTTTGAGGGACGTTAGGCGGGGGAGTTCGACGGGGAGTTTGGAAAGGATGGATGCGAGTTGGCGTTCGAAGGTTTCTTCGTCTCGTTGGGGTGTGAACATGCCCCATTCCCATGCGAACTCGACTTTCCGGATTCGTGAGAGTCGTTGCGGGAGGATGAAGCTGGGCAAATGGGCTGAGAGGTAGGGACTGAGGATGTGGAAGGTGTTTGTCGAGTAGAGAATTTCGATTCCCTCCACATACGCCTGTCGGCACGAAAGGAGCCAACCGATGGCGCCGACGCGAATCGTGGCTAGGAATTCTTCTGGCCAGGAATCATCCGTCATGGAGAGGGTGATGCAGCGGTCTTCGAAGATGCCCGGGTCATAGAACCGGTGGCCGTCGTCGAGGAAGCGCATCCGACGGCAGGTTGAGCCGATGAGTTTTGCTGGTTTAGGCTTTGGTTCTGGGCTCTACTTTCTCCAGCGATTGAACTTGGCGTCGCTTTTGGTGTTGGCAGGATTTTTCTGGTGGTACTTGATGTGCATCGTCCTGTTGCCAAATGCTGCCGTCAAGATCGCTATTCGCAATTCGGCACTGAGTCCAGCGAAGAACCTGGACGACAACTGAGGGTTTACAATTAAAGACTCTTGAGAAGACGATGGCGTGAGAGTCGTGGAGCGCTTCTCCAGTAGCGTTTCGGGTTTAAAAGATGCTGCATCTCGCGTCGATGATGTGGGAAGGACTTTCTTGCGGATCCACGACACCATTGCATCGGACATGATTTCGTGAATTGGGATGGACATTGGTAGGCAATCCTGGGAAATGGATGTTTATTTTGAAGTGAAGTCCAGAGCGGGACTTTGGGGCGGTGGTAAGGTGGCTGAGTACGCGCTCATCCTTCGAGCTTTGATGCAGGCGGCCTCCCACGGCTTGGCAACTTTTTATCGAGACCTTTCCTTGGACATTTATCTCGAAGGCTCCAGTGAGGTCTCCCAGTTCGAGGGACAGTCACAGCCCGCCCGTTTCAATAAACCGAACGCAGTCATTGGCGTTGGCTATGCCACCGTCTCGCTCTTCATATCCAACCACGCATCCCTTCCGATGCCGTCATGGGCCAGAGCCTCTTCCTTCTGGATATACTTCAAGTCTGCAATCGTATTACCATTAGCTTTCATCTCCTGAGATCCCATTGTTTCAAGTCATAGCCCCTGCTAGCTTCAGACCGCCCGGGTCGCCCGAATATGCAACAGCATATCTCAGCGGATGCCACGCCACATCTCTGGGTGCATTTGCCGTCTCAACAGTGTGCACCATCTCGCCAGTATCCACGTGGTAGATGTGCAGGCCCTTGTCGCCATCTCTCTGTCCGTCCGTGCCGCTTCCTGCGACGAGATAGTTCCCGTCGAAGCTGAAGCTCAAGTCCTTGACCGTGCAAGTATGGTTCGTCAGAACGTGAGTCGCAAGCCAGCTGGTAGTATCCCACAACGTGATAAGGCTGTCCGAGCCACCGACCGCGAGAAAGTTGCCAGTGGGAGACATTTGCACCGAGTATGTGCTGCTGCTGTGTGCGTACAAAGTATGGAGCACATTCATGGAAGGGTAGTCCAGGATCTTAACAGGTCCCTCTGAAGTAGTTGCGAAGACTTCTCGGCCGGAGTTGGAAAAGGTCATCTGGTTGAAGTTGCCCTTGCCCTTGATCGGCGTGCGGTCTGCAGTGTCCATGTCGTAGCGAGTGGTGTTTGATGCGGAGGCAGTGTCGAAGATGGCGACATTCGAGCGTCTAATGTCGAGAGCCATGACTACGTCGTCATGGCGCCCGGCGAGCAGCTCGGTACCATTCGGGTGCCATGTCAAGAACAGGCCCTTGTCACCAATCTTGTGCTCTCCTGCCTTTGGTGTGACTCCTCCCTTGTTCGCAGCAGTCCCTCCGCCAGCGACAATGCCAGTCCCTCCTCCTGGTAATCTCACATCCCACAACTTGACCAGGCCATCTGCAGCCGTGCTAGCCAGTAGTCCCTCATTTCTAGGATTGAACTGCAATCTCTCAATGACACTGCCATGTGCTCCGTTCTTTCCCACATTTTCTCTCAATTCCGTAGAGTTCTTGACATCCGGTCGATCGGGGTTCCACGCGCGGATGTTGATGCCGGTGCTATGGGCGACCATAGACCCAGTGGGCGACCATGTTACGCTCTTGATGTTCGGGACGAGGGTGGAGGCTTTGAAGGTCTCGGAAAAGAGTATCGGCTTGTTTTTGAATGCGCCGGCCGTCGTGTCCTTGCGCAGCGGTCGAGGACGAGGTGGGGGTGCCATGATGAGGCACAAAACAAGGCTTTCAATGCTTTCCGTCGAGTGGCATTGTGCAGACTCGGGTGGTGGATTCGCTGTTCAAGACGGCAAAGACAAGCGTCTCGGATGCGGCATGCGGCATGTGAAGGTGCGGACCGAAGCTTGGACCCTGACGCGAGCTCACGTGCAGCCGGGGCCGAGGACTTCTACCCGTCCTCAGGGGTCAACCCAATTTCAACTTCACTTCAATCGATTCATCGTCGAATGTCCGGCGACTTTGCATCTAAACGATCGTACACTAGTCATTTCGAGACTATACTTCTCGCTTCACTAAGACCACAGGTCCGCTATAAACGTGCCGGCCCCACACAACGTAATATATCGCTGCAATCGAGAGGATCCCCACGAACATGACGGGCGACCAGTTCAGCTCGGCCCTGCGCACATGAGATCAGCCATTGTGTACCTGGTGGGAGGTCTGCAACTTACGCAGTGGGATGAACAGTCACTGGCCAGAATGCGAAGAACGTAAGCGGCAGGATAAATGCCAACGACACCAAGTTCACGGCCAAGCCGAATTTCCCGAGAGACCAACGAGCTGATGGTAGCGGAGCACCAAACAAACGTCGCCAGACCATGCAGCCTATCGTTACATTGTAGCTGAATAGAAGCGAGACCACGCCCAGCGAGTTGATGGCGTTCAGAGCCACATACGAGCCAATGTTTATCAGGCTGAGCAAGCTGCTGATTACGACAGACACCAGGACTGCACGAAGCGGAATGTTGTAGCCGGGGGAAACTTTTGATAGCCAGCCCGAGAACGGCAATCCTTGGTCTCGTGCGAAAGCCCATAGTTGTCGAGAGGCTGTAGCCACTTCGCTAATGCAGGCTGAGGTCTAGAACAGTCAGCCCTCATCTTTGATTGTGCCGGCTACAAACGCGGGGGTAAAATGCAACATGGATGACATACCAACATGATGGCAATGATGGAAGCCATAATAGTAGCTCCAGCAGTGCTCCGCGTAGCGTTGTAGAAGACCTGAATAAACGGCTCATAGGTCGGGCTTGCCAACACTTCGTCGATGTCGCCGATACAGAAGACGAACGTCACGCCCATGACGATGGCCATCAATCCATTCGGAACTACAGACCAAATCAGAGCTTTTGGTAACACTCTAGATGCATCCTGGACTTCCTCGGCTGTGAGACACGATCATTAGCACGATGCGAAACTGCCCACGAGAAGGTCAAGCTTTACACATATGCACTGCGCAGTCATAACCAATGAGCACGCCTATTGGGTTGACCATTCCAATCAGAGAGGACAGACCCAGGTTTGACCATCCACCTGTAGTCGTAAACTTGAATAAAGTATCATGCACATTGCCACGAGGTGCCCTACCTAAAGTCAGCAATTGACCCGCAAAATCCAGTGAGAATACTCACATGACCCATAGGGGGATTATGATGGCAAACAAGCCAACCAGATGCAGAATGAGAAGAGTACCTTCGATAAGCGGCAGCCGAGTAGCAAGAAGAGTGTTGAACATGCTGGCGAAGAGGATGACCCCGATGGTCAGCAATGTACCGTGCCAGGCGTGGAAAGTGTAAGTCTCCAGATTGTTCAGTACGATGAGGCCCTGGATGACACTTCCGACCATCTACCAGCGCGGCATCAGCAACTGTGTCTCGCAATGATCACGTTCCAAGTCTTACGAAGCAGATGCCGGCAAGATATACCTGCCAGCCCTGATAAATGATGCATTAGTTTATGAACTAGAACCAGTCAGAACAGGTTCAAACTAACCATTGCTGTCAACCAGCCGACTGTGTACGAGAGGCCTTTCTGAAACTGTGGTGGAGCAAGCTCAGAAACCCAGTCCGTGAGTGTATCAGCCCGATGATTTTGCAAATGCCGCTGACCGCTTCAACGTACGATACTGGCCTCCAGAGGTCGGAAACATGGATGCCATTTCCGCCAAAGAAGCATAGACGAAGGTCATGCCGATTACTCCGGCAATCTGCACGGCCAGGCTGTTAGAGCACACTTCTCCTACAGTTTACACGAAGCTTTGGAGATAAGAAGTAGTCTCAGCAATAAAGCAGATATACTGACCAACGACCAGAATATGATAGCCGTGCCTCCATTCTCTAGTGCATACACTGAGATCACAGGCAAGATCTCCCAAGCTACGAGGACCGTGCTCGCAAATCCCAGCATCGTCGTAAATTTGAAATTCCGACGCAGCACCTGCTTTCGGCCCAAGACACTCATGTCGTTCTGGTCCGCCAAGGTTCCCTTGTATTTCTCGGGCACGGTGCTGTTGCCCTCGAGGTTCTGGCGGCCGTATACATCGTGCTCCCCGCGTAGCTCCTCGATGGAGACATCTTCCGACTCGTACTTTGGCATGGCTGCTCGAGCAAGACGAGAGTCTGTGGCACGAAACTGTGCGAGACAAACTGGCGAGAGGAATGCGAGCTCATCCAAAGAGAAGAGATGTCAACGGCTTGGGTATGGCCCACGTGCTCCTTCGTGGCGTTCGTGCAGTTTGGGATGGAGCTACAGATCATTGCTTCTTTTAGGGATGCCACCCCGTTCTGTGCAATGCCTCGACCATGCCCGTGCAGCCTTTCACAGCGGCCCGGCACCGAGAAGATCCGACGGACACGGCAGATCCAGAGCTTGCGAAGCTTCGCAAGCTGCAGACAGCCACTTGGAAGTGACCCGAGACGTAGGAAGCCAACCTAAAGTTACGCCCCAGCATCTTTGTCGGTCCGGCGGCTATCAAGGTTTCGGGATGGAAGCTTGATTTGATCTAACCTGAGCATCACATCATATTTGTGGGATGGTCTGCGGCACAGCCTGCGTTGGAGAGTTGTGCTCGGCACTTGCAGCGTGCAGACGGGATGTTTGATGCATCGTCAAGACCTGAGCGGTGCAGCTCCTCGGCTCTTCAACACCAGCCGCTTTCTGACGTGGACGTTCCGTATCACAACTGGCCCTACTAGACGACAGAGGCAATCACAGAGAGGCACAGCGAAAGGAGGGTCTCTTATAAATTGGCCTCCGAATTTCTCATGTCGGTCGTGAAGCTCCATGGTCAACTGTGACCATGGCATCCACGAGCCTGACCATTCCCATCACTCCGCCCGGACAACATCCTCCATTGGCTGTAGTCACACCGACCGATCACAGCGCTTGGATCATAATCGCAGCAGCGCTAGGAACCTCGCTTTCCGTTTTGTTTCTTGGAATAAGGGTGTTCATTCGATCATCAGGTGGTAGTCGGCATGGCCTGGACGACTGGCTTACGGCTGCAGCAACTGTGCGTTCGATCAAGAGCATCAGCGAGAAATTTGCTCCTGCAAGACTGACCAAAGAGCACAGGCTGTCTCCGTCGTTCAGTCTGGTCTTGTATGTCATCGCGACAGGCCCTCATCTACTCCGAAAAGTCTTCCAATTTCATATCGACGGCTCATTGTCACTGATGCCGTGATCGAGGCATCTCACTTTCGATGGACCACACCTGACCATTGCATCTAGGTCTTGGCCGCTTGCCATGCAGGGCTTGGCAAATCTGCGAGTCTGTTAACAGCCGAGGAAATTGTCTCGACCCAAAAAGTGAGAGAAACAAGCTCATGTCGAGAGGAGCCCTGACATATGCGCAGATATACTACGCTGGCAACCTGACTTATGTTATCGGCCTGGTCACGAGCAGAACGATAGTGGCGTGCTTCATACTGCGACTCACGCCCATCAAAGCCCATACTCTATACCTGAAAAGCACGCTTGCAGCACTGAGCGTATGGGGCGTCATGTTCGTCTTCGGCCTGGCTTTGCAGTGCGATCCGTCACACCCTTGGCTTCTTCGGGGTCGACAGTGCAGTGGTTACGTATGTAGCCCAGCCAATTCAAAGATTTTGCCTAGTTGACGTGTGGCAGTTCGTGCTCTGGGTAGTGTTTGAGAGTATAGGATGTCTTTATGAAGCGGCCGTTGTTGCCATGTCGCTATGGCTGGTCTGGTCGCTGAAGACGACTTTCAGCAATAAAATCACAGTCATCATTACGTTCGGCGCTCGACTGATGTATGTGAAGTTCTACTAGAAACTGCAACAGATTGCTCTCGGTCTAATGTATCTTATAGATTGCTCGCCATCGTGGCACTGAGACTGAAGAGCTTCAGTCGAAGTGGCCAAACGGACGACCCGACTCTGCTCGAAGCACAGTTCATCGTCTGGTCATCCACAGAGCTCAACTATTCGATCATCGCAGCCACTTTCCCCATCATGCGACCTTTCATCAACAATCTCGCAACAAACTACGGCGGGCAAGGCTCGGTCGACAGTTACCACAGTTCCAGGGCACCGAGTAGGATCCCCGAGTCCGAGTTGCGCCTCGACCATGACAAGGCAGAGCGAAGGGGTTTTGATCGCAGATCATCCAGTCTGCGGGAATCGTCAAGTTCATTGAAGACAAGCGTCGGCGAGCAACTTCTCGGGGGCGGGCTGCAGCCTGATAATGAAAGCGAAAGGTTTGAGGGTAACAGCCGTCGATACCAGCAACATTGAGTCAAATGCCTCAGTGAGCATCACGGGCTCGGAAATAGTTATGCGGTTGCGGTCATCGTCAAGTCATCCACTCATTAGGGATTGAATGTATCGCCAGAATATTCGTGGCTCTGCTATACTTGAAGCAACCAGCTCTCGTACTACACCTCACTCACGATTGAATCAATGTTCGTAGGCCGTAATTGATCCATTGCCAAATTTATTGGTAGATCGCACCTTGCTCAGAAAGGAAGGTGACCGGATCATCGGTGGATCAAGGAGCATCGGCGCATAGACTGTTCAAGCTCATGCCCCGCGGATAACGCAAGAGGTGCCAAGTTGTCCTCGTCAACGTGAGCCGAACACATTTTGATACTCATCTTCCCACAAAGGATTGTCATCATGGATGGAGAAAATGAGATGTGGGACGAGCTCAACATCGAGTACGAAAATGCCTATCAAGACAATCCCTTTAAAAAGGCCTGCGTAGCCAAAGCCATTACGCTGCTGCAACCTGGAGCTCGAGTGCTTGATGTCGGCTGCGGTACTGGAATCCCAGTGGCAAAGATGTTGGCGGAGGCTGGGCTCGATGTTGAGGGGACCGACGTGGCGCCGAATATGGTCAGCCTTGCTCAGAGGTAGTCATCCAACTGGCACGGGGTACGGGTTAGCGGCTCCTTCGCTAACGTTGTTCCGACAGGAGAATCAAAGGCACATTCCGCGTTGTAGACATGGTCGACTACAAACCTACAGGCACATACGCTGGCGTCTTTGTCATATATTCTCAGCTGGGTCTGTCCTACTCCGCCTTCAACACCACAGCCACCAGACTAGCACGAGCCCTGGACCCCGGCGGGATTATGGTCATTGGGCAATCGCCAGCCGACCCCGAGAAAGTCCCAGCGGACGCACCAGAATGGGACGATACCAAATCTTATGTATCAGGGTTCAACCTTCCGTTCATGGGCGAGCCTTTCGCGACGTTGATGTTCACGCGTGAAGGACAGAAGAGTTACCTGCGGTCGCTCGGTCTTGAGATTGTGTATGAGACTGTCGATGTCTTTCGTAAGTTTGGCCAAACGCTAGCTTCCATTTCGCATCCCGCCGCTAACACCAGTCCCAGAACCTCAGAGTGCAAAGGCCCACGCGGAGACTCAACAATATGTTATAGCCCAACGTCCTCTGTAGTCAAACAAATTGCAGCCGAGCTTTATTCTAGAGCCACTTCGAAAAGTCAAAAGCCGAGCCATAGCCTGCTGCTCCCTTTGCTACCGACTTCAGAGTATCCCAGTTCTTCCCGCCGATTCCAATCTCATAGTCCCAGTCCTGATGCGGACCTTCATTCGGCAAGATCTGCCAGTACATCCACGGGATCTCAACCTCGTTGAATGTCTGAGCCCACTTCCCAATATTGTCATCTCTCGTACCACTGGCCAACGGGCTAGAGGGGTTGCAGCGATTGTTGGAAGTGTCGAAGTAGCACGCACCCCATTCTTGCATGATGAGTTTCTTTCCGTTGTCTTGGGCCTTTTGGACATAAGGCTGTAGCTTCGATTCTGAGAAGTCGCCGACGCCGTATGCGTGGATCGCCAGCACGTCCAGGGCGTCGCAGGTGAAGTATCCAGCTGGAAGGGAGGCATCGACGTAGGCGCCACCGCCGGTTGTGACGAGGATGTCTGAGGTCCACTTCATGTTGTCTTTGATTGCTGTCGCCATGGTGCACTGCCACTGCTCCAGGGCAGGAACGTTCGACTGTTTATACTGATCAGCTTCCGAATTACGATGATCTTCCTGCGTGAAACTCACATTGTCGTGCATAGCCTCGTTCTGAGCCTCGAAAGCGAAGATGTACTCAGGACTGTTCCCCCAAGTCTTGCCATTATGTGAATTTACATGAGCCAGTACATGAGCGCTTCGCTCTTTGAAGTACTGAAGAGCATTCGCATCAGTGTAGAAATCGCCGGTGCCATACCACTGCCCATAGAAATCGTCATGTGCTTCCAGAGTATTGTAGCTATGCATAGAGATCATGAGTTTGACTTCGTAGCCTTTGGCTTTGGCCATGAAGTCGTCGAGTCGGTTGAGCACCGTTTCGTCGTAGCTTGATGGGCTGCTGCTCTGGAGGCTGTTGAAGCTGTTGATGGTTGTTCCCTTGATGGTTCCGGATTGACCTTTGGTGTGATTAGTCGGATGGTTGTTCTCCCGTCGCCTTGTAGTACTCACCATCGAGCCAGACTCGAAGCACTTTGACGCCAGCGTCTTGCAGGCCGGACAGCAGCGTGTCTTGTTGTGACGATGTCAAGCCGGCTGCGTAGTAGAGGTTCGAGCCGGCGAAAATCTGGGACGCTGAAGCGAAAGCTGATAGACCAGCTAAGGTAACGAAAGGAGAAGGAATCTTCATGGTTGCGATATCTTGGGTCTTGTTGAAGAATGAGAATGATTTGTCTCGTACGTGGGCTTCAGAATCCTCCTCAATATATAGACAGCCAAGTCTACAGTCGAGCAGTTTCAGCTCCTCAATATTGCACCGGCTTTAGTTCTCAATTCAGAAGCTGGATAATTCCAAGTCGACTTCGCCTTGAATCGCCGCTTAACTTAGCACACGGAGACCGACGTAGCTAGGTGTTGGTATGTCTAGAGACCCGCTGATTGATCTTCCCCTTGCAATGTAGAAGTTAGCGTGTGTAGCGAGGGCCTATCTTGTTCAACTTACTTTCAAACAGCCTAATGCAAGCGTAGTGTTTCGGAGGGTAGGCTTCCGCGACGATTGCGGAAAGGCTGACGTGCATGTGATCATCAGCTAAGCCTGAAAGGGCAATTTCTCCTGTCTTTAAGGTCTGTGCGCCACAACCTGTTTACCCTAGCATTTGGGACGGAGCTGCTCAGCTGTTTACTCCAGTCATCTGCTCATCGACTCTTACTCCAGTCGTTTGCTGAATCTTACCAACGGCAAATGCAGCTTGCAATATGCCACTGCCACAACTTCCCTCTGATCGCGATATCGTGACAGATGCTAGAAGTTTGCGTCGATGGGATCTTTGCTGTGCACTTCTTTCCATAAGATCGCAAAGCTCTCACCGCAAGCTCTTGGACTCCAAAGAAAGTCTTCTAGAATAGCCTCTGTGTTGGCGGCGGTTTCAAGGGTGTCTTGTTGTTGCAGAAGTAATTTTGCCAGTCGGGTTTCGAAGAACTTCCGATTTGGTGATCTAAAGGTAGCGAGAGCACCAACGCACAGTGCCCACAAAAGAAGCAAAGGAGCGTCGGAGGCCAGTGATGTGGTTTTCTCGATGACACTCTCAAGTTGAGACGCAAGCTGTATGTGCCAGTTACGATGGGGCGGCAGGCCGTAGATTACGGCACAGGAGTACAGGACAGCGGCAATGCGGGCGATTTCGTAGTAAAGAGCCTGGCGTGCTCCGTTTCGTTCGCTTTGAGAGAGTCCAGACCAACTTGGCAGGGCAAGAACCGAGTAATGCATGGCGTTGCGAGTGTTCATCATACGACGATATTGGTCGTCCTTCATGTGCGTCCCACAGTATTTGGTCATGCACCGATCGACAGTTGCGAGGCCATTAAAGGCTGAGAAGGTGTGAGTGGGTAGGCCTCCTGGGATGTTGGTGAAGAAACCTCGACCAGGTGCCTTTCCCCGCACTAGAAAGTAGCTGAGGATGTTCGGAAATGATGGTAGGATCTGGAGCCCAATGACAAGGAAATGATGGTATCGAGAAGCTGACAGACGCTACCATCAAGTCGGTCCTGCACGAAGATCAGTCAACAGAGGACTTGGTGTTGAGCTCACTCGATGCTACTTACAATGCAAGGCAGTTGGCCAAGCCAGGCAGCTTCACCTTATCCAAACCTCCTGCAAGCTCTACCAGTCTCGCAATAGCGCCAAGGTGTTCGGGAATAGTGTCTAAACGTCCATACACATCCATCCAGTAAGCGTGAGCTTCGTGTGCCTGAAATCCTGTCGGTGTCCCCATGTATAGCCTGCTATCTGACAGGTCATGGGTCGCGAGCGTAACCATGACGATCAGCAAGATCTCTAGATTCGCAGTGTCAAGGTTGGCGAGAAATTGTTTCAACAGACTGATCGATCGTCCTTTGTGACGAAGTGCCTGACCAGTATTTGAGTACGTAATCTTGTTGAGAAGAACGTCTTTGTGAACAGCTGAAGCGTGACTGAACGCGTGGAAAAGGATAGGGTATTCATGGAAAACGGTGAACCATGCTTTTCGTTGTTTTGAGCCTTCAAAGAGATGGCTGAAGAGAGTTTGCCCGACTGTTCATAGCAGTTGTAACGATTAGTTTCCTTGAATAATTGAGTTACAGAGATTGAATGTGTCTAGACACTAGACTTACGGTAGTGCGACAGTTGTGCTGCCTCCTGTGGCTCTCCCTGGTCGAAACTGTTCGAGTGGGCCGCTCCGATGACAGGACTTAGGACAGTGATGGACTTGGGATTTGGCATCGATCTGCTTGCTCCTCGGGACATGGGGTCCTTTGTGCGCTCATCTTGTTCTGGACCGTCTTGATTAGGGGCTTTAACAACGCCATGGATCGTTCTTCGAGCCGATGCAATGGCAAGATCAGTACGCTGCCGAAATTGTCGAGCACCAGACTGCGGATGCGGTGTGGTTCTGCTGTCGCCTACTGGATGCCGCTGTCGGATTTCTAGCTGATCCGTATCGCCAGTGTTAGGTAAGTGATCACAGTAGCCGTCGATAGCGACAATGGGCGTCGAGGATGATGGCCACATAGCCAGAATGTGATTAGTGATAGTCGAAAGTGGAAACCTTGAGATCTCGATTTCAAGGGCTGGCAAGGGTCTACGAACGCTCCCTGGCCCCTTATTCGTGGTGAGTGGAAAGAGTTATACGCTTGCTGCAGGTGGTATGTCAGCGATTACTGATGGATTATTTCGCGGGCAGGATCCACTTAAGGACCACGAGAGGAGCTTTGCGTTTCACGAATCGAAGATTCGACAACTCACAAGACCAATGCCCCCTCCTCTATTGTCGCGGACGTGTTAGGCGCAACAAAAGTCTGTTTAGGTATCCCCTTCGCGTACATACTCACGCAGTCGGAACGTGAGGTACTATACTTCCGGTGGCCGGTCTAGCCGCGAAGCATGCCGAACTTCTGCTGCATTGGTCACGCCCGGTATTGACAAAAAGCTAATCCGGTCATGGTACCATACGATGGCAGTTTGAACCACTATTTGCCTATCTGCCTCAAACGGGCGCGCAAAAAGCGTACTCCGAAGGCCAGGCTTATACGGAACACTTCGACCACGCCCCTGCTCAAAACCACTCTGACCATGACAACGGCAACGATCGTCTAGTCATCTGGGACGAGCTTCCAGAAAAATCTGCTACCAAAAAGCTCATTCATCGTTTCTTCGACACGATTGCTCGGCCTTACAATATCCTAGATCGCGAACATTTCTGGCGGCAATATGAGGCCATGTGCTCAAACCCTCGTGCCGTGAAGGTGTGCTTCGTCATAGAGGTGCTCATGGTTGTGGGTCTCGCAAATGCGACTTTCCCAGCCGAAGACCAGCCCTTGGGCGGCAAACGCACCGCGAACTGGTTAGCGCTCGCGTCATCCGTGCCAGCCACTGCCATGGACCTACGGGACTTCGACGTCGAGACAATCAGGTTGTGGGCGCTGATCAACTTATATCGCCAGACGCTTCGTGTCGATGACGTGCGATTTGCTCTTTAAATCCCCCTTTCGAGAATTTTGCTGACGTTCGATCTTTAGGTCGCCGACTACGTGTACACTGCTTCGACCCTCCACGCGGGCATTGTTGTTGGCCTCAACCACCCAGATACTTGGTCCCAGGGTCTCAAGCGCTATCAGCTCTGGGAGGCTTTAGTAGAGCTGAATTTGCAGGCATCTTTAAGCGCTGGCTTACCGCCAAGCCTTTCGCTCGGTGATGCGTCACTAGCGCCTTTGGGAGACGAGGCTGAGACATCTCCTTCGCCTGTATTATCAAATGCTGACTTAACGGACGTGCTCCGCAGGTCGCGCTCTATACGGCACAGGATCATCACACTCTTGAATAGTGAGATCCGTTTGCGGTACGAGACCATTGCGAAGCTCGATCTCGAACTGACCGAAACCATGGGAACGTCGGTCGGCTCGGGGCCGACGGTGTCAGGCAAGGGTCTCATCTTCTACTTCAGTGTCGTATCTGCATGCTACAGCAGGACGCTGGCGGCGCTGCACCGCCCTTTCTCACACACCAATGCCCCAGCTCTCCACTACTCCAGGCGCTTATCGGCGGCACTAGCGACGAATCACCTACAATCTCTGGACAGAATTCATTCGGCTGGCAGTGGAGAAGCTTTTGCCAGACTCATGTCAGAGCGAGGCGGCACATACATTGCTGGGGTTTTCAACTCGCTCCTTGTTGTATGCTCTGAGCTGTATCGAAGGGCACCGAGCCACGTGAATATCAGCCATCTCGACATTTCAGGGCACGAGGAAGGACTCATGTTGGGCATTGTTGAGCAGTACTTGCAACACGCAAATTCGAGCAGTCATTAGCAGGAGTCTCGGACCGACGTGTACCGAGCTGCATTTATGACCGTGGGGCACTGCTATGCCAAGGGCCAATTCAAGTCCAACACGAAAGAGTACCATGACATGCTCGCTGAGCACGCCAAAGCCCTTCAGTAAGGAATCATTCGGCCGATACATATGCCCAGACCGACGCCTGGGACTCTCGACCGACTGACTTCCTATTTGGTGGGCCAACTCAACAAAACATATGCAATTTCCAGCCCACAGTCAGATTACCCTTGTTCCAACGCGTCTAAGTCCGGATGTTACGACGTGACCATGGGCACTTCATGTCTATCTTTCACCCCATCTGTACTCTCAAAGATTACTCCCAATGGCTCTCCTACGGATCGATACGAAAGGCTGTGATCGTCAACAGCGATGGGCTCCACAGAAGATGAGCATCGCGCGAACATATCTTGTCGCTTTTCCACTGGTGAGATGCCTACATGCGACCTTCAAAGCAGTACTCAGTCCCTATGTCCATGCAAATCACTTCCACCGATCGCAGCAACTTCTACTCGGAAAGCGAGGATTGGCCTTTCGAATCAGAGAATGATTTCGTTTCCGCTTACACATCTTCGTCTGACTTATCGTCGCTCTCGGACAACAGTACTTTCCAGTGGTTTCCGTCTAACGCGACAGCTGGCTCCTCTGGTGCGGGATGGATGTCTGGCTTGGATCTCTTCGACTTCGCCAACGCGTCTTCATTTTCAGGGTTGCCCTATGGCCAGCAGCCACAGTCGGATGGCACTCCAGCCTTAGAAGCCAACTTGATGCCTTCAAGCTCCCAACTTGGCCGCAATAGAACAGCATCCGATCTGGAGAGGGGCGACAGTCCGACGACAGCTACATCCGGACCACATCCAAACACCCAGACCGTGGAACTGACACAGACGGGACTAGACCGTCGGAAGGCGCAGAACAGAGCCGCGTATGTTCTTTGTGATTACTGCTTGTTTTGTTATCCTCTAATATACTGTGCAGTCAGCGAGCGTTTCGAGATCGCAAGGAAAAGCACGTGAAGGAGTTGCAACGCCAGGTCAAGACACTCTCTGCTGAGAGGGCATCGCTTCAAAAGTCCACTCAAGCCTTGCGACGTTCATTTCACAGCATTCTCATTCAGAATGAAGTCCTGCGAGCAAAAGCCGGCATCTCCGAGGATTCTGTCGTGTCATCAATGGCTTTGAAGGCCAGAATGAGTCTGGTGGGCAACGGGGGCGATGATTTAGGCCACGTAGACGGATTTTCGCAAGCAAATGTCCTGGCTTCTTCGGAGGAAGACTCTTGATGGCCAGCCCGTAAATACATTTCATGTGAGAGTGAAAGCTGGCGTTCGAGACAGGGGATCTCACTGTGCACAATCTGTTGCAGGAAACACGGGCATTGGTGATCAACTCTTCGAGTTACTAATTGGTATAGAACAGCCATCTCCAACACAGCCTTTTCATAGCCACTACAGCTTTTACCATGTATCACTTCTTCAAAGTCTCCTTCTTCCTTTTGGGCACTCTAACGAGCCAATACAGTCCAATGGCCGCCGCTACATTGAACGCAACATAGACCCATACGATGCCAAAGTTCCTCCATCGATCACTGTAGTCCGAGCTGATACTCTTGAGGAAGATGTTCGTGTCGCTCCCCTTGCAAAACACACACTCTGACACAGAGTCCATGCTCTCTGGTGTAAGATACCCGCCGTTGTCTCTGATGTAAGGATCTAGGTAGGTCGAACATGTCGTATTTGCTGGAGGCATGAAACGGAGAAGCTCATCTGCGGAGCACCTGATGTACGAGTTGGCGAGACCAGTGGACAGAATGCCGGACACCATGTAGGTGAAGGGCGACACTCGATACATGAAGATCCAGAAGCCTGGCAAGGCTTGTGGTGTTGCAAGAACTCTGTGAGTAAGATCTTGTCAGCGTCGTATGACTTTCCAGAAGCGTTGCGAAAGTTACGTACCCACAGAAGATCAGCGAAAGAGAAAAGAATAGATTGCCAATGTTTCCTGCAGCCTCGGCGGTGTCGAATGCCGCAAGCATCATGTTCGTGAATGTGCCGGCGAAGTTCATGAACAGGAAGATGTACAAGAACATGAGTCCTCCTCTTTCATTAAACTGTCCCGCAAATTCGGCATTCCTTTGGAGACCGATCGGGTAGTACCAGCTGACGAATACCAAGACCGCCATGAGAGTGTTCCAAGGGATTTCTACAAGGATGTCCGACACGATGAACACCTGCCAGGCATACGTCTTGGAAGGCCGTTCACGAGCTTCGTAGAGTGCTCGACGGGTGATGTGGTGTGGCATGATTTGCTGGCAAAAGTTGGAGAAGATCGTCAAGAGCAGGAAGATGGCGAACATTTGGTTCTGCAGGCCTTGGAGGCTGTTGGGTGTTTTCCAAAATGAGAAGCCGATGAAGAGAGCCTTAGGTATGTCAGTCGCTGGTCAGGTTTGTAAAATTATGAGGCAGCGTCTGCACTTACACTGAGGAGACAAAGCGCAACCTTTGAATACAAATACGTCGGAGTTCGCCAGTACTGCTGGAAGCCTCTGCGGATGACATACCACAACTGTGTATTCAGAGGTACCGCATACGGCAGCAGAGCATTGGTGTCAGTAGCTGGGGCAGATTTCCCCTGCAGTGTCGCCTTCATGTGCTCGAGCTCAGATTTGACAGCCTGGCATTCGGCTGACGTTGACCAGATTTGCGGCCAATCCATCTTTACCTCTGGCTCGGAGCTTTCGGTCTTTTTGATGACTTCCAGCATCCATTCGGCTGGATTCTCCTCTAGGCGGCATTGTCGAGCTCTGTTGCTCTCGAAGTATTCAATGACGGTCTTGGACGAAGGTCCTACATCGCCGAAATACACAGTCCGGCCGCCCATAGTAAGATAGAGTAAGCGGTCGAACATCTGAAAGATTGGGGCCGAGGGCTGGTGCAAAGTGCAAAGGATAGCTTGTCCGTTGTTTGCTAGCTTTCGGAGGAGGGTGACGATCGACCAGGCTGTCTGACTATCGAGACCTACATGCACCAGTTAGCAGACAATGAGGGAGATTTACCCCGGGCACGCATACCTGATGTCGGCTCGTCAAGAAATAGGAGCAAGGCTGGACGTGCAGCGAGTTCAACACCAATCGTCAGTCGCTTTCGTTGCTCGACGTTCAAGCCTGGTCAGGGGTTAACCATGGCGAAATGTCACATTTCCTGATTTTGGGAAATATACCTTCTCCAGGTACGCCAACGACAGCATCGGCGTATGCTTCCATTTCCAGAATTCCGATCACCTCGTCAACACATGCCACTTTATCAGCGTGAGCGATGTCTCTCGACTGCCTCAGCACGGCACTAAAAGTCAAAGCTTCGCGGACGGTTGACGTAGGAAGATGGAGATCCTGCTGCTGTGCGTATCCTGTCCGTCGTTGAAACCCAGGATCCCGAGGTCGACCATCAATCATGATTTCGCCGGCGACTACACCAATCGTAGCCCGGCTGGCGAGAACATCAAGAAGTGTAGTCTTGCCTGCGCCAGTGACGCCCTAAGACTCTCAAATCAGCTCATCAACCAAGTCGGAGAGGATAGGCATTCTGTACCATGAGGGCAGTCATAGTCCCGGGCTTCACCCAGCCTTCTACATCGTCTAACAACTTTTTCTGTTCTTTCTTGATCTTGATCGTGTAGTTCAAATTGTTCCAGTGCACAACGGCAGTTTGTCTCTGAATGCCAGCCGAAGCGCTGATGTCAACTGTGGCCGCATGGGGACGGCTGCGTAAGACTTTTCCGTCACTATGAGACTCTTCGTCCAAGTTCTGCCGGAGCAGCTTTTTTCCCTTTCTTCGAAATAATAGCACCTCGCCTCTAGGCTTTTCTTCTTTCACATACTCGGATGCGAAGAGGTAGATTCCGCAGCCGAAGATCATCAGAGCAATCATGATTCCAAAGTTCCTATCCGATGTGTTAGCTCATTTACAAGCTGTCTGTTGCGTATGAATATCGTACCGCCAGAGATGGCTCGCATGGTAGTTGAAGTTTACATCCAGATAGACGTCGCCGTCAACGAAGTCGGCACCAGGTGAGGCACCTGTCGTCGAGCAGATCTTCTCTTCAGGCGTAGCACTAGCATATCCTGGTCCTGCAGGAACGAAGTCTGAGCACGGAATCTCGACACCGTGGAACTCATTGATCATGAGTGCCTCGAAGGCGTAGCCCACTGGGTTGAGGTAATTCAGCCACCGGAACCAGGGTCGCATGTACTTCGTCGGGATCGCGAAGCCGGTGTAGATAACCAATGCAAGACTGAAGACTGACGCCGGTGCCATGGCCTATTCATGTCAGTATAAGCCTGCAAATGCGGCGTAGAAACCTCAACTCACTTGTGCAAGCGTCTTCGATAAGGCTGCAATAGATCGAAAGTACATTGACATCGTTAGTGTGCAGGTGAACGTGAACAAGAGAAACACGAAGAAGTGTCCGGGGGTACGTCGCAGGTTCGTCATGAAGTACAGGGCCAGATCGAAACCAATGGTTGTGAACAGCTTGTTCGGTAGGTCACAAAGCATGGACGCTGAAGACGGTCAGTACTCAGTAGGTCAGCTTTAAAGTGGAGTCTGTCGCACTCACCGATTGATTCAGCGAAAGGATGTACAAATGCATACTTCGACTGCTTCTCCACGATGGGGCGTTGGGCATAGAGAGCCAAGATCTACGCAAGTCAGCAAAGCAAGGCAAAGCGTCGATGGTATATCGTACCTCAAGGGCACTCGAGAACGCTGCCAGAAGGATTGCAAAGAACAGCAACGCCCCTCGACTGTACAGGTGGCCAGTATCGTTGGGCAGATTGTAGAATACAGAGCCAATCACCAATGCCATGACGGCGTTGAAGATCACTCCCGTAATCAAGATGCCCATGTCACCTCGCAGCCTTTGGTAGCCCCGTCGAACGCAAAGCCTGATTTGCATCGGTAAAGAGATGGTAAATGGCGACTTTGCGCGTCTGTCGGTCGTCAGTAGGGACGAGCACAAGCTGTACTTAACTGACTCACTGCGTCTTTGCCTGTGAAGCTTGTCTTGATTGTTTGAACTCGTCAAGAGCTGCACCACCAACTGGGTACTGGTTCTTGAACTCTTCGATCTCCCGCAGCAGCTGTGCTCGCTCGTCGCTCTGCATCCATGCAGCAACGAAGTCCTCTGGGGTGTTTGGAGTCTTGCCTCGGAACTCTGGTGAGACTCGCCGCTCATCTGGCTTGGTGAGGGATGTAAGGAAATCTGCGGTTGTCTGGCGGGGCAAGCATTCGAAGCCTAGCGTGACGAAGTAGTTCTTTGCTACATCCGCTCGCCCGAAGAAAATTTGTCGACCCTCGTAGAGGACGGTGACTTTGTCAAAGACCTTTGATAGTCAGTCGTGAGGCACAGTAGCACGTTTTGGAGACTTCTTACATCGTAGATCGATTGCGATGCTTGATAAAGTGACACTAGAGCTGTCGACCCGGTGAGCTCTGTTGACAGCCTGAGAGTTTGAGCAAAGTTTAGCGCAGTTGCACTGAGGTGATGGTCAGCCTTTTTGCAGACAATACATTCACGTATAAAACCCACCTGTCAAGTCCGCGGGTACTGTTGTCCCAGCATTGCAGTGGAGCACCAGCGATCGCTCTGCATAGATGATCAGTGTTGGTTTGCTTCAGAGAACAGAAGATCATACGCTTCAGCGATACTGACACGCTTCTTCTCTCCACCTGACACTCCTCGAACAAAGTCGTTGCCGACCTAGAATGAGGTCAGCTACATACCGACAACGACTACCAAAGAATCATACCATGGTGTTCACGGTATGGCTAAGCCCAAATACTGCCATGACAACATCACACAAGTGTCGTGCGTACGTCTACCACATCAGTCAGTCACTTTCTCGCATGGACGCGATGTTACTCACATCTCGATCCACGCCCATTCGATTCCTTGGAGCCTACGACGCATCAGCATGCTTGTACGAGAGTGGACACCAATACAGTAAGACTTACTCTCGCATGGGCAGCAAAGTCCAACGTCTGACCCACGGTCAATTGAGGGAAATGCACATCGACTTCAGCTTGGTAAATGCACTCGCCTCTAAACTCCTTATGCATGACCTCTCTCGGAACGCCTTGATAGTTTATATACGACTCCGAGTCAAGATTTAGCCCCTCCGTCTCGCCAGAGATAGTTTTAAGGAATGTCGAGCAACCACTGGTGCTCGTCAGCAAACAATTCTAAACTTCATGTACTCTCGGTCGACTCTTGCCTTCCAGGCCTTCCAAGCACTACAAGCATCTCTCCACTCTTCACCAAGCCCTCAAAGCCTCTCAAGATGTTAACTCTGAGCTGCCTTTGGATGCCAAAGATCTTCTTCGTGAAGTCGACCAGGGCTAAGACTTGATTCGCAAAAGTCCTCTGATAGTCGGTTGGGTTTCCAAAGGCGTGCACAGACAAATCGCTGTATGCAACGCCCGCCACTCTCTTTGGGTACTTCTCAGAATCGCCGTTGACAATGTTCATTACAGACTCAAGCCAAGTCCTGGTATTGAAACGGTCAGATTTCGGGTCCAAGACTGGGTTCTCTGAGCCAATGAAGGGGTTAAGAGCACCACCTTTTTCATCCTGTGTGTCGGATATACTGGCACTCGGTGATGTTGCTGTAGACGCAGTCACAACTGTAGGGCCTTCTGTCTTGGGTGGAGAAGTCTGCGTGGTCCTGTTGTGAGCAAGCTGAGAGACTTCACCAGCTTCCTGAGTAGTGACAACAGTAGCTGCTGTTTTGACTTCCTTTTCTCTGAAGAAACTAGGAACTCCATTCTCGTAGACCACTTCCAACCTGTCGTCTTTCTCAAAATCACCTTTTGGTGCACTCAGCCACTCGCCATCAGGCATCTGAGCTACGCAACAATGCCAGGGTGTCGTGAAACCCGATTTGGTGTTGAGGAGACTTAGTGAGATCTTGTGTTCGCCGGTCGATTGGTGAATAGAAAGTCGAAGGTGATGCGGGTAAGCAGCTTTGACTGCTCCAGCGAACGCCTAATCATGATACTCTCAGTTTGATTCCCAATGGCAGAAACTTGCCATGAGCATCACTTACATATCCTCTTATCAGCATTTGCTTGGCGAGAAACTTGACGTTCTTCTTGTAGTTGGTCTTCGAGCGGTCCTCTGACAAAGGGAAAATGTATTGGAGATCCGACACCAGAAATCGTCGGTATCCCAGATAGGTCAGCATGGTGTCTGCGTTCGTTTCTATTTCGTGGTCAATGTCGATGTTGTCGTTGCCGAACTCGTTGAGCAGATATCGCCGGAAGTTAGTTGCACTCGCAACGTATGTGATCTCGTTCAGGTTCTCAGGCCCTGGAAACTTGACGAGATCTCGTATTCTGGAGAACTCAATGTTGGCGAGCTTCTTTTTGATGGACATTTTTCGCAGAGCTTCGCCATATTGCCAAGTGTCTCGATCGGATACGCTCAGAAGATCTTTCCACACTATAGTCAGTGCTTGTGCTTTGTTCGACTCAATGGAGAAAATGTACCATTGTAGACCAGACCGTCTGATATGATGGTCAAGGTTGCACCAGGGGTATATATTTCTCCGATCCGTATGCACATGTTGTCCAAGCGGTCCAGTGCCAGCTCCTCGGCTTTGTCGGGGAGGGTGCCCAGCACTTTGTATACTTTGTTCGAAGACTTGAAGGGGAAAGCGGGCAAACACATTTGAAGCCTTTCATTACGGGCAACAAACTGTGAGATGACGGAGAGGAACTTTGGCTTTCCTAGCTCGAGTTTTTCCAAGGTGTCGTCAAACTTGTGCAGATGCAACTCGAATATGATATCGAGGATCTTGGAACTGATACCATCATTATCCAGGGCCCCAGGCAGAATGTCTAGCATCGTCTTGTGGGTAGGAGAGGCAAGTGCAGGCTCCATGGTAAGAGGAGAGGTAGTCATGGTCGCGAGAGAAACGAGCGGAATAGACCTAGGAACTCTTCCTCAGAGCAGGACCGTCAAGGAACCTGAGTGATTGGAAATTAGGTTTGTCTCTGCGTAGGGACCATGCCTTTTATCGATAGTTGTAGAGATGTTGAACCGGAAGGATGCTGATCTCTCGACTTAGCGATGTTTGCCATACCTGATCGGATGCTAGCTGAGGGATGGCTGACCCGTAGCTGTGTGCACTTGCGAATCAGCAAAATTGTCGCTTTGTCCGTCCACATTGTGTTGCAATGGAAGTGGCGAAGAAGCGCGGCTCACCGGGCTTAGCGATAGCCTTGGGTGAAAATAGAGTTCAGGGGTCTCGAATGTAAGCGTAGTGCATGCTGTAGCGTTGCCCATGAGAAGCGAAAGGCCATCGAAGGCTTCCGGTGCCCACTACTGCATGGAACAACGTGCTCACTGCCCATCACTAATTCCATGTGGATGGCCTAGCGTACAACCCGCTTCATCTGATCATCGCCCGCCACGCTAAACTTTAGCTGCGGTTTAGTGGGTTCAATAACTTGCTCATAAATTCGCAGTGGCATGTCCGTTGTCAGCAACAATGTCTGCCTTGAGATTTGCCAAAATTTTGCCGTCCTAACAGCATTACCAGCTCGTGACTCTAATGACTCTAGTTGCAGATGGCCAAGATCGACGGGCAACATTCAGCCGTTGCGAGAAGGTCGGCGACTTGGCAGATGCTGGAGCAGCCTTGCGCCTCGTATGCGCTCCGCTCATCTGTAGCTCGACTGCTGTGCTCCCGCATCGAAGGCGAAGCGAAGCTGCATATGCACTCGATCCACTCCAACACACCGCCAGCATCCTGGCCACTTGGCAGCGTTGATCCACGGATTTCGATGGATACGGTAGCATGAAGCGAAATCCGCAAACGATTTCTCATCGGCGGGCGTCCAAGTATACACGTCGGTATGTCCGTTATCTGATGGTGCGGTTCCAATGACATGTCAGCGGATATAGGGCGATCCGGACCAAGCGAATGGGAGGCCCGATAGTCTGGACGTGACACCGGATACTTGCATTGCTGCTAAATCGATCCAGCTGAGATTCTGCTTCTACCCGATCCTGGTCGAATTTGAAAGGTCGAATTCAGTCAAAACAGCATCTCTTCTCGGGTAAATGCCATTGGTAGAAGCAAAGCGTTCGAGCCTCACGGTCGTTTCATCGTTTGACACCATGACCTGCGACGAGCTGCCCGACTATGGCAGAAGACTCATACCACAGATTCTCGACAATGTGGCCAAGACTGACCCTGACCGCATTGTGTACTCTATCGCAGACTTCACGGATGGATCCCGCGACTTTCGACATATATCCGCGAGGCAATTCTCTAAGGCTGTTGACAAAACCGCCTGGTGGCTTCGAGCACAGCTTGGGACATCAGATCACACTCGTCCACTTGGGTACATCGGTCCTCGTATGTGTCACAGCTCGTAGACGATTTCAATTTCTTGAACACTGACGAAAGGCACGAAGACGACCTGAGGCATGTCTTACTAACATACGCGGCGAACAAAGCTGGATGCTCTGTATGTCACTCCCGCGAAGTTCAGCGTCCACGAATTCTGATCATCGCCCACAGGCTCTTTTCCTCTCACCTAAGAACAACGTTGAAGGAGCACTTGCTGTTCTTAAAACTGCAAAATGCGACGTCTGGATCAATCCCAGCGAGAAGGCGCTTCTGCCCCTGATCGAAGGGTTTCTGCAGCAACGGCCCATGACCGTGTTGCAACTTCCGTCGCTGGATGAACTTCTTGACGCTGAATCAACTGAACCTTTTCACTTCACCAAGACGTTCGTGGAGGCCGCTAATGAACCGTTCTGCATGTTGCACACGTCCGGAACTACTGGAGTGCCAAAGCCCATCCGGTGGACTCATGCCCTTGTTGGGACGATGGACGCGGTCCGATTACTACCGCCTACCAAAGGAGACAACGGATTGAAACCATGGACTGCGGACTGGTGTAAAGGCGACACGCTCTACTCTTCATTCCCAATGAGTCACGGCGCTGGCATCATCATGAATATCATGATGCCTTCGCTGTTTGACCTTCGATGTGTGCTAGGCCCTGCCGGTGTCTTGCCCAATATGAACCTGGTAGAATCCCTTGCAGAGCATGCTGAAATCGACATCTGGAGCATGGTCCCGTCACTGGTGGACGAGCTGGGAGAGACCCCTGACGTCTTGGCAAAGTTGACAAAATCAAAGTTTATATGTGCTTCAGGAGGTGAGTTAAAGCCCTTGTGATTGTTGGTTCGTACTAATGACTTTGACAGGACCCGTCAGCCCAGACATCGCCTCCAAGGTCAACGATGTGATCAGAATTTTGAACTTAACTGGAACCACGGAAGGTCTGTTCATAGGCAATCTAGTCGTCAACCGGCAAGACTGGCTCTGGTTCGCTTTCCATCCCTGGTCAGGTTTCGAGTTCAAGGAGATCGAGCCAGACACCTACGAACACTGGGTTCATCGCAATGAGCACTGGGAACTGTTCCAAGGTATCTTTCAGACGTTCCCAGAGAAAGACTCGGTGAACCTGAAAGACCTCTATGTCAAACATCCCACCAAACCTAACCTATGGGCATTCAAGGGCAGAAGTGACGATGTTGTTGTGCTTTCCAATGGCTATAAGATCTCTCCACTCTCACTCGAAGCTTTTATATCTACTCATCCCGCGATAGACAGCTGCCTAGTGGTGAGTTTACCATTAGTCCTCAATGAACCCACCACGTACCTAACATGATCTCAGATTGGCAGTGGTAAAAGGCAAGCTGGACTTCTCATCGAGCTCAGAGATCCTACAGAGAGAGACATTGGACTGTTCGACAGCATCTGGGCAACCGTGGAAAAAGCAATGGAGAACTCGCTCCACAAAGCTCAGCTTCGAAGAGCTTATGTGACATTCGCCGAGCCCGACAAGCCATTCATCAAGACCGACAAGGGTACGGTGAAGCGAGCAGCCACACTCGCACTTTACGCTGACTACATCGACCGCTTTTACAACTCCAGAGACGAAGAGCCCGAGGCTGTGGCTATCGACACGAGCTCCTTGGATTTGATTATTGAATCTCTTCGTGAAATTCTGGGATCTTCGCTGCCCATGATTTACGACGCTTCTCCTGACACAGACTTCTTCGACCTCGGGCTGGACTCCCTGTTTGTCTTCCAAGCCGTCAACACCATTCGAGCCAGCTTGAAACTGCAGGATCAGCTGGCACCAAGGCATGTCTACGCAAATCCAACACTGGCGAAATTCGCGTCCGTCCTGATGCAACTGCATGCAGAGGCTAAGAAACAGCAAGCAGGGGTCAACGGATCCACTCAGAATGGAACGGGCCATCTACGAGATTTGATCAGGCAACATCAGTTGCGAACATCAATCCGTATGAACCCCTTCGACTACGTCAATCCCAACCACTACATGGGTCTGAACTTTTACTTCCCCTTACAGGACGGCGTGAGCTTCGAAGACGCCTTTGCAAAGTTACAGGCCGGGCTTGCACGAGCACTACAGCTCATACCAGCACTCGACGGCCGCATGATGTTCGAGGATGACCAGGAGATCGGGTATAAGAAGGGCCATCTTCGTCTCAGTATTCCTCCTCTTCCTCCAATGACTCCTTCGGGGAGACACTTTCCAGCACCGAGGCAACTGGCTTTCAAAGATCTGTCTGAGTACTTGCCTTCGTTCGAGCGACTGCGAGAGACGGGCTTTTTGCCTTCAATGGTTCCTGACGATCTGGTTCTGCCGTGTCCGACCTTTCCATCTTATCCAGCGGATATCATCGTCGCAAGGTAAGCAGTGTTGACGCCCATTGGGAGTGATCATCAGACGCTAATGCTGTGCAGGGCAAACTTTGTCAAAGGCGGATGCATACTCGCTGCCAACTTTCACCACGGATGCTTGGACGGCATCGGAGTCATGATCGCCCTGAAAGTATGGGCAGAGAGCTGCAAGTTCGTCAGCGGAGACTCGACTGCAACTTGCAGTTGGCTTGACCCTGAGAGCTTCAATCACAGCCTACTAGAGATTCTGCACGAAGTTGAAGGATACGCAAAACCCGCAGAAGAAGTCGACCCAGGTGTCTGGGGTTTCTTGCCGTTCCTTCGGCCAGAAGGCTTTGAGCACAAAGCGCACATCAACGGCTTCGTCAACGGCGACAGCGAAAAGCACAACCCACCCAAGGCTTTACCTCCACCTCCAGTTTGGCCTCACAAGACGATTTGGCCTCCGTTGCCGGATCCAGCAGGACGCTGTCTAAAGACTACAATGTTCTTGATTCCCAAGCACAAGGCTGATAAACTGAGGGAGGATGTCGCAGCTGACCCAGCAGCCAAAGGCATCACTTCGATCAGCGACATCGTCCAGGCCTTCTTTTGGAAGATCGCCATTCGTGCGAGGTACCGTGTTGCAACCGAGATCCATGGGGAAATGATCGCGTCCAACGACACCGCCATCCTGGAACTTCCCATCGATGGTCGCCCATACTTCTCCTCCCAACTACCAGCGACCTATATGGGAAGCATGCTCATACTCAACCGGCCGACCATGAACTTGGAGACACTTTGTTCGCCAACAACAAGTGTTGGACAAGTCGCAACTATTCTCCGCGAGGCTGCAGCACGCGTTACGCCGTCTCTAGTCCACGACGCCTTCACACTTCTGCAATCACTGCCTGAAGTCAGCACCGACCGCTTCTCCATCGCCGATATGGGACTCGATGGAATGCACGCCATGATCTCGAACATGATCCTCTTCCAGCCAAAGGAGATCTGTTTCGGGGACAGCTTCTTTGGCAATGGAGGGTCGCCTGAATCTCTACGACCTCAGATTGATCGCGGTAACCGCCGTTTCCGATTCTTGGTCGTCTATCCCATGAGGAGCGATGGTGGTATTGAACTAGTTCTGGGGACGCTGCCGGATGAGCTGGACATGTTGAAGAAAGATGAGGAGTTCATGAAGTATGCTGAGCTGATGGATCACAGCCAGCATTGAAGGGTATTGTAAAGTAGTACAGTCGAAGTCGTTGGTCTAGCGCTCTGTTGACTTCCTCCAAACTCATGTGACAAATCTCCCAATCCAATACGGCGGAGAAACATCGTCCGCGAGACCCAGGACAGGCAAAATGCTCGCAACTGCGGCCAGCACATGCAGTGAGACCCCGGACGCGCCGCGATAAGTAGCTTACAGCCTTGCTAGCTTCACTCATCTGCAGGGACCCACTACAAGATTTAGAGTTCGCGCCGACCCCGACATATGCAGGGTTCTTCATGTGGCTTGCATGTGGGTGAGTGAATTAGAGCTGGTATCCACATCCGCACGCTTGCCTCGAACATGTTCATCACCGCCGGCGTGTTGATGTTGCACTGCGCTGCTCCCACGTGTGCAGTTTCCAGCGCCGAGGTTTCCTTCATACCAAGCGCGTGGCACGAATGTGGGACATGTGTTCGTGCAAATCTTGATCGTCGAGACGTATTCCAGAAAGCCGCCATTTCTCACTTCGGCGTTGTGAATTCATGCCACACGGCAAATCGTTTTGAAATCGATTCCGTTGCCAAGGTTACTTGCGAATCCTATTACTCTTCAGACACAGGCCCCTGCGCCCGATGCTCGCCAAGGCCGTCTTTCAGCCTCGCTTGTTAGAACAGTTAATCGCCGTGCCGCTGTGGTGGAAACCGTCTAGGAAGAGTTTTTTCGCCAAGATCTGGTAAGCAAAATCAAATTCAACTCTATTTCTCGGCCACAGCGACTAGATCTCGAACGTGATACGCCCATATGCATGCGTTGAAGGGAATGCACGCAAACTTGCTCAACCCTCAGCCGCTTCCGACCCGTTGCATGCCCGATGCGGATATCACCACGGATCCTACAGTCTAGACATCTACTTTTGACTTCGTCTTTTGCGAGATACTACTGCAGGCCCGGGATGTCTTCGTGTACATCTTCGAGAATTTGATCTCTTCGTTCCTTCTCTCGGTTGCGCACGCCCAGGAGCTGGCAAGCGCTACAGCCTAGGCGACTACCTTGTCGCGCACATTCGGTTGCAGCACGAACCTGAACGACAACGACATCGCGAGTACGCAGTGAAAGATTGCAACCATGTCGCAGGAAGAACGGGGATTCTCCTCCTTCGAGGCACCACAGGACAAGGGTGCAGTCAGTGACGACGTTGAAGTATACTCGGGAAGCAACAGCAGCGACGATGTCGTAGCTCCTGAAGCGCAACCCGGTGTGCAGAACATTGAAGCCGTGACCATTTCGTGGACCAGGACCGCACTCGGGATAGCGTACATCCTGATATGGCTCACATACTTCGTGGAGGGAATGCTTTCAGGTAAGGACTGCAACATGTGAAATTAAAGAGCTCGCGAACTGACTGGCGCTTGCAGGCACACAAGCAGCTCTGCTCCCATATGTGACCTCCGCCTTCGCCGAGCACAGTCTGACACCCACCGTCTCGGTCGTCAGCTCAGTGATCGGTGGCTGCACGAACTTCACCATCGCCAAGATCCTGGACGTGTTTGGCCGGCCCCAAGGATACCTTGTCTGCATAATCATCGCTACCGTCGGTCTGATCATGATGGCTGCGTGTCGAGAAGTGGAGGCCTATGCGGCTGCGATGGTGTTCTATACTGTGGGGAACACGGGCCTGCAGTACAGCCTGAGCGTCTTTGTGGCGGATACGTCTTCGTTGAAGAATCGAGGTCTCATGCAAGCATTTGCTTATAGCCCCAATATGATCACCGTAAGTGTTCCCATTCCACCGGTGTGGTAGTGCTAGTCTAACTTTTGTGCCTCAGTGCTGGCTCGCAGGACCCATCTCCACCGGATTCCTCGCCGGTCCTGGCTGGCCTTGGGCCTTTGGCATGTTCTGTATTCTCGTCCCCGCGGTTACTCTGCCCCTCTTCGGTCTTATGCAGTGGAACTACCTCAAGGCCAAGAAGCAAAACGTTGTGCCAGCACGCAACAGTGGGCGGACGGCTTTCCAATCCTTCATCTACTATTGCCGCGAGTTCGATGCTGTCGGTCTGATTCTGATCTCGGCCGGAGTTGCCCTCTTCTTGCTGCCGTTCAACCTCTGGCTCCTCCAACCTAAAGGCTGGGCGTCTCCGCTGATCATCTGCCTGCTGGTCTTCGGCGTCGTACTGCTGATCCTGTTTGTTTTGTGGGAGAAGATCTTTGCCCCAGTCACCTTCATCCCGTACTCGCTTCTCCTCGATCGAACAGTCATTGGCGCCTGTCTACTCTCGGCCACCCTCTTCTTCAGCTATTTCTGTTGGTACAGCTACTTCAGCTCTTACCTGCAGGTCGTCAACGATCTCAGCCTCACTCACGCGAGCTACGTGATCCAGATCTACCCAGTCGGATCGGTCATCTTCTCCTTTGCAGCAGGTGTGTTGATCCATTACACCGCTCGCTTCAAACCGGTGACACTGTTTTTCGGTGTTCCTTTGAGCATCCTCGGATGCGGTCTGATGCTGCATTTCCGCAAGCCAAACCAAGACATCGGCTACTTGGTCATGTGCCAGATTTTCATCTCTTTCGGCGCTGGTGTCATCATCATCGCTGATGAGATTGCCATGCTTGCTGCAGCTTCCCATCAGTATATCGCCGTTGCGCTGGCTACTCTAGGCTTCTTTGGCAACATTGGAGGTATGCAGTCCAATATCCTAGTTACTTGCAAAACTGACCTTTGTCTTTTCAGGTGCCATTGGACTGACAGTGACGAGCGCCATCTGGCAAAACACCTTTCCCAAGAAGCTGCTCGAGTACCTCCCCGCTGAAGCTCAGCCTGATTTGCTCACTATCTACTCCGACCTTACGACACAGCTCTCATATCCCGTCGGCTCTCCAACTCGACTTGCAATTCAGAGAGCGTATGGAGATGCGCAGAAGGATATCTTGATCGCAGCTACTGCTGTCTGGGCGTTGGGAATAGGTGCGGTGCTGCTGTGGCGTAATGTCAAAGTGTCCGAGAACAAGCAGACCAAGGGTCATGTTATCTAGATTCTCCAAAGGCTGTGAATAGATGTACGTACCTTACTTTACTTGCATTCCTTCCACGGAAAAGTGCATACCAATTTTCTTCTCGTTTTTGAGGACTCCATTGTGTTCCATGTCCAGCAGTATCACGCTTCCTCCGACCAGTTCAAACTCCACGAGCGTCAAGCGCCTCATTAATCCTCTCCTGCAGAACCTCAATATCCGGCTTCTTCAGCACGGTATAATGATTTCCCTGAACCTTGTGGATCCTAGGACTCTCCGCAAGAGTGCACCACTGCTCCATCACAGCATCCCAACTCCCCAACCCGCTGACATCAAACAACGGCAACGCATTCGCTTTGAAGATATCCAGCGACCTCACCTTCCCTTGAGCCTCATACTTGGCGGCAATAGCACGATGCCAGTCCTCAACTTTGCCATAGGCTTTAATCCGCTGGATCGTCAGACCGCCGTTCTCTTGGATGACGGCAGGTGGGAATTTGCCGTAAATAGCTTCATAGAATTCGGGGTCTTCCATGTATGCGGTACTTTTCGTGAAGTCTTGAGCTTCTTCAGGACTCATTCCCGTCAGAGCGGGTAGGAAGTCGCTCAAAACCGAGCGATATTTCTCGTGCCCCAGGGAGCGGCGGATGTCAGGTGGGTTATCGATGCCGCCGCAGAAGGCGACTTCGAGGCCGTTGGCTTCAAACATTTTAGCGAGCTCGAAGGCGAGGAGGCCGCCGAGGCAGTAGCCGAGGAGGAGGTACGGGCCTTCGGGCTGGGTACGGCGGATGGCGGCGTAGTAGGTGTCGAGTTGGTGTTGGAGGGAGGTAAATGTTTCTTCGCCGCTGTGGAGACCTTTACAGCGGACTGCGTAGAGTCGGCGATCGGGGAGGTATTCGAGGAGGTTGAACCAGCAGAGAAACTCACCAGCGCCGGGATGGAGTAGGAATATGGGCTGCTTGGTTCCTTTCTTGACTAAGGGGACGATGGGGTCGTACTCCGCTGAAGTCGTGCCGGACTTGATAAGTTCAGCAGCGAGGTCGGATACGGAGTGGCATTGGACAAGCGTTGCCATGGGGATCTCATGGTCCATGTCCAAGTTCTTTTCAAGAGTTCTCTTCACTTTGAGGAAGCCGATTGAGTTGATCCCTGACGAGAGCAGTGCGTCGTCGGTTAGGAGAGCCTCTGCTGGGAGTCCGACTACGGCAGCGTATACGGTTGCGATCTCACGCTCAAGTGGCGTTACTTCGTCCAGGGTCTTTGTCACTGATTCCTTGATGCCTTCCCCCTGGACATGTGAGTCTTTCTCGTCGAACCAGTAGTCATCGAATGCCCCTGCCTCGTACTGCTTTTTCAACTTCGATCTCGATAGCTTGCCGATAGTTGACTTAGGCAGTAGGGCCTTCGGTAGTGGGATGACATGTAGAGCTCTTTGAGAACAAAAGTTGAACACCACGCGATGAATGGCCTGCAGAGTGTCCGCTTGACGCTTTCGTCCAATAGCCTCTTCAGAGGGATTAAAGAGCACGACCACTGCCTCGGACTGCTGGCTCTCGTCCCACGTTGAGAAGACAGCTGTGTAGGAGACCGTCAGCCCAGCAATGTTGCTCGTCTCGATGGCGTATTCCAGCTCAAAAGAAGAGTAGTTATTTCCATGCAGGATCAGGATCTCCTTGCTACGACCCAGGAGATGAAGGGATCCGTTCTCGTCAACTCGTCCTATATCTCCAGTATTGAACCACCCGTCGTCCGTCATGCAAGCAGCAGTCGCATCCAGGTTGTTGTAGTAGCCACTGAGAATCACGTCGCCGCGTAAGTATACCACGCCACGATCGGTCTCCTCAGAGTCGTCCTGCACCAGCTTCATTTCCATCACGCCGGGGAGATGCTTCCCGGCGGAGGCGAACGGGTTGCCGAGATCATATTGTGGGCTCTCCAGATTGTAGAAACACGCCGAGCAGGTCTCGCTCAAGCCATATGCAGCTCTGATAGCATATGATGGAGCGCCAAATCGCCGCATGAGTTCATCGCAGTCTGCAAGGGTCTGTGTTCGGTTGCTCTCTCCGGCGCACATGATGGTCCTGAGGTGGCTCAAATCTAGGGAGATTTCTAAGTTTGCTAGCTTGTCTCTGAGGGACTTTGTAGCGGCAGCAAGGAAGAAGTTTGGGGTGAAGGTATAGCCGACCTTGTAGGCGCTCAGAATACTGAAGAAGTGGTATGGTTCGGCCATGAGCTCAGCTGCTGGGGTCAGGACTTGATCGCTACAGACATACATTGACTGCAGGTGGACTTCACAGACTAGGTTGAGAAGATGGTCAGCATTTTCTAGCTGTCCATGCCTCGTATACCTACAGTTGGCTGAGTGATCGAAAGAGACCCATGACATGAACGTCCTCCCTCGTGAATCCAAGTGGTCGGCCTTGGCTTTCACAGATGCGAGCAAAGCTTTGTGAGAGTATTGAACAGCTTTGGAGTGACCGGTACTTCCAGACGTGAACAAGATGGCGGCGATGCTGTCTAACTCCGAGATTGGGAGGACATCACTAACAGGCGAAGGCTCAGCCTTAGGCGTAGTCTGCTTGATGTCATCGATGGTTTTAACTTGAAGACCCTGACCAGCAAACAGAGGCGCAAGTTTAGCGCTGGTGATAAGAGGAGCATCTCCAAACAGGTTCTTGACGTTTTCCAGCTGGCCAGAGGCCGTCTTTGGCTCATGCGAGAGTGGGCTTAGGATGGCTCCTATACCGCCAGCAGCCACTACCGACCAGAACCAGACGACGTTATCGTAGTGATTGTCGAAGTAAGTGAGGGCGACTTGGCCCTTCTCAACAAGTCCAGATGCTCTCAGGGTGGAAACTTGTTGCTGAAAAATTCATCAGTATGCAGTACTTGGAGTTAGGGAACATATGATCAGTCATTACCAGGGCCTTCTCATAAAGTTGAGCATATGGGAGCTTGGTAGCTGGACCATTGCTACCGTCCTCCAGAAATAAGAGACAGGCATCGCTTGAGGCAGCAGTCTTGAGCAAATCTAGGAGATGTGTAGGTTGAGTGGGAAGGGCTGGATCTCCCTGGGCGGAGATGATTTCTTCTGCTGTCATTTTTGGCTGTTTGTGCAACTAGCTTTGAAGGCCTCTCACTCCCAGCGTCGAGGACAAGCAGTACGTTAAGACCAAAGACCGAAGGCATCTCTTTGGTCGGCTCGCCCTCTTTTGACCGGCCTTGAATCCTTTTGCTCAAGTCTGCCAAAACTTCTGTCGTACAGGAGGGTAAGTCGCATGCAGCCATCCTTGTCAAACTGTGCAGTGCAGGATGCGAACAGCTCCATCAGCCCATTCCCAGTACGACGTACGATGTTGCATTAGTCTTCCTGCGCTCATGGCACCATGTGGCAGCCTGCGGCTGGTCTTCTTCGTGTGGGTGTAATGAATCGAATAATCCATGGAAGTGCTGCGTGCATAAACGAGGTCTTGCATGAGGAAGCTCGGCAGCTGAAAGCCCTGAGCCCGACCCCTTGATGACTTGGCGTGGAGCATACAGCCGCAGCCTCACTTGCAGCCGATTCAAATCAGCACATCGCACGCGACATGCCAAGATATGGATTGTACACTGGTCAGCACTCCTAGTGTCTAGTAGCGTCGAAGGAATCTCGTATCTGCGGTCAACTACGCCACGAACATCTGTTGAGTCCATATGGCTACATTCCCGAACACCCAGCTGTGGATCTCCTGAGCATGTTCGTTGTCCTTGTTCAGGTGTACAGCCAGCTGTGAGATCCAACGGGATCCGGTACCCTGTTGTCTCCAACGTCCTCACCGTATCCACATGGCCTCGTTCGAGACCGACCACGTCTTTATCGTTGACGGTTGTGTTGTTTATCTCGCGTTGACCAGGATCGCGGAGCCAAATGAAGCCGAAGACCTGAGCTCGCGATGTAACCTCTGGAGGGCTAGCAAGAGCGACTGCCGTGCGTTCAGTGTCTCTATTGCTTTGCTGCATCGTTGCCATGGAGCGAGTTGAGGTCCTCATCTACGGCGCAGGAGGTGAGTCTTCGATCCCCTAGCAACATAGGGGTACTGACATTCGATTGCGACAGCTATTGGATCGATCTTGGGATGGAGACTCGCACAGCATGAGACTACCCGAGTCTCGGTACTTTGTCGATCAAACCACGACGACGTGAAGCAAAATGGCATCTTCATCCAGAGCATTCTATGGGGTGATGGTCACTTTATTCCTGATGAGGTCTTACGAGCTGGGGCCGCCTTGCCAAACCGCGATTTCGACTACATCATTCTGGCCAACAAGATCAAGACTGAGGAAGATGTCGCGGTGATGATTCGAGATCTGAAGTCTCTGGTTCGCGACAGCACGACGATTGTCTCGGCACAGAATGGCATGGACAATGAAGTACCTCTGCGTGAAGCTTTCCCTGAGAACACTATTTTGTCGTCGATATGCAATCTGGTCTGTACACAAACTCAACCGGGACTCGTGGAGCAAGTCGCCACTATCAAAACGCACGCTTTCCATTTAGGAGTCTACGATCACCGAGAAGTGGCCGTCTCAGCACATCTTCTAAGACGCGACAGGCTCGCATCGATGGATCCGCACTTCGTAGTCATCCACAATGTCCACGAAGAGCGATGGCAAAAGCTGATCTTCAACAGCTCCTGGAACTCGATGACTGCGTTGGCCGGGCTGGATACGCACGAGCTGTTCTGTCATCCCATGTTGGTCCACATTGTACGACAGCTTGCAATTGAGGCGCGTTCTGTCGGCGTTGCAAGCGGTGTTAAACTGCCTGTGACTTTGCCTGACAAGATCATCGAGATCGCAAAGGGCAGTGGGCCCATAGTCACATCTACCTTGAGCGACGCTCGAAACGGACGTATGCTAGAAGTGAAGCCTATCACTGGTAAGTCGCCGCCCTTGACAACATGACACTTCTTTCTCCTGATTGTACGTTCAGGCTATCTGGTGAATCAAGCAGCAAGACTTGGAATATCGATACCGTGGATGTCTGCTGTGTATGATCGCTTGCGGCAGATAAATCGGCCTCTTGCAGACGAGTCGCATGAACCTCAGTGTGCTGCCGAATAGCGAACAGCAAATTGTTGGGACCGAGTTCTTTATTTTGTACTATGATAGATCATACAAAGCTTCCAAACACGAAATGTTCACTGTCCACGAACCAGCTCGCAAGTTCAGGAGAAGCCTGAACCTTAAACACGAAAAATGGACAAAGAGCACTTTATTCCTTGGCCGGATCCTTACGAGACACACGCGAGGGCGCGCCGCCAGGTTGCATAACAACGCTCGCAAACTTGCTCATATCGCGCATTTCGCTAAAACGATATGCCAAGTGTGGCGTTTGAACACTGTGGACCCTGAGGGCGTTCTTTCTCTGGGTAAAAGCCGCGACTTCACCTTTCGTCTTGTCGCTGCTTGCGACTAGAAACCGACGCTTGAGCTTCTTCTCGCTACGCAATTGTCGCCATGGAGTTCTCGCCGTTCAAGTGGTGGACGTCGAATACGGCGTTGCACAGCTACATCTTTGCGCAGCTGCTCATCTCGTTGCCTTTCTCGGTATTCAGCACATACGTGCAATACCAGTTGCAGATTGTATGTATAACGAATCATGCCGACGTCACTTGATGGTCCTTTGTATGCTGACCGTCTACAACAGACAGGCTTCGTGATCGGAACCGATTCTCAAGGACAACCATGCACAACTTACTGCATCGTCGAGTGGGCTGGGTCGAGACTTGACCTCAACTCAGTCCTGCTCTACCTGAACGCGTTTGGCATCGGCTTGGGTGGTTCCATCACGCTCTTCCTGTCAGCCTACTCTGACCATTGGTGTAAGGCTCATTTTCGCGATTACTGCCCAGATCATACTGCTGACAGGTAACGCCAATGCCAGCACGAAAACACTTGATCGTCACTCTACTATTCATCACGTATGGTTCGATCGCGATACCCACATACTGGCTCCAAGGTCTGACGCAGTACAACTTCAACGTGCTGACAGGGCTGCAAATCGTCTTTACGATTGTGACAAACATGCTCGTCGCGATTCTCAACATCTACATACCTTATTGCATGCGAGTCTCTCAGGCTCAGTCATCTTCCGTGCGCCAAGAAGGCGAGTACAATGCGTCTGTGGAACTTGCAAATACTCTTGCTGACACAAAGTAATCCAGTCGTTGCCCCTGAAGAGACCTACACGGACGATGTCAAAGCCAACAAGCGCACCTTTGGCTTCAAGATGTCCGTCAAGGGCGCACTCGCCAACTCAATAGGTGCTTTGGTCATGTATGTGATTGTCATCATCATCACAGAGACACTACCAGAGGGCAAAGTCCAATCTCCGTAAGTCGAAACCTCACCCATGTCTTCATTCAGTAACAGAAGCTGATTTTTTCTGAAGTGGCCTCCTCATCACGACAGTCTGTGGCTTCATCACAGTCGCAGGCGCGGCAGTTACATATCTTGGCTTACCCAAAATCCCTTCTGTGCACTCGGGTCTCCTTAAACAGGGACCATTTGAGCCACTGATCGAATGTATGTTCTGCCCCATCCACTCAGAGCTTCAAAATTGACTGGCCACCTCCCCTCCAGTCCTTCGACCATTCCGAGATCTCCTCGTAAGACGAAGCATGGCGGCCCTACTAATCTCCTACACCATTTACACCGATTCGACCTACGCCGTGGCGTCCGTCACCAGCCAACTTTTCGTCACAGAAGTTCGGCCCGGCACTTTGGAGATCTCGCTTTACGCTCTGACTTCAACGATATCCGGCGTGGTGTGCACCGTCCTGTTCCTGTGGGTGCGACCTTTCGTGCCAATTAAGTTGGAGACTTGGTTGCTTGTCGGCTATGGTCTCCTAATTCTCATTCCTGTTTGGGGATGTATAGGTTTTGCCGATGTGGACTTTGGGTTTAAGGTATGCATTCGAGTGTTTTCTGGCATCAGGGGAGACCGTGCTGATATTGGTGCACTTGCAGGAGAGATGGGAGTTCTACGTGCAGACCTTCCTCATCACGCTGTCAGGAGTGATCGTCAACTCGGTTTTCAGGGTTCTCTTCTCAGAGATGGTTCCCACCGCGAACGAAGTCCGTTGGGTGCGTATAACAACCACTAAAACAGACGAAGACGCCATCGCACTAACATATGTCTGCAGTTCTCACTACAGCTGATCCTGTCCTGTGCAACAGTAAGTCACATCCCTCACACCAAATCTTTCACCCTGTCGTCCTATCGCTAACAGGCATCATCAGGTCTGGGTCAACTACGTCGCCAGCGCCCCTTTGCAAAACGCAACCCACCAGCTGCGATTCCCTCTCGTCCTCAGCTTGATCTTCCTAGTCGCCGCCTTCGCACTAGAGGTCTGCCGAGTTGTGCTCCCATTCTTCACACAAGACCAAGTAAAGTGGATGGCCACAGATCAAGCAAGCGCCAGTGAAGTTTCTGAGAGGCGAGAAGTTGGTGACAGCGGGTCTTCTGGGGCGGATGTTGATGGCTTTGAGAGCGTCAATGCGAAGTCTTGAGAGTGTGTAGCGAGGCCTCTGCCGTGGACAGACAGATGAATAGACGTAAATGAGATGTTCTGTTGAAACAATCAGATGGCCAGCACATCCTCATCTCTTCTCCAACCATATCATACCCTTCCTCCAATCTTCCTCCGCAGCCTCACAATCCGCCAACTCCGGACTCAGCTGCATGCCTAATCGCTCACCAGAACCCTCGAGCCGTGCCTTGGCTGAATACAGGAATTCCATGACCAGCCCGTTCTTGCACTCCAGCTTTCTGCTGCATGTCGAATCTCGACTGGCTGGCTCGGTATCTCGTTCTTCGTTGCCTCGCCTGAAGAATACTGCCATCGTGAAGTCCTCACCGGATTGGTGAACGAGCACGTATGTGTATGGCCATGTTCTCCTGGATGGTTCGACGAGAAGGATGGGAGTATCCTTCGTGATTGGAGTAGTCGAACCTTGGGCGGATATGCCATGCCGGGTACGCTCTCTGACTTGTGTTGTCGCCATGGTCACGGTGAAGTCTCCCAAGCCAGGATGTGAGTACACGCCGGTATAGTTCTCAGGCGCCCACAGCGATGTATCCGTGGTCAATTGGACTGGATCCGCCACCTGATCATGATTTGTCTGCTCTGCGCCTTGAGTCGCGAAAGCCCCTTTCGAGTCTTGTGTCACTCCAACCTCCGGCTCGAATATGCCCAGTCGTTTCAAAACCTCGAAGAATAGATCAGTCTCGACACAATTACTCGCTCCCATAGTATTTCCCATTGCCACAAAACCCAGCCCACATTCAGGCACGAGATAGAGCGTCGTTCCAAATCCACACAGGCCACCTCCATGTGACAGCAGCGTCAGTCGCCCGATGCTTTGGACGAACCACCCGAGAGCGTACACCGAGACGCCTGTGCTATGTTTCCACATTGCAGAGTATGCATCAGGTATGATACATCTTGGGGTGGTGATGTCGCGGAACAGATGGTGGTTGATCGGTGATGAGCTTTTGGTGAGGTCCTGAGAGGCTTGCAAGAGAGCTTTGGTCCACAAGGCCATGTCGTTAACAGAGGAGATCATAGCGCCCGCTCCAGCAACCGGCGTAAGATCGAGATATTCGTCCGGAACATAATGCCCGCCTTCATCATTCCAAAAATATCCCCTCGTGAGCCTTGAACTCCCATTGTCGTCTTTCATACTCTGTGCCTTGCGCACATCAAACATCGTCGAAGCCATGTCAAGTGGCTTCCAAAACTCCTCAGCCAGAAAATTTTCGAGGCTTTGGTCTGACAAACGCTCCACAAGAGTCTGAACAGCCGCATACATAAAATTATTGTACTGCCACTTCGTCCGAATGTCAGCGCTGAAAGGCAGATGTCTCATCAGCCGCACTGTATCGAGAGCAGATGCATCGCCGCAGCCGTAGACGTTATCAAAAAGCGGTAGGCCAGAGCGATGCGATAACGCATCTTCGATGGTGACGTGCGAGGTGGCGTACTCGTCCGACAAGATGAAGTCGTCCTTGAGGATTTGGCTGATCGGCGTCGTCCACTTCAGATTGGTCGGTTTCTTGCTTTGGTCTTGATGAATCAGCTTGCCTGCAGCCGCGGCGGTGAAAGCTTTCGTCGTGCTGCCGGCGAAGTACAAAGTGTCGGGCGTGGCGAGCGTGGAGGGGAGTTCGGAGAATCCGTAGCCCTGAGGTAGGTTCAGTATGATGGTCCCCTCATATTGGGAGGGTTCCGTAAGCAAATACTTTACTCTGCACCTCTCCATTGTGGACGACCGCGATACTCATCCCAGGGATGTGAAACTCCTCGAGCAACTTCTCGACTCGCTGGTCAAAGTCATGATCAAAGATATGAGTCTTTGATTCTCCTCCATCCACTGCTCCAACGCCAGATTCAGGGTTTGCAGGACTCATGACGAAAATGAGGGATTGAAATTCTCCAAGGCTGGTTGTTGTCAGCTCGGAGCTTCGTGAGCAAGTAAAGTAGCAGTCGCACCGCTGCGTACTCAGCCTAGCCTTGGCCGAGCTTAGCTCCTTCCCGGCATGCAACACTTCCTGCCGCATGTGCCAGCACTAGATGCGCTCTACACCACAGTGTTACAACTCACTTAAACAAACTCCCACCCCTCACAATCCCCACACCCCTCCACAACCACACACTCCGGTACCCCCTCCCACTTCTCCAACACCCCCGCAATAACCCTCTCAATCCCATGATTCCTCACCTCAACCCACCACCCCAGCTCCCCCACCGTATCATAAACACACCTCCTCCCACTATGACACTGACTCTCAAACGCATAACCCCAAAGACTGCATGAGGACAGGCTGCTTTTGCAGGAGGACATGAAGATCGGGTCGGCCGTGTTGCCGAAGTGGAAGATATGCGAAGAGGGGGAGGTGCTGGATTTGCCGACGTGGTGGCCTGGGGGTGTGGGTAGGCCGAGACGAGAGGCCGCGAGGGCTTCCGGGAAGGTTTCGAAGGTGAGGGTTGGGGCGCCGTAGGTGTGGCCTAGCATGCTGGCTACTACTCCGCCGAGAGAATGGCCCGTGAGCCAGATTTCTGAGTCGTGGTAATGGCTTTGTACAGAGTCGAAGATTTTGCGGGCGGCGGAGTAGTAGTTTGAGTTGTTGCGTAGTTCGTGCTCAAGACAAGTGGTGTTGCAGGTGCCTCTCGAGACTTTGCAGTCACAGACCGGTTGCCAGAAGAGTGATCCACCTCGAGCACAGCAGCAGGACCCGAAGAGATTGTCGTTGAGGAGGTCCCGGTGGGTCGTGGTCGGATCGTCGAGCCAAGGGACGGAGGTGCCTACAGGTATGTGTCAGCGTGAAAACACACCACAGAGATCAGATGCGAGTCTTATACCTTTCAACGCCAAAACAACACTTTCATTGCTCCCATCAACAAATACATGCCCTCTCAGCCCATCCTCCTCCCACCCAAAGTCCAGCGTATAGTTGTACCCGGGGCTGATATCCTTCCACTTCCACCCCGTCCGGTTGACGCCCTCGTAGTACGCATTCGCCGACATTCGAGCGAAGCTGAGGACCGTCTGCTTGTCCGAGACGTTCGGCGCATGGATTGAATCAATTGTCCAAGACGGGGAGATGGACTGGGCCAAGAGAGCGTCGATTTCTGAAGGGTCGCGGTGAGTGAGCCGCTCGATAGCCATTTCCGTCGTCTTGACACCTAGATCTCCGATGTCGAGGCCTGATACCGAAGTTGTTAAATTCTCGGCTTCCATGGTAAGATGTAGGCCAGCATAGCGGTAGGAGCCGGCATGGTGGATGTGGCGTAGCCGCTGAAAGTGTTACGATCGGTTCGAGCTTTCAAGTGGTTGACCAACTCACCAACGTCTTTACTTCGGCATCCTCGTTGACGGTGGATGCTGTGCCACCTAAGACTTGCTGGGATCCTTCATAGCTATTGGCGCTTACTGCAGCGTACAGAAGAGCAAGACCAGTAGTCGAGAGCGCCCAGCGCATCTTATGCTTCTGAAAGCGCTCTGATGTTCCTACACTCGACAAGGATATGTGCAAGTTTTTAGTTCAGCCGTGGAGTTAGGCAGTAAAGTTACGCTTTTCACGTGACGGTGTAGCGTAGATTAAACTCAGGTGGGTGCGATTGGTCAACAGAGTTGCCTTGCATAGCTCAGCGATCTGCTACGGAAGCTCTTCGTACTCATCATCGTCCCAGCCTAGGGCATTGTACAAAGCTGCATCGCCGTTCAAGGCGATGCCAGAGTCCTCTCTGCGATCGGTGGTCGAAGGATAAACGGCAGCATTTTTGCTTCGACTATACGTCTTTCCTTTCAAGCTGGATCCAGGGACGTTTGTGAGAGGCGGCTCGACGAGTGACGGCATCCTCGAAATTTTAGCCGGCGTCGATAGCATCTGAGGCCTACGTGTCGCTGTAGGTGACTCGAGGAGCGTAGCCGGTGTCCTCGACAACGTAGTCGGCATGAACTTTGCAAAACCTCGCGAGGGAGTGCCATCGACGAGCGATGCGCCATGCCGTGGACGATGGCCAGTCTGAGGGACAGCAAACGTACTGTTGGGGATCTGGTCTGGTACGGCCAGCTGCCTGGCCGATGTACCAGGTACCATAGACACGCTCCCGCTGCTGGGGAAATGGGCTGGGCCCTGGTATAGATGTCTGCTGTGTGCAGGAGTCGCTTTGACATGGCGTGGAGTGGCAGTGACTGCGACGGGGTTCTTATCGGTCGTCTTTCGCTGGCCGTTCGACTTGCCTTTTGCGATTGCCTTGGCAAAGCTCTCATCCGTAGTTTTCGCGTGCTCTTCAACAGCTCGAGACCTGTTAGGTTTTTTAAGCGTGTCGATAGCATCGCGCACCTTCCCTTCGAGCTCTGCTTTCTTCTTCAGTTTGGCTTCGGTTGCCTGCGACATTGCCGATAGATCCACCTCTCGTCTTGCAAGAGACTCGAGCAAGCTGGGACGCTTTCGCACACCATTCTGCTGCGATTTCTGTCTCGACATTGGAATATTGTCTAGCGGTGGTGTTTCGCTGTTCTCACGCTTGATCATGGTCGACAGCACATCCGAATCTGTAGCAGCGCGGTGCAGTGATGGGTGTCGTTTACCTGCTCTGTTGAGAGCGTCGGAAGACACCCTTTCGAGCGGCTTCCTGGGTCTCTTCGATGGTGGTTGTCGAACTGCTGGTTCGCCTGGCCTTCTGGGCGCTGAAGCCTTGCTTTTGCTCGGATGTGGTTGTGTTGGTCCCCCAAGCTTCTTGCTTGCCGCATTGGCTCGTTCATGGATGCGAGCGGAGAAGAATGGGATGATGACCTCTGATGCGAAGCTTTTCAGATCGTCATTGGCCTCCTCCTTGTCATCGACATTGTCCATGCTTTTAGCAGGTGATCCCGAAGCGATTGAGTACCAGATGACAAGCCGATCTAGCAGATTGTCCAGCAGAGCGGACAAATCGACGTCTTTCTTCTTCTTTGGCTTTTTCTCATCTGGCACAACATGGCTCTCCTCTGCTTGCGTATCCAGATTCTGTGTCTCTGCAGCCGCAGTACTCGCAGTAGCAGATTTCACCCCGGAAGCCTCGAGAGCCAAGATCTCCAAGATCAGAACGACCTGTAGAAAGGTCTCTCGACTTCGTATTCGCTGGGACCGTCGTCGTATAACAGCATCGATCTTCTCGGCAGAGTCCAGTGCAGTTCGATCTTCGTCGTCACCTATCCACCATTGCTCCAGGTAGTCTTTTTCATCGACAAAGAACCCATGCCTGTCTCGCTTCGGTTTCCACTTGCGCTTCCTCTTCTTTGGCCGATCTTGGGGCGACTCGCGCGAAGGAAGTTCTTTGATGTGGTCGAACATGCCGTTGCGATATTTCTTGTCCGTGACGTTTACTGACAGCACTGCAGTGCGCAGAAAGGCGACAAGCTCTGCCGGCTGCGAGGCGAACGCAGCTCGTGCACGAGCAAGCGGTCCTTTGACGAAGTATGCCACGGGTGTCCTTGAGAGATAGAGGGTATCCAGGTAGGTCTTCGCCAGTTCTTCCAATGGGTCTTGAGCAGCTGCTGGGCCGAAGGTTGTTGAGGTAATGTCTTCGTACCGCGATTCATCTGCTGCCCTCGAAACTCCCACGTCTGCTGCACGTGTCGGTTCAGGCTCGGCCAAAGGTACTTGTCCCTGCTTCCTGAGCATAGAGAGCTTCGGCATACCATCCTTCGCCACCACCGCATGGTTCACATCAGCCTCAATCCCCGCATTCGCCCACCACGGCGTTCCACCTTCCACGCCTTCCACCGCTCTTCTCTTCCTCGGAGCCTGCACAGGCTGTCTTGTCACAGCCTCTCTTCCCATCAGATCCTCCATCTTTACCATCTCACCCAACCGACAAAGGGCATATCTCCTCTGCTGAACCCTCTCCACAGCATACATCCTCCGCTCCAGCTGATCCTCCACAATCAATATACTCTCATCGTCCCCAGCTTCCAAGCTCTGTATATGTGCGGTGAAAATCCGGCTGCCGTCGTGAGCAGTATCCAGGTAGGCCAGTGGGAGTTGCGATCGTGAGAGAAGACATATCGGCGTAAAAGTTCGTGGTTTTGCAAACGGGTCGGAAGAGTCCTGCTGCAAGCCTCTCAGCTCTTATTTTTGTCTCCAGCTCTGGCATATATACTCACTCGTATACTGAAAGGCCGTCTATCAATATCGCCGTCGTCGGTCTCTTCTCGTCTCCTCTTGCGCGTGGATTCCGGCTCGTCTCGTGCAGCGCTATTCATAACAAAAGACATGCTGTAGTGGAAGAATTCGCTCAATTCGGCCGTATCAATGTCATGGTCTTCGTAGCAATCGTCGCGTCGTCAAGAAACAATGGTTGCGCGCTCAACAATGTTTGGGAGGTCCAATGTCAATCGACGATGAGGATACGCGCTTTGCAGATGCGGGAAGACGCGTTAGAGTTTGGCTAGCGCCGGAGATCGGCAATCGACTGGAGCTTCGCTCGCTCCTCACTTCCCGCGTCATTCACTTGTGTCACATGCTCGACTGGCACTACTACCGCGGTTTGTTTATATCTCTCGGGAGCTGCTTCTTCACAGTTGCAGCGGTCTGTCTCGGGCAGGATCATAGCTGCACACCTCTCATACAATTTTCATAGGTCGACTACTTCCTATATATCATTTCCGAACCTTACTATTCCATTGTTTGTTGATACCCTACCAACAAGATCTCCTCAATAAACAATGCCTCCACGACAGCCACCTCCTCTCCTCCGTCTTCCATTGGAACTCAGGCAGCAGATATACTCCCTCCTCCTACCCCTCGAAAACGTGTCCCACCCTCTCCCCTCCGTCGGCATAACCTCCGTCTCGCACCGTCCGCCGACCTCGTCCCTCCTCAACATCCACCCCACCATAACCGCCGAAATCCTCGACTACTTCTACACAATCGCGACCTGGAAGCTCGTCTTCTCGCACGCCTTCAACTTCTTCCGCGTCGATCCCGAATTGAGACGTCTCGAATCCTCGCCGTCCCTCTCGCACATTCGGAAGGTGGAGGTGGTGTTCTTTTGCGATGTGTTGCTCTTGCACAGCTATCCGTCTTTTGGGGTGGAGAGCTTCTGCGAAGAGATTGAACGGAGAGCTGCCAGGGCTTGCGATGTCTTGGGAAAAGCGAAGAAGTTGAGGGTTGTGGTTGTGAGTTGGTGTGATTCGACGGGTACCGGGAGATGGCATGAGAAGGCGAAGATACTCAGACCTTTGAGGAAGCTGAAGGACAAGAACAAGAACGTCGTATTCCGAATTGGAAAAGTTAACGGGCCAGAAGATCTGGAGAGAGAGGACTTCGTCGAGGCATTGAGGGATGTTCTAGGTGCCGAGGAGAGAATTGAAACGGGTTATGATGGGACAGAAGATCCATCAAGCAGTCTGAGGATGTTGGCATTTGACGTGAGACAAGACAGACGCCAGCTTTCAGCCCAGCCCGGCGTTTCAATGCCGAAGATGGGGATGAGAAGTGGATGGAAAGGAGCACCACCTTCGATGGAAGCGCCATTAGAAGACGAGAACGAGTCCTGAGCTGGACTTTATCTACGATCGTGAAACCTGAATGGAAAAAAATTTAACGCCTCAGCCAAATGTCCTTGGCTGTACCACCGAACCCACCCTGTATCAGAGAGTCGATACTAGCGGCAAAAGCAAAAAGAAAGCCCACGATGAGCACTCTTCTCTCCTGACACGGGTTGAACGTGCAACCTTCGGATTCGAAGTCCGCTGCGCTACCATTGCGCCACAGGAGATTTGATTATGACGAGGAGGATCTCTGCCACCTTATGTCACTTCACCAGAAGTTGTACTGGCATTGGCCGTCAGCCTGCTGCATATCAGTCACAAACGACGGAGATGAATGACTCTAGAAGTGACGCATTGAACCTAGTGCTGCTCCTGGAAACAGATCACCAAGGCCCATCTCGGTGTCCTTACCAGACGAATTCCCATCAAGAAGAAACATTATCAGGTCGATCAAGGACATCATTGGCACGGCTCGAACTCACAGCTTGGAGAACTGGTTTGCTTGCAACCGGTGAGAGAACCTGAAGAGCTATATATATAACTACAACCTGTTCTTGTGCAGAAAGAGGATATGCCCGACCTCATCCTTGCTGGCCTTCGAAGTCTGGTTTGAGCTGGCCGCTTTTTTGTGGCCCGCCCACACAAACACCCAAAAAGCCAAAAACGAATTCAACCACGATTCTAATCTCTCCCGGCACGACTCGAACGTGCAACCTTCGGATCCGGACTCCGACGCTCTACCAAATTGAGCCACGAGAGATTCTATAGGTCGCATGTGCTGGTGAGGTTTTCCTCCCTCATTACATCCCTTCACCTCTGTTTGTCCCAGACTTCTCCCGCGGTTTGCTGCAGACGGCGACTACCGGTGGAAAGGTCGGGAAGCGTCTGAAGAGGACGCAGGTGTCCGTCGATACGGTCTGCTCATGTGGGGACTCTTGTTGACATGCGGGTTGTTGCTTTTGGACGGACAGCTACGTGATCGTCACAGTGAGCATTGGCATTCGGCTTTGTCTTCACCACGCGATCACTCCCGTGCGCAGCTCTGCTATCTCTACAGCACGCCTAGTGCACTCGACTATCCAAGCTGCACATGATATCTCCAATATTGGTCACCTGGACCAGATCTGATATGCATGTGAAAGGAGCCAAGCTTGCGATTTCACTTCAGCCGCAAGCGATTCGACTCCTCGCACTCACTTCACTACGACTACTGAACCTTCAGCAGTTATCTCCCTACACCCGTCCATACCACCAACCCGGTCGCCAACAGAACCTCAACAAGCCCCCTCCAGCCTCGCCCTCAAGACCTGGTTCCTCAACGCCGCCGAAAAGATCACATTACATCCACTCCCGGTATCATTCGCAATCACCGAATTCGTCCCATACTCAGCAATCACCTCCGTCGTGCCATTCTGCCCAGCCGGCGTGCCACTCGCTCTTCGATAAATCCCTCCATTCGGCGAGCTATCAAACGTCGTGAAGTAGACATTACCCGAGGCAGCAAAGTTGAAATCGTCCAGGCGGAAAGAGTAGTCGAAGAGAGTCGTGATGCCCCCGGTTGCTTGGCCTGTCTGCGTGTTGACGGGGACGTAGCCGTAGTTGCCGGAGGAGGTTGTGGTGAAATACAGGCGACTATCTCTGAACTTGAGGCCGTTGACTCCCGCTCGACCCAGCGGACCCGTCGCGCCTCCAGCATTGGGACCGAGGTCGGCGCTGGTGATGAGTGCTGTCGTTCTGTTCAGCGCGATATCTGTCAACCAGATCGTGCCTTGTTGGAAATCTGTGCCGGCGATCAGACCACGGCTGGCGTTGACGATGGCCAGGCCGTCGATGATGGTCGCTTGTGTGGCCGAGCCCATCAGAACCGCAGTGACTTTGCTGGGGTCGTAGCTGGGCGGCACATAACTGCGGAGATCGAGCAGCCAGATGTTCCAGGTGCCATTGACGGGTCCGCCGGAGATGGTGTAGTTGCCCACCGACACGGCGAAGACGTCTTTCTGCAGCTGGACGATGCCCGTCACTGAGCCGTATCCGTTGAAAGTGTGTACTAGCTGCAAGACCTTGTCAACACACATCTTCGTGGATCGTCTGCATTGGGACCTTACCTTTGGGGTCTGATCTTGCCCCTGAGTTGGGTCCAGCTGGAAGATATATGGGCAAGTCGTGCAAGTGACGAGCAATTGGTTGTTATTGCGCAGAAGAGTGTTCTCAGGGATAAAGCTGGAGTTGAAAGTGTAGATTGTTTCCGGCTGCACAGGCACTGCTGCTGCACTGTTGGCTGCTATGGGTTGCGGCGCAGCCAGGCACAATGAGCAGATGGTGAAGAGAGCGAATAAAGATGGCAACTCCATCTTCGGGTGATAGACAATGAATGTTCTGGGGATCTTGTACTAAAGGCCAGCAAGAAGAATTGGATCTTTTATACTGCCCTGCATGCAGAGGATCTAAGCCAAGTTGCCTCGAAGACTTCTTGCTTGCCGGATCCTCACTCTTGGAACACTCTTCCGGACGGCTCCCAGGACCTCGACGCGGTGCTCGTCTTGGGTCCAGATTCATCCTGCTACGTCAATGGCACTGGCGAGAGTAGCACAGTCCTCACCAAATGCTGGTCGAGGTAGACCGCCCAACACAACGCATCATCCTTTCGGCATCATCAACACCATCAGGAGGCGGACATGGCGTCCCTTCGACCAATGTCCCCTCGTCATCAACCTCTTCGGGCTTGAGGCCCCAATACATGGCTTCCCACAGGACATCCATATTGAAGCTTCCCAAGCCATCTCATTGTCCAGACCGCTTGCTACACGGGAAACTCAATCCCAAGAGGATATAATGCAAGCCATGCTGGTCAGAAGAGAGAGATTGTCTTCGATCGATCTCAACCACAGGGGAGGTCGTGCATTCCTGAATGTGTGATAGTGTGCTTAACTTGCAGCTGGCGATGGCCTGGACTGTAAGTGAGAGCTACTGCTTCGCAGTCAACATCGAGGGAGAATTGACATGTAGGGCTCAAGACCGTTTCGAGCACTGCCGATTGAAGAAGCATAGCCCGAGGGTGGTTGTGGCGAGTCTGTTGGCCCACCGAATGGTGGAAAGGGCAAAGTTCAGAATCGGTGTCCGGACCAGATTGCACTGGATTTCGGAGCGCCTTGGTGGAACCGAATTGCCTCCCTTCATATTCTCGACAGCAATCAGCTGGGCAGAGAGAACGGTGCTGGTTGCGCGAGTGCCCGGAAAGAAACACCGCCATGTCGGACGACGTCTCCGCCAGCCTCATGGCTGTAATAGACTTGGCCGAGCACGCGCTCTGCCATCGATACAACTCCCATATTGAGCAAATGTACATACTTAAGATCGCTCAGCGGCCAGGTATGGCGATGCCGTGTTCATCCTGGCACTTTGGTGGTGAAAACCACGATTGTTTGCATAGGGCGACGTCCAGGGCTAACACGAAAGATTCAGGGGCAAACAACCCTTTGCATACGCTAGCCTGGCTGGCTGTAGACGGCAAGGCTCGCAGCTTTCCTAAGCACCTTCCTATTACTGTTCCGTGGTCGGCCCGGCATGCTTTCCTCTTGAGCCGCAGTTCACGAAAATCTAGGGCAGACTCTCTGTCTTGCTCATCATGCATAAAGCCATGTAGGGTTCGACAGCCCGTCATACGCATAAGTTGTCGAAACTGGCTTGGCGTGCGAGAAGTTCGCGGGCTGCCAGAACCACACATATGGAATACTGACGGCTGGAGACATACGGAATTTTGCCTGCCGCAGAACATACTCATCGAGACGTGTACCCACATGAGGCTGTCAGATCACACGTGCACGTCCTGGCCTTGCTCATTCTGGAATTCCCGCCAATTCCTGTACGCAAAGTGCATGAGGGTACACTCTGCAGTCCCTCATGGCTGCTCAACGGGATGACATCGCCAACGTGGAAGAACAAAATGAAACGATATCCCCAGACTATCTACGAACATTACTTGGATCGAATCATTTGCAAGTGTGTGCCGACCGGTTGCTGAAGACACCATCTCCCTGCCCCCGATCTGAATTGCTCTAATTTCTCCCCGAGAAATGACCTCGATGCTAGGCTCGCTGGCAACAGTTGCGGCACTGAGTGCTATCACAGTCTCTGCAAAAGCTGCTTTCTGTCAAAATGAAACCCAGCAAGATCTCGCGCAGCTTCTCTCACACAACGCCACCGTGAGCAGCAACATTCCGGCAAACTTTCGATGGAGTACATATGATGAGCCGAACCCCGCTCTATACATAACGGCGGCGACAGAGGGAGATGTAGCTCAAGTGGTGAGTCCTGTAGCGGAAAGATCCAGACTCGTTAAAAGACTTACGGATTATACAACAGGTTCGCTACGCCAATAGACACAACTACCCTTTCCTTCTCCAGAATGGAGGTAACGGCTGGGCGGACACATTCAACCTGAGTGGTTGCGGTCTAATGATAGACATCAGCAATCTCAATCAGGTCACTTTCAACCACGACGAAACACAAGCAACCATCCAAGGAGGCATCACAGTGCGAGAGCTGGTCGCAGCCGCAGCGAGCAGGAGCGCTAGAATTGGAACCGCCACGTGCAACTGCCTCGGGTTCCTTGGCGCAGCCTTGGGCGGAGGTCAGAGTCGAATCGACGGACTCTATGGCTTGAGCGTAGACCAACTCATCTCCGCAACGGTGGTCTTAGCATCCGGAGAAGTCGTCCAAACCAGTGCCACTTACCATCCAGATCTTTGGTGGGCCATCCGTGGAGCGGGTCCTAACTTTGGCATCGTCACTTCAGCGGTGGTCAAGGTGTATCCGATACCAGCGGGACAGAACTACGCCTGGCAGGCCAGCATCACTCTCTCTCGGGACCAGATCAGACCCCTGATGGAGGTACTCAGCACGTTGAAGCTCACACCAGAGATGGAGTTCGACTTCTACTTTGCCACATCTGGAGCACCGTCATATACTCCAGCCATTGTCGTCGTGCCATTCTACGTCGGCGATGAGTCTGCCGCCCGCACAGCCTTCGCTCCAATCCTCAATCTGAACCCCGTAAATATCACCGGCGGCGAGCTACCCTACGAACAGTGGAATTCAGCAGGCGACTCCTTCTGCACCCGAGGGGGCCGCAAGCCAGCATATGGAGCCTCGACCGCGCGTCTCGATGTCGACACTTGGGTTGAGGTTTTCCACTCCTACGAGGCCTTCATAGCGTCGAACCCTACTGCCTTCGGTACAAGCTCGACCATCCTCTCAGAAAACTATCCGCGACCAAACACTTCCCTCGAGTCTGCCCTGACGTCTTCGTACCCGTGGCGAGACCTGGGCCGCCACCATATCATCTTGCCAAGCTATACCGATCCTGCTTTGGACGAACAAGCTACTACGTGGGCTGCGAGCGTGAGGTCGATGCTGTGGGCGACGGCTGGTACAGCTCAAAACAGCAGGTCGGTCTCAATCCCTCAAATGCCCTTGAACATCGTACTGACAATAAGATTCTCCAGCTACATCAATTTTGCCCACGGGGACCAAAGTCTTTCGACGATGTACGGACAAAGCTTGCCGCGATTGCAACAGCTGAAAAGAATATACGATCCGTGGAATCGGTTTGACCAGTGGTTTCCGTTGTTTCGAAGGGGGGACTATTGGCCCTGAGACCTTTAGAGTCGTTCTGTGTAATGCTCTGCCTGGGATATCAAAGGAGAGTCTTGAGTCATATCAACGATGAGGCCTGCGATTATTGTCGCATATTTTCCTTAGGAAGGGCTTCTGGACAAATACCGGTCAATAGTTCAATCGCAAACCCCTGTCATCGGCGTACTACGAGTGCTCATACAATGTATCACTCTTATTCCAAACAAGAAACAAGAAATTAGCTAGATCTCCAACCATCGATCGACTAACAACCTAGACCTGATGCCGATCCTTTCGGCCCAGTGGAAAAGTCACTGCATTGCTTAGAGCTAGAGCTCCACCTCCACCCATATGACCTCAACTCCAAGAAACACATCCATCCCAACGACGCCAAAGCACTTCGAATCTGAACACTAAATCCAGAGAGTGCCCCCTAACAACGGATATCCACCATGTCCCTCACCAAAGACGAATTCTTCCAAACCTGGCTCGCAGCCAAAGAATCCCAAGAACCACACATCATCGAAACGGCCAGGACGCGCTACCAACACACCGAAGCACCGAACTACACAACCGTCCCCGAATCCAATGATCCAGATGCGAAGGCCTTCGAAGCGCATTTCGAAAATTTTCTCCAGAATCCCGATGTAGCGAGTTCGATTGAGACATCCAAGTTCATAACCCGCCCAGCCAATATCCTCCCTTGAACGCCTACGGGATTGAATCTTCAACCAGGCCAGCAGGTCTCAACTTTCGCGAGTGGTCGGGTGTGGCGTTCTAGGGTATTGGATCTCTTCGTCCCGCCGCAGTTCGCGCTCTGGTTTCGTGTGGGCGTCAATGGGAAAGTCTTCAACTCGACCAGGGACACGAATACTTTCAGCGTCAAGTCAGGCGAGAAAGGAGAACTGTATCTCGCGAACCAGTTCCCCGCTTGGTGGCAGGAGAAAAGCGGGCGAGTCGTGGGGGATATAGCGATTTACGAGAACGGCGGGGATGGGAAGATAGAGGTTTTGGTGGTGGTTTGGAAAGACGGGGTAGATGTTGGGAAACTCCTCTCAAACTTGAGTAACGATTCAGAACTCATCAAGGCCGAATCTCAACGCCCGCAAGCTGAGTCCGCGACGAACCTCCCGCCGGAATGGTACCATTTCTGGTTTTTGGGGACATCAACCCTATATAGCTCTCTTTCCACTCAAGACCATAAGAAATGCATCCACGCAAAACCGGACAAGAGTATCGGGATTCTGATGAAAGATCTGGAACCGACGCTTGTGTTTGAGAAGGGTGTCAAAGTGAAGTGGGATTGGAAGATTGATGCGCTGCCGTCGAGGTTGAGGGAGGATACGACGTTTAGTCATGATTATTTGAGTGTTGCTTTTGAGTTTGAGAACGGGAGGGTGAGTGTTACAGCCTCCTCGCTGGAGGAATGAGCTGATTGTGTTTTTGTTAGGACATAACCTACACTTGGTCCTGGGAGCTGCCTGTCGAATATGGTTATTGGTGTCCCTTGCCGACCTGGGAGGCCCGCGAGTACCACGTCGTGATCCGATCCGGCACGACTGGTCTCGGCGAGTGGCTGCACGAAGAGCGAGATCTCTTTGCGGATTATGAGAAGTATATTGGTCGAAAGGGTGGCGTTCCTGAGAGGATTACGAGAGTGTGGCTGATTTCCAACGGGGTGTTCCAGAGATTGGAGGGAGAGATGACGGTAAGTGGCATTGAGATTGTTGGCAGTGCGGGAGGGAGTGTTGTGGAGGTCCTTCGAGGCGGCCGGGGAGTTAGGAGTAGAGGTTGCTGTGGTCGTGATCGTGGTTGTGTAGGGGTGTAACTTATTTCGGGCAGGCCGGGGAGCTCGGAAGATGATATGAGGTTGTAGATGAACTATGGCAGCCTTCCCCAGCATTGGCGGTACTCTGTGAAGATTAACAGCATACCTGCAAGGCTGCACGGTCGAAGCAATGGCCAAATCTCCGTGAGGCGAGTTGACATACTCTCCTCGGAGCTGAATGAATCCTTCGGTGAAGTTCTCCAACTGTCACAGGTCTGGCCAGTGCTAAGCAAACAGCAAGCAAAATGGTACAGAGGTGCATTTCCAGAGTGATCCAATTGCTGGCTGGCTAGAACGGTTGCGCATGAATGAGCATCCAATACTTTCTGCCTACCTTGCCAACCATCCCTGCTTTGGTAGAGTGACTGTCCGGCCATTGACATGCGCGCCCAGAAGAACGTCGTCTCTAATGTTTCCACAAAGCCTTCGCTTCGGGAACATCACAGGCTGTACCGAAACGTCGGCGAAACGCGGCGTGAGAACAAATCGTTTAGCCGAGTAACCGAACTCTGCTCGCTCGGCTTTACGGGCGGATTGTGGACTCGGTTGTAAGTGCAAATCCAGAAAGTAGACCAGGCTGTTTATTTCGATGAATCGCCGTGGGATGATGGTAGTTAGGCCACGGAGAAATGTTTAGCAAGCCAACGAGGCTGGGTCGTTATTGGCAGTGGGAATGATGCTGTTGAATCCTAAGCGTGCATCGGTAGAGTGTACGCGCTCACTGGAAACTCTCCGGCAGCATCTTGAAGATACCCAGAACAAGTTGAAGTCCAAAGACATCCCTGCCCTCCACAATCATCCGGATCGTTTCCCCGGCAAAGTTGAGCAGCAATAATCAGCCACTACTTTAACGCCGAAGCGAAGCTCGGGATCGGACAAAGTAGGAAGAAGACACGGCCGCACGTGAGAGCTGCGACGGCTTGTCTCGAACCGCTCGTCCCGCATCCATCCACGCGTGCCACGAAAAGTACCCCGCATGACGAAGCTCCCAGCTATGCGGTCTCACTCTGTTCTTGCGAGGTCGGATTGCCCGTCTCTCGTTGTGAGTAATGGCTGGCGACGGATTGGATCGTTGTTTGTTGTTGTATGGAGCTGTCAAACTGCAGCAGTTGGGCGGCCATAACGTCTCTCAACAAATACCGGATCGATCCGGCCTGCGTCCGGTCCGTCGGATAGCTGCAATGTAGGAGGCTCTGCGTCGTCCAGCATGTGTTCCTTGTCGCGAGCCTGGATGCTTCTCATTCGAGCCTCGTCACGTTACAGACAGAGGCACAGAGCTTCGTGACTGGACGAAACCCCTCAAAGATACAGAGGTACAACGACAGCGGTCAGAAGGGTTGTATGCTGGTAGCTCTGTGCCAGGCAGGTGATCTTGCTGATATCCAGGGCGGGCGCCTCGTTGCTTCGATCCCACGAGCGTCTGTCTTTGCCTGCTTACCGCGGATCTGTGTGAGCCACTCTTGGAGCTTTAGATAGCTCTATTTGCTCCTCTCAAGGTCACACCGTTTCTTGACAAACGTGGCGACTGCTGTTTGTGAATACGTATCGACTACCCTGCGACCAGCGTGAAGGCGACATTGTTGGGGAGAGCTGATGACTGTGGTGGGGCCAAGCGGTATCGGGTATCAAGCAGTTGGCCTTTCACATGTAAGTGATAAACCCACGGGTACAATCGGGACAAAGCCAGATACCACGCCTCTCGCTCGTAGCCAATGTCTGGGGCTCGTGAAGCCGGATGTTGAGGGCGGAGTGGGAAGCGAAGGAGCGTTAATTTGCGATGTCGCAACCCGATCGAACTCGTCGTTTGAGTTGCGATCATACAAACATGGAGCACGGCCTGACGGAACACAGACGTGAATCCCCACCGACCCTCCCACTCCACTCCACCTCTTCACGCTTGCTGCTCTACCAAACGTCAGCAAACTTGAGAGCACACATACACCCACCTTGACGAACACACGACGACATCATGAGTTCCTCTGTGGTGGAAGCTGCGAAGCGAAAGGCCAACGAGGCCGTCAACGCTGCGAAAGGTGTTGCAGAAGATGCTCCAGCAGCCATGCAAAAGGCGTCGGAGAACCCGCAACAAGCGACCAGAGACTTCTTACATACCCCATTCATGCGTGCAGCATTGCCATTCGTCAACGGTGGAGCTGCAGGTATGGTCGCAACATCATGCATACAACCGATCGATATGATCAAGGTCCGCCTGCAGCTTGCTGGAGAGGGTGTGAAGACGGGTCCCAAGCCAACACCTCTGAGTGTGACAAGAGAGATCATTGCCGCTGGCAAGGTCATGGACCTTTATACCGGTCTTTCTGCTGGTCTTCTGAGGCAGGCCGTATATACCACTGCACGCCTGGGATTCTTTGATACCTTCATGAAGTCGCTGAGCGCTTCCGCAGAGAAAGATGGCCGAAAAGTTGGCTTCAAAGAACGTGCTGCTGCAGGCTTGACTGCAGGCGGCTTGGCAGCGTTCGTTGGCAATCCAGCAGATTTGGCCCTCATCCGGATGCAAAGTGATGGGTTGAAGCCGAAGGCAGAGCGGGCGAACTACAGAGGAGTCGGCGATGCGTTGATGAGGATCGCCAAAAACGAGGGAGTCACTCGATTATGGGCTGGAGCGACTCCAACAGTGATCCGGGCCATGGCATTGAACTTTGGACAGCTTGCGTTCTTCTCTGAGGCCAAAGCTCAGCTGAAAGATTCATCTCTGGGACCACGAGCTCAGACTCTCACTGCATCCGCCGTAGCAGGGTTCTTTGCATCGTTCTTCAGTCTGCCGTTCGATTTCATCAAGACCAGGCTCCAGAAGCAGTCCAGGAAACCAGACGGAACTCTCCCGTACAAGGGTTTCTTCGATTGCTTCCAAAAGGTGCTCAGGGAGGAGGGTCCGTTGCGTTTCTATCGTGGCTTCGGAACATACTACACACGCATTGCGCCACACGCGTAAGTAAGGCCAGTTAGAGTGTTTAGCAGACACTGACAGGTTGCAGGATGGTGACTTTGATCGTGGCCGATTACCTGAACTTCATCACCAAGTAGGGGGCCGCGCCATGGAACATCGATGAGAGAAGGACTTGCAGGTATCTCCGAAAACCCCTTCCAGTCGGCAATGGCACTAATGATTAGAAGAGCCACGCATTGGCACAGTCAGATATCGTTTGGTGGGGCTTCTGTGACCTGGAAGCTGAGGCTTGGCATATCTTCCTTACACCAGCGCGGCAATCCAGAGGACCCGGCCAAGAGGTGAGCTTGACACATCACATCCAGCGGTCTAGTGAAATAGGTGGGCATTTCCATGAGCGCAAGGCGTGTTCGGTGCTGGTTGATAGGATTTTCTCTCGAGGGTATGTAAATAGTCCGGCATGGGATCATGATGGCCTTTGAGCGCACAAGTGGCCAGTATTCGTCCATCGGCTTCAGTGCTTCCCCTGACTCAAGCTTTGAAAGAAATGGCTTTCTTCTCACTGGTGAAAGCGATCATGCTCTCGTGGGAACCTCTGGCTTGTGAGAAAGCTTGCGGTGTTCGGGGTATTCGTTGTTTCTCTTGTAACATCGATCCAATTTCTGTCGTGCGGGTTGATTCGATCACGCCTTTCATTCTCGACATGCAGAGGGATGTTCGTCCAAATGATTCTGTGAGGGCGAAGAGTGAAGTGTTGTCTCGTCAATTTCGAGATCTTCGTCGGCGCTCGGCCCGATTCCGGGACAGCTTAATCAACATTCAATCTAATCGCGTCGCCAGACGCGTCTCCACCATCACCGAACAACACCACCCCCAAACATGGCAACACGAGCACGACAGTCGACCGTCCAGCCCACACCTTCGAGACAGTCAAATGCCGGGACTGGTCGTGCTATAGCAGGCACCAGCAACACTGAATTGCCTGAATACGAACCGCCCGAGTTCTCCCTCAACCCGGCCGCGCAACGCGCACTCGCCCAACTCGCACGAACACACAACGGATCCAAATTGAACGACCGCCTAGACAGCGCCCATACACATGTCACAGAAGCAGCCACGGACATCAATGATGTACTTTTCGAGAGGGTTCAGAGTCTGCAGAGAGTGAAGGAGAAGCGCAGGCGGGCAGCCGAAGATGCAGACGAAGAGGACGACGGAGAAGATGGGACGCTAAATGAGTTGGAAGAAGATTTGGCACAAATGAGCAACAAGGTCAAAGGCATGACAGATCGCATGGAGCAGAGGATTCGCAAGATTGTGGATGCCAAGCACGCGGTGAAGCACATGGCGGACGCTGTCACCGCAACTGCAGACGATGCGAGGACCAATGCTAGCACTCAAGCAAGCACTCTGAATACGAGGTCGCAGCGGACGAGAAGACGGCAGAATGATGAAGACGGAGAGGAAGAGTCGGATGGCGAGGAGTTGCCCGATTTCGACCCTACCGATCCTGCAGCTGGCACTGCACCTGTGAATCCACCGCTTGATGTCTTCAATAAGAGATTGGAGGAGATGAAGACCCGATATCAGTCGTTCAATCACACCACCAGATACGCGGAGGATAACGACTACAGAACCTTCAAACGAGCAGTACACGACGCTCAGTACCGAGACGATGAAGTTCCTCTACCTCACTATACGGAGTGGTTCAACGATGATGGCACAGTCGCAGCTCTCGGAGTGACGAACGCAGATGGGGACGACGATTCAGATGACGATATTGCGGTCAGTCGAGCGACGATCAGCACGAAATGCTCGCTCAGTCTCAGAGAGTTCGAACACCCCATCACCTCCACAAAGTGTCCGCACAGTTTCGAGAAGGTACACATCCTCGAATTCATCGGCAACTCAGCTCAACGCATGCCACCTGTCAATGGGCGTCCTGGCGAGAAGGCCGTGCAATGTCCTGTTGGTGGTTGTACACAGATGCTCTCGAAGAGCGATCTAAAGGTGGATCCCATTGTCGTCAGGAAGATCAAGCGACTGCAAAAAGCCAGAGAGATGGAGATGGAGGAAGATGAGGAAGACGACGATCGGCCTACGAATGGTACTCAGCACAGGGCCCATCAAATCATTGACGATAACGACGATGACGAGGAAGATGCTACGAATATCGATGGTATGGATGTTGATGACCCACCAGTCAACCCCAAGCAAGAGCCGCGATCTTCCAGACCTGGACCTTCTGAACCGCCACGGCCGTCGCAAGCCGTTGACCTGCTGGATGACGACGATGAGGAAGAGGACGAAGAGGAGAGCATGTACGACTAGGCTTCACGATACCCAGATGGTTCTTCAAGGCCATATTCACCTACATAAAACGACGAAAAGTGTATCTTGGCAAAAAGAAAGTCATAACCATCATAATCTCACACACAAGGTATCTCCCTCCTATACTCTCAATCTACCTCTTCCAATCATTCCTCCACAACCGTCCCTTCCACCCCTCCGCATCCATAGCACCCTTCGGCTTCTGCACATCCCCACCACCACCAACAGACCCTCCTTGTCCCTTCTCCACATCCTTCACCTCCACCATCAAGCCCCTCTTGTGACCCCTCGACGCCGGCGTCGAATCCAACTGAAACCCCGCGCGTTTACTCCTCCTATCGATCGAATTCCTTGGTGGCCCACGACCCGTGAAGCGTCGAGAAGCACGGCGTATGGAGGCGCGGATGTTCCATTGCCGGCGTTTGGCGATTATGAAGAGGGTTGTTGTTGCGACTGGACATTCACACATACACGTTAGAAACTCGCGAACATCGTTCGTTTGTGGCAATTGGAGAGGGTGGATTTGGACGTACCGCCAACGATCACGACCAATGCGACCACGACGATGATGGCCGCGAGACCGCCTTTGGAGAGGTTGAAGCTGTTGGAGGAGCCTCCTGATGCGCCGGCGTCGGTGTCGGCGCCGTTGGAGGAGCCTGCTATGCCGGAGTTGGGGTCTGAGGAGGTTGTTTGGGTGGAGGTGGAGGGGGATGTGGATGTCATGGTTGGGTTGTTGTGTCCCAGGAGGACGGGTTGCTTTTGTTGGGATCTTTCGCGTGGTACAGGATGGAATGAAGCTTGTTCGTTGTGCGTTCTAGACGGGAGTAAAGAGAAACCAACGAGGAAAAGAAGAAGCAACAGAACGTCAACCTCAACTCACCTTCAAAGCAGAAGAGAAGAGCATCTCCCACTTGACAACACCGCCAACCTGGAAGCGCCAGCCGCCAGCCCCAGCATCTATTCACATCTTGGCTCCCTTTTCACACGGTGACGAACTGCTTTCGTCCACTGCAGGTCCCGAAGACGATTGGATGGTCGTGCAGGATGCGTGTGGGAGAGAGTGAGGTCGGCGCTTAAAGGGAGAGGAGGGTCTGTGCTGGAAGCGTGTTCTGGGTTGTGATTGGTTGGAGGCGGAAGCAGGGGTGTTTTGAGGGTTTTCCGATTTTCGAGGACTTCGTCGAGACTTGCTTGTGATGAGGCAGTACTGCATGTCGGTTTGAGGCCTGATCTCGCGAGATACTCCTACTTTTCCATGGCTCAATGGCTTGTGATGCGCTTTGAAGGGCTGCCCAGAACGCGGGCTGCAAGAATGGAACCGGGAAACAGACGACTTCGACACCACCACGAGCTTTTCCGCCCCGTTCACCTCTCGTCAAAGCCAGGACGAGTAGTGCCGTAGTGCTCTTCTAGCACTGGCGGCATCGTCTCTTTTTCAACGGCCACCCGAGCTTGAAGGCCGATACGGACGGATCCTAAGGTCTAGAGGTCTAGATCGAAGAAGCTGGCTGGGATCCGAATTTATTTACCTGACGGATGGCTGTGCTTCATCATTGGGACCTATGTTGAGTGCAGCAGGCGGCTCTGTGCACTCCAGAGCCAGGACTTCGGTGTCGTGATACATTGCCCAGTGGAGAGAGGAGAAGAAGGCGTAACACTGGGAGAGCTCGAAAGTATGCTATGAACCACCTCGATGCCGTTGTGAAGACTTGTCGCTCTACAGAGACGAGTAATCTGGGCTCAGCGGGGTTTGGTTCATTCATTTCGAGAGTTCTTCGCGGTCTTGTTGGTCTTGAGGAATTGCAAGCTGTTGGGCTGAGCATGATTGGATGATGGTCTTGCTGCCAGCCTGATATATCCACGGCAGAGAGTCTGCTGAGTTGAGATCCGCGTACTTCTGAGGTCCAGTCAAGATGCTGCGTCGTCTTGTCGTAAGTAAGAGTCCCAATCTCTTTTTTCACGGGTGCCGGCCGCAAGTGTTTCGCGAGGAAGGTGCATTGATCGGTGGGCTGCGTGACTGCCTCACTTCCAAGTTGTTGCTCGACTTCACCTCGTCAGCTCATCTGAACTTCCATCTCTTCCCTTCCACACTCACTCCACCATCAATCCTCGCTATTTGCTCTACGCCACACATACGACACTGCCATCAGTGGCACCCACGCCGCCAGCAATGGCCACTGCCGACGGCTCTTACGACGACCACCACATGGACCACCAGCCACGAACTGACGGACGACGGATGCCATCCCAAGATGACATTCACTCCGATGTCCTTCCGCACACCGACAACGCCAATGCCTACCGCAACCCCGTGTCTCACAATGCTGGGTTCGAGATCAATGGCATGAGAGATCCCATGTCCGACATGAACATTGTCGAGGTTGACCAGGACCTTGACGAATACGCAAGAGCTCGCATTCAAGACCGTGGCCCAGGCCCGGTTCATGAGTCTGAAGGCCCAAACGAAACCGTGATGGCTGACAACTACGATCACAGCTATGCGGAAGGTACATGTGAAGTGCTTCATCATGAATCGAAAGCCCGAACTGACACGGTGACAGATGCAACCTATGCACGGGCGCCTACTGATTTCGACCTCGAGCGAGCTCCAGCACGACATATCTCCGTGGAGCAGGATACACACGTACCAACACCGCCCAAGAAGAACAAGAAGTCAAAGAAGCTCAAGAAGCAGCCTCAAGAACCGCGGAAGCAGCCACAAGATGGACTTTCATTCGCAGCATTTGGAGGACAAGCCCATGGTCATGCAGCACTAGAGCGTTTGGACGAGCATGAGCAGCGCTACCACTCAGGGCACGAACAGTACTTTGATGCCCACCAACACCAGGAGCAGCCTGAGTACACGGAGCAGCTTCCAGCACCCGGTAAAGATCAGCCAATATGCATTAGCTCGCCAGAGGTGCAACCTACCGACATGTCTGAAGCCGCGACGTGGCCTCCCACCCACATGATACCATCAACGGAACAATCTGCTCCCATGGCTGAGAGTCATCAACCTGATATTATCCATGTTCAACCGCGGCCGTTCGTTTCGACATATCGCCCCAGACCGCTCCTCAACACTTCCACAAACGAGTTGACGGATAGACGAAGTCGAGACACGATGTCCAATCAAGCTAATACCGCTCCCGTACACCCCCAGACGCCTCCTCAGACTCAGCCATACGACATTCCTGATCAATCATCCCACGAGCGGCCGGTCTCTGACGCTATTGATGTCTTTGCTCAACAACTCCGTCGCACGTACGAACATCAGTCAGCTCAGCAGATCCAACAGCTCACGGCCGAGAAGCAGTCGCTTGCAGATCAACTGAAGCACGCCGTGAACGCCCAGAATGCCCTCGCAAGCCATGTGTCATCTCTGCGCGATGAGAAAGAGAGATTCGCCATTTCACTAGAACAGGAGAAGGCAAAGTTTGAGAACGTCAAAGGCAAAGTGATCCAGTGCAGAACGTTTGTCCATGGCGTTGAGGGTGATTTGAGCAAGCTCAGGCTCGATGCCGACAGTCATCGCAAGCGAATCGAAGCTTTGTTGGCTGCAGATAACAGGAGTGTCCCGGACATGTCAAAGTTCATTGAAGACTCCGAGCGTCTGAAGAACGACGTCGCCCGACAATGCCAAGCGGCCAAACATGAGCTGTCATCGGCAGAAGTCAACGTCGCTCATCTGAATGATAAGCTCAAGGAGAAGACCGGTGCTTACGAGGAGGAGAAAAAGCTTCGACTGCAGTTCCAGACTCAGCTCACCGCTAATGAAGATACGAAGAATGCCATTCTTCGCCACATGAAGATGTACCAAGACGCTGCGATGGACAAGTTGTACGAGGTCCACGCGACAATCGAAGACAGCAACAATCGCCAGGAGATTGCTGAGATGCTTAAGAAGACGACAGCAGCAATCCAGGGCCTGAACACGCAACAAGTCGCGACCATTGACGATGTGGTCTCAGTAAAGGGCCTGGTGGAGTCATTAGCAGAGAGGTGAGTATCATCATTGAACCCGGATTGCCACTGCATTATGCAGAATTCAGAGCTGACCATGCTGTAGCGTCGACCAATCCGCGAGTGATCGCCAATCAGACCAGGCAGACAAGATATCTGCTCTGGAAACGAAGATCACTGAGCTGGAGGCCGAAGTGCACTCCAAGAATACCGAAATTGCATCGCTGCAAGGCAAGCTAGACTCTGCTCCAACGCCTTCTTCCGTCTCAGACGAACGGGTAGAGACCATTCGGAGGGATGCACTGGCGTTCCAGGCACAGCGCCAGGCTGAGATGGAGAACGAATTGAAGAAGATGCGCGGTCGACCGGGCAAAGACGAGTTCACGAAGCTGAAGCAGCAAGCTGCTGACTCGCAGCGCCTTGCTGACAGCCGTGAACAAGACATCCGCAATCTCAACGAGCAACTCAAGAACCGTGAGGCCGAGAAACACGAGCTGGAGAAGAGAGTCGGTGCCTTAGCGAGTCAAGATCAACTTGCATTGATTGAGAAGCGACGAGCAGAGGCACAGCAACTTGCGAACCATCGCCTGGAGGAGAATGAGAAGTTGACCGCACAACTTCAGAACGAGAAGCGTGAGCGGTCAACTGCGCAGAAACTGGCCGACAATCGGCAGCAGGACATCACCAAGTTGAATGATCAGATTACGAACAATCAGCGCAAGTTCGAGCAACAACTCGCCGCCCGTTCGAGCCCAGAAGAGGAAGCATTTTTGAAGCAACAACTCTCAGAAGCTCAGCAACTTGCGAAAGAAAAGCAGACGTCTATCAACACCCTTCACAGGCAGGTAGAGGAGAAGCAGGAGAAGTGTCAGCAGCTGGAGAGTAATTACGAAGAGTACAAGACCAGTTGCGACACGACCATTGCTAAGGACGGAGAGCGCTGGAAGAAGCACGTCGAAGCTCTTCAAAATGAGGTGGCGGAAAAGAACAAAGAGTTGCAGGCCAAGAAAACCGAGGAAGACAAATATCGGTCAGACATGAGCCAGCGCTGGGAGCTCGAAGAGAAAACGCGCATATCACTGCAACAACAACTCAGGGAAGCCAAGCGACGGGAGCTGAACGATCGAGGTGCGACAACTCCTATCGTGCAAGACTCGCAACAAGATGAGACGCGCATCTCGACAGCCAGTTCTCATCATTCCCGTCCTGTCTGGGCTTCCGAAACCCAGGACGCTTACGACCATCTTGAGAAGCTGTCGTTTCAAGACAACCCGAGTGAGCAAGGAAGCAATTACAAGTACCAGAAGCCGCAACAGGCGCCCAACAGCTCATCCAAGCGCGTCGCAACGTCGTCGACCAAGAGCAGTTTGCCTGCGTTCGTCGCGAGCCAGATGAACCGCGGATCCACGACGTACAGTCTTCACAGTAACGGCCATTCGCAGAATACTTCCCAGAATACTTCCCAGAATACTTCGCAACACACATCGCAACACACATCGCACGGCAAAGAGCCCGTAAAGCGCAAGGCTAGCACAGGAGGGCAAATCATCAACGGCTACGAGAGCGAGCGCCGGAAGCGACTCAAGCCAAACGCACGTAGCCATGCCGACACGCAGTCTCGTCCGAATGCTACTCCCAACGTTCCGGGCTCTTCACAAGGATCGCGTACTCGAGTCACGAGGTCCAGCACGTCGCAGATGGCCGCCCGCTTTGCTCAGGATCTGCCGAGAGGCAATGGTGGACTGGGTGGAGGGCGCTAGAGGTGGATGTCTGGCATGATGGTGCGCAGATGTGTTGGTGCAAATGTGTTGGTGTTTTGATTTGACTTCGCTCGAGACGATCTGTTGGAGCTGGCTGTATGTATGTAGCTTCGCTGCTCTTTTCCATGCATCATCGATGGCTCCTCTTCTTGGACGCTGCTCTTGGCCTGCATTTCATCCCAGCCTGTCTGTGTCCATCTTCATCCTCAATCCACCCCATGCATCAACCGCCAGCCATCGCTACGGTGCCTGGCCTGAATCTGCCTCACTCTCGTCCCATGAATATCCCCAGTCACAATGCTTCATCTCATCCTCAGTTCCTGTTCTCCTCACTTCCCACCCCTCTTCGCCTCAAGAAACAGAACCTTCTTCTTCACTGCCCACCAAAGACACCATTCATCAGCCTCCATTCTCATTCTCATTCTCATTCAACGCAACCAGCTTCGACATCCATGTCTTGTCTGTATGTGGGATGTGGGAAGTGATGTAGCTTACCAACAGGATCATACTTGAGCATACTCAGCGGCCGGTGCGCTCGCGGGCGTGAAAAAGTTTTGTAGTAGCCCGTCATGGCCATGGAGATTAGGCGGACGGCTATGGTGCGGGATTTGGCTGTTCCGTTGCGTTAGATGCTGTTGGTGTTTGACACGGGGGGTTTTGGGATGGAGGATCCGGGAGGGACTGGGAGCATTGGAGGGTGGGGGAAGGGGCACACCTTTCTTGGCCATGGTTGATGGGTCGTTGGCATGCGATGGTGTTGGTGGTGGGTTTGGGAGGTGAAGTTGAGATGAGACGGTCACGTGCGGGTGTTTTGGCCGCGGAGGTGGTGGTGCATAAAGTTTCTTGTGAAAGTTTGTGCTGGGACGCATAATTTCCCAACTTCACATCGTCTTTTTGGATTTATCACTATTTTTCCGCGGTGCTCATCGTCTTTCACCTCGTGAACTGGCAAACAATTACTTTGATCTAACTTCAATCAATACATGCTCCTAAGATATTATGTGTTCAAGTCAAGTAGTACCTATCTCACATACCTAGTCCACTTCAAGAGTCGATACCATCGAAGTCGTCCTTGAAGGTGATAACATACACCTGTCCTGAGCCGCACCCAATGACTACTGTACGACTCCGCACAGCTGAGGCCATAGGCCTGTACGGCGGCGGTAGCCAAAGTAGGTCATCGCCATCCCACGTGATCCACTCATCATCATCGCTGATACCGGGTCCCTGGAGCTGAACCGCCATCTCTTCCGTTGACGTGCTATCAGGAGAAGAATCTGGCGGGAGAGTAAAAACGCCTCGGCTTGAGCTTATCAGTGGCCCGTTGTTGATGAACATTAAGTTCGACGCTTGATTACTATTCCAGTCGAAGCTGTGCATTAGGGTCTTGCGTTTCAAGTCCCATACTTGCAACCGATCATTCATAGTGTTTGACAACAGTCTCTCACCATTTTGACAGAAGGCAAGAGATTTGAGAGCCCGATTAACCGTGGATTCGCTCATGTCTCTCAATGAGATTTCGTCTTTCTCTCGGCCGTCAGAAAGGTACCAAATCTTGACGAAAGAATCTGAGTGGTCACCGGTGGCAATTAGCTCTCCATCTGCTGAAAAGGCGACCGCCATTGGCGAAACCAGATATCTTCGGGGTTTTACTCTTTCCGTATTCCACTTGAAGCTTTTGTCTGCAAGATTCCACACCTTGACACTACGTTCAGCCCCAGAAGCGATCATTGTGCCACACGGCGAGAAATGGACCGACCCCAGCATCTCCGCATCGCGGATTATATTGCATGAACAGCCGTTCTTATCCCACACTTTCAGGTCAGACCCTTTCTGAACGATTTTGCTTTTCCCGTTAGAGTTTTCAATGGCGCTGGCTCTTATGTAGTGCACCGTTGCAAACAAGTCACCCCCAGGCGAGATGGCGATTTCTGCATTTGACGTTTCTCCTGCTAAAGTACGTACGCAGGTGCCGTCGACATCCCAGACTTTGACCGAGTCTGTGCTGCTTGATGCAAACCACATAGTGTTGGGAGACATCGAGATTCGGTCGACCGTAAAGCCATGGCTACTACCCCTCGAAGACTGACTCTTTGGTATGGTCCAGAGCTTCACCGTGCAGTCAACAGATGCCGAGGCGAGCAGCGTCCCATCTTTAGAGCAAGACAGCGAATATAAAAAACCACCATGTCCACCGAGTCTTGCAAGGGGGTCTCCGCTACGTATGTCTAACAAATGAATAGAGCCGGAGCCGGAGCTGGCCGCAACGAGCTGAGAGTCCGGCAAAAAGGCGACGGAAGTAAAAGCAGCAAGACTGATATCGTCGAGTCCCTCGTCTTCGTACGGATTGAACTTTCGTAGCAGTGAGGCACTTCGGGTCTCGATATTCCAGATGCTCAAATCGGCGTTTCTCTCGACCACCACTGCTAACAGTTTCCCATCGGCGCTGAGGCTCGGAGAAGCGATAGGTACATGCCCAATCACCACGGATTTGCAAATCCCAGTCTCGACATCCCAAACCTGAACAGTGGCCCCAGCCGTTGCGAGAGACTTTCCATCAGAAGAGTACGCAAGTCCGTTGAACCCATAAGGAGGATGGCCGTCCGGTGCTACCTCCAAAACGGGAGCTCCGAGCGAATTGTCTTCAACGTCGTATATTGAAACCCTCCACGAACCCACAAGATCTTCAATGCCAATGGCAATTTCCGGCTTGGAGGGGGAGAATCTGACGGCACACAGACTTTCCCCGGCAGCTACGACTTCGATTTTCGAAAGCTCTTTGCGCTCCAGAACATTCCATACATCGACGTTTTCGTTGTTCACTAACGCGAGTAGACCACCGTTTGGGGAGAACACAATCCCTTGAGATTTTGAGAAGCTCGGCTCAAACCATTGAGAACGGGCCCCAGTATGTAAATCCACGAACTCAACCGAATCCGTAGTCTTGGTTACGAATTTTCCATTTTCCAAGGAGAATCCCTGAAAGTCACCGTTGAAAGTATAAGTCTGCTGGCAGGCATGCCAATCGTCTTCCATGGCCGGTGTATTGGCGATGAAATCCGGCCTTTGGGCTTGAAACAGCTCCCTGATCATACTACCGGCTGGTGTGAAGAGAGATGCAGCGCAGTACACCTGGAGAGGATACTCCTCTATCCCATCTTTGGTAAGTCGGCAGAATCGATCCGCATCATCCACCAGGCGTGAAAGTTGTGGATTCGTTTGCTTGTGCTGTACGTGTTAGCTCACGATCTGGTCACAAGATCACCACTAGCCAAGTGTACGTACGTGAAGTAGCTTCTGAAGTTTTCTGATCGACAGCAAAGCCGATGGCATTTTTTGCATCAAGCAAATTGCTACCAGCCATTCCAGCAAATGGACCTTCAAGAAGGCCAAGATTTCGTCATAGAGGTCAGGTCCATGTGTAGTGTCCGGCATATCACAAAAGTGATTTATCCAGTAACGGCATGAATATCGCACGGCGACCAGATATTCCAAGTCTGAGAGTTCTTTCCGAGGGGTAGCAGGACTTTTCGATCTCATATCTTCTGCCAGGTCGCTTCCCATAGCTTTGAGCGAACTTTTCAGAATCTCAGCGTGGCCGTCCGTGTACGCTCCTGGAAACAGTCCACGAATGTCATCATCTGGTCTTTCTTTCAAGTAGTCGAGTGTCGACTGATGAAGGAGATTGACGACGCCGTCCCGGACAGTCAACAAGCCAGAATTCTCCAAAAAGTCCGCGTCTTCTCCAGGTGGTGCTTCGTTCGCAAACATCATCATTTCGACGACGCTCAGAGGACGGTATGCAAGCACAGCGGCCGAGATCGCTCTTTGATACGATTCCTTGTGTGGCGACGCGTTGATACGCTGGATCATCCGAGCGTACACTTTCTTGAGCTCTGACGGAATGTTGTCCAGTGTTGCAAGCATCTTGCGAGGCTCACAGTCCTTCAATTCCCGAAATACCAGCGATACCCAGAGAAAAGTACCGTCCGTCCTGTCTCGCAGTACCTTTCCAACGTCGTTGAGGGCTTTCTCCTTCTCTTCCAACATCTTTTGCTTGCTTTTCGGTACTCTGCCCTCTACTTTTCGCACATGCTTCTCTTTCAGCTCGCTGACCTTTCGTTCGATGAACAAGTCGACAGCTTCAGCAGCTGACTCTCTGTTCACCTCAATGGACTCATACTCCTGCAATGCTTTTACGTCAGGCTTGTGTTGTTCGGTGTTGCCTAAAGCATTCGCGATTTGCTCAATGTTTCGACCAGACACCAGCCATTTGACCTTGTCGCTGACCTGTATTGTTTCTGAGATCAAATCCAGGAGATCGACCAGTCCTGCCACTGAATCGTGAGAATCACAGTGCTTGCACTCGTCGAGAGCGTCGACGACGAAGACAGCCCGCTCCAACATCTGATCTCGGATCATGTCCAGGAAGATCCTGCTCAAAGTGGGGAAAGCATCATTGGCAGTCAAGAACCGATCTCCGGAAGCATTGATTTCTTTGAATACGTGCTGAAAAAGCGATTTGTTTTGGCGAATCAGCATCGCCATTAGACCCTTCAGAATGGCTGTGGCGGTGTTCAGCTCATCGTTCGACCCTTGGCAGAAGAAGTAACATAGACACGGCAGGTTGAAATGCCCGTGAAGTTCGCGGATCAGACCGATGACAATCATGGTCTTGCCAGTACCAGCGGCGCCTTTGATCCAAAGCATCCGAGATCCTCGTGTTGTATCCCAGACCAGGAACTGCTTGTACTGAGGCTTCCCGGAGATCCATGAATAAGAGTTGGGAATCAGCTTATCCTTTCGCTTCTCCAACGCAGTCATCTCGTCGAACATGTTTCTGACCGAGAGCTTGGACATGATCCCACTTTCTGCCTCTGTCAAGTGGAAGTCCACGAGGAGTTGAAGCTGAGTGTTCATCTGCTGGTCACACTTCTGACTCGCGAAGTCCGTCGCAGTCTTTTCCGCCTTGAGAATGGCGTCCAGCTTGTCTTTCCAGCTGCCGAACATCCTCGACGTGAAACGGGATACCGCGTGCTTGTGATGCTCATACACGGTCGTGATGATGTAGTCCAATATTGCTTTGTAGAGGTCACGGATCCGACTTGCTAGTTGCAATCGCAAGTCGTGGTAGCGGATGTCTTGGTTTCTGGGTGTGTCGTCGAGTAGTAGGAGGGACATATTAGAATACCATCTCATCTTATTCACGACTTCAACAATGCCGTCGCGATTCTCTTGGTTCTCGTGAGGAGATTTCACAAGAAACTACGCTACGTCAGCGGTGAGAGAATGGCGTCTTGAATTCGACGAACCTCCAGCGCAATGCAGATAGGCGTCCAAGCAGCAGCAGCTATAGGGACTGATGAGAGTGCGGTCCCCACAATGTCCTTCACAGTAAGCACCGTGTCTATGACAAGTCCAAGTCCTCTATCAAATTTGTCCATCCGGGCTGTTCTTTCAAGGCTCCGGCCTAGCAGCATTTTCATTTGCTCTAGTTCTGGCTGACCTTGCAGTTCCGTGGCGTTCTCGACTAGACCATTGGCGGGATCGCGAAGAAAGTCCTCGTATTGCAAGACCATACTTTGAGTTTCTGCATCGTCTTTGAGAGCCTCATATGCTTCACGCCAGAGTAACAATTTGTCGGTCGAGTAGTCGCTTCTTGGCTTCGACGTTTCCTGCGGTAGCTTGGGAGGTACACGCCCAAGGGCGTCGTTCGTAGTGGTGTCTTTGAGCGGCTGCCTGGGCGCTGTGTCCTGCCGAATGCTTCCCGTCTGGCGAGCAGGGGACTCATGGCGGTATCTGTGTCGTGAGAACAATGACTTCTTTCCCTTTTTATCTTCTGCCATGCTTGATAGCTGACTTGCTGTGTCACTTCAGCATGTCTTATGATCAATTGTGGTTGAAAAGAAGAGGACATGAGGCTGAGCTGAATCATAGATCGAGCAATTCCAGGTCGCCCCAGAGGCACAGCGGCAAACACACTGCATGTGGCTTGTGCAACTTCAGCGCCCAATGGCTGATCACTGCATGATGTTCACCACATCATGCGGCTTTCATGCAGTGGGGGCGGCAGGAGAAAGGTACCAGCAGCCAATGGCGACCTGTAGCCATTCGTTCACTGTATCTGGCCGCTCCTGGATGCATGGTGCGTAGAGTGTCGTCTAACAGAAACAACGGACTGCTAACAATTCTTGATATCTTTCGAAGGACTTGTTGTTTGGTTCACGAAGTCGCGACAAACACTAACGGCTTCGTCACGTGCACGCTTTGCCGAAATTGGCACTTCTGAATGAAATGCCGACGGGCCGGTCGTAGCTCTGCCGAGGCTTCACATGCCGAAGTAGGACGATGTGACGAGCTCTCTGCATCGGATGCGCTCCCGTCTTATCTTTCTTCTCTCTTAATACTAATACCTAAAACCTCCCTGCGTTGAAGAAACATCATAGCCCAAACAGATCGAGAGACATACCACCGCCGATATGGTCGCCGACGCCGTCATCTACCACCCCGCGGTGAGCCACTTCAACCGCTTTGTTGCGACGACTGGTAAGCGCGAAACATCCCGAACAGCATAACAACGAGGAGAGGACGACATACTAATACCTTATACCATCATAGTCGGCCGCGACAAGGTCCTCCGTACCCTCCAATACTTCTCCCGCTTCCTCGCCTGGTACCTCTACCGCACGAACCACCCAGCAACCACAATCGCGCACTTTGACGCGATCAAGAAGAACTTCGGCTCCGTCCGCAAAGCCTTGCGTCTCGGGAAGTTCGTCGAACACTTCAAAGCCGCCGCCGTAGCTGCGGACTCTAAAGCGCTCGACCCGGTCCTCAAGTCCCTCGCCGTGGGCCGCCAGCTCGGTTACGCCACGTACTTGAGCTTGGATGCGCTCTGTTACTTGGATCAGACTGGGATTTACAAGTTCAGTGCGGGCGCAAGGCTGCAGCAAGAGGCGTACAGGGCGTGGTTCGCTGGGTTGGCATGTAATGTTGCCGCAGGGCTTTACACACTTTACAACTTGACCCAGTTGGCGAAGAAGCAGCAGAGTGAGGGAGATGCGGAGAAGAAGGTTGAGGAGAAGAAGTTGGAGAAGTACGTATACATAGGATTGAGAGGGGTGAGATTTGGGCTAACATATATGTGCTGCAGGGAACGAGCGGCTACGCAGCTGCAACTCGTCTCTGACCTCGCCGATCTTACGGTCCCGACTTCTGCTCTGGGCTTGATCAACTTCGACGACGGTATTGTGGGCTTGGCTGGTACTGTGAGCAGTTTGATCGGTCTGCAGGCCGCTTGGGCCAAGACTGCGTGAAGAGGGTGAAGAATGCAAGCTCATATGAGCGATCTATATATCAAGCGTCGAAATGAGGGTGTGAGTTCGTGAGACGTGTCAAGACTGGATTGACGGGGGATCTATTGTACGTTTTGTTGAGCTCGCGGCCATGTTGTAGAGCTTCGCAGCTTGACTGTGGAGTTTCTTCTCTCGGCTGAGCGAGTTGGCCTATCGGGCAGCAAATAGGCATGGGTGTGGAAGAGTATCAACATACTATATACTTTCGATGTTCCTGCATACTGTAAGTCGCTCATTCCTTTTCGCCACACAACTTCTGTTCAAGTTTTCGACCTCACCCTTTCTATCATAATGTCTGCACAAACCGATCATGCAGAGTCACAATCCTATCGCGCATCAGGTTTCGCAAACCGTCTCGGATGGGTATGTAATATAACTCCCTTCCATAGGACCACCTGATCCAGCTGATAACCCCAGGGTTCCCGCCCCGCGCTCATCATAATCGACGTCTGCGCCGCCTACTTTACCCCAGGCTCCCCTCTGAACCTCTCCTCGAACCCAGAAGCCGCCAAATCCCCCGATGCAATGCGAGACCTCCTCGCTGCAGCCCGCGAGGGAGGCTGCCCAGTCTATTGGACCCAAGTGCAATACGAAAGGGAAGACATGGCCGACGCTGGGCTATTCTACCTCAAAGCGAAGGTCCTAGACGTGTGGAAGAAGGGCGACACCCGAGGTTACGACGCCCTCCTACCTGGTCTGGAACCTCGCGAGGGCGAGACTGTCATCGTGAAGAAGCACCCTTCTGCTTTCTTCGGCACGGATCTCGCTTCGCAGCTGTACTTCAAACAAGTCGACACTGTGGTAATTTGTGGGGTGAGCACTTCGGGATGTGTGAGAGCTACGACGCTAGATGCGCAGTGTTGGAACTTCAGGCCTATGGTTGTGGGCGATGCGTGTGGAGATCGCACGAAGGAGATCCATAATGGGAATCTTTTCGATATGGATGCCAAGATGGGTGATGTTGTCGGTGTGGAGGAGACGTGTGAGAAGATGAGGAAGGGTTGGTGATGTAAGGGGCAGGGGATGGGTGTTGAAATGTTCAATATAGGAAATTGACTTTGCTCCAGGCGTCCAGGCTGATTCAATTTTGAGTTCGTACGAGATCGGCTGAGCCGCTACCTCCATCTTTGATGTCCGTCGATGACATAGAAATCGCAGGATCTTGGTTTTCCTGGGAGGAAAAAATGCGGGCGTATGGATCGAACTTATTTGTCGTCGTATCCGTGTTCCATCACACTGAAGTGAGGGTGATGAGGAGAAAAAGAGCAGAACTCCAAGCAGATGGCCAAATAGCAAAACGCCCTCCAAAAGGGCAACATCATGACACCCATTGGCGTCCGGTAAGCTTTGACCTATCAACTGATCAGCTTGGTGGCCTGAAAGGGACGGCATCCAATGACATCAAATCGTTGGAAAACAGGTGAATGGACATAGACGGTCCTATACAAACGCCGCCGAAACGCCGTACCGGTCGTTATATGGTCTTGAAAGCTCCGCGTTTGGATGTATAAAGTGTTGCGTAGGACCAGGCTGTTGTCGCCATTGATATACTCAAGCACCACCAAAGCAAGCCTTTCGACGACATCGTCACGTTCGACGATCAAGATGCCACCCAAGTTAATCGCCCTCGAAGAACACTTCGACTCTGGGCTGTTCCACATGACAGACCCTTTACACAGCAGACTCCCAGAACATATCGATTCCCGCCTTCACGACATTTCAGATCTCCGAACCAAAGACATCGATAACGGCGGCCTCGCCCTGCAAGTCCTCTCGCATGTTGGTGGTCCAACGCCCGTAGAAGAATGCCGCAAAGCCAACGACATGCTCGCAGAAGCATGCAAGAAAAGTTCTGGCAAGATGGCCGGCTTCGCCATGCTCCCCATGCAAGATCCCACCATTGCAGCGGAAGAACTCGAACGCTGTGTCAAACAGCTCAACTTCCCAGGTGCTCTCATCAACAATCATCTCGAAGACGGTACTCGCTACGAAGACGAGAAGTTCTGGCCCGTCTTCGCCAAAGCCGTCGAGCTAGATGTCCCCATCTACATTCACCCCGTCTACCCAGGCACAAATCTCCAAGAGCATTACACCGGGCCTGGCCTATCCGACTTCTCCTCTACGATGATGGCGACCGCTGCATGGGGCTGGCATTCTGAGACAGGCCTCCATGTCCTCCGTCTATTCGCAGCAGGCCTCTTCGACCGCTTCCCAAAACTCAAACTCGTCATCGGCCATATGGGTGAGATGCTGCCCTACATGCTCGAACGAACTATCCACTCCACGCGGGTCTGGGGAGAGTTCAAGCGTTCCTTGCGAACGGTCTGGGAGGAGAACATCTGGGTCACGACGAGTGGGATGTTCAGTCTGCCGCCGCTGGAGTGTCTCTTGAAAGTGACTCCGAAGGACAAGGTGATGTATGGCGTGGACTATCCCTTTTCGACGACGGAGACGGGGTTGGAGTTTGTGAAGCAGATTGAGGAGAGTGGGATTTTGAGTAAGGAGGAGTTTGAGGGGTTTTGTTTTGGGAATGCGGAGAGGTTGTTGAAGGTTAAGGTGTAGTCGGGGCGATGAAGAGATGACGTCGAAATGTAGGCGTCAATAGGATATGTGAGCTGGAAATTGCTTGAAAGCGCCAGGTGCATCATTTTGTTGCAGTAGTCCTCCTGCTGTAAGTAGGGTTTAGGAAGTCCAGCCCATGACCTGGCAATTGACAAACTATAGGACCACGTCGGAGGTTTCTGCGTTCTGGAGAGGCGCTGTCTTAGATGAAGACAAGGGCACAGTACTTGTCAACCGGTGAGTAGCTGGACTGTGTCGACACGGGCGCTTGGTCGCAGCTGCGGCGCATACAGACAAATGCAGAACGGAGCATCCCCGGCCAATGGACGTACATGCGCAGGTGGCTCAGCTCCAGTGCGGCAGAGTGACAAACACATATAATGTGCAAGCTCACTCCTTGCGTGGTCTTGTTTTGGCGACAATCATTCGTGTATAACCTATCGCCAGGTATTCATGGCCGCAGAGTCGAGCTTCGGCGAACTAACGAAGCAGTGGGAGAGTCTCAGAAGCAGTGATGAGGCTCGCCATAGTTTGGTTGAGGTATGGTTGCCAGTGCGATTGATCTCCAGTCTCGAAATTGACAGTCTTGCGCAGGACTTGTTTGAAAAGTTGAAGCTTTCGCACAGCGACAACGAAGGACTGCGTGAAGAGATCGACACCCTAAAGTTCCATGAGCGTAACTTCGTACGAAAGATCAAGGAAGCCGAAGAGGAGAACAAGAAGCTGTCTACTCGCCTGAGGTCAATCGAACAGGAGAGCCCGTTCTTGTTGGTCCTAATAGATGGAGATAACACGCATGTGAGTCGACAATGAGTACCGTTTGCCGGGAAACCACAAGCTGATCATCCAGTTCAACGATGAGTTCGTGAGAGATGGTGCTGGCGGCGGTTACAGAGCTGCTCAGAGGCTTCACGAGGCCATCACTTCTCACGCGTTAGACTTACAGAGCGGGAGCCAGTGCAAGATTGTTGTTCGCATCTACACAAACATGTTTCGTTTGTGTGGTGCGTATGAAAAGTCCGCCGGCTCAATTAGCGCTCAATTGGTCCGAGCCTTCATTGGCGGCTTCAATCGTGAACTGCCTCTGGCGGAGTTCATCGATGTTAGGAACGATAAGGAGGCAGCCGATCACAAAATCAGAGGTTATCCTTCCTTGCCCCCAAAGTGAATGGACACGGATACTGACCATGTCCAGAGAATCTGACCTTGTATTGGTCCAACCAGCACTGCAAACACATTATGCTGGCTGCGTCTGCAGACAGAGGCTATGTCAGCTTCCTGCGTCAGTTCAGCACCGCTTCAGTAAATGAGAGACTTACTCTCGTCGAATCCATTCCGTTTCCCGGAGACTTCCAAGCACTGGCAGCTCGTTTCAAGCAGATCGAATTCCCAGACATCTTCCGGAAAGACAAGATCGTCTGCACCCCTCAGTATGGGTCAATCAATGGCGCAAATTATGCAGCGGCCGCGGCCAGTGCTTCGCAGACGCAACCCTCACCTCCATCCACTGTGGTCACTTCCCAGAACCAGATTGGTACATCGACCCAAAATGCACCGCCGCTGCGGTTCAACCAGAGTGGACAACGTATCGACCCAAAATTGGAGCGGTGCGACAAGACTCTGGCGCAAGAGTTGAGCTCTCGAAACTTATGTGGTAGGCATTTCCTCACCCGCTGCACGCCCTTGGAAGCGCACTGCCCGTACAAGAAGAGCCACGACGGCGAGCTGTCTGGTGAGCAGCGCCGCGCCTTGATGCGAGTTGCTCGACACATTCCGTGTGAGAATGGGACGGTCTGCCGCGATGCCAATTGTGTTGCAGGACACCACTGTCTATATGACGGTCGCTGTGAATTTCGAGAGAGGTGCAGGTTCGGTGCGGGTATGCATGGGGTCGACAAGACTCTAGTCCCAATTGCCTGAGGTTGCGCCAAGCTTTGCAATTGCATGTTGATCTCCACTGGTCGTGGTAGATGTGTTGCGAGACAGATGTAATGTTGAAGAACAAGCAAGGATGGTGTTGTTGGTAGCAGTGCCGGATGCCTGCGAATTGCTGCCTCAGGCACTCATGACTTCGGAGATTTTCCGGGCAGCGACGCGAGCATCTCGCAATGTGCAACTTCACTCGCGTCCAGCGACGATGAGGCATTGTCCATCGGCTCGTTTCTCTTTCTTGTATCTCTTCTTCTGCCTCCTCGCATCCGTCCAAGCCGCCGGAAGCGACATCATCCGCGGGCATGCCAACAGCTACCCAACCCATAAGTTCGTCTCCTCCAAACTCAAGGCCCCCATAATCGACTTCCAAGTACGCAGCCCAGCGTGTAACGATGGCGGCTCCTACTTCATTACACCGCGAGGCTGGAAGGTCCCCTCGCCCGGGCCGATGATCCTCGATGGCGATGGGAATCTTATTTGGACCGACCATTTCTCGAATAAGTTTGGTGGCCAGGCTTATGATCTTGGGGTGCAGAGGTATAAGGGCGAGGAGTATTTGATGTTTTGGTTGGGGGATGATAGGGTTAGGGGGCATGGGGCTGGTCATTATTATATGGTGAGATTCAATTACGTTCTTAGGAAATTGGGGTTCTAATGATATGTACAGCTCAATTCATCCTACGATATGGTTCATAAAGTTGGCGCTGCGAATGGGAGATTCGCAGACTTGCATGAGTTCTTCATTAACCCGGACAACACCGCGCTTCTGATCATCTTCGAGCCGATTCAAGCGGATGTGCGGCCGGTTGGACGCAAGTTCAGCGATGTCTGGAACCAGGCTGCCTACGACTGCCTTTTCCAAGAAGTGAACATCGAGACTGGAGAGGCGATCTTCGAGTGGCGAGCTTCTGAACACGTCAATATGACCCATGCGTATAACAGAATTGAGGGTCTTGATCAAGGGACCAGAGAGAAGCCGTTCGATTTCATCCACTTGAACTCAGTGGACAAGGACGAATCTGGCAACTATCTCATCTCTGGCAGGAATCTGCATGCGATTCTTTACGTCGATGGCAAGACCGGAGAGGTACTCTGGACCCTGGGAGGCAAAGGAAACGACTTTAAGGACCTATCTTCTGGACATGTGATCAACATGGCGTGGCAGCACGATGCCAGATTTGTGCCTGCTTCGGCTTTTCGGAAGACTTATTCTCCTCCGTCAAAGAAGAAGGGCACGGTGACTCGTCTGATGACCATCTTCGACAACGCAGCATTGGATTGGAACTACAAGTATGGACCAGGGTATTCACGGGCCATGCTGGTGGAGGTGACATTTCCAACTTCAAAGAGGTCGAAGAGAACTCTGGAAGAGAGTCATCACGTGGATCCACGTGCGGACGATGGACTGAGCGAGAAGGACACTGCCAAAGTGATGGAAATCAACGGCAAGGACGAAGCTTACACGGTCCGCATTGTTCGAGAGTTCATCCATCCGAAGCATGTCCAGTCGTCCACTCAAGGATCTGTACAGGTTCTCCCTCAAGGAAAGAAAGAAGACTCCAGGCTCCTTGTTGGATATGGCATCAACTCAGTCATGACCGAGTTCGCCGGCAATGGCACAGTTCTCTGCGACATGCACTTTGGCAGTCCTGATTCTTGGGAAACAGGCAACGTCCAAAGCTATCGAGCTTACAAGTTTCCTTGGGCTGGACGGCCTCAACATGCGCCTTCGGTAGCAGTCCAAAGGGATGTTGCGTATATAAGCTGGAACGGAGCTACAGACGTTCAAGAATGGCTTCTTCAGGTATCGAATCAGCTGGATGACGAATGGACTGAGATTGTCAAAGTGGCCAAGACTGGATTTGAGACTGCCATACCGTTAAAGACGGCAGAGTATCAGGCTTCTGGACGATACATCCGCTTGCTTGCAATTGATGCGGCTGGTCGGATCCTCGAGAATGGCGTGAGCTCAATCGCGGACCGCAGCTTTTTCGGCAAAGTACCTGGACTGGGTCACTTGCGAATCGACCACGCAAGGCCATCGCTGCTCAATCTCGGGGCTGTTTGTTTGGCCTCTGTTGTTGTGGTGGCCCTGTTCATTCGTCTGCTTCACCGGCGGCGCTCTATGAGTCGTGCAAAAGGTGGTCATGCAGATTGAGCGGGGCCAGAATCTCTGTTCGTCGGAGCAGTATGAAGGTACACTCAATGAAGCAAAGATCGGGCTCGTTGAGCATTCCCTCATCTCGGTCGTGGAAAAGGGAACCAGTTTCGAAGTCAATCAATTCAATAGTCGCCATGCATGTCTGACCGACCTTGCAATGGCTCCCCTTCCAAAGATAGTCGTTGTCCTCGCGAAAAGACGAACTTTTTCCCAAAAATCAGAAGACAACAAGACGGAACAATATATCAAATGGCTGGTATTGATCCTCACGCGATCGATCGTACCTTACAGATGCACTAGCACTAGCTTCGATGTTAGCGTTCAGCGGATCTCGGAAGCCCACACCTTATCTGACTCGGCACGAGAGTGGTGATGCAAGAATCTCCCTTAGAGTACCAGAGGAACAACCATGACATCTTTCATTTGTTAGGGGTAAGCCAAAACGTCAATGCTAACAGCGCGTGAAACGACGCATAGGTTTGGTTTGTGCTCCGCATCTCTTTCGTTCACTTCTTCCTGTTCCTACTTTCTGTAAGCAACGCAATGGGCAAACTACCGCATTACCACGTTCTCAACTTCTTCTATGACGACAATGGATGCTCTTTGAGCGCACTCGTTCATGGAGAACGGTATCATGTCGTTGCCGACTCTAAGAATCTACAGGACCGTTCGAATGCTGGAAAGAAGATATCGAGAGAATTCAGGAAACGTTTGGAGCAAAGCAAAGATGCACAAGCCGACGACAGAGAGCAGAAGGTGACTGCACCTTTGTTTGTACAGGAAGATGAGGATTCGGAGTCTGATGAGGGAAAGGATAGTGCTGTTGACGTCGAGGAGCAAGAGGAAGAGGAGGACGACTCACCAGATGAGCCAAGCAAGTCTTTGGAACGATGGATGCTCTCCCCCTTCAAGGAGGTGTTCCCGAAAAACGTCTCGAAGAAGTCAACCGGAAAGAGCGTGCAAGAATGGTATCATTGTCCAACACACTACTATGACCTGCGAATCCAAGATGGTAAACTTCAAGCCCAACTAGAAGATTACCCGGCTGCGGCAACACAAAAACGAACAGACGCCCTCATTCCCGCGATGGGATTACCGAAATACCTGCGCAACCTCGACATCCCCATCCTTCCCGCTGCAGATCTCACCGTCCTCTCCGAAAGCGACGAGATCGCTCCCATTCACCCAACTCTTGTCAAATACCAGAAGAAAGAATACTTCCTAAAAGTCGTCGACAACACCCAACACGCGCCCCTCAAACGCGAACTCCAAGTCATGAAGAGAATCGAAGCAGAAGGTCTCCAAAACGAGTTCCGTGTCCCTCTCCTTCGCGGGCTGGTCCATTTCCACGATGACGAAAAGAACATAATGGGCTTCATAATGGACGCCATAACCACCCCCACCCCGCTAACGAAGATGCTCGACACCGGCGTAGACGAGGACAAGAGATTGAAATGGGCCGATGAAGCGGCTCGAATGGTCGATGTATTACACCAACACGACATCATCTGGGGTGACGCGAAAGGGGATAATTTCGTCGTCGACCAGAATGAGGAGTTGTGGATTATTGACTTTGGGGGCAGTTATACGGAAGGGTGGATTGATGAGAAGCTGAAGGAGACGGAGGAAGGAGATGAGCAGGGGGTGACGAAGGTGTGGAATGGGTTGGTTGATCCGGAACAGAATACTGTTGATCCTGATGAGGAGGGGGAGGAGGAGGATGGTGGTGATGGGGATGGGGATGTTGAGCAGGAGGAGGTTGATGAGACGAAGGCTCTACGCCGCGAAGTCGCCAGCTGTAAAGATTGGGAGGATCACTATGAGAAGACCGTCGCAACTCGAAAGTCTTCGAGTAAGAAGCGGAAAGCGAGCGATTGTGGGGATTGGGAAAGTGGGTATGAAATGTCTTTGAAGCAGCTGAAGATGGAGAAAGAGGATGATGGGCTGAGGTATTGTTACTGCAATGGACCTGATTCTGGGAGAATGTTGGCTTGTGATGGAGAGAAGTGTGAGAGGCAGTGGTTTCATTTTGGTTGTGTCGGCATTGATGAGGCGCCGAAGGGGAAGTGGTTTTGCGAGGGGTGCAAGGAGGGGTGAATGGGGTTATTTGTTGAGGGTGTATTGTTCTGCTGTATGTCTTATCTTCAATCTATCGAAATGTCGACGCCGATTTAAGGGGACAGGTTGACGTGTGAATTGTGCAGGTGCCTGGAAGAGGAAAAAGGCAGAAATGAATCGCTACAAAGAGATGATATACAGCCATATTTCCACGTGTCTCAGTGTCCGACGAATTACTGGCCTGATTCGAGCGCTCATAAGTGAAGTGAGCTGCAGCGTTTGTCTGGGCAACATGTGAAAGCCCAGGCCCGTGCATAAACTCTGCCCTTCTCCAGCGCTTTAGCTTACTCCATCCTCTTTACAACTTCCACCTCTACGTCCCTCCATACGAAGCCCACGCAATCATGGCGACCTCACCAGGTCAGCAGCCCACTCCGCAGAGTGTGTTCGAGTATGTGGATACAAGCTTCCTGTTGACGAGCGCCACTAACCATGCCGTTCTTCCAGGTCCATGCAAAGCGACCACCTCGTGAGCATATTCGTCGGTAACGCCACCACGCCTCTCCGTATTCAGCAATCCATCATTGCTGCCACCTCCGACTACTTCAAAGCTGTCTTCACCAACAAAGGCTTCGAGGAGGCGAAAAAAGGAGTCCTACACCTGCCTGAAGATGACCTTCAGGCATGGGAGCTGTTCATATATTGGCTTGTAAAGGGGACCGTGTGGGAAATGGCAGAGCCCATCCAGCTCATCCAGTGCTGGAACCTCGGCGACAAGTACGGAATCAGTCAGCTCCAGGACGACGTCATGTGGCTCTTGTTTTCGAAGCATACTTGGGATCATGAGAAAATTCTGGATATTGTGAAAGACTACTTGGACGCAAGTGTTCCAGGTTCCCGGCTGCGCAAGTTGCCGAACTGGGATAGGCTGTGTGACAATCCGGAGGTTTGCAAAGACCTCTTGGCTGCAATTACTACCGTTGCAAAGGACACCTTGGAACACGAGCGGGATTGCTTGGAGGATTTCGAGGGTGAGGAGCCGATGTGGATGAGGTACATGGTGGGAAACGGACCAAACACGCACGGAAATGCTAGTGTGGGGGGTTCTTTCTGGTTCAACTCGGACGGCGGTTGGTACAGAAGTGACGAATGGATTTCAGCGCAACGATGAGAAAGGATCATTGGCACATGGCTAGGATTATGCTGCTGAGCAACGAGGCTTTCGCACCGACGAGCACGAGATGAGCAGCACTCTCAACATGAGCGAGGGATTCATCCCCAGCTTAAAAGACATAGTCGATCTCCGTCATTATCTCGGCAAGTATAGCAATTTCCTCGTTTAAGATACTGAATTTGTTGTTGCGTTCTTCATGTACACTGCATTTCCATATTTTCGAGAGTCACGTGAAGACTAGAGTGTGTCATGATCCTCAAACATGCAGAAAGTGGTAAAACCAGGCAGCCATCTTCCATATGTTTCTAGTACTGCACATTTAAACGGCGGTGAGACGTCGTCACCGATGTATGAGAGCACTCAGAAGTGAAGTGGTCTTGGCGGCATGTGAAAGCGCAGTCCGTGCGCAAGCGTCGCCCTTTCTCGCGCTTCGGCTTCTGCCCCTCTTCAACTTCGCCAACTCCCTGCAAACTTCGGCTGTGCACACAAGCCGCAGCACAACCATGGCAGACCCCGACACCGTGGCCGAGACTGCTGAGAGCATATTCGAGTGAGTATCGCACTTCACAACACACAGAGAGCCGCTGCTAATCTTCTTAACAGCTCCATGCGGGACGATCGACTCGTCAGCATCTACATCGGCGACGACCCCACCCCTTTCCTCATCCAGCAGTCCATCATCTGCGCCGCTTCACCTTTCTTCAAAACCGCCTTCACAGGCTCGAACACCTACGAAGAGGCGAAAACCGGCATCCTGCGCCTACCCGAGGACGACCTCCAGGCTTGGCAGATCTTCATCTACTGGCTGGTTAGGGCCAAGATTCCACAGGGATTCGGCCTCTCTGTCATCAAGGCGTGGACTCTCGGCGACAAGTACCAGATCCCACAGCTGCAGGACGATGTCATGTTCGAAGTCATGAGGATACTCGACGACCACGAGGAACAGTCTATCCAAGTCCCAAACGTTGCCTTCTCATTCTGTCCACCGGGCTCTCTGATGCGCAAGTTTCTCTCCGACCAGGTCGTGTTGATCGCGAAGCATTGTCCACGCGCTTTGTGGGATTGGAACAGCCTCGAGGCCCTGTGTGAAGATCCAGGAAATCGCAGGGATCTTCTGCATGCTCTTTTTCGCAATGAGCAGGAGAATTTGTTCGGATGGTAAGAGAAGGATAACGGCGAAGGAAAGCCCCTGTGGTTCAGGTACATGGTGGGAAACGGACCGAATGCCTTCGAGTTTCACTTTTGGTTCAATGACGCCGGGGGCTGGATATATCGCTAGTGCACTTGATGGTTTCACTTGTGCGTGTTCAGCGGCGAGTAATCATGTAAAAAGGCAACGAGATGGGAAAAGAAGGCTCACAGCTTCTGAAAGGCTGCTTTGTCCTTCTTCACCCAGTGGCAATTGACTTAACAAATCGACCTTGACGCAACAGCGTCATAGTCACCTCTGCTGCAGCTAGGACATCCTCTGAATGCAATCGATGAACAAAATGCCTCCGTACGCACGCACATTATCCTGAAGGTCGTTCCATCCAGCCCTAATGCCATGGGCGAGGCTGTTCACTTCTGCTGACGAATCCCAGCAGACCCTAAGAACATCATCTACCACACGGACCGCCTTCCGCACGAGAATATTTGCAATCCGCAATACCACTTTACGGATGTCAGCTGAGGTCTTGAGCTTCCTGTAGTTGTCGGAATGTCGTTTTCGAAATGTCGTTGGTTTCGACATGACATCAAGATGCCGTCGCAGCAAAAGTATCCATCGAAGCAAAGATCGTCTTCGCCGCCGTCGAAGACTGGTGCCATTTGTCGGCATCCTTCTCCTCGCGGTAAGATTGAGAAAGCGTCGGAAGGAAAGCGGTCAGGTCATAGGTCTCCACCGCTTCCAAAAACCTCACTTGAGATCCTGAACCCGCCCACGGATAGCAACAGTCTGGGTCCAGTACCTTCGAAGTCGGCACTTGGCCAAGAACTTATAGACATGAGCTGCATCTGTGTTGAAGACCTCAACGAACGGACGGTATACACCGATGCGACCATCCATGAGTTCGTAGCTCAAGATTTCAAAGGGTTGCTCACTGGCCAAACCGACGCTAGCAACTATCATGAATTTCTGGAGGCTCAACGACAAATTGCCGACGTCGATTCTGGATATCACGTCAATGTTATCTATGCGTCGGCTGATGTTGATGAGCGGACTGGCCATACTGTTGTGTATATGTCGGTGGAGATCTTGGGCCGACCTATAGGCATTCGACGCAATGCGGTAATTGTGTGGAAGTGGAGGAAGAGGTTTGGGCGGTGGCTGCTGTACAAGCAGCTCGGTATACGAGGGATGATGGGTATTCTGGAAGATGGTCAGGTGGAAGATGCAAGTCGAAAGAATCTTGCTGCATCGAAAGAATCTTGCTGCATCGAGGGATCATGAAGAATGAGCTGGCACATGCTCGAAACACGGATTCAGAAAGCATGGTTGCTACATGTTGAATGGGCTTTCAGCCAACATACATGAGTTGAGGGGTTACCTTTCCATGGATACGAAACGAGATCAGACAGGCTCTTTGATAATGCTCATGAGGTTGGGTTGGCTGGCAACCGACTTCACCAACTTCAGCGATGTGAGAAGGAAATGAACTGGTCGTAGTCGTTCGGATCCTCGCCGGGCCTCATCGACGTTGTTTCGAACAACTTCTCGCGCAACTCCAATGCCTCGTTTCTCATGCTGTTCGCCCAATCGTATTCGCCGGCCTCGTTGAGTAGCCGCACCAATGCAAAAGCGGCTCGACAGCGTTGGCCAGGGTCTGGAAACAAACAGGTATTGGCAATCCGAAATGACTCCCGCGTGAAGCAGCTATTTCTAAGGTCAGATCAAGGATCAACAGAGCTAACATAGCTATCTCTTACATCGACGACTCTAGGTCGCCTAGTTCTCTGGTGACGACTCCCAACTTGTATGCCACGTAGCCGGTAAAGTGATGGTCGGGCATCAGGGCATGGCGGACTCGAAGGCATTCGGCCAGTACTGAGAGAGCATCTTCCAGATTATGCTGCTGGTAATGCAAGAGTCCACGGTAGTAATGTAGTCTGTATGTATCAGTAACGGCGGGAGACTGTCAAGGTCTTGCACTCACATCGCCGCCTCTGCGCTCTCGGGCCCACTCGAATGTTTTGTTACTTCCATGGCTTGAGTACAGTATAAGTGCCCTTCATCGTAGCGACGGTGTAAGATCAAGCAAATGCACTTGTTAGCCAACTGAGTCCCGCGATGTGCTAGAGACTCCTTCTGCTCAAGCAAGTAGTCGCTCAGTGTTAGAGCTTCTTCAAATCGATCTTCAGCCATGAGCGATACCACGATATTCATGTCAGCAACATCAAGCCAGCGCTTGTCTTCAGAGTGATCTGGTCTCATAATCTGCGCGTGGATTGCTCGACATTTCTGCTTCCACTTCAACCCATGGCCTGGGAAATTTGCAACGCATTCCAAAGATCCCTTGATGCTGTAGAGATGGCCTAGGAGGTCGCTGACGAAGAACGACGAGTACCCTGGATGTGTCTTTGATCGCTGTGCTCTCTCGCACATCCTAGTAGCTTGATTAATCATGACGGATGATTCGCGGTGCTGCCCCTTCTCGAAGAGAAACCTTCCCGAGGCGTCAGCTGGTGTTCTTTCTGGTATCGCAAAGTACGAACCATGATGATCGAGTGACTATCTCTGCCAACTTCAATGGAAACCCAAGATCATCTTCAAGCCAAAAGTATCAAGCAGCGCTTGTACGTGGGTGCAGTATTCTTCACACTGCTTTCGCTGCGGCCACAATGACTTTCCATTTGGCTGTTGGGGAAATTCGGCATTGATAAGGTATACAAGCTGATTGAATACAATCCTTCGTCTGCGGCTGTCCATGTCGCGGATGAAAGCCCTTTGAACCACGCGGTGACACACCAAGTGCTTTGCCTCGCAAGTGCGAGAGACCAAGGAAGCTTGCATCAAGTCGGCGATACATTGATCGAGGCTGAAATCCGTTAGTCCGAGCCTTTGAAGTAAGCTTTATTGCGTACATAGATGAAAGCGAGAATGGAGGCTGGAGAAAGTCTTCCAGATTTGGTTCCGGTAAATCAGGTCCTTCGTACAATCTGATCCATGGTCAATGGCAAGACGTTAAGTGGCGTAATGGAGTCACTCACAGGAGATCCCTTGGCTTTGGAAGGAAAAGAGTGACGGGAACACCATCAGGGTCAAGAAATGCCAGCAGTTCCATCAAGAGCCTGCACAATCTAGCCAGACGGGTTGCGCTGCTGGTCAACTTAAGTGTTCATGTCGTGCGTAAGGAAGTATGATATGTGTTTCCGGTCCAGTTATATGCCTCTTCATCGAACACAAAGTCTCGATCGAGTCCCGGGTTGGTTTCGTAAAACCTCGTCAATGATATGCCAGCAGACGCTACATATGATCCGACAAGGTCAAGAGTCAAGGGTAGATGAGCAAGTGCATTGCTAATGTTGATGGCTGCGCCGGTGTCATGTTCTGTCAAATTCAGACCAGGGTTTTGACCAGCCAGACTCAGGAGGAACCGGTGACCCTCTTTCTCCGAAAAGGAGGAGATATGGATTTGTCTGGAAGATGTTGAGAGCCTCCATGCAAGGCAAGGGTTTCGAGACGTCACGATCACGCTTCCAAAGGCAGCCTTAGGCCAGTAAGGCTCGAGGGTTTGCCATTCTCCAACATTGTCGAATATCAAAAGCCAGGATATGGATCGACCAGGATCACCTGTTGCGCATCGTTAGCAAGCGGCTATTGTAGCGCTTAGGGGGCGTACATACTTCGCTTGCTAGAACTTCCTAGCCGCCGTAGGACGATATCGCGAAGCTGGTTCGGATTCTGCACACTGTCATCGACCAAGCCGACCTGATGTGCAAGAGCTGAGAAAGATTCGGCCAGTTTCAGTGATGTCTCAGCGTTGATCCAGAAGACGACGGGATAATTGTCGAGGTTTCGATACGCATATTCCAACGCTAACTGAGTCTTGCCAGCTCCTCCAAGCCCACAAATGGTGCAGACTAGAAGTTCGTCCGCTTTGCTGGACGGCTGAAGTATCGTTTCTAACCGATCGAGCTGCTCTTTTCTGCCAAAGAAGGTCGGGTTCCGGGCCAAAGGCATGACATGGATCGGTAGCTGGCCTAGGAACATGGTGCTTTTGTTCAAGACGCTGAGAGTATCGTGGAGTGTTGATGCTCGAACATTGATCTGGTGCAAGAGTTCGTGATGTTGCAGGTTTCGTCGAACCTCTTGGACCTCAGCGCCGGTGACCAGAGCTTCTTGGTCCACTTCAGATATGAGATCTCGAATGCGGGCTATTCTGGTCTGCAGCCGCTCGTCCAGTGACCGGAAAGGACCAATGACAAGGTTCACTATTCATGCGGGAGGTCAGACTTGCTGCATGTATGTAGCTCGGCATTGGCTCTGACCCACCTATCGGTGGCTTTTTGAGGAACTTGATTGCGTCCTGAAAGATGCCAATGAGCTCACTGTAATACTCAACCAAGGCTTTCTGGAGGCGGTGAGTTGGCTCTTGAGGTCCAAATCTTGTGATATAGTGGTGAAAGCGGGCTGTGTGTCTATCACACAATTCGAAGGTTGTAACGATCCGTTCCAGGTTTTTGGCGTGACGAGAAGCAAGCTGAGTGTGGGAGCCATACGATCAGCGGTGGAACAGGGTGAGTGCGGGTAAGGATAGGCGATACGCACCTCTAAGACGAGAAACACAGATCCCCAGACCAGAGATGCAATTTCGGGATTGGCATTGATGAACGTGCGTATCACTTCCGAGAAGGAATGCAGTCTCGTAAGAAACGGGCTAACGCGCTGGACGAGCTGTGTCACCTCATGCGTCGCATATCTATCTTTCAGCTTTCTCGACAGTTCCAAGAAGCTGTGCTCGCTGTTAATGGACTTGACCTGTTTCAACTTTTCCCGGGGAATCGTTTTCAGATATTGATCTATTGCCTGAACCCAAATGAAGTCCAGACGATCATCGGGGATAGTTCTCCCGATAATCGCATTTGTCGTTACTCCCGGTGACATTGCATGTTGAGGTCACAAAAGGAAGGGAAAGAGTAATGGGGAGGCCAGCAAGGGCCGCAAGGGCCGTTGAAAATCTGTGAGTGCCACTGGCCTTATATACCCCACCGTAAAATCACTGAAACCCATCTGCTGCCAAGATGAACGCGTTCCTGCCTGCAAACCTGAGAGTTGACAGCACACAGAAGCACGCAGCCTTCCCTATGCAGCAAAGGGCTACGCAGCAGTGTCGTCGTAGTCTGACTCGCATAAACCCTCAAACCTCTTGACAATCACCGTTCGCAGAGCTCAAGATTCGCTACATCAGGACTCCAACAAGCATGGTCTAGCCGTCTTCCAGAGACGTAGCCGTAAAACTCTAGCAACATCAGTCAAATTCAACAGATGGGTAAGTATAGACTTACCGATTCTTTCATTTCGCGATGGGTTTGCTGTCGCCGGAATCAGGCTTCGAAGGCTTTCCTTTACCGCCGCTTTCGCTTTCGTCGGGGTCGTCCTTGTTGTTGCTCGTGAGAACGCTGCTGAGCAAACCTTTGGCATGTGGTTTGAGTACCTCTTCCACCCACCCTGCCATGTTGACGTGATGGAATGAGTGATGGAGTGCGTTCCTTACGACCTGCTGGAGACTGAGCCCGTTTAGTGGGTCGTATGTTTTCGCACGGCGAGTTCTCTCGACCAATTGTCGATTTTGTGGTCAAGCAGGGCGAAGTGTTCGGGGCGAAGCGCGTCGCCTTGGGCAGAGGCGATTTTTGGGAATGGCTTTGCTTGAAGTAGGGCCGTGATGCTTACACGGCTACACTCAATCTGGCCAAGGCAGCTAAAGCACTGCGTTGTTCACCACGTGTAGGAAGGAGAAATCCACCAATGGTAGCATGTGTTCCTATCAGTGTTGTTGGTACAGGCCAGCTGGGCAGGATAGCTACAACTGTCCAGCTGGTACAGATGCGCTGTCGTCAAAGCCGTGACACTGAATTCACCATGATACTGACCAATTGCGAGTTTGGCACGTTCTCGTAGACCCTTGAGATGCCGGCAAGATACATTGAGGAAGCGATTCAACCGTGGACAGCCGACGGCTGCTGGGGAGGCAGTTCACAACTTGCATGTCAAGCTGTGCTGCGCCTTCGAGGGTCGTTGATTGATCCAATATGTTTGTAGTCGTCGGCTGGATGCTGTGCAACCCAAGGCTGACGGGACCGGGATGACGTTACATTATCACATGTGAACGCCCGGATTAAGCGCAGCCACTAAATCGACGCCAAGGGACGCCCGCCGTGCAAGTCCGTGCTCGGCTCAAAAGAGGGGCTTCGTTATGCAAGGCTCCTTAGCGGTAACTTGGCGCTGCAAGTCTCAAAATCGACCCGGCACAATCTTGTGATACATTCCTTGAGCTAGTTTGTTGCTTCTGGCGAAATTCCGGCCTGGATGCCTTTTCACAGCCTTGCGCATTGATGCCACCAACGTGACTACCGCTTGTTGATGTTCTTTAAAGGGCCTCGCTAGTGTCCGACAAGAAGGTCAAATGCCATGCGCGCTCGCGAAAACTTTACCAGGAAGCTGGAAACAGCGCTCGACGGCATCGCGGAATTGAACACATTGTACGGTGCCCCGTCGACCTCCATTGGTGTTCTTCACCACGGTCGTGTACTACTCTCACGCTCCATTGGCAACAGAGATGGTGATCCAGGCCACCCTGCGGACGACAGCAGCGTCTATCTGATCGGTTCCTTATCGAAAGCCTTAGTTGCGGCAGCGGTCGGCATTCTTGTCGATGAGGGAAAATTGAGCTGGTTTGACAAAGTCTCCGAGCACCTACCCGGATTCGATCCAATAGGCGATCCGAGCATTGCTCGGGAAGCAGATTTTATCGATCTTTTGAGACACTCCTCCGGTCTGGGAAATCCGGTCGTCCGAGTCATCGGACCTTTTGGTACCATCGTGTCGTCTGAGGAGAAATTCATGGATCTTGTGAACGCAACACAGACGACTAATGAACATGGAAATCAACGGTTCAACAGAGAGTTCGAATACAGCAACATCAACTACGCCATTGTCGCCTTGGTGATCGAAAGAATCACCAGTTTAAGATTCGCCGACTTTGTCCAGAAACGCCTCCTTGATCCTCTGGGAATGAAGCAGACGCTGGTCACGAAGCGTGGCGTAAAGTGCAGCAATAATTTGGCTGACGGCCACGTCCAGTTGGATAATGGCAAATGAACGAGGGTTCCAGTCGAATGGACTTCCGAAACCAGCACATTTGTGCTTGCTGCTTATGGTATACGAAGTTCTGTCCATGACATGCTCATCTGGTCCGCGGCGTGGTTGTCTGCACAAAGCGAGGAACGTATGTCTTCAGCTTGTCTGGATGTCTTGAAGGGGGTTGCGAAAAACCCACTTCGACAGGTAGACCGAATTTTCAAGCCAGCATGGCAGCTTTCGATCGAGCAGAGAACCAACAAGCCGTCGACTTACTGTCTTGGATGGCTTCGATCGACGATGCCCACGTCGGACGTCAATTGGGGCTCTCTTAACAAAAGGACCATGGAAGACGACACCTATCTCGATTATATACTTGGTACAGAATCACGCGAGAGAGTCATGACGAAGCACACTGGCATAGCTTATAACACAACTTCAACAATGTTCTTGTTTCCCGAGACGAACAGTGCGGTGATTGCCATGGCGAATGGTCGAAGGAGAGGTGATGCAAGCGACTTTGCTGCCCAAATCATGATTCAAGAGCTATTCGATCTACAGCCATATGTCGATATTCTTGCGAGAGCCAAGATTGAGACCGAACGTGGTGCTGTTTATCGTCACAACATAGTCATGGCAGAGTGGTTGAAGAACCGCGATGTAACGGGTCTCGAGCGACTGAAAGACTACGTTGGAGTCTACACAACCCAAGGCACAGAGCTTCATGTGAATCTCGATCGAAAGATCAATCGGCTGGTGCTGCACTTCAACAATCGATCTGACAAGCCAGTGCATCTCGAGTACTACAACAAGGACACATACTGTTTCTTTCCCACTACTATTGACGAACACTTTTCGAAAGGCTTCTTTGATTTCGACAACTACTTGGTTGGTCTTCTTCAATTCACACGCGATGATGCTCGTTCGGTGAGTGGGCTTTTCTGGACATGGGAGATTGAGTCGAAACCGATCTGGTATAAGCGCGAGGATATCCTGCGAGCCCGTTCACCAGAGACCAGTCCGAATATATCACCAAAAGTTGGCGCTGGACGTACGGCTCCTCTGATGCCGAATAATGTCATCGTGGCGAAGGGGATCATGGCCAACAATCCCAAAAGCGGCCTACTATGGAGTGAAGTCCTGAAGATGTCTTCAACTTCAGCAATGAGAAGGGTCCGAGCGTGAGTAATTCAAAGATATTATGTGTCCGACGACGCATAGCTGTGACAGAACATGCTTGATGGACGGGAGAGAACCAAACGTGCGTTTTCCTTTTTTATCGGCGTTCGGAGGAAGACGTGCCCTCGCGGGTGGCTACACTTCACGATCTTCACAGAAGCTTGCAAGTTATTTCCAAAAGCCAACAAACATCATTAACGACGGCAGGCATGTACTCTAGGGAGGTGTTGTAGGTTTAGCTCGTAGCGAGAAATTCGAAGTCATTCACCTCACTTGGGCTTCACTAGCGCGTTGCAAATCGCGGGCCGCTGAAAGCTTATCTGGCCAGCAAACGCTGCATGGCTCCGCGCGCGCCCCACTCTCCGTTTGTCTTCCACCACAATACCACATCTACGTACCTTTCTTCACTCCGGGATTTCTCACAGACGCCATAACCTCTGACAGGACGCTGGATTTCCCCGTTCAGTCTGCCATTACCTGTGACAGTCTGTCACGTCCGACTTCGTTTCTGCTTCACTTCGCAACCCATCGCAATCGCTCATACATTTCCAGCGACACGCATTCGTCTTCTTGGTCGGGCATCTGGAGTACTCAAGGCAGGCTGTCGCATCGCAGGCGTCTCGTCTGAAGTGGCCTAAGGAGCCGTACGGCGAATTAGCGCCTTTCTGGCAGCAGTTCATTTCTCCCCTCCACACGCTGTATTGTCGGTTTCCAACGAAACCATCTATACTCGTACAACATGGCGTAAGTACACTCTGTCGCTCACTTCATGTGATCATACTAACGATCAACAGTCCTTGCTGGCGCTTCGCGGCTGGCGGATGCAACTTTGGCGCTAGGTGCAAGTACTCGCATGATCTTGCCGGACAATCGGAAGAAACAACCAAGCCTTTCCGAGCTCCAACCAATACCGACGATGATGACTTCCAGAAGTGGCGATACAAGGTGCCGAGGGATGCGAAGGCCATAGCGAAGGCACACCCGCTCGGCAGCCGTGAAGCTACAGCGTTCTTCGAGAAAGCCCTTGAGCTCGTGGAGTCAAGCGAAGAGAAGATGCAAGATGTGATCAAGACACTCTCCAGCGACGGTGGCCTCTATCGTGTCAAGCAGCTGCTTCACCAGGACTTCGACTCATTTCCAGACGCCAAGCTGGAGACTGTGTGGACGACTCAGCTTGTGCCATTCTTCCACCTCCTGTCACACCAGAGCGTGCTGATGTCCTGGGTCATCGAAGCTCAGCATGCAACGCTCATTGTATTCTTGTACGGTGTCGGTGGTGAGCAAGCCGTCAAGGTATTCAGATCGGCCTTTCGGTTCCTCACCAGCGAGCGTTCTGGAGGAAACGAGCTCCTTGAGAGCTGCATATGCGTCCTAGACAACCTTTTCGCCAGGAGCAGCCATGCGAAGATCAACCCTGACCTGAAGACCGTCACCGAGGCCATGCTCTCTCTGGCAGAGAATGTCAATCGCTCTCGCTCGCTTGAGAGACACGTTTTGGCGATTCGCACCGCGCTGAACCTCGAGATACCAGATGTCAAACCAGTTCGTGCTCCGGTCGCCAATTCGAATCGGCCGACATTCACCATTGCTCAAGACCTTCCGGGTGACTTGTCGGAAGATGGAGCTCGTCACGACAACGACAGTGCCGACATCACAGAGATTGATATCCTCCCAACGATTGAGGAAATTCTTAGCCCTCGGCTTGAGTACCTTCCACGAGACGACCCCAGTGAGTGGCACCTACCAGGTGTTGAGGGCCTCATCGCTCGTCACTTCCGCCTGCTGCGCGAAGATAGCGTCGGCCCACTCCGTGACGCTGCGAAATTCGAACTCGAGCGTCTGCAGAACCCGCTCGACCCAACCATCAAGTCGAAAGATCCACACGGTGCGCGTACAAGCCTGTACCCGAACATCCACTTCGAGAAAGCCATACATGACGATCAAAAGGGTGTCCTCTTCGTCTTCGCATTCGACCAACCACCGCATCTCCGCAATGCTACCCTCGAGACACGTGGGAAATGGTGGCAAGAATCAAAGCGCCTCGAGTCAGACTCTTTAGTCTGTCTGCTTTCTTCCGATGGTGACGCCACTTTTCTGGTGATTCATTCACCTTCATTCGCGGATAACAAGAAGAGCAGCACGCAGAAGACGATCGATAAGTACACTCTAGCTGGCGGTGGCAACGTTGGCTACGTGATCGCCCAGCTCACAAGCCAGGATGGGGACGAGGTGTCGTATTTCCTGAGGCGTTGCTTCTCCATGCGCCGCGACCAGCTTCAGCACTCTCTGATCGAGTTTCCCGGTGTCATCTTGCCAGCATTTGAACCAACACTCTCAGCCCTGCAACAAATGGCCGAGACCCTCGACATACCTTTCACGGACTATCTGCTTCCAAGTGGAGAGGCTGGCCAGGAGCTACCAGCGTATGCATCAGGACACAACTTCAGATGGAACCTCCAGTCCATTGTGAAAGGCTCGACACCAGGTGGTGTTGAAGATGAAGGCCTGGAAGAAGTTCTACAGGAGAGTAGCCTCGACAATGCTCAGCAGAGAGCTGTACTGCACTCGCTCAGGAGTCAAGTCGCCTTAGTCCAAGGCCCACCTGGTACCGGAAAGTCGTTCACCGGCATCAAGTTGATCCAAGCCCTTCTCGACAATCGAAAAACGGCGAACCTTGGGCCCATTATCTGTGTGTGCTACACCAACCAGTGAGTGCAGCATCACCCGCAAACTCTCGAGGCATCTGCTAACATTTTACTCTTTCTCAACAGTGCTCTAGATCAGCTTCTGGAACATCTTATTGATGCGGACGTGAAGAACATCATCCGTATCGGCTCACGCTCCAAGTCAGAGCGTCTCGCCGACATCAATCTTCGAACCGTTGCACAAAAGATGGATCGTACCAAGACTGAGAGGCAAGAGTACGGCAAAGCAAGAGGTCTTATGGAGAAGGCCAGCAAGAGCATCACGACAGAGCTCACTCGCTTGTCCAGCGTCAACTCTCAAGATGGCAAAGCGCTGGAGGTGCTTCTGAAGGAGAGGTATCCCGGATTGTATGAGAAGATCTTCCAGGAGACCGATGAAGATGGCTTCCAGACCGTCCATCACAGTCGGCGTACTTCACCCCTGGACAGATGGCTGCATGGTACAGCGCCTATCTCACTTCGCGGTGAGACTAGACCGCTCTCTGAGCTCGAATCAGGTCGCGTGGAACCGCAGGCAATGACGAGCAGAGAGCGACAGAGTCTTTATAACTCATGGACAGAGAAAATATCAGACGAGGCCTATCAGAATCTTGAGATGCAGCTCGATTTGCACAAAGACCGCAAAGACGACACGGACTCAATCCGGGGAGAAGTTGATCTGCGCATCCTCTCTAAGGCGAACGTGATCGGTATCACAACGACTGGCTTGGCTCGCAGCATCAAGCATTTGAGGAAGCTTACTTCGAAGATCCTTGTGGTTGAAGAGGCTGGCGAAGTGCTGGAAGCACACCTTCTTACAGCGATGCTTCCTTCGATTGAGCACATGATCCTGATTGGTGACCATCAGCAACTTCGGCCGAAGATCCAGAATTACGATCTGTCTGTCGAAAACCCACGAAGCGCGATCTCGCTGGATGCCTCCCTCTTCGAGCGATTGATCAGCACATCCGACAGTATCCCCTTCGTGACTCTGGAGACTCAACGCCGGATGCACCCTTCAATCTCAGAGCTCGTCCGCTCGACTCTGTACCCAAAATTGCAGGACGCAGAGTCTGTCAAGACATACCCAGATGTGATTGGCATGCGTCACCGACTCTTTTGGATGGACCACGACCGGCCAGAGGACAGCCAAGTCGACCAAATGCATTCAACCTCGCACACAAATACATATGAGGTCGACATGGTCGCAGCTCTAGTAAATCACCTCGTAGGACAGGGTGTGTATCGCTCCAAAGAAATCGCCGTGCTCACACCATACCTGGGTCAGCTGAGGAAGCTTCGGCGAAAGTTTGGCGACGCCTTCACCATCTTGTTGAATGAACTCGATACTTTGGACCTTGAGCATGATGGTGACGAGGAGGATGTGGCCAGCAGCAAGAGTGAAGCCCAGAAGCCAGCTTCACAGATCGCCAAGGGTACGCTTTTGCAAGCTTTGCGTCTTGCAACCGTGGACAACTTCCAAGGAGAGGAAGCCAAGGTTGTCATTATCTCGCTGGTGCGCAGCAACGAGCAGAGAAAGTGCGGCTTCCTGCGCACGTCGAACAGGATCAATGTCTTGCTCTCCCGAGCAATGCATGGGATGTATATCATCGGCAACTCCAAGACGTCGGAGCATATTCCCATGTGGAAGCAAGTCCTCGAAATTCTACATGCAAACGGCAACATCGGGCCTGCGATTGAGCTTTGCTGTCCTCGTCACCCCGAGACGCCTCTCGCCATCACGGAGCCGAACCAGTTCGCTCACATATCTCCAGAAGCGGGTTGCAGCCTCTTGTGTGGCAAGATGCTGCCTTGCGGTCATGCTTGCCAAGGCATGTGTCATTCAGACACCCTCCACAACGCAAAGTACTGTCCCAAGGAATGCACTCGACCCAGGAAAGGCTGCCAGCATCCTTGCGATCAACCATGTGGAAAGCAATGCCCTGAGATTTGCAAGACTGTCGTCGAGGACATCGATATCGAGCTTCCCTGCGGTCACCATGTGACTCAACTGAAGTGCTGGCTGTACCAGGATCCTTCGCTGGTGAAGTGCAAGGAGCCAGTAGAGCGTATTGTGCCTGGGTGCGACCACAAGATCGTGCAGCCTTGCCACCAGTCGACGACGGATCCTCTGTTCCAGTGTCTGGAATCATGTGGCGCCAGTCTACCTTGCGGACACATCTGCACAAATAATTGCAACACGTGTCGGCCACGGAGCGGTGGAGAACTTGTCTTCAACGAACCCAACCACGGCCAGTGCAATACTCCATGCGGACGCAGCTTCAACAGCTGCTCGCATTCTTGCAGTGCCCCTTGCCATGGCGAAAAGCCTTGCCCGCTCTGCACAGCAAAGTGCGAGTCCAGCTGCGTTCATTCGGATTGCGCCAAGAAGTGCCACGAGCCATGCACTCCTTGTGCAGAGGAGTCGTGCTCCTCGAAGTGCCCACACTCGGCCTGCAATCTTCCCTGCGCCGCACCTTGCGACTGGGTACCTTGCAACAAGCGATGCGAGAAGAGATTGAGTTGTTCGCATCAGTGCCCAAGCCTTTGCGGAGAAGTGTGCCCTTCGCCACAGTCCTGCCAGATCTGCGCACCCGATCAAGTGAAGGATATGTGCGTGGATCTCATCACGATGCAGACGTATCAGGAGGTCGATCTGGATGCTGACCCATGCATCACTCTGAACTGTGGCCACATCTTCACTCGGGAAAGTCTCGACGGTCTCATGGAGATGTCGACTCACTACAACCTTGATCCCAGTACTGGAGATCCAGTGGCGATCAACGGCGAGCTGCTTCCTCTGTCGTACGACAAGCCAAAGGTCTGCCCGAGTTGTCGAGGGTCTCTTCGGCGAGTGTCGAGATACGGACGCATTGTCAGACGCTCGCTACTGGACGAGAGCACCAAGAAGTTCATTACCTGGTCGAATCGCACATACGTGCCGCTGGCCGAGCGTCTTCAGACTTTACAAGCTAGCCTCAAAGCCACGGAAGGAAACGTCCTCCTTCCGCCAGGAGAGATACGGCTAGGTGGCTCTGCCAACTTTAGACGAGCTCTCCAAGGACCGCGGTACAGAAGCATCCTCAGACTCGGCCATGAGATGTTCAACTTCTCTATCAAGGTCAAAGCGGAAGAACAGCCCTTCCAACGTGTGCGAGATCTTGTCGAAGCAGCACGTCGCCGCGAGAAGGCGGACATTCCAGAGTTCAACTTCGATCAGACGATCCTTCAGACTCGCGGTCAGCTGCTCGCCAAAGCATTGCTTCGCCGGACAGAACTCGTGATTGTGACCGACCTCGTTTCTGTTTGGGAGAACATGCCAGCACATGCTCGCTCCAGGGTGACGTTGACTCTGGACTTCGCCGACCACCGCAAGCTGTGCGATGAGCTTCTCCAGGACGCACAGGCATCGAAGAACGTCCTACAACAAGCGGAGGCTCTCATTTTCTGGGCACAGTTTGCAGCTCTGGAATGCACGATGAGTACTGGCGACAACACTGCCCACGTCGAACACCTGAAGCAAGAAGCCCACCCAAAACTCGACGAAGCCCAAACCATCTGCGACCGCTTCCCAGGCCAGACCCAGAGCGTATCTGAGGAAGTCGCCGGCGTGCGTGAAATGCTCAGCGACAACCCTATCAGCGCTACCGAAATGCACATGGTCGTCGCTGCCATGGCGACCGAGTTCAGGGGTACGGGACATTGGTACCGCTGCGTCAATGGCCACCCGTTCACTATCGGCGAGTGCGGTGGCCCTGTAGTAACGTCGAGATGTCCGCAGTGTGGAGCTCAGATTGGAGGTCAGCACCATATGGCGGCTGAGGGTGTCACTAGGGCGGATGATATTGAGAGGGAGTTTGCCGGTCTGAGAGTTTGAGAATGGCGGGTGAACGTGTAGGGAGATTGATGACATGCTCAGGCCGGTGACTTGGCGGAAGAGAGATCGATGGCGTCTGGATGATGGGACGGCGGTGTACGTATGATTGCTTCTTTGGCTGATCGAAGATGTGCGAAGTCATCGCTGCTGAAAGTCTGAAATTCGCAGGTAGACTTTCGTAAATCCATCTTTTGCTTCTTGAAGAGTTGGTGTTTCTTCCTTTCCATTGATCTTGAGAACCACGCTCTTACTTCTCAGATGATTCATCTTCATTCAATATCCTGGACTCCAATTTCTCAGGGTGCTGCAACAGGAATCCTCCTGATTCAGTTCAATCCTCCACCGCTTTCCCAGCTCGGCATTGGAATACTTTTTCCCGCCCACCGTTAATGCCTCCACTGCACTCAAACCCCTCCTCTCCCAACCGCACGTCCCCACCCATCCCAAACCTCACCCGTCCACCTCCCAAAGAAATCCCCCATTCACTCAAAACCCACTCCCAAAAAAACCTCACTTCACTTCACTTCACTTCACCCAAAGCACCCACCCACCCACACCCACCCAACCTGCCCTCTCTCCCTCTCGTTCCCAACATGACCCAAACACCCACGACACCACCCAACCCAGCAGTCAGCGATCGAAAATGGGCCGTACTAAACTGCACGACGTCCAAGCGGAGTTGAAGAAGACGAAAGCCGAATTACAAGCTCTGAAGAGGGAGAAATAGGGATTTCGGATTGTGGGGTCTGAGGGGTTGCCGTACGTCGTCTCCCCTGGGAAGGTCATGGTTGTGGTGGAGATGATTGACTGATTGATAGATTGGGCGACCACGTCACGATCCTGTGTGTGGGACACGGCCTCGAGGCGATTTACATCCACACGGGCCTAATCCCCTTCCAAGTCCAGCGCTGGATCACTTCGCATGGACTGGTCAACGGGCTGATCTACCCCCTCATCGCCGAGTCCGCGGACATGCTCCGGCAATACCGCCTCTTCCTGTACAGCGGCAAGATCGCCAGCAAAGACGAGGACATCACGCACGAGGGCAACGATTCCGAGTGGCATCAACTCGTGATGATGTACCACTTCGCGGCGAAGATCCGGGATGAGGGGTTTGGGAATAAGGTTCTCGATGCGTTGGTTGAGAAGGTCCGGGAGGAGGATCGCTGGCCGACGGATTTGGCGTGGGATGTTTTTGGGGAGACGCGGGTGGGCGATGCGTTGAGGCGGTTGTATGTGGATTTGCATGTTTGGGTTGGGCAAGGTATGTTTTTCCATCCCCCAACTCCTCGCGATGCGATCGAATGCTGATGTTACTTGCAGGTTCTGGTATTCAATACCCCTACCAAGACCGGAACGGTCCCGATCAATTCCGCCGCGATGTGAAAGTTGGCTTGATCGCCGCCGGTGAACGAGTCTGCGATCCAGGGGTCGAGATGCCTTGGGAGGGCAAGATGTGTGCGCTCTACCATACGCATTTCGTCACGCCGGTTTGTGGCACGGCCGAAGCGGAGGTCATCGACTTGAGCCAGGATTGATGATCAGGAAAACCTTGACGGGCGATATATGTCCAGCGTTGAACGTACTCGGATTGCGGGAGTCGGTGGTGGGTACGCAGGAGAGTCTCTTGCGCGTTGGTCTGGATCATGCGCCCGGCGAAAGCATTCATGTCGGTAGCAACATCGCAAGTCGCGAAGCTCATTCATTCACCCATCAGCAGCACCACACTTCCTCCTAATCTTCTCTACCTTCCTCATCTTCCGTCTCTCCATCTTAACCCTCTCCTCCACCCCCCTCTCCCACTCCATCGCCTCCCTCTCCCGATCCACAACCCCCTGCAACCTCTCCGCCCACTCCCGATTCCTCTCCCTCTCCGCCTGCAACTTCCCCTGAACCTCCCCGAGCGCTCGCTGAACCTCCCAACTCCACCACACCCCCTCCTCCTTCCCGCCCACCAGCCCGTCCCAGCGATCCTCCTCCCGCGCTAGCATATGCAAGTCTTCGAGGTAGTGCCGGTGGTCGTGCCGGCGCTGGCGTTGTTGGATCCGCGAGTGCAGGTAGAGGGAGAGGGAGCGCGGTTGGGGTTTCGTGAGACGGAGGATGGGGATGGAGCCGGCGTCTACTAGGACGGGGACTTTTCTTTGGCCTGTGAGCTTCTCTTTCGGCAAGGGTCTTGAGAGCAGATCAATCTTCTCTCTATTGACGATCACTTCGCCTTTATGATACCCCTTCTCCTTCCCCTCCACCTCTTTCACCCTCATCCCCTCCCTCCTCCTCCCCTCCACCTCCCTCGCAGCCTCCACCAACCCCCGCACCCTCCCTAACTCCTCCCTCCCACCCCTAACAGCCCCATCCAAAACATCCACCGCCTCATACCCCGCCGTGAAATAGACTTTCAACTGCTTCGCGCTGGTATTGAATTTCTGGTCCCGGAATCTCCTCCGGATGAGGTTGTAGATCTCCGGGTGGTGTTGTTGGTGGGGGAGTTTGGTGGACTGCTTGAGGAGGGCGCGGTAGAGGGCGATGGCGGCGGTGCGGTGGGCGCCGGATTTGTGTGGGGCGAGGAAGGTGGGCATTTATTAGTTATCTTTGAGGATGCATGGGGGTTTTGGTGGTGGATGTTGTGAGGTGAGGTGAGGTTGGAAGTTGGAGCGAGGGAGGGGCGAGATTTCTCCGTGGCTTTAGCTGGGCTTTAGGGAAGCTCTCATCAATCAATTGGAGACATTTTGATGAATAATAATATGCAATCTATACACTATCGTAGAAGGATCGACTATGCCATGACAGCAACATAGTAAAAGTGGATGCCGTCCTATCGGCACCGTGGTATCATCCCAATCCCGATCCCAACGCATGAAAACGAACGCCTTTCGATGCCATGCCATTCTGTCGTCAAACATGTAAATCTCACCTCCCCTTCGATCCCTTTGTCTTCTCGAGGATGAATTTTTCATCTCCTTCAAACACAAACGCATTCACCACCTGTCCACTTCTCCATCCACAGTCTGCCAAGGTTCGACCTTCCTCCATCGGCTTGCCCATGTAGACCAGCCTGACGCGGTTGACGCCTGTTTGTTCTCGGATTCTTTGGAGGGCTATTCGAACGGGTTGTTTCGACCCGAGAGTGACTTCGACATCGGTGCCTCGATCCGAGAGGCGGGCTCGGAGTTTGACTTCGTCGCCGATGTCCTCTGCGCGGCCTTTGCCTTTGGGTCGGACGACCTCTTTATCTTCTGCTGAAGAATCGACAGGTACGCCGCCCTCCCAGTCCTCGTCATCATCCTCGTCGTCATTCTCGCCATCGATCTCCTTCTCTGTTCCCGCGTCCTCGATTAAATCCCTCGGATCTGCGACGATCCAATCCGGGATCTCATACAACGCTCCCTTCTCATCATACACCCCTCCACGAAGTCTGTCTCTTCCCCTTCCCCTTGACACCTTTCCAGTCGGCACAGTAGCCCCCACTGCATCCAGAATGCCCTGCGCCTCGGCCAATTCCCCGCTCCTGATCATCTGGCATGCGATGTCCAATGCATTCCATACTTCTGATCGTCCTGTGACCCGTGTCTCGAAGAAGGCCTCTCTTTCTCGTTCTAGGTGACTTCGAGTCCATGGTGGGGGCATGTTGCTCACATTCTTTGGACTTCGATTCAGGGGCGAGGGTGCTCTTATTCGGTGATTCGGGGGAAGAGTCGAGCTGGTAGGATGTTGTGAGTCGCCATCACGGCGTAGAGAACGGGATGATTGGGTTATCGCGGCGCGAGAAGAGTCTCGTGGGAGGGAAGGGTCATGGCCAGGCGCCGCAGAGGGTCGAGGAGATTCGTAGGGGGAGGTGTTGCTTGTGGATTGACAGCAGCCCTGCCGAGTGTCAGTTTCATGAGCCGGGCGATGGCGATTTGTCACTGTATATCCATACCATAGCTGCCACTTCTCATTCTGCGCCTTGACTGGTACAATGCGCCTTCTCCGTGGCTCTCTCGCACTGGACACTTCGTCGCCTACCACTCCCAAGCACAAATTCGATGCGCGACTGCCAATAACGAGGTATATCTTCTTCTTCTTCAGCTTCTCAACACAGTCGAAATACGTCAAACTCAAAATTCGTAAGCTCCTCGAGTTCGCGTACGAAGTGGTGGAATCCAGTAACGAGCGACAGGTGGAAAATGGCACTGCCGAGCGCGAGTTCACGGCAGAGGCGGCATTCAATGATGAAAGAGCACGCCCAAGGTCACAAGGCTCGAGGAGGTCATGGATGTATGCACCCGCAGCGTTGTCGGCAAGGCGCATGCGACGTTGATGCAGACGACGGGCGGCTGTCGGAGGTTGAACTGAGGGATGGATGACTTCACCTCCCAAAGCCGGGCCGACTTGCTCCCGCGACTCCATCATGTGCGAACCTCCCTTCCTAAGATAACGTCACCCTCCGTCAACCCATCACAACAATAGACTGTACGTCCACAACGCCGATACGCAAGCCACTGCGATTTAGAGATCCTCAGGGCAGTCCAGCCTCTCAATGCAGCTTTCAACACAGCCGCAATGCCACAAAACTCTGATCTTGAGCCTGGAGACTCGGAATTCTCCAGACCTTCAACTCTACCCGGACGAATCATCCTCCTCCATCTCAATCACCTCCCGGATACTTGCAGCTCAGTCTTGCTTCAAGACTCGTTCTCCACTAGTTTACTGTGCGACTGTGCCCAAGCTCCAAGGTTGAGTCCAGAGATGACTTCCCAAATTCTCGCTGCATCAGGCGCGCTCGCGTACTGGAAGGCCACCCCTCCAAAAATATCGTCTGCCAGCCTTAGCTCCCGTGAGTTGCAACCGCAGGCAGCGATGAGAGGACGATGGGTGCAGAATGGCTCACTTAAGGTCCTGCTGCACGAAAGGCTGACATATGCGGGATATCATGAGAATCGTCCACACCAGCCTTTCCACACCAAGGGAAACAGCAAAGCAGATCCTTTTGCCCTCAGCGATCGGCCCCAGTACCATCTGATGGGAAATGGTCACTGATGAAAGGTATCTTGGCTGCAGGCTTCAAACGCCACACCACCAAGTCTGGCAGGAACAGCTTCAGCTTCATGCATATCGTCACTGCGCCCCACGATACTGTCTTTTTGATCAGACTTGAAGAATGTTCAAATCCCCTGCTGGAATTCAGCATCTCCTTTACAGCGACCATGTCTCTGTTGCCAAGTCGCCCAAAGAACGATCACGACGAAGCTCATGGCGTAGAGCTTTTGGCTACCTCTATATCTTCAGCCACCAAAGATCCGTACGTTGCCCAAATCACCTTTCAGTCATGAGCGGAGCCTTTCCAACCCTCTATTGCAGGACTTCCCCGTTGCCCTCCAGTGAAAATGAACAATGGCATAGACGAATGTATGTCGGGCTCAAGTCGCTCGGTCTCAGCGCATTTATCGCTTGGGCGCGCAAACCAGAGAACAAAAAGGTGGCAATCCACAAAAGCCAACGCACGGCTGCAATCAGATGTCTCGTACATCTAATTCCCTTCTCAGTCGCCGTGGCTCTCCTCCGGCTCAACTTCACGTCAGCCCACTTTACTGGGGACATCGGATCCCCAGTGACGACCACACTGCAATTTGCCGCCAAAGCTCATGAAATCATGATGGTTGCGTCGCTTGCTACAGCACTACTATCACTCCTCTCCTTCCATCTCAACCAGCCACGGGGACTTCCATTCGGAGCTGCATTTGCTAATCTACAGGTGGCACCTACTTTCCTAACAAGACATTCGGCGCTGACGATATCAGGCTATGCAATTAACCTATGTCGTCTCACCAGAGTTGCTAGGGACGCTACGGTCACGGCAATTTACTTGGAAGTTTCGATGCTACCTATTCGTGGACCTCCTCGTCGCCCCAGTCCTAATGGCGACCGTGGGACCGGCGAGTGCAACTTGCATGATTCCGCGCCTTCGCAGGTGGACTGTAGCCAGACACGAATTCTTTACGACCTCCGCAGTTGACGATTTCTTCCCAGTCGATCTGGTTGGATCCAGCTACCAACGAACAAAGGGGCCCTACGGCGACCAGGTTGGACCTCCAGTCGACCACGACTACATCTCACTGCTAGATGCACTGTCAAATCAGACAACCATATCTGGGACCCAGATGGGGCTCTGGAGGACTGATGGATTGGGTTTCTCACTCACGCTAACGAGGACGTCCGACTTGTACATGTCTACAACGTCCATCGAAAACAGTCTACTAGCTACCATCCGTGGAGACCAATACCGTCTCAACCCCGCCGAAGTAGAAGGAGCAATGGACGCACGATCAGTCGTACATTGTACCAATCTTCTTTTCCGCGACATTTCCAACCAAACAGGAGAGCTGAAATTCGAATTTGGGCAACAAGAAGTCACAGGCAATCTTCGCTCGGACGACATACAAAGCATTCACTCCCCACTCAACGCCTCAAAGGATTCCCATCTGTTCTTCGCAGACATGCCAGAAACCACCAATCTCGGCGGGGTCGTCGCACAATACATCTACCATAATCACACCATCCTCACATCCTGCGCATTTCAATTACAATGGGTACCAACCATCCTCGAGTACTCCCAATTCACAATGTCGAGTCGGCCATCACCTCACCACTCCCAGGAGCGCAACGCCACGGCGAGCCGCAGCTGGCTCGACGCCATCTCCTCCGAAAAGATCAACGGCTCTTCGCCATACGCCTATCTCTTCGGACCGATCGAACCCGAACAATACATCAACTTCACAAGCCGCACCCAGGATCTCCTCCCGACGCTCCTAGCCGTCGCCCTGTCTCGAACAGCCCACCCCATCGCCAGTGAGGAGGACTGGAACGCCCACAAAACAGCACAACCCGGCGGAACGACATTCGTACTCAACTGGTTCGAGCAAGGCCCAGGCTGGGGTGCTGACTCCCTCGCCATCCGCATCTCTCTGGGTATCTTACTCGCCTACTGCGTCGTCGCCGCTGGACATACCTTGTACTCGATCTATACGGGCATCTCGTCTACGGCGAGGGATTCTATCTCTGAGGTTGTGGCTTTGGGGCTGAATTCGCCGACGCCGGCGGAGATGGCGAATACGTGTGCGGGGATTAAGACGGCGGGGGTGTTTGAGCGGAGGGTGCGTGTCGCCATCATGGCTGATGGGGAGGACGAGGTTGGCGCGGAAAGCAACGGTGCAGATGGCGATGAGGGAGCGGAGGGAGGAGGAACTCGCCTGGCCTTGCTGTTCCCCTCAGACGAGGACAAGATCGCCTCGAATGTGAAGGTCAACACTGTGAAGGTCAACACTGTATATTGAGCAACCCTCAAACGACAGAAACCAAAAACGAAATCGCCCTCCCGAACAGCGCCTGTCCAAAGGCTTCTCGTCTCCTATCAAGCGACTTCAATGTTCTTGCATCCACTGGCAACAGGCCCGTGGTATTTTCTATGAGGGGTCGCCTTCTCCTCCTTCCTCGTCAATATAAATCACCACCAGCAGTCGACTTGATGGGGTTCTTCATGCTGAGGGAGATAGCTTTCGGGCACGAATTCGACTGGCAGGATGGATATGATGACTTCACCCCAACCACCTCAACCACCTAGCCCCAACGATGACGGGGTGCTTTCCAAGCCCACGTCGACCTTACCGGGCCGAATTCCATGCTACCTACCTACGTACCTCATCTCGCCACCTCCTCTTCATCACAAGACGTCCTCACCAGTCGGTTTCTGTGCTGTTTCCCTTCGCCATCGTATCTTGTGCATCACAACACGACACGACCCGTCCCTCTTGTTTCATCTTCCAACAGAAATAGTTCATCTCTACGTTTCAGCATACGAACCACCATCCGAACCGCATCTCGTCACTGACTCGAGTCGAAAGCCAACCCCCCCACCGCACGACGACGACGGCTATGTCGATGCAGCCACAGGAGAGACGTGAGAGTTATGCGTGCGGGGAGTGCATACATGAATGAGTAAAGAGAGAAAACCGCTTTTGTTCCATGCCATTATTACCCAAACAAAAAAATCACTGATTAGCTACCTATTTCTACCGCGACCCAAAGCCAAAAAGCAAAAAAACACACTGTTTGTAATGAGAATCTTGTCCACACTTCATAGTAGGGTATCTTTGAAAAAAGAAGCACTTGAAGGGCAGGGGGTATTCGCGACTGTTCCAAATACACACATCCGAAGGAAGAAGGGAGAAGACCATTCCCCCTCTTCTGCCTCGGACATGTCTGCCGGGACAGTAATCCATCAAATGCAACCAGCAGCAAAAGGCAGGCTAAAACAATGCAGCAGTGTGGTATCAATCTAAAGCACGCACCATCCCGTTTTCCCAATGCAAAAACAGTAGCAGCAAAACAAACACATAAAGCCAGGCTGACGCAGTCCGAAGTGAGCGAGTGGTTCCAGTTGGGTATTAGGCGGGCGTCGCAGCGAGAGAGGGGAGAGTCGTAGTCGGTGGCATATCCGACCAAGAATGAGCTACTTGCTGCCCTCCGCGTCGCAAGATCTACCGCGTAGACCGCGCTCCTGCGAGACGCTGAGAGGTAGCGCGCGCCAGCCTGGTTGGAGTCTGCTCAGCTCGACCGTCAGCATGACTCGAAATGGGGTATCATTTATGCGCTGGCGGTGACCGCTGGGGTGGTGTGCTGAGGCTGGCCGACGTTGACGGCGTCGGGAACAACATCACCGATGCTCTTCTGCTGCTCCTCGACTGGCTCCTTCTTGCTCTCGCCGTTGACGACGGGGGTCTCCTCGACTGGCTTGGTCTCGGCGACCTCCTCCTTCTTGGCCTCAGTGGTGGCTGGAGCGGCGTTCTCCTTCTTGGGGGCGTTCATGCGATTGAGAGCCTTGCTGGCGCGACGACCGAGGCTGCCGAGCACCGACTGGCGCTTGTTGGGAGTGCTGGTCTCAGTCTTTGGCGCCTCAGCCTTCTCAGCTGAAGTCTCGGTGGTGGCGGCCTCGACAGCTGGCTCAGCGACGACTGGCTCCTCCTTCTTGGCCTCGCTCTCGACGACAGGAGTCTCCTCAGTAGGCTTGACCTCAGCGGCCTCCTCCTTCTTGGCTGGCTCCTTGAGGTTGGCGGATGGGCTGACGCTGCGGTTGCGCTTCATGAAGCCGAGGCCAGAGAGGAAGTTGGACTTCTCCTTGCCAGGTGAGACGGCGTCCGCTGGGACGTCCTTCTTCTCCTCAGCCTTTGCATCGGCAACTGGCTCCTCGACAGCTGGGACAGCTGGCTCAGTCACTGGCTCGGTGGTGGCGGTCTCTGGGAGGACTGGTGGGTTCTCAGAGACGGCGCCATCCTTGGCCGCCTCTGGCTTGAGCTCGACATCCTTCTGCTCCTTCTCCTTGGCTGGGCTCTTCATGCTGCCCCAGGCTTTGCCGAAGATGCTGCTGCGCTTGCTTGGCTTGGGCTTCTCCTCGACATCCTTCTTCTCCTCCGCTGGCAATGCCTCGGCGGCCTCAGCGGCGGCAGGGATCTCAGCAGTGGCGACAGCAGCAGAGGCTGGAGCAGCTTCGGTGGATGCGGCGATGGGAGTGGCCTCCTCGTCAGCCTTCTTCTCCTCCTTGTCGGCCTCCTTCTCTTCCCTCTTCTCGGCAACCTTCTGCTCAGCCTCCTCCTTCTTGCCCTGGAGGCGGCCGAGGATACCGCGGGAGGTGGAGCGGCTCTTCTTATCCTCCTTGTCTTCCTCAGTCGAGCCAGTGCGCTCCGCAACGGCCTTGTCAGCGTCAACGCTCTTCTTTGGCTGGGACTGGCTGCGCTTAGAGGCGGCGCCAAGGACGGTGTTTGGCTTGTCTGGAGGAAAGGTAAGTATAAATTTCGACATATTCACTTCATGTTCACTTACTCAGCTTTTCGATCTCGGCCTTGTAGCCCTCGCTCTCGCGGACCTCCTCCTTGGAGGCCTTGCCAAGCTCGATGGACTTCTCAATGGACAGGTACCAGCCGTCACGCTCAGCATCGCTGGTAGCCTTGAAGACGTGGTTCTGGCCGTGGAGCTTGAAGGAGAACTCGTGTGGGGAGCTCTTCTTCAGGTCGGTTGCATCGTAAAGAGCAAGAACATCGTGGGGGTGAGTTCGGTCAGTCTCGTTCTTCTTGTTGAAGAAGAGCAGGCCCTTGCCGGTCTGGCTGGCCCACGCAACAATGGCGTGCGAGATCTCTGGCTTCTCGCCACGGAGGAACAGGTCGAGGTTCTGGGGTGCAACGGCCTCGTCGCTGAGCCAGAACTCCTTCTTGGAGGGGATGAGCGACCTGGGGAAGTGTCAGCTTGGCAATTTATTTTCTTATTGTGTATTCACTCACTTCACGAGACCTGGGCCCTTGTATGCGAGCTGACCCTCAGTGATGGGCTCAATGGGCTTCTCGGCAGTCTCTGGCTTGGCCTCCTCTGCGGGTGCGGCCTCAGTCTTGGCCTCCTCAACGGCGGGCTCAGTGGCCTCAGTCTTGGGAGCCTCAGCATCAACCTTGGGCTCTTCGACGGGAGCAGAGGCGTCAGTGACTGCCACAGGAGCTGCTGGCTCGACAACCGTCTCAGCGACCACCGGAGCGGCGGTGGTGTTGTGCACGTCGGACATGGCGTATTACGGTGTAGTCGTGAAGGGAAAAAAGTCGGATGCCTCGTGCCACGTGAAATGAAAAGTAGCCCGTCCTCCTGGTTGCGGTGAAGGAGTGGTGGAAGAGGCAGCTGCGATGAGCGTGCGCGGGCAGGGAGCAGTTTTGTGCGGTGCGGTGGGAGTGGTGGGAAGGTGCAGACCAGAGGCAGGAGCTTTTGAAGCCGCACACTCTTTTCAGGGATTGGAGGAAGGCGCGGTGCACGGATGCGCATGGGCTGCCTCTGTAATCTCGGCTGACGGAAGGGGACGATGAAACGCTGCGGGCACAGCGAACGACCTCAGCAACGAGCGTCTCTCGCTTTTTCACTTTCACCCCATCTGCACGAGCTGCTCATCACGCACAAGTCTCGCATGCATCTCGTCGGCGTGCATGGGCGTGAGACGCGCTCTCCTCATATCTGGCGGCGATAGCGCAACTGGAACACTGTCGCATGACACGCTGCGCAGCCTTGGCCTCTCGTCTGATAGTACCCCTGTCGGGATAAGGTTACCGCTGCAGCCAACCGCAATTCTCGTGAAACCTCCCAGCGCCCTCCCAACCGCATCAACCGCCGTGTCACGTGTCGTAGCCGCTGCCAATTTGCAGTGGGCGCGACGGTTTAATATGACCCCAGCCATCCACATATTGAAAGATCTGGCCCCAGCGAAAAGTCGTCTCGCACAGAGTCACCGCTTGTAAATTGTAGGCAGCGTAGCTCTCTGGCACATGAAGTCGAGGTAACGCGGTTCAACGCGCCGCCGCAAGATGCATGCAAGCGAGCGACAGCTCCCGAAGACCCTGGCGGCTTACCGCAAGTCTATGCCAACATCCTGCCTTGGATCTCGTCTGCTGCCTCGCATCTCACCCAGCTCACCTCTCCAGCTGTCAGCAGACAACTCGAAGACTGCGCGCCCCACCAGCCCAAGGCCAGCGTGGAGGGCGGGCGCACGCTGTGATTGCTGGCCGAGCAGGGTGCGCACGAAAAGCTCTGCGAATCACTCGACTCGCTGCGAGAACTCTAAAGCGCGCCGTGAGAATTGGTCGCCGTCCACAATCGATAGCACGGCGAAACAATTTCGGTCGCTCAGGCCACCGCTGGGGACTCACCACCCACTGGCCGAGGCGTGTCGTCTCCTGTCGTGTCGCGACTCTTGTGCGGAAACGGACCTTGTGCCACGTCGTGAATAATGCTTGATGCAGGAGGCTGGAGGGTCACTGCCGGAGTCTGTCAGGCATGCAGATGCTGAGACAAGACAAGACTCTCTCCAGAACTTCACTCCAGACTCGCTCGTCTCAGCCTGCTGTGGATTTGGCCGTCGCGGCGGAACGTCGGCAGGAGCCGCCCAGCGTTATTCCAACCCGTCCAATAGCGTCGCTGATCTGCATATACGAGATCGACACTCCTCGACCGCACGTGTTGAGGAAGAAATGTGCTCTTGGCCGACTGACTCGCAACAATATCGCATCTCATGTCTCTGGCCTGTCTGGCTGCGTAAGCCGGAGTGACTTTGACATGTCTGATCTGCCAAGTATACCTACTTCCAAGATCTCTCCCCTACCTCCCTACCTATCTCATGGCATGTGAGCTACAGGGTTATTGACGACAGCGCCAGGCCAGCTATGCAGAATGATGTATCCTGCCGCAATGCCGACATCTATCCGTCGACATCAAATCGCCGAAAAGATGTTGGATGTACGAAGGGTTGGAGAAGGTGAGGTGGAACAAAGGTTGCAGGCTGAATATTTGAGAGCATTGGCAGTCCTTCCATCTTTCACGAACGAGAGTGAAGTACACCAGCGTAAAGAGTAACTCAGACTTCGATACCTCGATGATGTCTCTGCTGACAAGCCGGCGTATACGTACTGTTCAAAGCTCAACGATCCAACGGCATATGAGATCGAGGTGTCTCAATCGATTACTCAGTCCCGCATCAGTACGGAAACTCTTTTCTAGCACGGCAGCAAAAACGTATTTTCCATGTCTTTGAGGGACGTCATCTCAACTGCCATCCTCTTCAACCACGTTGAATCATTTTTGCCTTCGACCTCTTACTTCCCAATCTCCTACCTAGCTTCCTTAAAAAGAGAACGCTTAAGGGCGATTTGTCTTCAGAAGCCTGATTTACAGCCATGCCATCTTCGAAACTCCCCAGGGCTCTGCACCAGCTTCAAATCCCGGCTTCATAGCACCATGGAACTGAATCTGGGTCGGCAGATACCTGGTCTCCCCTAACCTCCCACTCACGGTCTTCATGCCGACTACCTCCTTCAGCTTCGGGATATCAGGCTTTGCCAAATGCGCGACAACATCCCTCTCGAACATCCCCAGCGACTGGACCCACATGCATATCCGGCTGAGATTCACTTCCACCCGCCAAGTTCCTCCTGCTATCTCCCTCCTCCGAAGACACTCCACCATCGCAGCAGCGCCGAGCGTAGCAGCCAGGTAATCATTCAGAAGATGTGTTGGTGGTAGAGATGGCTTGCCAGTGCCGCCCTCTCCTTGCGAGAAGCCTGTTGCTGAACAAGCGAGCTGGTCAAAACCTCCCCAATCTTTCCAAGGCCCCTTCGATCCCCAAGCATGGAACTCCACGATGACGATTCCAGGACGGCGCTTTGCGATCTCCTTCGCACCGAAACCCTTCTTCTCCAGCGACAAGTAACTCGACATGTACACGTCCGCCCCCTCGACAGTCTGCCAGAACTTGGCCTGATCCTCTTCCTTCTCCAGATCACACCACGCCGACCGCTTCCCAATCCCCGTCTCAACAATCATCCCAAAAGGATCCCTATGCTTCGGCGCCGCCATACTCAGCACATCCGCCCCAAACTCCGCCGCCATCCTCGCCGCCATCGGCCCCGCAATAACATGCGTATTATCCAAAACCCTCACGCCCTCCAACGGCGTCCCCTCCCCAACATCCCTTACCCCCCTCAAAACCTCCCCCTCCGCCTCTCCCAACTTCTCAATCTCCACCACATCTTTCCCCACCAACCCCCTCCCGACCTCACACCCCCTCCACTCCTCCGCACTCCTCACAACAACACAACACCCACCCCTCTCACTGATCTCCCTCTCCAGCTCAAAAGCATCCCACTTCGCCACCTCCCGCTCAAACACCTCCCTCTCGCTCGCCACGCCCCCGAGCACCCAGCAAGCCATATCCCGCAACTCTGGATACGTCGTCAGCAGGAACACCCACCTCCCACCCTGCGCCTGGAAGAAATCGTTATTCCCTAATAACTTCGCATCGTCCATCAGATCCATACAGCTCACGCCGTTCGTCGTCGTGAAGAACGCCGCCATGAGTTGCGCGATGCAGTTCTGCGTTGAGATTGAGAAGGTCTCTTGGGATTTCTGCTTGGTGCGCAAATCCCAGAGATTCGTCAGTGTCGTACCTAGCGTCGCGAGTGCTGCGGCCATGGCGTCGCCGATGCGGTGCGGGCTGGGGGTTAGGGGGTCTTGCCCCTGGATGTTGGGTGCGGAGTCCCGCGAGGGGATTGAGAGGAAGGCGAGGAGGTCGTGGAAGATTTGTTCGACGGGTGGATGGTGGGGTTGTAGCATTTCGCTATTGTCTGTCCTTCTTTTCTCGATCGTCTACTGTGAAAGATGGTCGCACATACGGTTGTGCGTATATGTATGAAACATGAATGTGCTGACGCATTGGGTATATCGCCGAAACGCCGGGAAGGTCTGCTCCTTCCCGATGGGGCAAGCCGGAGTTGTCGGAAGATCGAGTTGGGAATTACGTGTTGCCATCTATGCCAATTGAACTATAGGCTTCTGATGCTCGCAGATGCGCTGGACTCGCTTTTAGTATCGATATCGACTACAAAATAGGGAATACAACTCTCGATGCTGCTGAAATTCCCACTGCGAAAGCCATGCTCTATAGAACAATCTCATCGCTGCGATGACTGTCAACTAATAGGTCCTAGGCCTTCGAAAGGAACCAAGCCACTTGAACGTCACCGAGCTTGTGTAACCACATAAGATCGAAGTCTAAACCCATTTACTACGCCAGTTCTCCAATCCATGTTCTAACGACGGCTTTCTTTGATGTGAAGCAACCACCGGCATAACAATCTCGCACGACGACTCCCCAAACTCGAATAAGAAGAGCACCAGTCGCCCTACCTGCCGTCCGAACAAACCGCGAGTGAGAAGAAGAGCTCCATCCAGCTGTTTCAAGAACTTCGGGCCCGGGAACATACCTCATCCACGGCAGAGCACATCGAGGCAAGGCAAAATGCGGGGAGCTGGGGGCCCCACGTGCTCGACCCCTCCTTCTTGGATGACGATGAAGCAAACGTCAACACAAGCAAGAGGAAGACAATAACGTCGTTGTATTAATAGGGACCTAGAACTGAGAGGGAGTTATTGTTGTTGGACCTTGATGGATCTCCACGCAAACAATATAAAGAAGGGAAGTAACACCCCTTTCCTTCACAAGCTTTCTTTTATCAAACGAGATCGAAGCTCATCCATGCCAATGGAGAGAGCTCCTACTCCCGAGGCGCAAATCTCACTTGACTCCATCCCATCCTGTTCCTATCTCTTGCCACGCATCAACTCCGGCTCGGAAAACGCTCGACACGACATGACATGACATGACCAAATCGTGTCAGTCAGCCCCACGAAAGCAGCCGAATGATCCATCGGAATCACAAAGACCACCGGGTTTATCGCGAGAGCCAAGGACCAGCCATGCTTGCTGCATCTGCCGTGGGGAACGGGAACGGGAATCTGCTTTGCTTTACCCCTCACAGGCATCATCATTGCTTCGCGATGCGCGCGTGGAGCTGCTGGGACAGCGGATGAGAGGGACCTGGGAGGATGTGTGAGGAGTATATAAAAGGAGTTTGTTACCGTTCCCAAGGTAAGGAGGAGTATTCTGTCTGTTCCTCTCGCGAGTTGCTCCTCAGGATTCCTTTCAACCGCATCTCGTCTCGTGAGGATCCCGCACCGTACCTCTCGCAAGGATTCCACTTTTTGAGATCGTACCTTTCTCCTTGTGAAACAATCCTCTGAGGGATTCTTGAACTTTTTGTTTTGTTTTCATCTTCGAAACTCGACAGCGACGACAATTTTGAAGATGGCGACGGAAGAGATCCCCAAGACGGGCAAGGCGGGCGTGGTCGTGAACGAGGGCCCGGATTTTCACGTCGAAGTGCAAGATGTGGAAGTTCCGGAACCGCAGGAGGGACAATTGCTGCTCAGGCTGAATTGTACTGGGTTGTGCATGTCGGATGTGCGTTTAAGGATTCCAAGACATCACCCACACACACACATGCTCCTCGCTGATTCTTCCCCCTCCAAAAGGTCCACTTCATGCTCAATGACTGGGCCGTGCCCCCAATGTCCCAATTCGGCACCAAATGCGCCGGCCACGAAGGCGCCGGCGTCGTCGCCAAAGTCGGGCCCGGCGTGCAAGGCTGGAACGTCGGAGACAGGGCGGGCATCAAACCCCTCTGGGACGTCTGCCACAACTGCGAGCACTGCTGGGTCGGCAGGGAAAATTACTGCCAGAAGGGCGTTTATACGGGCTTGGTGGCTGAGGGCACGTATCGGCAGTATGTGCTGTCGCCGGCGATTTATACGAGTCGCATTCCCGAGGGGGTGTCGGATGAGGTTGCTGGGCCGGTGAGGCATATCCCTCAAACTTCGCCCGTTGAAGGTGGGAGATATGAGCTGACAGCCTCCCGCTCGAACTAGATCATGTGCTCCGCCAGCACCATGCACCGCGCCCTCGTCGACTCCGGCCTCAAACCCGGCAACTGGGTCGTCTTCCCCGGCGGCGGCGGCGGCGTCGGAATCCAAGGCGTACAACTCGCCAAAGCAATGGGCATGCGGCCCATCGTAATCGACAGCGGCCCTGCCAAGCACACCCTCAGCAAAGAAATGGGCGCCGAAGAATTCGTCGACTTCAAAGAGCACTCTGACGTCGCGGCGCGCGTCAAAGAGATCGCCGACGGCATTGGCGCCCACGGGATTTTGGTCACGGCGTATCAGGCGTATAAGGATGCGTTTTCGTTTATTGGCGATCGGGTGGGCAGTAAGATTATGTGTATTGCGTTGCCGCCTGCGGGCGCGGTGACGTTGGGGACGGATCCAAATTTTTTTGTGTTTAAGAATGTTAGTGTTATTGGGACTTTGGTGGGGACGATGTAAGTGTATTTCCTCCTCCTTCTTCTCGTGGGGATTGTGGCGATGTTTTGGCTGACTTCTGTCTTGCAGGCAGGATACGGCGGCCGCACTAGAGTATGCGCGACGAGGGCTTTTGAAGGGAATCTCGGAGGTGAGGGGTTTGTCACGGTTCGATGAGAGTGTGCAGGCGTTGAGGAGGGGGGAGATTGCTGGGAGGGTGGTGATTGATTTTAACAAGGAGTAGGCGAATGTCGAGATGAGGGGGAACAGGAAGGGCAAGTATAGGGATGAAAGAGAGACGGGAGAGAAAGAAAGCCCTGAAGCGTTCATATGCAGGAAGGAAGGAAGTGCTTTCAGATTCGCACTATCTACTTTCTCATCCTTGTCACACTCATCAAGATCATCCAATCTTCTTCCATAATTGCCTCAAGCAAGATCCTCCTCAACCCAACCGATCATTTTCGTCATGCGCTTTTCAATCATCTCATCACATCCCTGCGATCCAGTCGCTCCCCCATCCGTGCAACTCAATAATCTAAGAAGAGAAGTACGCAATGGCATCGTTAAACTTGTCGTCGATCTGCTGAACAATGACCGGCGCAGCGCTCTGGTAGGTGGCGGTCAACTTGGGGGTCACAGCATCGCCGAAGGAGTCGGCGGCCGTCTGGGCCTCCTGGAGGGTGCTCTTGACGAGGGGCGAGGCGGAGAAGCCGAAGATGGCGGTGTCGAATTGGGGCTTGTGGGCCTTGAGGTTGTCGAGGAGGGAGTAGATGTTTGGCTGGAGGTTCAGGACTGGAAGGGCGAGGAGATTAGTATCTGATTGGATTGGGATGGAAGGAGGTTAGGGACGTACTGGCAGTGGCGACGTTGAAGGACTGGTCGTCGTTCAAGGGGGCGGAGGCGTTGGCGACGGCGGCGGCGTTGTTGACGGACTTGGTCAGGTCGTCGGACTCGGCCTTGATGATCAGGGCGGTGATGGAGTCCTTTGGCTTGGTGAAGGTGTTGAGGGTGTTGTTGACCTTGGTGATGTTGCCGTTGATGTAGCCGATGGCCTGGTTGATGGAGGCATCGTCACGCTTGACAATCGCTGGCGAGGCCAGGGCGAGGAGTGGGAAGAGGACGAGTCCGGCGAGCATCTTGACTGTTTTGATGGAGGGTTGGCTTGGATGGGGTAGTGCTTGATTTGATTGTGGGCTGATGGATGTCTTCATCGATAGCGGTCGAGCTGCTGGTTTATATATGTCGTTGATGTCGTCCGTTCGCGCGACGCACGGGGTCGACCGAGGCTGGTGCCACTTCGATGTTGCAATTGTTCGCCAGCAAAGAAGCTTGAGGAGGCTAGGGAGCATCTCCTAGTGCATGTCGAAAGTTGTGCCGAACCCCATGGGGGACTTTGACGAACAGCTGTAGGTTTAACCTTGGTGGTTGCGGTCAGTGAGTAAGTTCGTGTTGTCAACGACATCTCCGCAACGTCCATGTATTGGGATTTCACGAGGCCACCCACCGTTGGACATTGTTCCGTGGTCCTTCTATTCAAACGTTGCAATACAATCTCTGATATTCGTTCGAGCATGAACATGTTCACACCAAGCTGTGTGATCGTCCAAGTGAGGTGAGATACCTGCATCCACGCACGTGTGTGATCTTCCCTCCGTTCGTGCAGGAGTCGTTCTCGTGATTCGTTCCCATCCACACATTCGAGCTGATCGACTGTCCGTAACTCGGCTCGTCCAAGGAGCCTATGGCATTGCAGCACGTCGTCGATGAACTTCCGTATGAGGCAGTTGAGGAAGCGCGCCGCCGACGCAGGACAAAACTGGTGCTAAGTGCTTATACACGAGCGGGGATAGCACATGTTGTTCGAAAGCCGAATTGCGGAATGGTAGTTGAAGGAGCGAACACGCTAGTGCACATTTAGCAGCATGCTGTCTCACTTTTTTGGCAGCTTGCGTTCTCTTTCATGAGATCGTTTTCCAGCAAAGTCTCCAGCCTCTAGCCTCACTCTGGTCGTGGAAGCCATTCCTTGTCATCCTGTGCTTCTTTGTTCCATGACATGTCGATACGAAAGAGGTGCAGACCAACGAACCCCCTACCGAGGAGAGTGACTTTTTAAAGTTAAGCTTATACACTATTGTGTGCAGCCGTGTTTTGAGTTGAAGCCATCTCAGGAACGCTTGAACGTTCTGGCGTGTGGAGAAGCTCTCACAAGATGTCGGGAGGCACCGAGGCAACCCAGCCACAATATATGCTGCATTTTGCTCTTTATTCCATACAGAAAGTCGCCCAGTCGACACGTGACGGCAGTCAGATCGGAATCCGTGACCAGCAACTCCAGTGGCGTGCTCGTTGAAAGAAGAAGAGTGGTATCCTCTCGCGCAGCTGGAAAGCCTCGGGAGTACTGCCTTGGCCTGCTTAGTCGACCAAAGGTACGGCCACCCACCGGAGATCTTGCGTGCCAGACACAGTACTGGATGTAAGTCTTCAGTAGTCAGGAACAGCTTGTGTTGTGCGGGGTGTTAGCTGTGACCGTCCTGTCCTTGTCCAAGCCAAGTCGTATACTCGGAACATGAAGCTTTGTCATGCGCGCCAGGCTGAAACCAATGTCGTGCTCTTCACGAGCTTGCCAGCCTCGGTGTGCGATCGCAATGCCAAGAGCGTGCTAAGAAGAATGGCATCTCGCGGCGAGGGATCGTTCTGGCGGAGAAGGGCGGATGGAGCATGCTGCCAGTCCTACGAGTGAATCCTCGTCAGTGCCAGTCGCACTCTGTTGGAGAGATGGCTTGGTGGCAGCGTTGATGTCCCTGCGACGTTGTAGATGATTGTCTTGCCAGTTGTTGTCATTGGGACGGAACGCGGAAATGAGAGCGAAGGAAACACCAGACGTGGTCCGAGCGTTCAGCTCAACTCTCACCTCACTTCCTCTGTCTTGACTCCCATATCATTAAAACCAGCTGCATCATATCCTGAACAGCCCCAAACAGAGACATTACCGATTATACTGCTCGAAAATACATGCTGTATTGCTGTTCTGGAGCCCTCGGGCCGTCCGCGCTGAAGAGGACTGAAACGGAAATTTGTGGGAAACGATTCTGCGAACCTATTTAGCAGGATACAAGAGTAATGAGTACATCCATAAATCGACTGGATAGCTGGCTGAGATGAGCTCCTGATGCAAGCGCCCAGCCCTTTCTTCTCATCATTCCTGTCAGATCACGAACGCCAGACTGCATCGCATCCCGGCCCAGAATCTTTCAAAACAACAATTCAAGCGACCTTTTGGTGGCTCATCGTCGTAAGAATGCTCCTGAGAGTCCGCGCTTCTCTGCTTTGCAGCAGATCGAGCGAAGCAGACGCCCTGCTTTATCACGAAGGCTGCTCGGGTCTGAAGGCAACCTCCGCTCTGCAATAGACTCGCCGTGGATAGGCGTAGTCGCCTGGGCATCTGCACTTCAGCACCGGAGTTGTGGCCGCACCGACAATGCCCTTTTCGCCCGGTGGACTACCAATCGGTCTCTCCACCTCCTCGTAGACATATTCCTCGCCAGCGGCAATCCAGCAGAAGTTGAATTCGAAAGGCGATGCGTCGAGGGAGCCTTTCAGAACCAAAGCTTTCATGAACATCTCCGTCAACTCCGCCGACGTGCGGTTCCAGAACTGTTGGTCAGAGAGTTCCTTGCTCCCCGATATTCCAAGGAGCTTCACTTGAGGATGCAATGCAAGCTCCAGCTTGTCGGCAAGGGACTTTGCACTCGGCATGATCACCCGGTTTTGAAAGGTCGCACTGTCGATCTGCGCGTTAAGACCATGCCAGAGTATGTCATCCATTTTGAGGTTCAAGCAGCCTGCAAGACGTTAGCTCTGCGTCCTGGAATCGAGGCACCTCGACTTACCCTTTCTTCTCATGGCTGCACTCCAATATGGAGCCACTGGACGAAGCTTTTCAAGCTAGTCGGACGCTGTGTCCCAAAGAAGCGGCTTGGTGAAAACCATTTCGTGAACGGCTGCTCCCAAAACGCCCCTCAAGAATTCGCTGCCATGTAACGGACGGTGAAGAGAAGCTTTGGCTTCAACCTGCCACGACTTGTCCGGTTCTGAGCCGGAAAGAGTCTCGTAGATTCGTTCGAGCAGCGGCGAAGGGTCCGGGACGATCACTGCCTTCGACTTTGAGAACGCCTCGCCGTGGTACGTGTGTTATCCAACACCTGATTGATCAAGCCTGCCACGCGCCGCATGTGGCGCCCTGAACGCATTGGAATCACTTCCCAACATTCGATCTACGTTCTGGAGCTCGTCGATTGGGCGCGGCCAAGCAGCATTTGCGTCGACTGGCTTGGCGAGGTCGTCCTCGTAGTCTTCTACCAGGCGCGGCAAGCCGATTTCATCCATGCGCTTCAGCTCGTCTGGTTCTTTCTCGGTCCACGCTATGACCTCGTCTGCTGTCTGAACTACAGCTGCCTCTGTCACTCGAGTACCGCTACCCAGCGTCTTGGTCGATTCGATGCCCGTGTTGAGTAAGTCTTTATACCTGGACTCCCATACCCCATTCTCGGCGTGCAGACTCTGGTTCTGAGACTTCAGAGCATCGAATTGCGACCTGAGGTTATTGTACCGGGCTTGCAATTCTTCGTTCTGATCTGGCTCTGGATTCTTCACTCGCAATGTCGAGGGGTCTGTGTCATCGGGAGCTGCTGAATGCGTCGGTGAGGCTAGTGCGGTGATGTTTTGCTCATGTGAAACCTCCTTGTTGCTATTCGAGTTCTCGTCACTAATAGACGACACGATAGCGCTATTCGACTCCTGCAACGACTTGAACTGCAGATTTGTAATTTTCGAGGCATCTGGACTGATCTCATCTTGTTGGCTCCCTGGAGCTGTGTTGTCGCTTCTGTTGCGCTTCGGATCGGGAACTTCTGGCGACTCATCTGTTTCGTCGATTGATCGCTTGACTCCTGCTGGCTGCGGCACTGTTGTTGCGTCTTGGCCAGTATTGGCTGCATTGTGCTGGAGGTCACCTTCGGCAGGGGTTCCAATCGCCTGCCCCGCTGCTGGACCAAAAATCGATGCTTTCGTGTAGCCGATGCTTTGAAGATACTCGGCCTTGAGGACGTCGCTTCCAAACTTGAAGATGTCGGGTCCCTTCAAATCTTCGCGTGCACCACTGCTGCCCTTGACGAGGCCCATCAAGTGCTCCCGAAGTTTGTCGGCAGTGTATGGAACACTTTGTCGGGTCCGAAGATGGGTGTAAGACAATGGCGGATTGTGCTCTCCAATGAGCTCCTCGAGTAGTATCCGCTGGGCGGTCAGACTCTGCCCAAGATTGGCGTCGATATTTGCGAGTGCCAATTTGGTGGCATTGTCGCGAAGAGGGTCTTTCATTGTGGCGGCGGACACGCACTGGGGCGCCAGAGGGGTTCCTCCAGGAGATGTAGTAGGCCTCGAGGCAGTGGTGTGTCGGTATCTGAGTGCGCTGATTCGAAAGTGCTGGTTGGAGCTTGAGTGCGACTGCAGTCGAGACAAAGGCGCCGGCAGAAGAATGAGGTCGAGGTTAAGGGCCCTGGTGAATGGGCGCTGGTTGCCAAGCGACGTTCTTTGTTATGGCAACCCGGACGCAGCGTGACAATGCTTAGCTTTGAAGGCACATGGTTGGACCAGTTGTCAATATTCCAGAGTCGTCTTGGACCGCTCGATCTCCACTGTAGAGTGTGAGACCACGCTGTCAGGGGGTGTGTGCGACATCCCAAGACCGGCATCACATAACAGGTTCTCGCTGATCAGACCGCTTTCCAGCATTTTGTACACAGATGAGGTCGCGCATAGTGGACTGGACTGGACTGGACGATATCCTACTGTGACGATATGGATATGGCGTTGCTATTTAATGTGCTTTGGCATAGCATGTACAATGATGCGGTCCAATCTACTCCCTCGTCTTTCACATTGTTTGCCTGCCTTACGTTCTCGTTTTCGTCCTTGTCGAAGGGGTCTGGGTAATGGTGAAATTAGTATAAATAATGAAGAACGATAGAAAGGAAGAGATGTCGTTCGCTGATATCCCCCTTTTGGGCCAATGCCAGCCGCCGAAGCGGAGCTCACTCCGGACGCTTGGCTTGGCATCTCATCTCGCCGGGATGTCAACGTCCAACCGCAACCCAATCGACATCGCTGCTGCTTCGTTCACTCGTCTCTTTACTGCCAGTCTCGCCCGCGCCCGCTCCATTCGTCGACGACACCGCTGCCGGCAAGCACATTGCAGTGCTACCCCCACCTTGCGCTCGATGGTGCGCTAGTCCGCCCTCCCCCTGCCACACCGCCCACGCGTCCAAGGTGGATTCCTCGACCGACGACGCTTCCATCCACTCCACCCCCTCCCTCCGCGGGCACGCCGCCCAGAAGACCGACGTCGAATCGCACTTCCGGCTCGATACACACGCACAGTGCGACCCCGACGAGCGCCAGGACGAGCCGTCCTCAGCCACGGCCGAGTCGCCGCCCTCCTTCCACTCCCACAGCTTTCCCTCCCACTACTTCCCCGCGCCCTCGTCGGTAGACCCATACAAGGTCCTTGTCACCACCGCCTGCGCCAGCGACTCACTACCTGCGTTTGCACCCTCTGGTCCCGCGCCCCCGTTTGAAGAGGTTGAAGCGTCAGCTGCTGCGCCAAGTGTCGTTGCTGAGACCAAGGCTGCGCTTCCGCGAGATACCAAGGACGGTCAGTCAAGCAAAGACCTCGACGACGGAGAACCGCCACCGCCATACAGCGAAGGCTCGAGTCCTATCGAAGGATTTACATACGTCATGGCAGCGGCAGGAGGTGCGGCGAGCATCATCACCCAGGTCCAGCAGGGAGGGCCGGCTCCTATCAACACTGCGCTTGGAGGCGGTATGTACGCATGGTGCTGTTGAATATATGAGAGACTAAGTGAAAAGCAGGCTCGGATGAGAACATCACCCTGGAATTGCGGTTTGTTTGAGATGCCACCATCTGCGCATGTCAGGTCTAATAAGATTGTCAGAGGCACACGATTCACGCTCTCCCGCGATGAACTGCTCACACTCCCCGAATTCGTCCTGCTGTCCCTCTTTCCCAATGGACTTCTCCCAGACGGCCACATGAACAGCTACCACGATGGCGACGTATATCCAGTCGACGTAAGAACCACCCAAAACCAAAAGCCTCGTGCTCTCACGCAGGCAAAACCCCCTGTCAATGCCCAAGAGCTTCAACATCTCATCTCCAATCCTGATGTATATTTATCTGACGAGATCTATCATTCACAGTACGACCCTATGTCCCTGCAATACATGTTGGAATTCTTCCGACATGTTGCACAAACAATCCCGCAATCGTCTGAAGAAGCGTCGGGTCAGGGTGATCCAATGGCGCCGAATACGATGCCAATCGAGCCCATGCCTGGCAATGCACGCGATATGCTCCAAGACCGAGCTGGAATCATTGTCCTGCGCGAAGACCTCGACTTTTACGCTATTCCACCCAGAAAAGACATTGAGCAGATGGAGATGATCAACATCAAGCGAGCTGCGAGCCGTGCGTTGCTGAAGCAAGACGGTATCTTCTCCGGACTGCGGAAGAGTGAAGAACCCGGAACCACAGAGCAGCACTTGATTGAGATGTTGACTGCAGGGTATGACCGGTAACCAGTTACTCTTGCGCTATATGCTGACATGGTTTTAGCGGCTTCAATCACGAAGATACCTGGGGCCATCGCGCAGCAGAACCGCAGAAGGCAGTCATTTGTTCGATTGCTTTGGCTCGACTCCGTACTGATATCAAAGGCGATACTGCCGGCTCGGCAAATGCTGTTGGCATGGCTCAGAAACTGCTTTTGTTCTGGAGGAAGCCCGCACGAAGATGCTGGTGGGAAGGCGTTGAGCTCGATAATGTTGAAGGCGTGGAAGGCAAGCTGAAGGTTTGGATACGACGAGTCTGGACGCTGGAGATGGTGAGTTTCTTAACCAATTGATGATTCTCGAGGCATGTACTGACTGTCAATATCAGAGTGTCATCGGCCTGCGTTAATAATGGGCTCCAGTCCAACTCATCCACTTTGTTCACAGCAACAGATAAACAAAACGACCAGCACGAAACAGCACGCTGCGCCTCTGACTGAGACTTAATTCCCCCCGGCGCGGCGATACCCAGAGATGTTTTGATACCTTTTCGGCAATGGCAGCAGCGGGAAACGCAAAGTTTGAAATTTTCATTTGACACGCATCGATTGCATGGCGCGATAAGGAGGAATGGAAACTGTGAATACCACTAGTACTACTTGTACGTTTAAATTCGAAGGCGCAGATTGCTAGAGAGTGGAAATAGCGTATAGTAAGAAGTTTGATTGTATTGAGATCAATTGCGTGCCGTCTCTCGCAGGTGACCAATGATTCTTGACTGGATGGTGCTGCTCGAGCGTTGATGGAGGGAGCCTTGGATGAGACCTCTTCCGGCCGGAAGGAGCCATGAGCATAAACATGCATTGCTGTGCATGTCGTTTGTGTGGTTCTTAGGTGTGGAGGTGTGATACTTGGCAATCACATGGCTTGAAGTCGTTGTTCTTGAGAGGCATGTGCATTGGCATGATTACTTGATAAGGAGACATTGAATAATGAAAGCACCATTCCAATCTTGCTCTCATGCACGGAGTGGGTGCCGCGCGGCCAGCGGACCTTAGTTGTGTTGAATATCGTCGATGGTCTCGCACGGGGGTAGATGAGTTCTATGTGTAGTGATGTTTTGGTCGAGGCTTGGCTTGTTTTGTTGAAGGGTGCGAGTTTTCGATGAGCGAGCGTCAGCAATGCTGAAACAGGCTCACTGTTCTCGATGAATGGGCTAAGACAGTCGGTGTTGCAATGATGAGCGTGTTTGAAAGATCTTGGGGTCGTGGTGAGAGAGGAGGACGAACGGTTGAGCGATGCCTTGCGACAGAGCGTCGTCCATCAAGGGATCATCGCATTCGCTGGGCTTGGGTATCCAGATTGAGCCGTGTACGTCGGTGTGTCGATTTGCTCCAAGGTGTCTGGCAGTTATGACTTGAGAGAGAGGACAGAAGAGACAGTGAGAGCCTTACCTACTGGCAGCCACTTGCTCGCTGAGCTGGTCCAGTCTTACTCGAGAAGCCCAGCACTCCTTCCAGCAACCTCGCATGCCCTCAGCGATGTTCGCATAACGATACTCGTGAGGCCCCTCGAGCTCGACCATCGCAATTGCCGCACTCACTGCCAGTCCGCCGCTTGACTGTCAGATGCCACAATCGATCATAAGCCCTCAAGTTCGACGGGGGAGATCCAGACGACACTTGTTGAGGCTCCCTACAGTATGCATGTGTTCTATCCCAAAACACATCATTGTCCCAAAGCACGAACGTGCATCAAAAACTCGTATTGCTTGCAGTGCCGGACCCTCTATGCAAGCAAGTGATGCTGGGATAGACAGCTCTCCACCGCGGACACCAGCGGAGTAACCATCTCGAACAGAGATGCAGGTATTGCGGTTGTGGTAGTGGAGCACGTCGGGTGTCAAAACCCATCCTTGTCCATCAAACGCAGCTGCCTGATGAAAGTCCACCAGAGCAATATGGTAGATACGGGGACATTGCGGCGGCTTGGCTGGGTCGTGCATGCGATACTCGTGCATTGGATCCTCAGTCTCACCCGCTGGGCAAAGAGGTTCAAGTCATATCCGTGTGCTTCCGCTCGTAAATCTCCCGAGAAGCCTATAACGTCTTGGCGAGGTATCGTTCGAGGCTGTGTCCAAACGCTAGCAGATGGCCAAAGCCAGTCGAAAGGGGCAAGCACGAAGACTACCCCAGCAAGACCTGTCGACGGCGTGGGGAATCGCGCTCCACCGGCGACCGTCAAAGTGCGACTTCATGTCTTGTCCCGAACACAGATCCATATAACAACAAAGCATTGATATTGAACGGGCATTGCGGTTCTTGGCGCTTGCGCGTTCCTGTCGATGATGCTTTTGCTGACGTGGATTCTTGCTCGCAGTCCGACGGCCGCGAGATTTCGCACTGCGCTCTCGCGTTGTGGCTTATCGCGCTTCCTTTGGGATTTGTTTGTTCGACGTATGACGGGGCCAAGGCGTTTTGCTGGGCATGGCGAGATAAGCGTCATCGAGAAGCATTGTGGAAGGGCAGGATGGCTGCGAAGATGGCAGAACGGTGGTACAACTGACAGTCCTATCGGTCCTGGAATGCATGCCAAGCATCGCGGAGCCACAGACGCACAACTGCCATATCGTGGCCGTTGTTGTTGAGAGAAGCAAAAAGATTGGAGTTCGAGTGTGGTGCAACGGGCGATCTCCACGGCCCGCCCGCGGCGCCACATCCGAAACGGCGATCAGCTTGTGAATCTCTTGGCCCTCATCATCAGCGACTCCACTCCCTCCCCCGACGCCCATCACCACGCCGCCCTCTTCTCAACACCCATAGGCCGATCCAGGACCATCGCCATCAAAATGAAGAACCTGGAATGTGGGACCTGTTACGCATCTGATAACGCACGCAACCGCCCTGAGTGAAACCGCATGAAGAGGACAAGAGCTCGTGTGGGTTTCGTTGCTGCTGTGTTTCACATACTTTCTGGGCGGCAGCAGAGAGTTGGGCCCATCGATGCATCGTCCACGGACGAGTCCATAATCTCACGGAGACGGGGTCCATACTCGGGCGTCTGCCCTTATCTCTCTGTCCCTCACCATCGCAGCAAAGCCACGACACACGTTGAACAGAGCCAAGACGACCGGACAAACACCGCCCACCACGATTGTAGAACCCTCATCCGTTCGAGGGGTGGCGGAAAGGGTAGGTATCTATGCTTCTTAAAGTCTTTGCTTTTTCCTCTCTATGTCAACGGAAGAGACTGTTATCTCGCATTGATTTCGATCAGAGAAGGCTGTGCGATCCCCGTTGTGAAGTTCTGGTTGAGCATACGCAATACTCCCTTCGATTTTGATCGGTATCCCTTTTCTTATCTGATCTGTGCTTTTGGAGCGTTGTTTCATCACCGTGCTTCCTGAACGAGTCAAAACATCTACATCATACCAACCATTCGAGACTTGGAAGTGCAACAACCTACACCTCCTCTCTGGACGATCAACAATCACGCTCCTCGACCCGGTCTATCCTGTCTTTACATGGAATCGAAAGACCATGTCTTCGCCAACTCAAGATGCCTTGACCGTACCGCCGTCACCACATCGACCGAGTATTCCGACAAGAGCAGTCACCGCTCCTCAACTTGCAGCCGCTCTTGAGAAGGAGTTCAAACCCGATGGCACTGAGAAAAAGAAGCATACAGACTTCCAAACGGAAAGATACTCATCATCATCCTCATCCGACAAGGACGATCTCGACGATCTCGGTCCAGAATCAACAAGTGAATCTGTGAGTAGTCCACGATATCCTCACCGATAAGAACACAAACTAACAACACCTACAGACCTCCCCATCGCCCAGCAGCAACCCTCCCTCCCGCTGGCTCAACCCCTTCCACCCCTCCAACCTCCCCACGCCCGCCGCATGGCAAACCTACTTCCTCCAAGAAGTCGCCGGCGACACCTACCTCGAGCTCCAACTCCTCCTCATGACCCTCGCCACCGGCATGCTCGACTCCATGACCTTCACGACCTACCGCGTCTTCGCCTCGAAACAAACCGGCAACACGCTCTTCCTGGCCCTCTACGCCTTCCGCCTCCCGGCGCTCCCCCCAAACTTCGAACAAAACGTCGGCGTCTCCATCGGCGTCTTCATCCTCGGCGCCGCCTTCTTCGGCCACCTCGGCCACATCTCGCGCCAACGCCGCCGCGTCTGGCTGCTCACCTCCAACGCCTTCCAAGCCCTCCTGATGCTCTCCGCCGCCGCCATCCGCTACTTCGTCTCGCGCTCCCCGACGGGCCCGGGAGCCCTCGCCATCCTCTCCCTCCTCGCCTTCTCCGCCTCCGGCCAGATCGCCAACGCCCTCAACGTCGCCATGCCGGAGCTCAACACCACCATGGTCACCGGTGCGCTCATCCAGCTCTGCACCGACCGCAAGATCTTCGCCCTGCACAACGTCAAACGGAACCGTCGCCTGGCGTTTTTCTGCGCCATGCTCTGTGGGTGCTTCATCGGCGCGAGTATTGTCAGGTATCGGAGTCCGAGCGCCGTGTTGGTTGTGTGCGCGGCGACGAAGGGGGCGATTTTTTTGAGTTTCTTTTGTAATCGCGGGATGGTCGAGAGGAGGCGGGTGTTGGAGGATGGGGCTTGTAAGACGGAGGGGGCGGTGACGCCGGTTAGTCGGGTGCTTTGGGGGGATTAAAATCGAGACAGGTGGAAATGAGATGGAGGGTGGGGATGGGGATGGGTATTGGAGTGTTCACTTGAGCGGGCGTTGGATGTTCAGTTACTTTCGTCGGATTTGAGAAGGCATTTGGTTTAATGTGTCTAGCGATTTGCTTTTAGCGAGGCGTTTGGGGTGAGAGTAAAATGTCCTTCGCCATAGACCAGATAGAATAGAGTTGCGAACCAGCACAAGACATAGAGATACACGATAGAAGTCGCATGCAAACAATTGACGGCTTTCTTATCCAGTCAGACTTGGAAATTCTGACGAGATCATCGCAAAATAGACAAATCCATTACTTTCTATCTGCCGCAACATGCAAGAATGACAAAACCAGGAATTCCCCCATCGACAAACAAACTCCACTTTGTGCCTCCCAGTTATCCAAGACCTTTTTTCCCCAATGCCGTAGATGATGCCCGATGTTTTTGTGCAAGAGACACCTACGTGTCGGATAAGAATGCATCGTTTACGAAGATCCACACTTGAGGCTGAACTTGGGGGTGCGGTCGGCGGTCATGGCGCCCCAGGTGGTCTCGATTTGAGGTTGGCCTGTGATGAAGTCAGATGATGATTGTTGGGAGCTTAGGCTACTTTCTTACCATTGTCACCGATGCTCTGTGGCTTCCAAGGCTCATCGAGAGCCTCGAAGTAGAAAGCGTTGTAGCCCCAGTCGATGGCGGCGCAGAAGCCGTCGCTAAGAAGAGTCAATAGAGCACACATCGAAGTGGACGTTTTCACTCACTGGTAGAAGCTCTTGGCGTTCTCAGTACCAGCCTTGGCGTTCTCGTAGTCAGAGCCGCCATCAGTTGGCCAGCCAGTCTCGCCGTTCCAGAACTCAATCTTGTCAAGGCTGCCAGACAGGTCCTGGATGTGAGCGAGAGCTTGCGAGATGTCGTCCAGGTACACATCAACAGCATCACGACCAGCGGCAGCGCCTTGCCAGTAGGAGAAGCCGTTGGCCAAGAGGAGGTCCACACCGCCCTTGATCAGAGCATCTGCAGTTCCGTCCTTGTACTTGTTCCACGAGTCGGCAGTACCGGTCTTGACGTCTCCGCCAAGAGCCTGCTTGACGTCGTTGATCTTCTCCAGGAGCTGCTCGCCCGTGAAGTTACCACGGTAGAGCGTCTCCGAGCCGACAGTGACGGCGTAGACCTGATCCTTGTACTGAGGTACGTACTTGACCAGAGCGGCCTTGTCCTTCTGGAAGCTCTCCTCAACATCGGGCCACACGCCCAAAACGACCTTGAAACCCTTGGACTTGGCGGCGGGCAGGATGTACTGGGCGTTGTTGCAGTCGGAGGCGGAGTAGCCGCGGACGACGGTGGCGCCCGAGTTGGACTGGATGGCGTCGAAGTCGGCCTCGTAGTCGGCCTGGTATTTGCAGCTGCCGTCCGTCTTCTTCGTGCCCAGCGCGAAGCCCATCTGGCCCTTGGCGGCTAGGGCAGCGGGGACGGCGGCCAGCGCGGCGGCGAGAGTGAGTCCGGCGCGCATTATGGCGGTATTAGGATAGTAGATGCTGGAAGGGAGGATGCGGTGGTGGTGCTGTCGGTTCAGCTGTTGTCGTTTCGAAAACTCGCGAGGCAGGAGCAATGGACGTCTCAAAGGAGCGACTGCACTTTGGTGTGCGATGTGGAAAGGATCGTGATTCCCAATGACAGGGTGATGGACAGCACACGGAGGCTGGTATTGGGGTTGATGAGGTGTTTGTGGAGGTTGTGGAACGCGCGCTGCTTCTCTAGGCGGGTCGTCTACTTTCCCCTGAGTTCGACTTCTAGACCCAAGGTTTCGCTTAACGATCATGGCATCGCGCCGGCACGTGCAGCGGCTAAACTTAGTTGAGCCGCGACTTCACTTCACTTCGTCTTTCACGGCAAGAAGCAAACAGAGTCACAACTCACGCGTTTGTATCGCCATGCCATCTCTGTTTCGTATCACTGGAAACGTGGTCCAATGCTGTACACGTCGTTATCGTGGGTGCAGTAGAGAAACGTCACACCATAAAGCACGCGTTCTTGTGTGACAAGGTATCTTTTGACGCCTTCGTGTTCTCATTTTGCTGTTTGAGCATCAAGTCGTTTGCACCAGCGTTTGTCTCATCGGAGGCCATGGCGTTTCCCCCGACCCGCGCCGGTGCTCAAGCTCCATCACCTGGGGAGTTTCAACCTCAAACAGCAACCACACCAACTGCAACCCGGCCATTCGACTCATCACAGCCAAGATGAGACCTCACAACAGCACGCCGCCTCATTTGAAGAAGAAGGCTGTCGAGAAGAATACCACTAACACTGAAAAGTCACTGGTCGTTGCCAGGACCAACACAGCTGACGTGGAGAAATCTGCTATCCCAAGTCCTACTGCCAACGACGTCGCCAATGCTCCCGCCATAGCCCCCGAAAGCACACTGTCCAACGCCTTGGTTCCTTATGGCATCCAAAATACCCTTTCACCAATGGAGATGATCCAGCACGAGACTGTCCAAAATCTTCAGGCTCTCTTGGACGATGCTCAAGCTCGACTGAACGCCGCCAATGCTCGCTGCGATCAGCTCCAGGCCGAGAATGAGCAGCTTCGTCAACAGCTCAGCACCGACGCCCAGGGTACTGCACAGACTACACCAGACGGTCGTGGAGAGACGCTCTGTGGTTATGCTGAGTCTGAAGCGGCTGAAGAGAGTGTAGTGTCGAATGGTGAGCAATGACAAAATGTCCTCTCGCTACAGCACTGACAGTTTCTAGGCGCTCCTGCTCAGACTGATATGGCAGTTAGCGAGAAGGTAGATACCATCACTCAAATTCTGCAAGTGCATACCGACAGGCAGTCCAAGCTTGAGTCCGCAACTGCTCGCCAAGAAGAGTTGATCCAGGCTCTGATATCTCAATTCACTGGAGACGGTCCAGCCCCGCTCCAGGTCTCTGCGCAGAAGGACACGGTCTCGGCTATTGAGCATCGCAAGCTGGTGGATAAGATGGCGAACCTGGAACAGACTCTTGCAGCCATCCAGCACTCGCCTGCTCAAAGCATCACGCCGGACTTCCAAACCCGTATCGAGCGCAAAATCCGCCAGCAGGAACGCATTGACAATGCTCCAATCCGTGCGGATCTCATCCAGTACTATGAGGTTTTGAGCGAGCAGATTGCAGGTAAAAAGGTGGGCCGGGGTACTCGGTTCGAGGGAACGGAGGATGAGTTGTGGACATTGCGTGATCATGTGGTGTGCCGTTTGGCGATCTTCGAGCCGTACACTCAAGCTGAGCAGGAGGCAAAGGCAGCGATGGAGTACAATGGCAAGAGTGGTGGACGTTGAGGTTGGTGAGTCGAAGGAGGTTCAGGTCACATGGCGGAAAGAGGAGGCATCTTCTCTACTCTCTCATCGCAGTCGAGAAGCTTGTAGTTGATCCCATGACACTACGACTTCAGCATAAGTATGACTATCCATCTCATCTCACCTGTCCGTCATCTGGCCCCGTCCGCCTCTCATCGTCCGCCCCTCAGTCGTTGCCTGGTCACCCGCCGCGCGGCGACATGTGACTCTTGGCGCGGGCCGACGCTTTAAAACATTGGCGCTTTCTTCCGTCCTCCGCTTTCGCCGCAGCGACATCAACAACTCGCCAACCGCCAGCCCAGACTGCCACACCAAACAACACCCCGACACTGAAGTTCAACTCCACTTCAACGTCAACCAGCATGGTAAAGTTGCCCACCCGCGGTAATTGCGACGCATTGAACTGACACATCACAGGCGCTGCCTCCACCACCGCCATGTGCCCCGTCGCATGTCGACCTCAACGGCTACTGCCTCAACCCTGGCTGCGCACTCTGGCGCACACTCGCCATGCCACCACCCCCACGTCAGCACCACCCGATCGCCTCGCAGCCATGGGTGCCCACTGCAGCAGTTTACCGATCTGTGGATGAGTACCTCAGGGACTTAGCCAGCTGGGGTCCCCAGCCACTGCCGCAGATGACTCCTCCCGACTTCCCGTCTGTGCCCGACCCGGTTCACCAGCATGCGATGGCGATGCCTGAATACGGCGGTCATCTGCCGGCCCCTACCTCTCCTGAGTCGCCTGTGGTGTGCTATACACCTGACGTCACGCCTCAGGCCAGCTTTGTCGAGGGTCACTTCAACCTCCCGCACACTGCGTCTGGTGACGATGACACGTACAACCCGGTGCAGCAGCAGCAACCACCTGCTGAACCTCAAGACTCCCCACAACGCAACAACAAGATCATCAACGGCTTTTCCTCCAAGGACATGATTCCCTTTCTCATCAAGCTCTCAAAGCACGGTGATCTTGACTTCAACATCTACGTACGCTTCCTCCAGATGATCGGAAGCTTCCAAACCGGTGATAAGAGCTTCGAATACACGTGCGGCCAAGTCACCGAGCTCCTCAAGGAGGCACCCGATCTTGCGAGCGAGTTCGAGGAATTCGTGCCTGAATTCTATTCTGGGACTGAGGACACACGCGAAGACGTGAGCGAGGTGCTTAGCGCAACTGAAGATGGCTTTGGCAGGGAGCCACCCTCTACCAAGACCTACTCACTCGGCGATGGGTGGGGACATATGAGCAATGTTACCTACGAGAAGCCTGTCCGAGAGCGTCCTTTCACTTATCGTTCAGCTTCGGATGGGGCTCAGACAGACAACTCTGACGCCTCTCCAGAGTTCAAGCGACGCACGGGCTCGAATTGGGGGCAGCCATCGTATGTCACTGACGATGGCACTGAGACACCAGAAATGCATGCACACAGTCCGCAGTGCGCCTTCGATTGTGAGGATCCATGTCACTGGCAAGATGTGCGTTACATGCCTGATGGTGTGGCTTCGATCTCTCGGAAGCCTAGTTCAAGATCGAGCAGCCCATGGGTGAAATCAAGGTCACCGATCGAGTCTTCTTTCTCGAGAGCTTTCAGACAGAAGTCCCACGAGCTCAACGCCGAAGGTATCACTGCCCTGTATCCAGGCCAGGAAGAAGCCAGCTTTCTATGCAGTTGCATCGCCAAAGTCGGTCTCAGCGCGGATGATCGCTACAAGGCCCTGGGTATCATCAGCACTCTTCACATGGGCAATGGATCGAGCATTCCACAGGTCAATACCAGTCCTGCCACCGTCGCTACTCCCTCTCAAGATGTCGACCGTGAAGCTCTTCATCGCATCGAGATCATGCTGGCTGGAATGCGCGGACGCGGCACTGCCGCCCCAAATGCGCCAACTGCAGCTCCAGCTCCTGATTCCAAAGACGAGAGTGCCCACAGCGAGCTCAAAGACCTACGTTATCAAATGGATGACTTGGATGACGCCAACAACCATCTCGGTAACAGAATCAACAATCTGAACTACAGACTCGAGAAGGAAGCCGACTGGCGACACAGACTCAGCCAGGATGTAGGTGACAGCTTCTGTCGTTCCTGGAACCTCGAAGGCAAGGTGGACGGCTTGACGAGCAAGGTCAACGCTGAGATTATCCGTCGCGATTCTGCTGCTGCGTCTGAGACTCGTCGAATGGATGCATGGATCTCATGGCTTGTGCAGAAGATTGATGGGCTCGAGAACAAGTTGACTGGATCCATGAACGCCTACCCCCAGCTCGACCATGTTCAAAACGACAAGCTGGCCGCCGTCAGCAAGGGCCTGAACGCCGTGCAGCAGAAGTTGCACAACGAAGCTGTCGTCCCTGTTCGACAGCTTCAGAGCCAGGTCGAAGACTTCAATCATGTATTGTCGGCCCATGATTCCCGCCTCAACGACCTGGAGCATAGCCTAGAGAGCGGTGATGTCGATCAGCGCTTCGTCGATGCCGAGCTACAACTTGAGTCTTTCCGCGAGGACATCAAGGCTCTCTTGGATGCGAAGAACGACAGCTCTATTCAGGACATCAAAGCCGACCTCCGTGGCCAGGCCGACAAGTCTGAAGAAGTGTTATCGACCCTTGATCGCCGCATTGGCGACTTGGAGCAGAGTGTCGATGTCCGCGATGTCAACGATCGCTTCCAAGACGCCGACCTACAGCTTGAGGACTTGCGCAAGGAGGTCAAGACTCTGTCCGGCGCGAGAGACGACGGACTCATCAACGCCATCGAAGCTGAGCTCAAGGCCGTGGCAGACCGACAATCACGCCTTGAAGTGCAGATGAAGTCGACAGTTTCTGAGACCGATGTCCTGAAGAAGAACTTGGCGGGCGGAGACGTCAACCAGCGCTTCATCGATGCCGAGTTGCACCTCGAAGACCTGCGAGAGAAGATTCAGACTCTATCCGAAGCAAAGGAGAGCGGAACCACCAAGGCCATGAGAGCTTCACTCAAGGATCTGACGGACAGACAAGCATATCTCCACGCAGAACTCGAGTCGACGGTGTCCCGTGTAGATGGCCTCAACACCGACCAAGAAAAGCTCAGAGTCCTGGGCAACAAGGTCAACGTCCTTGAACTCTCCAACAAGATGATCAACCAGCGCTACACCAACGATGAGAAAGAGCTCAAGTCTTTGGCCAGCAAGGTCAACGTCCTCGACTCTTCCAACAAGCTGGCTTTGCGCAACTCAGGAGATATCCAGACCAAGCTCGACGAGTTGACCAACACCTGCGATGCCCTGCGGGAGAACGCAGACAGTTCGGGCGTTCGTCACAGGATCAAGATTCACGCCCTTCCTGCACGCCTGGAAGAGGCTGAAGAGAGCTTGAAAGACATCAAGGCTCAAACGGAGAAGGCTCTCCACAACGGAGCCCAGACTATCATCCCAATTCTGCAGGCCAAGGTCAACGACCTCGCCGATAGGTATCCTTCGCTCGAGTCGGACGCGAACGATATCAGCGAGCGCCTCGCCAGCGTGGAGCGCAGCATCGACTCCGGACCCGTAGAGAAGCGCTTCGTCGACGCCGAAGTCCAGCTCGAAGAGCTCGAGCAAAAGCTGAAGGACCTCTCCAGCACCAAGGGCCAAGCACCAAGCAAGGATATCGAGACCGCGGGCCTTGCGGACCACGGTAGGGGAGGCGTGGTGCCTCTCCTGAAGATTGGCAGCGCCAACAACACTACTCGTCCTAACATCCACTTTGGCTCATTCGCACCCACCGACGGCTCAGAGTCCCCAGCAAAGCCCGTAGCGACTCGCTTCGAGGACCGCCTCGAGAAGGCTCAAGCTACTCGAGCCGAAAAGGTTGAGGTGGAGGTGAAGAGGCTGAGAGAGCAGATCATGAGTTCGTCGCGCCTCGACCGTCACTCCTTTCTTGAACCGGCCATGTCAGCTCGATCGAAGCGTGCGAAGCCGCGGGAGTAGACAAGATCATACTGAGGAGCGCGAACACTAGAAGAGAAGCAGCAACCCCACTTGAGACAGAAGTCAGAGAGAACGTAGCTAGCCCCAAGCCCTTCCACTCAAAGGGCTTTCATTCAAATAGCTACAACCACTCTAAAGCATACCAACCAAAATCCTCGCGCCCGCATTCCCCTTCTTCTTCCCCTCACCCTTCTCCTCCTTCCCATCCGCCGCCTTCTGAATCTTCTTCTTCCCCTTCTCCAATGCTTTCTTCACTTCCCCCTTGATCTTCTCTGGGACATCCTCGCTCTCTAGCAGCGCCACCACCACGAAGCTCGAATCGCTGCATGCCCAATCTACTAAATTCGACTTGATGATGGGATACAGCGCTTTGCCGAATCCGAGACGTGGTTCGGAGAGCTTGACGGTCTTGGTCTTGGGGTCGAAGTTGCCGCCGGACACGAGAGTCTTGAGCATGCGGCTGGCTGCTGGGTCTTTGGCAATGTGGCCGTCTTCGAGTGGGTTGCCGTCTGCAAGCTGGGCGACAGCTTCCTTGGCGGCGTCGCGGTGTACGTTGTCCTTATCGTGGCACTCCAGCAGGATCTCGGTGACGGGTTGGCAGGCGAAAGACGACTGGACGAGGTTCTGTGCTCGATCTGCGACGAATTCGAGCAGAGGCGCTGAGACGTGGGAAATGAGTTCTTGGCGACGGACTTCTGGTGCCTTCTTCGAGGTCGTTTCCCTCACTTTGTGTACCTCGTCGATCAGAGCCTTCTCGTTGTCCTTGATGAGCCACTTCTGGGTGCCTGCCATGGGATAGAGGATTGGCACACGGGAGTTGAGGTTGGTGATCATTCCCTCGAGGCGGTCGAATCGTTGTGTGGAGTCCTCCATCTGTAGTCCGAGAAGTTCTCGCAGCACGATCTGCGATGTCGTCTTCGTGTCGTCAGGCACGTCGAGACCAGTAACGAGTACCATCTTGGCGTAGTTATCGAATGCCATAAGCTCGATGTTGTCCTTGAAGCATCGGAGGATGAGCTTTCGGTCTTTCGCAGAGCCGTAGGCAATCGTCAGACACAGCAGGCGGCTGCCATTCTGTGTAAAGGCCAGATTACGGAACAGATCACCACCTCCACCCTCCTCGTCTGCATCGATATCGCCTTTCAAGATGTCCAGGAAGTCTGAGTGCTCCTCGGAACCTGGGTCTAGGGCCAGGAAATACTCCAGCATGGCATCATGCAACATGGTGAAACCCGTCATCTTCTTCTGCACCAGGTTGTTGATCATCTGCTTGAGATACGACAGAACCGGTTTCCTCTTTTCTGGGGTCTCTTCCAATATCTTCTTCAAATTCGCAGTCGTCTGATCAGCAGATGCATTCGGCCTCTGCTTGCCAAAGAGTGCAAACTCTGTCCCGTACCACTCTCGTAACATCATAGCCTTTTGTTGCGGTGTCGCAACTTGGCGGTAGATATCATCTACAATCCAGCTTGCCTCTGGATGGTTGATCAACCTCTTGACATGGCCGTAGAATTGTGGAACTATCAAGTCCTTGTCCTCACGATCTCCCTGCACAACCATCTTGGCCACCAAGAACTTGCCGTATCTGCTCTCCACCAAGTCTCGTACATCATTCTGCAGCTCTTTCACAATCCCCTTGAGTTGCTCTGGACGGGCGTACTTGATCGCGCACTGGATCACACGGACACTGTCATGCTTGAAGACGAAATCTCGCACTCTTCCCTCGATGATGGTGAAAAGCTCCGTGACCAACTCTTTGCGCTCGTCCTTCGGGACGTGAGACTTCCTGCGCAATCGCTCCCAGAGTTGCTTGCTACGCTGGATCTCATCGGCGTGAGGTTTGGCGGCCTTTCGCTCTTTGGCGAGTTGACGCTGCTTGGCGTGCGCTTCGGCGGATGTCGTCTCGACTTTGAAGTTCTTCGGTCCTCCTTTCGCATTCGATTGCGATTTTTGCTGTGCCTCGTCCGACTCTTCATCTTCTCCATCGTTCTCTGCTGCTTCGTCGAGGTGTGATCGCTTGGCTGGCTTCTCGAATTTGGTTGGCTTTCCTTGCGACGTCTTCTGCTTCTTCTCGCTCTTGACTGCGCCTGATGGCGCTTCTTTGCGCTTGATTCCACCCATCCTTGCTGTATGGTGGTTCAGAAATTGAGTGGATGTTGTAAGATCTTGATTCTGGAGACAAGACGAACTCGAAGGGACTTCTACAACTTTTTTGAGAGCTCGCTTGGCTCGGCCCGTGGTCGACATTAGCGTGAAGTCTAAAACACAATGCTGCTTCTGCTCCCGCCATCTAAAATCTATACCATCTTCCGTCTACAAAAACTACGCGTTCTCCTTCTTGACAGGATCCAATGGCGTGACCTTCTTGACCACCTTCGCTGGACTGCCCATCGCAACGCTCCAATCTGGAATGCTCTTGGTCACCACAGAACCTGCGGCGATAGTACAACCCTGGCCGACAGTCACCCCTGGTAGGATCACAACATGGCCTCCAATCCAGCAGTCATCGCCAATCACAACGGGTTTGGTATACTCAATGTAGTCACGCCGACTCTGGACCTCAGTCTCGTGGGTGGCGGCAAAGATTGAAACGTGTGGGCCGACCATGACTCGATCTCCAATCGTCACGAGCCCACAGTCCAGGATGGTCAGGTTGAAGTTGGAGTAGAATCGGTCGCCTATGCGGATGTTGCAACCGTAATCGGCATAGAATGGTGGCTCGATGTACGCTTCGTCGCCTTCAACATGGCCGAGCATGTCTTTGAGACGCTTCAATCGTTCTTGCTGGACAGCTGCGTTGTCCGGAGGGAAGTTGGTATTGTATTCGTGGCAAGCTCGTCGTATGTTGGTTCTGGCATTGTCGAGCTCCGGTACGAGAGAGTTGTAACTGTCATGGCTGAGTTCAAGTCGTTTTTGGGGTTTCAAGATTGTTGATCACGCACAGCATCCCAGAGACCATCTTCTCGTATTCCTCACACCATGGAACGTGCTTCAACGAACGGGCAAGAGCAAGCTGCTCCTCGTTCTTTGACGTCGCTGCCATGGTGCCGATTTGTTTTGCAGGGTCTTGCAGAAGTCACTGAAAGAGTGTTATAGGACACGTTTGGCCAAGTACACAAGACAAATGTCGAAAAAACACCGAGAATGCGGCCGCGATTTCCTTCTTCAGCTTCAGATCGCCACTATGCCGTATCAGGCCGGGGAGGGCCGAACGTCTGAGCTTGCATGCATAAACTTGCATGCTTCACTTCAGCTGAGTTGTAGGAGATCATAGCCAAAGGTCGCAAACAAAACATTACGACCAAATGAGCACGAGCACCTGCACGCCGTTATGTGAGAAGCTGAAGAACCTTGGAGTGGAAGACGGCCAGTGTCTTACACATTCTGAGCTGGTAGAGCGTCTCGACCTCACGACAGAGGACTGTGCAAAGGGCTACCAACTTGGCACACACGAGGAGTTACTACACCGGAAATACTGTAGCTTCTGCCGGCTGGTATTGGATGCAGTGAATCAGACAAGTCATGGGAGCTGCCCCGGCCAACAACAACTCGGAGTGCTGCTCTACGCTGGCGAACAATCTTTCCGCCTGCTGTATCCGTCTCGGGTAGGCGCACGTTTGGCGTTCGTTGCCAACGAAGCGAGTCTTGCTGCTGGACCCGACAATGGAAGACCCTCGATTGATCGTGATCGGGAACAACTCGTCAAGTCGTGGTTAGAAGCGTGCGCTTCAGGCCATCCAGATTGTAGCTTGGAGCCGATAAAGAATGTCGCAGTACTACAGCCGGTCGTTGCTATCTGACGAACATGGCTGACGTATTGTAGAAACGAAAGCCAGCGCCGCGAAACTTCAACGAAAGTGCGACTTCTAACTTTCGATTGATTGACCTGGAACGTGGATGTATAAGGCACGCTGCCCTCGATGAGAGATACATTGCACTCAGCTATGTCTGGGGAAACCTTCCAATGTTGATGCTCAACAAAGATAACTATGACCAACTGTCTACAGAGGCCAGTCTGGACACTGTTCGACAGAGACTGCCAAAGACGATCAACGATGTGATTGATCTTGCCAAAGCGATTGGAGAGCGCTACTTGTGGATCGATGGACTGTGCCTGGTTCAAGACGATCATGAAGACGTCGTGCTTGGCATCCAGATGATGAATTCGATCTACCACGGCGCGTACTGCACGATTGTGGCAGCGTCTGGAGAAGACGCAAATGCGGGACTTTTCACACATAAAGCGAACCCAATCATGCAGGAGATAGCAGCCGGGGTCAAGATGACAGTCCAGCACAGCATCGACTGGTACCTCAACCGATCGAAGTACAACACACGCGGCTGGACGTTGCAAGAGCTTGTACTATCCCGCAGAACTATTGTCTTCCTGGACGGCCAGCTTCACTTCCGATGCCGTAGCGCAAACTGGAGCGCAGATACGTGGGCCGACCAGTGGAAGACTTGGCGGGATCCTGACGACAGCAATATTACCCGCATTCCTGGACTATTGGACGGGCTTGTCGCACATCTCTGGCCGTATCAGAAGCTCTGTGAAGAGTTCTCAAGACGACAGCTGAGAAGAGATGGCGATGCCTTGCGAGCGACCGCTGGTATTACACGGACTCTCGCCGCAGGCATGCAGAGTTGTCTTGTTGAAGGACTCCCAGGATACTATCTCGACCACTTCCTACTCTTCATATCTTCCAACGGAGGTTTAGAACGCAGGTCCGAATTCGCCTCCTTCTCCTGGGCTGGATGGACCGGACGAATTATGTGGCCCAGGGAGAACTTCGCATGGTACAACGAACAATCCGAGCGTACCTGGGAAGTCGGCAATATCCTCAAATACTTCGAACACAACAGGGTCGTGGCATGGAGCAACATCGACCGGAGAGCTGAGGGCAAATCCCTGTCCTCGACTATGTACTCACGGAAGGATTACCATGCCCCTTCACCCCTCTTGCGGCTCATGCGAGAGTACCAGTCCATTTTCGACGATGTAGAGACAGATCCCGTCCGAGATCACACAGGCCCTCGTTGGCATTCCGTCTCAAGCAGCCATGGTGACATACCCGACTGGGGCGTGAGTTTTGACGACAGCGATGACGACTTCGCTAAATTCAGGCCGAAAAAAGAGGAATATAAGGAAGCTTTCACCCTCAAGGCTTTCAACCTGCTGAACGGTCAAGCAGAATTCGACCGGATGGTGCAGCATATCGAGAATCCGCTGGAGTTGCTCACGCTCCAGAATTGGCAGGCTCAGAGGAGTTTTTGTGAGTCTCAGCTTCTCTTGTCCTGTGTGGGTGGTATGAAGGTACTGATAACTTTTCGCAGTCGTGCGGCGAGCGAATGATGAGAGGTCTCGATTCGGACCTCGACCGCGGAGTGTTCTCTCGGACTCTGAGCAGTTTGCGTTTCGAGGACCGGTTCGAGCTGGGAAGAAGAGGAGGAGGGACAGGAGGGAAGAGATCGCAGAGGACCGTGGGAAGGGAGAGGAAGTGCCGTACGTAATGGATCTTGAGGCATAAACACATAAGTCGCTAACGTCCTGGGGTGCAGAAACTTTCCACCATACGACGTTCTACAGTGCCAGGCGATATCGTTCTCCCTGACGCTCGGCGCGGTACCGAATCGAGAACGACAGCATACGAGCCCTTTCGACCGAATTGCGGGTATCCCCCTTCTTGACAAGAGTGGGCAAGTCGTTGGCTCACTGCACCCCGACAGTCTCCGTTTGATGGGCGATGAAGGGTCCAAAGTCGAATTGTTCATCGTTACCAAGTGCTTCGAGCCGACAGTTGGGTCGGCGCTCTCAGGCCTCGAAGGTCAAGGTCCGCTACCATGGCGCCTCTTCTGGGTGATGCATATTGCGTGGAACCAAGGTATTGCAGAGCGTCGTGGCGTCGGCCAGGTGTTAGCATCGGCGCTTGAGACTGCCGTTGGAGACAAGCCTGTAGTGAAGCAGATCTTGTTGGGGTAGAGCGATACAAGGGGGTATATCTCCTATGATTGAACCCGGAAAACTCCATCGAAATGTACCACCAACGCCAGCGCTCGAAATGCAGAAGTGTCCATATCTCAATCTTCGAATCCACCAAAGTCGCCTTCGTCGGCTTCGTCTTCCTCTTCTTCTACATCCTCTTCCATCTTCTTCCAAGCCTTCCCTTTCTCCAGCCTCTCGTCCTCAATAGCTTCCTTCGCCCTCTCCCTCACACTCTTAACCAGACTCTCCTTCGCCAACTTCCTCACAACCCACATAACCCACCCCACATCCGCCTCCCTCTTCTCATCCACCTTCTCCAACTCATCAACCCACACATCCAGCACATGCAGCTTCAACCCCCCAGGAACCTTCCCATCCCTCGGACTCAACGGCCCACCCTCCTCCCTCAAAACTCCCTCATACATCTTTAGAACCTCTTCGCTCCACCCTTGACTCCTGCAAACCTCAAACCCCTTCCCCACAAAACACCGTATCAGATAGAGATACTTATCCATCCGCAAACTATCAATCGCATTCCACTCCCGCGCCATCGTCTTCCAAAATGCCTCGATGAACCCAATCTTCCCCTCCACGCTCTTCAGTTCGTCCACGAGTGAGGCGAGATCCCGCGCCAGCGCTTGCTGGTTCCGCGGTTTGTCGGACATGAACATGCAGTAGAAGAGGCCCTTCCATAGTTTGAGGAGGTCAAGGGGTGTGAAGGGCGTCGGGCGGTGGAGGTAGGTTCGCAGGGAGGAGAGGGCGCGGTCGCGGGTTGTGCGGTCTGTGGTGGGTGTGTTAGTTTTCGTGTGGAAGGTGGGGTGAGTGGGACGTACTGCTTGAGGCGAGTTGTTTTATGAAGGGATTTGATTGGGAGGACGTGGAGGTCTTTGTGGCGGCCATGGCGGCGGTTGGGGGTGTTGTGGTGGGAGATAGGGTTCACATGGAAATTCTCGAGTGAAGTCGAAGTTAGCTCGGCTTTTCTTATCGATAAGAACGCACGGGCCAGCGCCACGACAAGGAACTTTAACAACTTGAAAGTACCTTTGCTCGGAAAAGAGTTGAAGGAAAGTTATTCTTAAGATTTATAGGTAAGAAGGCTTTAGGCAACCTATAGTTATACTATACGACTACTGTCTAAAGAAACTATAAGGACAAGACGGGGATCTAGCTTAATTAAAAGAGTTACGTATTTCTTATATCTTTAGTATAGAGAATACGCTCGGAAATTCTATTTTTAGCTCGCTAAAGCTTAAGCTCTATACTCTTACTTCTAAAGACGCTCTTAACTTTAGACACCTCTAAACACAACTAAACTCGCGCCGAAAAACTCGAGAAAGTGGTTAAATCTACTAATAAGGTCCTTCCCGTTACGATGCCGGCTAAATATCCGACATCTACGGCGAACAAGCGCGCCGTCTACACTATTAGGCCGAAAGACATTGTCGAGATACTCTACCACCGAAAATGCGACGAGGTAAGCATTACAAAGCTCCACTTCACTTCTACCTTTACTAATCTGTCCAGTCCGAGGAGTTTCTTGTCCGCTGGAGGACCAATCCTATCTATCCACGGCCGCCGCGCGCTGTGCTGTCCTGGCACGCGCTTTCGGAGCTGGACGACTGCCTGCACCTTGTCCAACTGTACCTGGAGAACATCAACGCGAGCAAATCTTCTAATGAAACGACTACAACTGATGGGCCGACCGAGACTTCATCTCTTTCATATTCCCGAAAGAGAAAGCTGTCAGGTGACCAAGTCCTGTCACGTGATACCGCGAATGGTCTCCTTACGCCAGCAAACAGTGCCGACCGCTCAAGATCACCAAGCGCGGAGCGTACGACAGGAGGATCATTTGGCCCTCGTGTATACAATGGCATCCTGCAGCGCAAGGAAGGCCGGGTCATCGCCAAGTCGGTCAAAAAGCTGCCAGAAGCAGCGAGAGAAGACGTCGTCACGATCAACTCCACGACTTTGCCGACACCAACTATGCTCCTCGATGCAAGTAAGGCGCCTACAAAGCAATCCGAACTTGCCATACGAATGAGGTTCCTTGAGCTGCTGAAGCCCGTGAAAGGTGTTCAGTTGCAAAATCTCGTGGACACAACGACTCCTTCGCTGAACTTTACCTTCGTTGACGACTACGTGCTGAGGGACGGCGTTGACGCACAGGAACCCGAAGCCTATGAGGGCTGTGTCAAGAAGTGCAAACCCAACATGGGACAGAACATGGGCTGCGAATACACGCAATGGTGCGAGTGCCTCGAGTATGCCGCTGTCGACGAGCGTGCCCTGGAGCGAAAGGATCCAAAACTCCACGCAACATACATGCAAGCGAAAGCGGCCGGCGAAGATATCGACACCATGGGAATGCCGAAACGCTTTCCTTACAGTGCGCCTAAAGACAACCGCTCAGTGCCGCAGACGCTGGGCAGTTACTACCTGGAGAAGCGGGAGCCTGTGTACGAGTGCAATCACAATTGCAAGTGCGGTCCCAGATGCAAGAGTCGGGTCGTCCAAAAAGGCCGCAAGGTGCCACTGACTATCTTCAAGACAGAGAATCGCGGCTGGGGCGTATACTGCAACGAGGACCTTATGGCTGGAGAATTTATCGACACGTACCTAGGTGAAGTTATTACCGATACAGAGGCCGATCGACGAGAGACCGAGTCGGGCAAAATGAAGAACAGCTACTTCTTCAGCCTGGACAAGTTCAGCACTGAGCACGACGGCGAAATTGAACCCGAGGACTGCTTCATCGTCGACGGACAATACATGGGTGGACCCACCCGCTTCATCAATCACAGCTGCGAGCCCAACTGCAAACAGTACGTTGTGTCGTTCAACAAGAACGACTTCAAGCTGTACAACCTCGCCTTCTTCGCGTACGAGAACATCCGAGCTGGAACGGAGCTGACCTTCGACTACTTCGATCTCGACGAGGTGGAGGAGGATGAGGCAATTAGGCGGCGAGAAGAGGCCGAGAAAGATCCAGAGAACAAGGACAAAGTGCGGTGCAATTGCGGCACGGTCAAGTGTCGTGGCTTCTTGTGGTGAAAAGCTTTTTGGATGGAAGCGAGGCGTTCGGGGCGGTCTTGTGTTTTGAAGCATCAGCAGAGCATAGCATTTGGGCAGCATGGGAAAGGGATACGGCACTTGTCTCGTACCTACTTTCGAAGTACGTAGCATTGGAAGAGGAAATGCAATGATCATGTCAGCAGAGGCCTTTCTTCGACTAAGGCTTGTCGCCTCTGCCTGGTGTTCCAACCTCGCAACGGTTCGACCTTGACAACAAACACAATCACGAGCCCAACGACCAGAGCTTCCATGAGCCGGCGGTCCAGGAAGTTGAACCATGCTGCCTTCGACCCAGGACTTCATGTGATCCGCCCCTTCCACTCACTCATCTATAGTCCAAGTCCTTCTGACCCTACTCTGAGCTCACTTCGGACTTCATTCGAACACAACCAGGCTTCCTTCCAAGCCTCACTTGGCACGCACGCCATCAAAACATCACCCTAAACAGGGTATGCAAGCCCAATCACGGAGGCTTCGAAAATGTATTCACGCCCGCATCACGATTCGAAACGATCAATCCACAACCCCCAAGAAACTCCCACGCACACCCAAGATACGGATGCTCCCCAAGCCCATCGATCCGCAGCGCCCGCTCACTGAAAAGCCCCCTGACCCGCCTAGCCTCTTCGGCAACATCCCGAGAATCCCAGAAGCCTTCTCGCCATGGCCGGTTTTGTAATATTCGCATTGCTCGTGCGGAGAGTGAGGCGTCCTTGCACTGCACGGCCGCGAAGAACAAGCTGGGAATTACCGCGTGGTCCACGAAAAACGCGCCTCCCTCGTGGCCGGTTGTCTTGTGTAACTGCATGAATGCTTCGCAGGCATCGATTTGTCGTGCGAAGTCTTCGTCGTGGGGTGGACGGCTCGTGGATATTACCGTTTGGATGATGAGGATTGCGGACTGGCAGAGGATTCGAGGAAGTAGCGTTTCTCGATTGTTGCCAGGTTGCGCGAAATTCTGGTCGAAGGCGCTCTGCCAGTTTTGCAAACAAGCTCTGCCACGACTTAGAGCGTGTTCGATCTCGTCAGTGCATCCGTTTGAAGCAGAGCGGTGGATGCGAGTGAAGGTCGTTTCGATGATGGACTGCAACTCGTGATGAGCCTCGTCGATCCCTGGGACACCCCATATCGCCGAGACTTCGTACGATTCGGGAGCCTCCAGTCTGGTCTCTACAAGTCTGACACCGTCGTTCAGAGTCTGAGTCTTATCCTGCGGCTCAAATTGTAAGAGGCGTCGACCAAGCATCGGCCGAATCCAGCGATGTAACACGGCCCGTTCTGACGGCGTGTGTCGATGTGATGATGCAAGAAAGCGCAGCGCTGTGCGGAGTTGTGCTTTGGCCGGGCCCTGCTCCCCTTTCTGACGGAGTTCCATAGTAATGTGCAGAACGGCGCCGACGAGTATTACCAGTGCAGAGGCGGCGCCGTTGCGCACGCTCTTCCTCAGACCACTGAGCGACTGACCATATTGTGCCAGTGCAAAAGTGCGCAGTGCTCTTCGACGCAACGGATCTTCCGCGTGGTGATGTTCTTCGATAGCTCCGAGTGCGGCTACAGCGTGCAGTAAGGCGATGTTCGCGTGAGAAATCTGCCTCAAAGCGATGGTCCAGAACCCCTTCTCGTGGTGTCCAGAAGACTGTGGGCCCACGACCTCGAAGAAGTAGCTATAACTTCGCCTCTCGACAGCATCACTTAGTAGCTCAAAGCGCAAGGCTGGCACGATGTTTGTGTATCCGCCGCACGACCTGCCGTCTCGTCGGCAGCGACGGCAGAGCGGTCGCTCTTCGTCACATTTGAGGTGTCTGTGCCTGGACCAGTGTCAGCCACCTACAATGTCTGCTATGCTCAAACATATGCTACCTGCAGGTCGAGCATCCGCTCGATGTTTTGTTGAAACGGGGTCTTCGAGCAGCCCATTCACGACTCACAATACCGGCCATGTTGCGGATTGACCTTCGCTTTGGCTGCTGGAAGCTCATATGGTCAATGACGTGGTGTACGCAGGAGTGTCAAAGACCCAGGGTATGGATCATAGCTGTCTGTACATTACAAAGCGAAGCACAAGCAACCTTGCGAATAAGCTTCGACTAGAGAGACGCTAAGGAACGGCGGTCGCTGATTGGCTACGCAGACCCCTTGTGGTCCAGGTAAGGCTTTGCCTCGATATCTATAATACATAGATAGGAACTCGTGTACCTCGTCCATCTGCGCGTCGTCTACTCTTGTCCTCTTCCACCCCTTCGCAGTCGTCCCAGCGGCACATCCTTTCAGAATGGCTCCGCTCAAATCAAACTCCGAGAAGAGCAATGCATTCCACATCACTCCTCCTCCTCTCTATCGAGAAATCGCGATGCTTCTCGTCATCGTCTCAGCACAAGCCATGGTTCAAGCTCTGTTGGCTCAGGGAATCTTCATCACGTCGATCATTCGCGAGGAGTTTCATACCAGCGTTGCTGATGCAACATGGGGACCTGCGGTACGCATTCACTTGGGCTGGAAAGCCGTTTGCATTTGGACACGTGCTGATTATGGTGTAGGCATATGGACTTACATCAGGTACGGCGTTCTCTCCCGGTTCGTCCAGACCCAGCTGAGACGTAGCTAACATAGGATATGGAAAGGCACCTTTATGCTACCAGCAGGACGTATTGGAGACATGTACGGACACCGAGTATGCTTGGTAGCGGCTCTCATAATCATTGCCCTATCGTCACTCATGGCTGGCTTGAGCGTTTACGCTCACTCCTTCGTCTTCTATGCCGTGTGTCGGGGTCTCCAAGGCGTTGGATCTGCAGCCATTGTGCCGTGTGCTCTTGCTTTGCTCGGATCCACCTACCGCGAAGGTCCACGGAAGAACCTAGTCTTCTCTCTCTACGCGTTTGGCTCACCCGCCGGATGGGTCCTTGGCTGTGTGTTCTCAGCTCTCTTCGCTCAACTGGCTTGGTGGCCTTGGATGTTCTGGACCACGACAATTGTGTGCATGGTGCTAGCGGCCGCTACAGCTCTGGTGGTGCCACAGACTCGACATTCATCTGGCCTCCAGGATGACAGCCAACGCCCGAAGTTTCATCCAATCAATACCTTGGCTGGCGTCTCGGGGCTCGTCTTGTTTTGCTTTGCCTGGGTCAGAGCACCTGCAACGGGGTGGCAAGATGCTGAGTGCATTGCCACGCTCTGCGTGGGTGTTGCACTTTGCGTTGCTTTCGTATTCTTGGAGCGAATGGTGGACCACCCGCTACTTCCAGTGCGAGAACTGTCATGGGAAGGCGGCTCAGCTCTTTTGGTGACCGGCCTTGCGTGGTCCTCCTTCGGTATCACCGTGTTCTACGTCGTCACGTTTCTGGTCGAACTACAAGGAGAGTCGCTCTTGCTTGCAGCAGCAAAGCAGGTTCCGGTCTTGCCTCTCGGACTGGCCGCTTCCTTGCTCAACACCTTCTTGATGGCCCGAGGATTCAATGGGGCAGAAATCCTCACTCTGGCCACCGTGTGGTTCGTGGTTGACAGTATTCTCCTCGCCACGATACCTCTGTATCAACTGTACTGGAAGCAACTTTTCTGGTTCTTTGTTGTAGCGCCTTTCGCCATGGATCTCAGTTTTCCAGCGGCAACGCTACTTCTCAGTCAATCGGTGCCCCCGGAGCGTCAAGGTATTGGTGCCTCACTGGTTGGCACCGTTGTCTACTACTCACAGGCACTGGGCCTTGGTATAGCTGGTACCGTGGAAGCATACACGGCCCAGCCGAACACTTTGCGCGGGTTTCGAGTGTCGCTGTATACCTCGATTGGCTTGTCCGGTGCGAGTCTGGTTGCAGCTGCCATGACGCTTGTAGCAATTTTGATTCGTAGAAAGGAAGCAGCCAAAGAGGATACGTCTGCAGACATTGGAGATGAGAAGGCCATCAGGAACGACTGATGCAGAAGGTCAGAAGGGCATGAGTAGACTTTGACTTCAATAAGATTCAGTCTGCGATTACTTTAGGCTTGACTTTGGCTCCACATTGACTTCATTTCGTGCCTCACTTTAGTCTAGCCTATCCCACAGCATCACTTTCCCATGTCTCCTTCCCAAACGCTGAAATCCTCTCTTCAATCCTTCTTCTTTTCCCTTTCCACAAACGTCTCGTTCCCCCATCCAAACCACTTCCTCAGCCTCTTCCCCATCATGTGCAACATCACGGAATCCACATTTGGCTCCGGATGCGGCTTATGGAACACAATCGAGCCTTTCATTGAAGCACCTTCGATTGGACAGAAGGACACCGCTGAACCGCCGCAATGAGTCGCTGCGAAGCCTGCGTCCGCCATGGCCGTGACAACCTGCTGCCACTTGACGATGCCTTTGCTCTCTTCGCCAGATGAGAACATTCTGGAGAAGATCCGGATGGACTCTGCGTTGACTTCGATGGTGTTTGCTGGAGGGGGCTCCTCGGATAGAGTGAGAGTTCCCGCCAGTCTCGCAGCTTGGACGTCTACTTCATTGATCTCTGGTGATGCTTCTCCGCTCGAGTTTTCGGCTTCATCCGACCAGGCTTTACGTCAAACTTATCCTGCTCTTCCTCGCCCCAGACAGTCTGTTGCGTCGACTCCGCAGCCGCCTTCAGAACAGTTCGTTTGGCAGCCTTGGCAGTATCTCTAGCCTGAACATACCTGTCAACCTCGTCATTCTCAGCTTCGATCTCTGCCTCATACTCATAGCTAAGATCGTCAGCCATGAAAGCAAGCTCCGTCTCGATCTCCTCTCGACACATGCCACGCAGAGGCTTGGGTCCAGAACACATGCCCACGAAAATTGACCTGGCCGTGTCATGTCTTGCCGGATGATCTGTGCCTCCTCATGCCATTTCTCGTCTTTCTTGCCTTTTGGCCAAGGTTTCTCGCAGACCTTTTTGAGCAAGGGCTTGATCTGATGCAGCTCTTCGAGGGACTGCTTCCTTGGGCCGTGAGTGGGGTATCTAAGCGCGAGCCAGCACTCCTCGTTGTGTTCCAGCATCGTCTCAGGGTTGAAAGGAATAAGGCGCGGACGAAGGTGATGCAGTTCGCTCAACATCAGGTCGTAGAGCGCGAACTTCGAGAGGAAGGCGTAGAAGGGCGGAGAGATTCGTCTCCTCTCCTTTGGATCCTTCAAGCAGTCATCGATCAGCCGCATTGCGAGAGACTTGTTGTTTGCTCCCAGGTCCGAAGGGCTATCCGCAAGGGTCAGAAGCGCCCACAAGAGCGGATCGTTCTCGAAAAGTCGCTTCTGACCGCCAATTTTCTCTCCGTCCCACTTCAGCTTGGCTTTCACCGTGCCGTTGCTGGTGCACCAGTAGTTGTAGCTGCTGCGGAAGTCGCCATCCGTATGGATCATCCTCCTCATAGTCTCTAGGCAGTCACCAAGGTCTTTGCATGTGGTGAAAGACAGCACCGAAAATGCCATCTCGTATCTTGATGGGCCTGGACTCTCGACACTCATAGGTTCTAGATGCTCGAGATCCACCAGGTAATCACACTGCTCAACGACATGCCTTAGCCGCCGAATATCGTTGATCGACTCCCACAACACCAACTCTGCTGCTTTGCCTAGCCATGCTGCGTCGGGATCCTGGTCAGGGTGGATCTTTTGGCTCCCGAGACGTATGCAGTGTTGCAGGTATGCTGGATCTGTCTGGAGAAAGTACAGGAGATCCACCACCTTGCGAAGAAAACTCAGTAGGAAAGCTTGCGCTTCGAGAACCAGACTTGCCAGTGGGTAACCAACCATCGCCCAGCTATGACAGGCGTCTTTGTTCCAGTCGAGTAGCTGTCCAAACTGCTCACCAAACATGCCAACGCACTTCGTGCTGAACTTTTCCGCTAGAAATCCGCGCTGAAAGCCCATACGCATCTGCTCCGCATCGAAAGGCACCCACTCCTCGAGCGTCCACACCGACCGATTGTGAAGTAAGCTGAGCAGACGGCTCTGATCATCAACCAGCGTCTCTATGTTGAGATATGGGACCAGAAACGCATTGCGCTGTTGAAGTGAGAGGTTCTCAGGCACCAGATCGAGAACGCTGGCCTGTGCGAGTGTAGTTGAAAGTATGCCGATCCTGCTGTCTTTTTCTGGCTTCTCGATTTCGAACATGATGCGCTGCTCCGGAGATTTGTTGGGGGAGAGATCCGGTTGCGCTTGGAGAATGAGCGCTTTGCGATTCGCCTTCGAGAGTTTCTTCCACTTCGACCGAAGGGCGTCTCCATAGATTTGCAGCCTGTCGCGGATGTGCTGCCAGTCGCGTGCGGCGTTGTCAACGAAGGTCTGGATGGAGAATTGTGCCTCTTCGTCCGGAATCTTTCTATCGTCCAGAAGATGTGGGGCGGAGAAGTATCTCAGAAGAAGGAATTGTAGGAGGCAGGGACCACAGTCCTGGTCTTCGCACTCGTCTTCAGTTCGGAGGCCGATGCGGGAGGGAGCGTGTCGTCATTCAGAGGCATAGTCTTGACTTTCCAGGACGCTGCCATGTTTCGCGGCGGGCAGCAGAGAGTGTTGATTGATTCGTTTGGGCGGGAAGGAAGCAGTCAACAGTTTTATGTCATCTGGACTTGACTAGTAAGACAAAAACCGTGCTAGAATTCGGACGAAGTGAATGGGTGTTGCGAGGGGTGAGACGTTTCCAGAACGAGTCACCGTACACATCTCACTTGAAGTGTCTACTAGGCATCATGTTCATCCAAATATGACAATGGGACTCTTTGATACATTTACCCAACTCTGGACAGTAACAAAGCGACCTCGAAAGACACGAAACATTGATCCGCTGGATGCAACTTTTGCCCAAAGCGGTGGAAGAGAACGATCGTCCGTATCATTGCACGCTCTATCGAAAGTGCTCACGAGTGCAAACAGCTCGATACCCATCTATTCAAGACTTGAGCCGTGCGTGATTAGACTCACGCTAGCGCCGCGGACGCTTCCGCTCGACCAGGATGTGGAGTGAATGAATTATTCCACCTTTCACATGCCGAGAAAAGTTACTCTCAATACAGAAAGAAAAAATTGATTCCGAACTCCAAATCCCCCCATCCTCAGGCCACAACACCACCACACACGCGCCACACCAAGCCTCACTGCTCACCCCCCAACAAACGCCTCAAACACCCTCTCACAAGACCCAACACCGCCAGACACACCTACCTCGTCTTCGTCTTCGTCAGCCCTCATTCAAATTTCGCCACCTCCTAATGCCTACATCCAGATCCTCTTCCCAAGCCACACACACAGACAGAACCCCAAAATTCGGGATCAAAACCAACCGCCCAAAACCCTCAGCCCTGTATCCTTCCTCCATCGCTAATCCCCGATCTAACGTGCCGTTTTGGAAATCTCACCGCCTGGAATATGAATATGATTATGAATGTAAAACGTGGGACTTGCAGAGATCCTGAAGATGGGAGATTTTGGTGTTCTTCGTATCTCCCACTCCCACTTCCACTCGTTCAGGCAGTAAAGTTGAATCCTAAAGGAACGATCGCTCGTCAGCGACCGAAGACCTAATTCTCCGTCAGACAGGATGGATTCGGTACTGTAAGGCTGCAGCATGCATGCTTGTCATAGGAACACGCATGCATGCATGCACATAACTAACACGCACGCACGCACGCACGCACGCAAGGAACGATGTATGTATAGAAGGAATTCCGGGGTGGTCAGCATCAGCGCAAAGAATCCTCCTCCATCGCAGCTCGCCGATGTGACGTTCGTTTCTCACGAAGCTTGCCTGGCGGTGGATTCCCGGACTCGTAACATCATCGTGTCTTCTCCATTCCATATCGAAGGAGGAGGGCAGCGTGGAAAACGGAGATAAGAGAGAGGGAACCACATGACGAATCATCCTCCCACACACGAAAGTCAAGAAAGACAACAAATCACATGACAGCCTTACCTTGCCTCACCTCTCCAGTCTTTACTCACCCGACCCTCTGCCTCTCTCGCTCGGCTGAATCTCGCTCTCCCAGCTCCCAATCCTTCCTTCGTTCTCGTCCTTATCGCTATCCTTATCGCAAGCAATCAGCACGTGGTCAAAGGGGCCGCTCTCACTGCGCATCACTTACTCAACTACCGGCTGAGAAACACTACCACGGACGGGACGGGCTACACTCCGACGTTTCCATTCCAGACAAAGTTTAGATGGGATGGAACGGTGAGTCGCTCTATTGTCGGGTCCTCCTCTTCTTCGCAGCAACAGCAGCAGCGAGACTCTCATCGCCTCGCCTCGTCCGCGTGATGAGAGTCACTTGACTACGAACAGGACGGGAGAGATGAGATTACCTTCCATTCCCTGCTATTCTATCCGCCTAACGGGATGGGATATGAAGAGGGAGGGAGTGGAGGGAGCATGGTAACCTTCGACGTTGTGCGATATGAGGGTTCATCCATCCATCCAACCACCCACACTCCCTCGCCTCACCTCACTCATCGTTCGCGACGGTGCTGATATGAGAATGAAGGAGGGAGGGATGGGAGCGAAAACCTACACCTTCACCTCGACCTTGATCGCAAGCAAGCAAGTAGGATGAGGTGCGAAGCCAGTCAAGCTGAGACGCAAAGTAATCTATCCTGTCCGGCAATTAATAAGCTCCAGACCGTCGGGCGTGCGAGTTTCGCGGTCAGGCGGGTGGCGGCATGAAAGGGGATCGACGGTGCATGAATGGATGAATGGCCAAGTGCTTCGTCCAGGTGCGGTTGAAAGAAAGCTGCCAGGCCGGGCCTGCAGGGTGTGTGGAGTGCATGTCCGTGGCGGGCGCTTAGAGAAAATCATTGGAGCGTTGGTTGCATGAACATAGCTTGGTAATGTTGGAGTGAGTGCCATTTCAGGCATGCCGTTGATAGAGATGCTGGTGAGTGTTTTATTGGCTGTACAAGACATACATACATACGCTAGAAAGATGGAGTCTTTCAATCGCCCATCCACGCCGAGATGCGGCTGCCTCCAAACCGCGCTGCGAACCTTAGGCCCTGCGAGCCCATCGGGAAATAGCTGACGAGGTACCACACCAGCGCGACGAGCTGGACTATCGACGACATCAATGTGAGGATGCTGCTTCGGAGCTGAAGGTAGAAAGATGGAGGTCAGCATATCGTTCTTGGAATCAATTGCATGACGACAAGATGCGGCAAGTGCGGCTTGGCCAATATCCATAGTCGAGGTGTGAACTGTGAAGTGAGCAGGGAAGTGGTGAAGGGATGGTGGCGAGCGTGAGATAGGGCGGGCGCAAAGCCAAGTGCGGAGAGGCGGGATGTTGGCCAGACAAAGGTGCGACAAATGATCGGCAAGAAACACAATATCTTTGTGAGTGCGCGAACAGGTTTCGCAGACTTGGGTGTCTGAACAAGAGGGTGTAGTGGTGTGGTGAGGGCTGCGCGGCTCCGTACACTTCCGAACGGACTTTGGGGAATGTTTTGGGAGACTTACCCCGACGGCGAAGTACAACGTCAGCGCAATGCTTCCAAAGTATGTGGCTGTGAAGGGTAATCGTTCTTGGGAGATCAGATGGCGCACTGTTGGGTGAGATCAGCAAAGTTCCTATCTTGGTAGCACCCTGATCGAATCGGCTGCAACTTTGCGAGCGAGATGTGAGGGTAGGTAGACGACGGGAGGTGGCACGCTCCGGATTGGCGTGCCATGATTGACGGGCGCAACCAGGCGCGAGCGATGGCAAGGTGTGGCAAAGGATCAACAGAGTAGAAGGCTGCTTACCGTAGACGAGCGGACCCATCATCACTGCCCATGAGCCCAAGAAGAGGGCCGACGCCATCGACCATCTGACCAGCTGTTAGCGCAAGAGCTCGGATTGTGCATGATCAACAATGTTGAGTGAGGAGGAAAGTTGGGACGGTGTTCGTGTTGATAGTAGGTGCGAGCAGCGCAATCAACTCAACCCAACCAGAAGCAGCCCAAGAGGTGATAGTATGATAGCATGATAGCAGAGGTCGTAGTGGATCGACACGAGGGCTCTGCTGGTTGCAGCGGGCGGCTGCGTGGAGTGGTTGCAGCAGCTGCACGCACCCCGGACCGCACTAACCTTGTGGTCAGGCGGGCGGTCCCATTGCATAAGTGGCCGCGGACGAGCAGAGCACTCCATCGCACGCCGCGTGGCTGCCAACGCGAGGAATGATTCGACGCGAGCGTGGAATTGGGAAGAGATGAGAGAAATACTTGGATGGGAGCGGGAAATACGAGAGAGCAGCACACCCTCTCGTTGTGATGGGGCAGGGTTGGTGGTTTGGGCTGGGAGCGGCTTTGGATTCGATCGAGACGAAGTGGAAGGTGACGATACGTACAGTATGGCGAACTTGCGCGGCCGGAGGCTCAGAATAGGCAGAAGGGTGAAGCAGACGACGAAGAGGGCGATGGCGGCGATGTTGAGGCCGCCGAAGATCAGGATTCTGTCCCATCGACTTACTGCAATATAGCAAAGACGTTAGCAATGTCTCGGCTTGGTTGATGTGCAGTGCAGGGCCGGGCAGGCTGCAGGCGGGCGAGCTCGCTGCTGCTACTGCTGCTGCTGCTTCGAAGTGGTGGATGACTTGGGGGTGGAGGCGCTAGGGAGAAACCTGGCTGTCGCATGCACGTCTGGCGCAAACGCAGGAACTGGACATCGTCACCTGTGGCGGCGCGTCCACGGCTAGGTTGCTGCAAGCTGCGAGCAATGTCGAGGTGCGTGCGGTTGCTGCAACTGTCGCTGCTGCTTCGCGTGGCCGAGACCTGGCTGCAAGCTGCGGCCGCCTTTGTGTGTGAGAGGCCGAAACCAAGCTCATGCGCCCCCACGTCGGTCGTATGCATGATGCGAACATGTCCAAGAACGAGCATGTCGCAGCAGCAGCAGCAGCAGTAGCAGGCTCCGTTCGCGCCGAGACACGAGCACAGTAATAACGACGATGTGGTGCGTGTAGGGATGGACACGATGATGTCGTAGACTTACGCGCAAACCACCCTTCTTCCTCTTCCCGCCGGGTCCGCGCAGGCAGCGGTGCGCCGGGAGCTTCGCCCTCGGTGGTGGGCAGTCGTACGTTGCCTTGGGTGTTGAAAGGATTATACTTTGAGAGGGAGCCGAGCAGGGGCGTCTCTCTGTTGGTGTTGGCGGGCTGCTCGCGGCGTGCCCAGCCCAAGCTGTTGATGCTGTCTCTGAACGACGTCGAGGCCATGGTTGCGCCGCGGGCGGTCTTTGTGTGCGGTGGTGGTAGCGCGTTTGAGGATGTCGTCGAGCAGCGGAGCTGTGCTAGGGTGCCGTCGAGGATTTGAATGGGCGTGATGGGTGAGATTGGGGGAATTGTGCTGCCTATTGGGCCGGCGTGCCGCGCGAACCGACTGGGAGGGGGGTGTCCGGCGGCGAAGATGGCGGTCGAGTGCCTCAGGGAGCGGCCGGGGGGTAGCTGGGTGTGTGAATGTGGCGACGGTATAGCTCTGTATCAGGACGAAGCGCAGCCTGAGATGCGACGTTCGGTGGTGATGGGCGTTGAAGCTCAGCAACGCTGCGGAAAGGATCCGGCGCGGCCACCACCCACCAGTTCCCGCTAGCGACGCTTTCATTCAGCAGCAGCGCAGCATCAACGTTTGGGCCTACTGTAGCTACATGTACCTACCACCCTCTGCAGGGTCTCACGAAGGAAGATTGCGTGCAGCATGCTCCAGGACCTACAGGCGATGCGATGCGATGCGATCGACGCGAACCTCGATCTCGCCAATGACGGCACTTGGGAGCTGCAGCGGCGTGTGATGCGCAGCGTGGTCAAAGAAGTCGCTCGCTCACTGGGCCGCCGCAGCGAACGGGCAGAGACAGGTCGGCGTGCAATGACCTGATTCGTGTGCCGCCTTGTCTGAGGCCCTCACCGCCGCCGCCCGCCAGAATGCGGCCGTGGGCAGGTCGCCAGCAGGATATCGAAGGGCATGTCTCAAGCGGGCGAGGGCGTCGGCGAGAGTGGCTGAATATGGCCACACATTACGGTGCACCCACAATCCTCCACATCCTGAGGTGTTGGTGCAGGCTTAGGTAGGCAAGCTCGCGCATCCCAGGCGCTGAGTCCGGCGGCCTGGGTCAAAGACGAGCAGCGCTGGTTGTAGTGGGCGAGGGGGGTGGGGGGAGGGTTATATGAGTCAAGGAGTCATGGTCATGGTGCGCGTCCCAAGAGTGAAACCATGTTGCGAATGGCCTGCTCGCTCGCTCCCGTTCGTGAGCCTCGTCGCTTGGCGTGACAGTACAAAGGAAGCGGCTCTGCTCGTCCCAAAATCACGTCGTTCCGCATCTCACTCCAGTCGTCGTCGTTGTCGTTCCAGCCGTACAGCCCGACACGCTGCTGCCCGTCATCATCATCATTGACCAGAAGCATCATCAGCCGCGCCTTGCCGTGTGCCTTGAGGCTGCGAACTGTGAACCCTCTTCCTGCACGAACCCAACATTTGCCGTGGTGGAAGAGCCAGGCCGCCGCAGCCGCGCTCAGTCAATCAGACGGATAGCAAGCGCCGACCGCATCGTCGTTGGACCAGGGAGCCCGAACACCCGAGGACATCGAGCATCTCCTCTGCCGTCATCGCGCGGAATTGCACACCGAGTCGACCGCCCATCAACATCGTCGTCGACGGCCACTGGTTACACGGGACCAAGACGTGCCAGATCTGTGGACGACCCAGCGGCAGAATTGAAGGTTCAGGCCAAGCCGCCAGTATTCGCCCGCCCGCTTTCACACCGCCCTGCAGCAAGCAGCAGCGCCTCATCAGTGCCAACCCGACGGCCAGTCTCACTCGCCCATCACCACCTCCGGCCTCCGAAGACACTTCCTCCTCCTCCATCACCACTGCGACCACATCCCTCTCTGGTCGCTGCATTGTTGTCGACTCCCTTGCGACACGACCAGCTTGACAGCCGCGTCGCACACAGACAGACGCCACCGCCACAGATAAAGGACGCACGGGCAGCGCTCGGCAAACCTCCGCATTCTGCCAGCGATCAGATCCTCCCCGCCATTAGCAGCACCCAGCGCAGGCAAGTGCGAGTCGGGGATTTGCGCGCACCTCTCTCCACGTCGCACCAAAAACCACTGCTTGCCCTGCCCTGCACCCCGCCAGGCAGGCCTTCGATACAGACGCCCACCTCGATCTCTTTGTGCGCGTGGGAGGTGTCGGCCCAGCCGTTCATACCCGCCTGCAGCACCTCCTCCACCGTCGCCGAGCCCAAGACCGAGCCAGCCAGCAGCACCACCGCCGCGCTGACCGCCGCACGAACGACCGACTCATCCTCGACCTCCTCGCCACGCACCCATCCGCCTCCACGCGCGAGATACACCAATCCTCGCCTCAACACCTGCAGCCAGCCCGCTGTTGAAGAAGATACCTCAGGCGGCCTCAAGGTGAGTGCTTGCGTGCTTGTACTGTCCCTCGCCTCGCTGTCCTCTCCCGGCATCGGCGTGAGTCGCACACCGTCGCCTACACCCACAACGCTGCTCCTGGCGACGGCAGAGTATTATACCAGCCTCATCGCAACGAGCCGGGCATCCTCCACGTATGCGTCTTGGCGACGCATCAACGCTGCCTGTCCGTCGCCGACGCCTCTGCGTGCATACCCCGACCCGCAAATTTCATGCGCCTGCAGCCAGCCGAACAATTTGATATTCCGTCCATGAGACCAGGGAGCTAACTCGCATATCTCTCCAGACTCCTCCCCCCTCCTCGCTCGAACTTCCAACTTCTCCCACGCGAGAGCCGCACGTCATAGCCTGACACGAGATTTGTGCTCGCTCACCTCGTTCCCCATTGGAGCGCAGACACCGCCGTACTCAAGCGGCTTACTCGTCCGGTCCTATTATTGTGCCAGGCAAACACCCACGCCTGTCAGCAAGACGTTCGGCATATCAAAGTGCCGCCGCCCGCCACACCGCACAGCCAGACATTGAATCTGCCACGACACCATAGCGCTGGCCGGTAGCACAGAGAGGAGAAGCACCTACAGCAGTCGACAAACAGTGACATGATTGTATGATCATCAACTCGAGGAATGCCTGCAACCTGTGAGTACCCGCCCTCCTACTTATATCCCACCTGCTTCCCCGTCCATATCGCCCTCGCACTGCTTGAGCTTCGAGGTCTTTGGGCAAACATGCAAAGCCATGGGTACCATGGATACACCATGCATCTATACCGCTCGCGTCCCTACACCGGTCTCGCACCGGGAGTGCCCGACTATAGAGATTCCTTGGCTGACGTACCTTTCTACCACAGCCAGAGAAGACTTGAACCTCACCACATTTCCGCCGTTTGAAAGCCAGCCCAAGGACATCTCCAGCAAGCGAGATTCACCCCTTGAGTTCGCGTTTGACGACGGCATAGACGAGACCGGCACAATGGCTTCTGCCACCTCACCATATATCAAGCCGGAGCCCAACGACTTCTTCGACGTCAACCAATATTCGCAATTCCCCCAGGGCCAGCACACTGGTCACATGAACTCCAACAACATGAACGTCAACCCCGCCAACCTGACCAATGGCAACGGCTACATGTCGTCAAGCTTCAACCTGGGCAATTCCGGGATAGCAGATGACGAGCTGCTTGATCTCGAGATCAACAGCCACAACCAGCAAGGCGGCAACTTTGACTTCAACTCAGGCATGCAAAACTTTCTGAACCAGCAGCAGTTGAATCAACACAGCAACGTCTTCTCCCACACGCCTGACGGTGGCCCAATCCAATCGCCGTTCACAAACGACTTCAACTACGGCCAGTTCCGGCCCGTCGGCCAGCAGCAGCAGCAGCAGTTCGGTGGTCACAGTATGCCATCACAAGCCGGCTTTCGGCCTCACATGCAGCAGCATCTCGACAGGAAAGTGTCTGACTCACGGTCACCTGCCACCCCCAACACGCCAGGCATGAACCACCTACAAGTAACTGACGACTACGCACACCCCGGCATGCAACCAATTCAACATCGACAGCAAGGTTCCATCGGCAACGGTTGGGATAGCACACCAAGCGGCCACAGCTGGGACGCCTCATCACCATTCCCATCACCTGCCAACGGCCAACCAGTTCACGCTCAGATCTCCGAAGTGCTCAAGAGCACTCACCATCACAAAGTGGCGTCGTCACTTCCCACCAAGATGGAGCCTGGTACCGGCGGAGGTCCACCATTCCCCACTTCACAGGAACAGAAGCGACGTCGGCGGCGCGAGTCTCACAACTTGGTGGAGCGACGCCGTCGCGACAACATCAACGAGCGCATCCACGACCTTGGCACGCTTGTGCCACAGCACCGACTCGAAGATGAGAAGGTGCGCAAGCACTTGCAGACCAATGCGCCACTCTCGCCATCCATTGCCAACGCCACTGGCATGTCGCCACCCAACGCATCCTCCTTGCTCGGCGGCCAGCGTCGCTCAGGCGCCGGCAACATCACGCAAGGCCTCCCCATGGAGGAGAAGGACAAGGGCCCAAACAAGGGTGACATCTTGAACGGATCCGTCGCTTGGACTCGAGACATGATGTGGTACATGCACCTCAAGCTCCGCCAGGAAGAGGAGCTCAAGGAGCTTGTGCAGCGCCTGGGCGGTAGCTGGCCTTACAACCCCACCGAAGAGGAGAAGCGGATGCGGTCTGAGATCCTGGAGATTCTCAACAAGCACCACCAACTCGGCGGATTCCCTGGCTACTCCCGAGCACAGGGCTCTGGCTTACGAGTCCCTGGCTACACCAACATCGCCGGCGACAGCGTCAGCAGTGACCAATCATCCAACGGCCAGTCCCTCCCACCGGTGTCGCCAATGGGCAGCGGCATCTCACAGCCATCCAACCAGTACTGGAATGCCGAGTTCAAGGAGGAAGACGAGTATGGTATGGAGATGATACCTTAGAAAGGTCTCATCGCCCAGCCAACACGTCTGTCTCCCATCCAACAGCTCCCACTCCCGAGTGGATGGCCACTTGTCGACCAGTACACCTAATCTCACACCGGCATCTTCCGATCTCCGACAGCCGAGAAATGGTTACACGAAGCCAGCTCGAGCACACCTCTACAGACCCAGAATAGACATGTCATGACCCCTTGCATCACCCACCACGGCGTTCCGGGTACACGGGCATTGTGTCTGATTCACTCTGCGACAATCCGCGTATCACCATGAGACACCACCTCGACGAACAAAGACCTGACAGCACGACCACCTTACCTCCTCTCTTGACACTTACAACGACACAACACCATACCAGGAACGGCGTTGCGGAATTGGCTGGAACTCCTTGCTAGCTGCCATTTGATATGCTTATGCGACACCAATGATACCACCACATGTTCTTGCCTTGATTTACTGCGACTGCGACTGCATCTGGATGGACGGGAGCGATGATGAAGATGGACCTTTTGACCGGTGTTGTGCAGGAGTTCGGGCATGGGTTTACCTCCAATTTCATTACTTGATTCTACACGGACGGACGGCTGGAATTTGTCATGACGATGTTGATGAGACACACAACCACACCACGGATTTTCGACTCTTTTTTCTCGACTACTACGGACAGATCACTCTGAAGACAAACAAACCTGATATGCACACGACGAAGAACACGCCACCATTGGCTTATGATGCGATGACAGAACAGCATGTTGGGGTTTTGACTCGGAGGATGGATGGGATGTCGAGCGAGAGAGGTTGTTGAAATGACATGAGTGCAAGGGTTGGCGAGACCTTTTTTTGACTGCATCTTCTTTTTCGGGGAATTAGCTACTTGATCGGGACTCTGGCTTTTTAATGCGGGCATGCGACATGCATCTACTCATCTACTCTACTATGCTTTGGGAATTTGAATGAACGAGACTTTTATTAAAACATATTTCTGAAAGTTCACTTTACTTTTCGATTATGTGCTATGCCTGGTGTGGTTGATGATGTCTTTGGCGGTGAGTGAGGGTAGAGATCTGGAATTGGTAAGAAGGTAGGTTCGAGATTCGTGGCAGGCTATCTTGGGCACGATGTCTGAGAAAGAGTTGCATTCCTTTGCTGATACCGACCGACAGCAAAGCGGTCTTGCCTCGGTCCTGAGTCCTGATGTCTCAATACTCAAATGTGCAGTACGGTGATGTGATGTGATGCTGCCCTCCTCTCCTCCCCCCGAACAAGTTCTCCCAGTTTCGTCTCATCTCAGATGCTTGTGCGCCTGTTTCCAAGTTCTTTTCTCTCTCTCTCTCCTCTCCTGATCTGGCGTGAATGCGGGATGGATGTGGTGCAGGATGGTGGATGGATGTGACAGGTGTCAAATGTGTTCTTCTTCTGTGCCTTGCATAGTTTGCGCTTCGCTCCTGATCTGCCACGTCTCAGATCTTGCAGAGACGAGGGTTGGATTCTGGTTTCCTGGTCGTCGGGATGTGAAACTCGGTTTTCGCTGGCGAGGTGTCATTCAGATGCGCTGGTCCTTTTGCTCCCCGCCTCTTGATCGGCCTGCTTGGTGTTTGGTTCGCCAGATCTTGCAGTTCTGAGGAGGGGTGTCGTCGCTCGTTCCTGGCAGTCTGGCCCCAGCTCCTGTCGTGCTGTGTGTTTGACCCGGTGGCCTGTCATCTGGGTTTCTTGAGCTTGGTTCTTTCGCTCGATCTTGCTGTGCTGGGGCAGTGCACGAGCGAGACTGCGGGACCGGGGGAGTGGGCGTAGAGAGAGGGATTATTTTTGGGTTAGGTTCTAAGGCGAGGCGTTCGTGGGGTAGGCAGTGTGTGTTATCGCGGAGATGGTGTTCGTGGAGCTGGAGTTCTAGCTCTTTGAGAATGGTGGTTTCGGCTGTCCATGACTTGACCGCCCCGTTCTTGCTCGAGTCTTGGTAAGAGAATGGCGTTCAGCGTGCTGAAGACGACTCGTGTGACCAATTGACTCCAGCGATGGAAGGTTGCCATCGAGGGCCAGCTTGTCTCTAGTATGCCGCGCCCACAAACAGCCTCTCTCACGTCTGTCTGCATCTCTTCTTCATTTCTTCCCGGCCTCATTCTCCACCTCCTTCTCCTTCTCTTGAAACCCCAAATTCCGCATCGAGTCCGGCGCCATCAGATTCCTGCTTGACCATCAGCAACCTCGTCCCCACCAATCCCACTCCCCAATCTGTATTCTCACCTCTCCATCCGACACGTCAGATAACTCTTACTCAACGCCCTGCACTCATCATCATTGACCCCGCGATGACTCTTCAAACACTTGAGGTACTGCTGCATAATAGGCTGGCATTCCGCTCCATGGTCGAGGGGGAAAGAGCCGCGTTCAGGCGGGATGGGTTTGGAGAACTTGGTGCTGCCGCCGGGGGAGCCGAAGGTAGACATAGCTTTCTCTCCTCTCGAAACAGAGTATTGTCGCGGGTGGTGGAAGCAGGTGAGGTCTCACGGCAAAGTCAGTCCGTGTCGTCGAATCCCGGTCTGGGTTGCTATTGGATGTCCTCGGCCGGGGAACGTCGGCAGCTAAGGGGAGTCTACTGCGCGGTATTGTGGCACGAGGCGCCGATGGCTGTTAGCACCCCGGGCCTGGCACGCTGCTGCACCTTCGTTTAAAACTCGAGGTCTTGCTTCGTCGTGCTGCGCTTGGGGAAGGCGGAGGGGGGCATGGGTCTGCTGGCGAGATCTTCGATGCGGTGTTGTGCGACGTGGACTGTGCTGGGTTTGGCGATTAGATTGGGAGGAGAGAAAGGAAGGCCTGGATCTCTTTTGCCTTTCTGCAAGACGCTCTCTCTTGTACCTGCTCTTGCTTGGAGACTGCTCTCTTCTGAACGCCGCCTCTTGTCGTACCAAGTAGCAGCCGTCAAAAGTGCTTCGAATCTCCACCACAGACCGGAGACCGAAAGACGACCAACATCGAGACTCGAGAAGGATTCAGGCCGCCAGTAGGATTCGTCTCGCTACACGAATGCTCACAGACGAAGAGTTCATCCATGCCACGCTTGGCTGGAGAGACATTGGATTCATACCGATCTCGAAAAAGAGTCGTCGAGCCGAGCAACACCGCAGCATCCCAGACTCGTACCCGCGCTCTCTCAAGTTCAAAAAAAAAGCAAAAAGAACTAGAACCCTTATTTCAGAGTTCTAGAGAAAGCCAACTTAATGGTTTTACTTTTTTATCGTTGTTGTTCGCCGGGGTTCGAACTCGATTCCTAGTAAGTCAAGTAGTCATGCGCTGTCCGACTGCGCTATTCTATTCATTCAATCAGCTTCATGTCCCTCCCACACCAGTCTAGCTGATGTGGTGATGGGATTAGATTGAAGATTGATTATATCCCTTAGACATCTCTCCTCCAGGTTGTGAAATGTGGACAGCCTCAGGCATATCTGTCAAGTTCAAGACTTCTGGAAGCATTCGGCACTATTGCATCTCCCCCAGTCATATGAATTCACATCTTCTCTTACTCGCTGATGGATATTTGAGGGAAAAGGGTCCAGCATAAAAGATTCGGGCTTTTTACGATGCTCTCATCCTACTCCCATTCCCAATAACACACCGCACAACATGGATTCGTCAAGGATGGAGAACACGGCGACTTTGTCCCGCTTTAGGGGCGTGCGCGCTCTGAGGCAACCCATCGAACAAGACCCTCGTGACGTTCGAGACGACCCTGATCGCACTTTGAAGTTGTGTCGCTATGTGAACTACGTCAACCCGAGAGCGTTCCCGGTCTTCGAATCCCGTCCGTACAACCCAGCGCCCATGCCTGACGGACGCTCACTCCTCCTTGAGCTGCCTGGAGAGATTCGCAACCTTGTCTACGAGCTGGTTGCCACGTCCGGTGCTGAAGTCCACACTAAGAGGTTCAGATCGATCATGAGCAGATCCCGGCTCGTCGGCGTCAACCGACAGATCCGTCAAGAATACCGCAGTCTCTTGACCATGGTGTACGTTCAGGTGTCGACACATTCTCTACTCGAGCTTATGTCCTCGCAGCACTTCACCTATAATTTTCAAGGTCGTTGATTTTAATTTCGATCACGCTGTTAGATTTCTCAACGGTCTATCGGATATCGATCTGAAGGCTCTGCCAAAGATCCATACACGATCTCAGCGAGAAGTCCGCATCTTCCTCACAGTCACCAGAAGATGTTCCAAGAACGCACACGAGCTGCACTTCTGGCTGAACCGGGCAGGTCATGATGGAGAGAAAGGTGTGACAACACAGGAGCCAACACACACCTTTCCAGTGCTGATGAGCTATTAGGCTACAACGTCAAGGTCAAGTACACGATGAATTTCTTCGACAGGCCCGATGACGACCATCCGCTACCACAGGGGCTTCGTCACGCTGAATCACAGCAGGAAGCTCACCGCGTGCTCGTAGGGCTGCAGACCGGAAGTCTACGTCAACTCGATTCAGACCGAGCTCGCGAGGAGGCGATCAGGATTAAGAAGGCTTTGGCCAGAAACATATTTCCCCTTCTTCGTCACAGGTACGCCGACGACGATTAGATCCTCGAGATATGGAATGCACGGCTTTGCTGTTACTTGATGAGGTGGACTCGCAAAGTCGTCGGTCTCTTCCCAAGGCATCCTTCGAGACGCTCGGCTCCAATTGGTCGAGTGCCTGGGCCGGCATACGGCTGAAGTGGGTCGGCATCCACTATATCTTTCGACGACACCTCTTGCGACTATTTTCTCTTCCTCCTTCAATTCAGCAACAATCGCAAAGATGGCCTTCAAATTACTTTCCGACTTACCAGCCGAGCTTCTTATCCGTGTAAGCGAATTCCTAGACGCAAAAGACTGCGCTTCCCTTAGCGCCGCCAACTCCAGTTTTCGACGATTCCTGGCATCGACGGTCTACAGAGGCCTTCGTGCAACTAGTCTACCAGAGCATGCCGAGATCCTCGAACAGATCGTTACGAAACACGCCCGCCACATTCACACGTTGCACTTCGAACTCTATCTGAATGAATCGGAAGAGTCAGGGGACAACACCTACACGGTATCCAGCACAGCCCCGATCGTATGGGACTTGCTTAGCCGTCGAGCGCTTCCAAATGTTTCGACCTTGACGATCACGTTCTTTCCACAGCCAGATAACTACGACGGGGGCGGCTGGTGCGACGAAGGGCTCGGAGGCGGTATCTACATCAACGACAGCGAGGAGAGCATCGACGAAGTGCCAGAAGCAGAGGCTAATTTCCCATGGCGAGCTTTGTACAGCAAGGCTTTGGAGTCCATCGCAAATGGTCCCAAGACGCTTCATCGATTGGAGGTGCTCAATCTCCCGCCCAAGACGACGTCTGCACAACAGACGCCGGAGTGGCAGGCGATGTTGGGAGGACTGGAGGAGTTTGAACTCAGTCTGTGGGGAGGAGATAACGGTGTAGGTTGGCATTCAAATACTTTGCCAGGGTATCTGGATTCGATTGAGAATCTGAGGGATTCATTCTTTCGACATCTAATGAAAGCGACAACGGTGAAGCTGGTCGCTCATCCTGATAATCCTATCGGTAAGTCCATCGTCTACAGTCGTTCTCGCAGATATTATGACTGACATCCTTGTAGGCTGCGAAGGCATGCGTCAAGTCTTCATCCCCATCCAACCGAAAGACCTCCCCAACGTCCAACATCTCACCCTGCATGACTGCTTCGTCGACCACGCCCTAACCGCCAACCTCGCAAAGAAGCCTGGCCAACTCAAATCCTTCCACCTCAACAACTGCTACTCGGCCGGCAACGACGAGAACTTCGGCACAGCCCACACCGTCCTCACCTGGTCCGAATTCTTCTCCACCCTCCGCCAAACCCAACCCAACCTCTCAGACTTCATCCTCAAAGACAAACGCACCCCACCTCTGACTCACGACGAGCAGTTCTATCGTGCGGGCGAGGAAGGCCCGGTCGTGCCTTACGAGCCGCCTGACCAAGAGCCGGAGAATGTCAAGGCGGTGAGGAAGGGGTTGCAGGAGCATCCGAGCAGGAGGCTGTTTACGTATACGACGTTGGATGATAAGTATGGGATGGTGTTTGCTTATGAGGAGGTGAATATTGAGGCTTTTATGCTCGGGGAGGATCAGAAGGAGTTTGATCTTTTGGTGGAGATGGTGGAGGGAAACCGGAGAGAGGGCAGGGATGCGTAAGCGTGTGTGAGGCGGCCTTCATACGCAGTAGAGGATGCAGGATGCCCCAGTCCTTACTAGCGGTCTACAGCTGAAATATTTGAATCGGTGTTATCTCTTCCAGTTCCCCTTGCGATCTTGTGCAACTCCTCTAATTGCTCATATCTCACCCTCATTCGTCTGCCGTGTTCCACGTCCCAGCCAACCAGATTCCGGTGACCTCACAACAGACGGTCAGTCTGTGAGGATAATGCATACGTGCATCGCCAGGGTATGAACAGCCGTTTTCCTCTCCTACTGTCCCTCGATTCACCATTCCTCTACCCTGGCCTCATCTTCTTCAACCCACCCTCCCAATCTCCACCCCCTTCTGGATCTTCTTCTTCCGCTTCTGCTCCTCTTTTGACCTCAATTCCTGTACATGATTGAGACATCCGCACTCCATGCCCACCTTGAGTTTCCACGCGTACAAGAAATCCACCGCCCGGCCCCTCTCCGTCGTGCAGTTCCATCTCTGCCAGCTGGCGTACTGCGTCGCCGCATCGCGAGTCATGTACTCCTCTCTTAGTCTGGTGAAGGTCAGGTCGATCCTCATGGACACTTTACCACGGCCGTCACTTTTGTAGATGCTGTTGAAGTCGAGGTTTAGAGGTTGCTGAAGAACGCGATGATGTGGCTGAAGTTGAAGTCATGGACGACTGTTCTTAAAGGTGGTCCTTCAGTCATCAGGAGCGATTTCAGTTCTGAGTGGACTTGCTTGCAGACGGAGAGGAGGAGACAGTCGTTCTGGAGATGACCTTTGTCCGAGAGTCGGGTCGGATGGCTTTCGAGGGCGAGTGAGTAGATGATATTGCGAAGTTCCCCAGGGAGGTCGAGGAAGCGGAAAGGGTTGGCTTCAGCGTAGTCTTAGGCATGAGGATGCGTGATGGCCTGTTCGTCGTCTTGGATCTTCAAGGCGGCCATCTGCTTTTCGAGTTTCTGCATCATAGAGATTGTTCCATCCCAGTTGGGTCGGTCTATGAATGCGAGATCTTCGGCGATGCGCCTGCGCTTGCGGGGATACATGTTGTGGTGAGGTGCGGGTTTGACAAGGTGTGGATTTTGGATGGTGTTGCGGTTGGGAGGAAGTGGGTGAAGCTGCTGTGACGCATGAGCCGCTACAAACGGGTGGGTCCGTGCGCTGGGATCTTCACGTGCAAACGAAAATTTGTGGAAAGAACGAAGGAACGGTTCAATACGACGTCACTGCGAATGGAGTAGAATCTGATATACAGCACGAAAATTCCCAATTAATTGACAGTCTTCGATCCGAAGCGATGTCCAACTCAAGTCAAGTCCCAGCATTGCAATGCTCATTTCCGAATCGACCGTCTCCTTCAAGCCTTCCACCACGCCATACTCAACCCCTCATAACTTCTTGCAACTTCTCCATATACCCTTCTCCCTCTCTTTTCGAGTACGCCACCGTCGTAACAGCTCATAAGTCGAAGGGATCCACATTCATCAACCCCTCGCCAGCCGCCGCTGCAGTCTTCCTCCAGTGATGCTGGCGCTTTGGTCCAGGAGCTGCAACGGCGACATAGATAGTGTCCTCCGGATCATCCAGCCACTCGTACTGAAACTCGACATTTACGCCCTTCTTCGTCGGCTCGTCAGCCCGATTCAGCCACCGCTGCAGGCTGTTGCTAGGGCTGCGACCTCCTGCTCCTGGGATGTGGGACTCGAGTTGGATCTTCATGACCCGAGTCCCATACTTGGTGTCTGTCGTGAGCTTGTAGAGTTCTTCGTCAGACAGCCTGTTCAAGAACGAGATGAGACTGCTGAAGTTGAAGTTGCGCACTCGTGTCTGGATGACCGGAGCCGACATTATCATGGCGTTGAGGAACTCGTGGCGTATCTGTTTGTTCGCTCCCACGAGACGGTAGTCGGTGAGGAGCGTCTTGTCCTTGCTGAACCGTGATAGGTACACGGTGTCGTGCTCGAGCGCCTTCGAGTAGATGTTGTCTCGCATTTCTCGAGGCACATCGTGGAACCGAAATGGGTTGTCGGGTTCTTGTGGGGTGAAAGCATTGTCGATACCGGATGATGTATACATCGGACGCTTGAATGTCATCTGCACTGGGATTGTGCTTTGATCAGACTCGCGCTTGCGCTTCTGAACCGGCGCCATCGTGTTCTGACTCGAGGGTTTGATGGTGGCGAGACTTGATGCTGAGATCCATGGAGTTTAAGTAGGCGGGATTCCGTGTCATCACCTAGCCGACGGCCGGTGATTGGGGGTAAACAACATCCAGGGCTGCCGCCGCCAAGGCGCGGGATCCACTCCTTCTCAATTGGGAAGGAGTGGGAGAGCAGATTATACTCGAATATGTGACATGTTATAGGCGTCTCCCAGAGTCATGTCAGACGAAATGTGACAGAGAATGTATACGAATATGACGTGCAAGCAAAATAGAAAAGAACTTGAGGTGCATGGAACGAGTAGGCGCGGTGAGGGATGATCAAAGAAATGCGGCGAGAAAACGTCGCTACTCCCTTTGTCAGGCAGTAGCGAACAAAGGGATCTGACACATGGTTTCCTCAAAGGAGAGCAACAATGAGCATGATGCTCAAAAACTCAAGACGCTGGTCGCACACCGATGTTGTTAGTGCTACGGGCAAAGGAGGGACCCGAACGTTGAAGTAGCTTAGACCGATGACAAATCAAACGGATGAGGGTGACTTGTTCAGATGAAATGGAAAATTTACGGTGTAGAAGGAAGAGCTCTCAATATCCAATAGGCTAAACACACTATCAACATTCGCTGACCTGCTCCATGTCTCCAACTATTGTGTCTCGCAACCCCCATGTGCCCAACTCTTTCATTTAGACCAAGCTCGAGGGACTCAACTGAAGGTGCGCACCCGACGTCTGCTGAATCTTTCTGAACTCTTCTGCAGCGTCTGGATGCCGGATATCGACCGTAACGACGAGCGGAGTCTCATAGCGCCATGCCTCATCATCCCACACGTACTCGAAGGCCACATCCGTGCCCTTCCTCGCTGGATCACGAATCCGATTCAGCCAGCGCTGAAGGTGCTTGCCGAAGTTGTGGGGGAACGGACGACGGAAGTCGAACTCGATTCTCATCATGCGGGTCGAGGCGTGGGTGTCCTTGGTGAGCTTCTCTACATCAGCGTCCGAGATGCGGTTGAGGTAGGCGATGACGGCGCCGAAGTCGAAGTTGCGGACCCGAGTGCGGATCACGGGAGCGTAGAGATCGAGGATCTTCATAAACTCCTCTTTGACCTGCTTGCTCACCCCAACGAGGCGGCAATCGGTCAGTAGATTCTTGTCTCTCGTGAAGCGCGAGAGGTGCGCAAGTGGCTCGCTCGCCAGCGCTTTCTCGTACACGACTTCGCGGAGCTCAGGAGGAAGGTCGAGGAAGCGGAAAGGCTTGTCCTGGGAAGATGAAGCGCCAGACGCGCCATTCGTGGTTGGTTGAATTGACATGGTGCGCTTGCGTGTGTGTCAGGGTGCTGTTTGTCTCGAGATGTGCTCGCGTTTGTGTACCGGCGCAAGTCCAGAAATTGCCAAGGTAATGTTGCAGCACGAAGACCGCTTCGAGGCGCCATGAGGGTTATATAGTTGGGAGTCAGGTGTCGTAGGCTTGAACACTGCGAGTGAAGGGTGTATAACGGCATTGTGCGGAAGATTTGAGCGCGAGCCAATGCGTATTCACCTCTTCCCGATTAGGAAGGAGCGGACAAGTAATCATAAAGCAGGGTATAAAAGGATGCATAGAGCTGGCGAACGAAGTCGTTGTGTGCAGTGAAGGTTTGAATCGCATGAGCCGATGTCAAAAAGTCGTAGGAGGAGAAGGCGCTGAGCGCACGCGCAGACTTTATGAAACCATCGAGCAAACGGAGCCAACCTCTTTGTCGAGACATTTTCGAAAAGGGACATGCGACAGTCTTGGGCCAAAACAAAAAAAAGGTGTTGACAGGTCTTTCCGTCGCGTCGCAAAAACGCGCTCGTCGCAAAAGATCGATGGCGACGTGTTGCAAAAGAAATGTCATCGATCGAATTGATGCAGGTGGAATTGACGCGGATCGAACTGGCGCCCTCCTCACATCAAACAGGCACCAGCAAACACAATCTCGAACACCACATCAAAAAGAAACTTAAAAAAAAATTTATACAAGGACGGGTATACCGCTCTTGTCCCCCTAGCCCCCTTACACAGAAACTGCGTCGCGATCGCAGGAGAAGACGGAAAGGGTACTCCATTCAGTATTTGATATGTCTTCTATTAAGTGCATTCAATCTCAGGAATCACCCCTAGTTATTGAAGCCTCGGTTATTGAGCCTCCCGCAACCGCCTTGCGTGCAGTGTCGCTTCGCCTGTTCCGTAGAACAGGCGGAATTGACCGAAGAGTTTTGAAAAGATATATGTAGGCTTGCGAGGTTTGGGCCGAAGTTGTGGCGTTTAGCGAGGTGCTAAGCGGGCTTGGCGGGATTTGGGGGAGTGAATGTTTTCGTGTCGGCTGGCTTGCTTGGTGACGGTGCGACGCACGATGGTTCTGCGACCTTCAAACCTGTTGGATCTTGTTGTGTCTCGCTCGTGCATCCTCAGCGTCGCGACACTGATTGCGAAATCTGCGAAATCCGTCGACACTTCGAAAGGACAGGACATACTTCTGGAACCATCTCTCAGACCGCATCAAAGCCGCAGACTCAGAGCACTGAAAGGAGCACAAAAATTAATTGCTGCAAGTCTCAGTCACATGTCCACGCAGAAGATTGAGTGAGGCTTCAGAGGTGCTCACCGCAACTGAAATAGCCCGTCCTCTCCTCATCGACACGCGGCACCAGTTCCTGTCCAGACTTGCCACTTCGACATGACATCCACCACAAGCTCGCAGCCACCACGGCGATCATATGTCTCCCTCTTCCACACCGCCTCCGTCGCCGTACCCTCATCCAGAAAGAAGAAAGAGCAACCCCAGCCGACGAAGGAAGATGATGGGCCGAAAAACACGAAGGACACCACGAAGAAGCCCTACAGGCTATTCGAACTGCCGGCGGAGCTGCGCCACACCATCTACGAATTGGCGCTCACGGATGAAACGCGTGTTCATCTCGTGTACTGGCCCGCGCACCTCCTGCGCACTGACCCCTTCATGACAGCCAAACCGGGTCCAGAGGCAGACCGGGCCAGGGAGGTCTTCAGCTCGGTTCACCCTTTGACCCAAGTCAACAAACAGATCCGCTCGGAAGCCCTGTCGATGGCGACCATGATGGCTCCAGTCCTCAAAGTCACCATTCGCGACTTCGACTTCACCCGCCTCATGTTCTTTTTCGATCACTTCCGACTCGAAGATCTCCAGATGTTCCGTCCACACGAGGATCCCTGGCCACGATTGACCGTGAAGTTGATTTCAGCAACAGGTACAATGTCTCGAGCCGCTCTGAGCATCCTGGTTTGCATGAGTGGGTCATGCTCGCGGCTGATAATGAAAGGAATGTCTATTGGCACGATTTTCTCTATTCTGTCCGTCAGCCCATCCACTTCACCATACCGACGACCGCACCATCGAAAGAAGCAAAAGAGTGCAAGCACCGTTACTATGAACAGCTCCGCATGGTTCGCGTAGGAGTGTATGAGGAGCCGATGGCGAAGCGGAAATGGAAGGCGACGATCGCGATACAGAGGCACCTGTCTTCACGAGACTGGGATGAGGCTCGGAGGTGGGGATGGCCTTTGCCACTTCGCTTCAAGAAGCGGTGATAGCCTGGAGTCCGGCATCTTCGTCATCTCTGCGCCAAAAGACAGCATGCTGGGAAGATTCGAGGTGGTTTTGGAGGTTGGACACCTTTGGACGGTGGGCTTTGGGGAGACTTCAAAGCCATTCGGCTAGATCAGCAAGCGTGCATGTTTCATGGGATCTTCCTCGATATACAGTCCAAGTTGCAGCGATGGGTATCCAACCTGTACGTGGACAGCCGTCAGCACTGACATCGTGATGAATATAAGCTACTAACAAGTGAATATACTCGACCACTTCACACTGGCAACATTGCCAGTGATCTGTCAGCGTTGTGTGTTATTCCCAACGCACGACACACAACGCCAACCTTCTCCATCAGCATTTCTAGATCATGAGAACGACTCAAACACCCTCGCCATCTTCACCTCTCGTGTCCGCAACGCCAAGATGAACACGCCACACCAACACACCACCGCCTCCGAGGACAGTAAGGAGTGTCTCCTGCTCAAGTTGCCCGCCGAGCTACGTAACACCATCTATCGGATGGCTATCGGTGCTAATCGGACTGTCCGCCTTCTCCAGAGGCCACAAAAAGTCCAGCAGAAGCAAAACCCAAAGCCAGGTCCTCTCCTCACGAATCTCACCACATTCTGTGCTCTGGCACAAGTCAACAGACAGATCCGTTCCGAGGTACTGCCTATGGCGCTCGTATCGGCAACCCATTTCAAGACCGCCGTCCAGGACTTCAAATAAAGCCACATCCTCGACTTCTTCACCAAACTACCAGATCGCCAGCACAAGGAGATGTTCACGAACAAGAAGGAGGGCGGAACGCCAAGATTCGTCGTCGAACTAGTATTCAGTTTTGAATACAACGACAAGGACCGCGAAGACCATCCCGGCTTCGATGCGTGGTTCACGCGACCGCATGGCGTCAGCCGTGCGTCTCAGGTCCTCTTCGACTACGCCCCAATGCAGCATCCTAAATTCAGGATGGTGTATGGAAATGTCGACGCATACGAGAAGAGCGGCATCAGAAACGTCCATGATTTCCGTCTACTGACTTCGAGGCTTGCTCTGGCTAGAAGTCGTCTTTGAGATGGCGAGTTGCGAGAGTTGATTTGGAGTTCGGCGTGACAATTGGGTGCGGCATCTGGCGTGAAGGTGTCTGAAAGCATGGTCTTGAAGAGTTGTAGTATGGCCAGGAGAGACCTGAGATTGGGAGTTCAGTTCGACGGAGCCAGATAGCTAATGCAGCCGTTCGTGAAAGTCGTTTAAATCAAAACAGCACTTTAGCATCCACATTCATTTAATGTAAGCATCGTGACTGTCGTGTGGCTACAGTTGCCAAAGTTTCGCTCTCTTCCAAGGTAAAGTGTCTCAGTCGTAAGTCGCGGATGTGAAGAATGATTGTACGCATTCAGCGTTCCAGCACACTCTCCGGGATTTCTTTTGGCCCCGGTTCCAGTAAGCATTCTGAAACACTGTGCTGTCGTGGGCTATCCAGAGAACAGGCTTGATGCAGCAACCGCATTTCGGCGTCCCGCTTGACGTGTTCTAAAGTGAGAAGTAAGTAAGAACGGGTGAAAGATGGGAGACTTGGAAGACGTGAGGTCGGAAAAGTCCTCATCTTCCCAACGGCGGCTTAGTCATTCACTCACTTCCCAAGCTTTACCGCACAGACCTCCTGTTCTCTTTTCACGAATCCAGAAGTTGCTCCAGACGGAAGAGGAGGAATTCAAAGGAGCACCAGAGCAGCGCTTGATGCTCCTGGCCCAGGGACACCTCGAATCTACGCAATCTGACTGCAGCATCAATTGCGGGCACCAAGTCTCGGGCATGCAACCACAACCAATCGATAGGCGCTGCAGGAATCCCGGACTGCAGGCCGACCTTGCCGAAGGGCGGCAAAGATTGGCCAAGGGCAGCGCTTATTGCATTTCAGCCCCTCTGCTGTCCGCTGCTGTCCAACCCACCGCTGCGCCTCGCTGGTTGTACAAGAAGTGGCGGCCGGTTCATGGCGTGACCTGCGTCCGCTTCTCTACCTATTTTCGACCTCATGACGAATCACTGCACGCCGCGCGGTAAGATCTGGAGTCGGCACTGAAGGCACTGTCTCCTACCTTTACCCTTGACTTCCGCGCCGCCGTGATCTTTCTTCACATCACCTCCATCTTCACGCCTCTCCGCCGCCACCGTTGAGCACATCTACGCCCGTCACTCCTCGGAATGCTGCGGGCCCAGCTAGAATCACCACGATGAGATCCTTGACTCTTATACTGGCCCTTTTAGGCCTCACTCTGGCAGCCGACCATGACCTGGAAATCGCGGCTGGTATCGACGATCAAGCCAAGGCAGCGTACTTTGTTCTATCCTCCGAGGGGTATGTCTTTGCGCTGAACGTGGCCGAGAATGGCGATGTGTTCTACCACATGAATGCGCCGGCCTCGCATTCATGGATGGGAGTCGGATTTGGAAGCAGCATGGAGAACGTGCGGATGCTCATTTCGTACATCGGCGAAGACGGCCATACTTTGATCAACTCATGCCGTATGTCGACCGGTCATACAGAACCCGAGTGGGAAGAGGACTGCCGCATCGACAATGTCTACACCGACAAGTACGCCCCATTCTCAAACACCCTCAGCCCGGACGGAATCATGATCGCACACGCAGTATGCCGAAACTGCTCCAGCTGGGCGACTGGGAGTATAGACATCAAGAACCAGCAGCAGCCTTTTATTTACGCCTTGGGGCCGAATGAGACATTGCATTCAAATCACCCGAACGCAAACCTCAGGCAACATTCAGTCTACGGAACTTTCAATCTAGACATGACTGTTGCGACCAATTACACCGGAACATATGGAAGAGTACCTGCGCCGCAAGATCCAGGGCTCCAAGTGGGAGACTCATTCTGGGCTTTCGCGAACTACTTCTCTAGCACCGCGTACAACACCGGAACATTGGACGAATGGGCACCCGTGGCACATGCAGTGTTCATGTGTCTCGCATTCCTTCTTATCTTCCCTCTCGGGGCCATTTCACTGCGACTCACACGAAGGGCTACTTTCCATGCGTTTGCACAAATGATCGGCACGGCTTTTGTGATTATCGGCCTTGGTCTAGGTGTTTATGCATCGAAGTTGTACAACAAGGTAAGTTATCTCACACATCCAAGAAACGGGCGTAGCTGACACTTTCGCAGTCGAAAAACTTCAACTCAGCTCACCAAGTCATCGGCCTGATCATATTCGCAGCTCTGTTCCTTCAAATTGGCCTAGGATTGAGCCACCATCTCATCTTCATGCGATCGGGAGTACCAACCATCATGGGCAAGATCCACCGCTTCTTCGGCATCTCCATCATCATCCTGGCCCTCATAAACGGAGGTCTGGGTTTCAACTTCGCCCAAGATGACCACGACAACGTCCCCTATGGCATCGTAGTAGCAGTCATGGCCGTCATTTTCGGCGTACTCACCTTCTTCGTCTGGAGCTACAGCCGAAAACACCTCTACAAGCCCGAGAAAGAAGGCTTCGCTCAGAATTACGGCGACGAGCCACCCGCTGAGTACGAAATGCAAGGCGGGACATACGTCCAAACACCCCGAACACCTTTCTTCCCCGGCACGCTGAAAAGCGACCCTCACGACCCGGAAGATTTCCGAAGCCATCTGATACGAAGTCAAACGGGCGGCAAGGAGAGTCTTTACACCGACACGCCCGCCTCAGATCGAGAGAACCCGTTCAAAGGAAAATGGGAAGCTGTGCCTCTTCGATGACCCTGAGAGGAAACCACGTGTGACGATTCTCCTTACTGCATGTCGAAGATGGTGTTGATGCTGCATAGCGAGCGGAGCTCTTGCATGGAAATGGCCGGGATATACAGCACGATACCTCACAATACGAAGAGCCAATGATACCCAAAGTTATTTTCAGATGGACTCTTCTCGTCTGGAGATCTGGTTCTGCAAGCGCTCTGTTGTATGTGAAGTTCCACATGGGCGCTTAGAGAGGATGGGTGGGTCTATACACGAAGATGGCGTCGAATCACGAAGCTCGAGTGGATGAGATGACTTCTTCTGCAATGCTTCTGCCCTCGATGCTTGATGATCGAAGCGCTTCTTCTATTGCTGCTAGCAGACGACCTATCTCAGATCCGACACAACAATGGTTATCATTGAAAACCTCCAGAAATGCCCTTACCGACAACCTACTTCTCGTCATCGTTATCGTCATCCATATTCTCATCAGATTCCTCCTCCGAAGTCAAGTCATCATCCTCATCCTCGTCCTAAGTATACCCATGATAATCTTCATAGTCCTCAAAATCATCATAGACATCATACTCATCATCCTCCGCCCAATCATTGCGAATCCCAGACCAAAACTGCTCGGGATGCTCGCTGCCTCGCAGACGGAAAGGTGGGACGCGGATCAGCATCACGGCACGAGAGTACCAGATGTCGATGCCGGGCTCGTTGCCGTACTGCTTTGATGTCAGTCGTCAACCAATACCGTTACAGGAGAAGAACTCTTACCGTCATATACGCCATCTGCGCCTCCTTGGACTGCTTCGCTCCCGCCTCGACATCCCCACCAGCGCGCCCCTGGGTCTTCTTCGGGAACGGATTGATCCACGTCACCATCCCCTCCGGCAAGGCATACCCAAAGCCCTCTCCGCCCTCCGGGTCCAGGTTGCCGCTGCCATTATTACACTCGTTGAAGCCGAGGAATTTGGATGCGAGACGATGGCTGGATTCGTCGTCGTAGCCCCAGTCTGTCGTGATGATGGGACCGAGCTTGCACCAGAGTCCTAAGGCGTGGGCGGTCTCGTATAAGGACATGTCGGCGCCTTTGAGCGAGCTGGGGAGGAAGTTGAGGTGCTTGTTTGTGTGGGCGTAGCTGTGGTTGAGCCAGATGGCGAGGACGCGGCCTGGGGTGGTCGAAGTTAGGATGATAGAGGTGAGTTGAGAGGGGATGGGGTACTTGCCGTGGCGAAGGAAGCCTGGAGACGCCAGAGCGGTCTTGAGAGTGTCGTACAGCGGGAGGTGCTTTGGCTCGAGAGCAGATGGAGAGCCGGCGAGATGGCCGAGGCCACCTTGGTTGATGGAGTCATCAAGGGTTATGAACACTTTGAGTACGCTGCACTTACGAGTGACGAAGAGGTTGTAGGTCAAGGTGATGCGATGGCCCGACGTAACCTCATACACCTCGTGCTCACAATCGCTGTAGAAGGCAGCCCACTTGATGGATGCTCCAGCCTTCTTACCATCTGCCTTGTTGACAGAAGAAGACCAGTCGAAGACCAGCTCCTTGTCAGCGTTGCGGACAGCCAGCTGGCCACCTACGAAAACACGTCAGGGATCCTGAGCGGAAAGCGAGCTTGTCGAACGTACCTTCGTGATCTACAGGCAAGGAAACGACGAGGCTGCCAATTTGAGTCTCGCTGCGTGGCGTGTCGACGTGGGCCTGAAACACATGAGCAAAAGTCGTCTGCTGAACTCTGTCGAAAGTACATACCTTGAACTTTCCACTCGGGGCGCTGTACACATTGAGCTTGTACAGCTCAGCCTGCAGGGCCATCAGACTCTGTTCTTTGAGAAACACCCCAACAGACTCACCTTGATGCTGCAGTGGTGCAGGTCCTGCTTGGTCTGCGGCACCAGGAGCTGCGATACAACATCGATGATGCCGGCTTCGTACGGGCAGAAGGTCGTCGCAAACGCAGACCTGTCGAGCTTGCCAGCTTTGCGATAGTCCTCGTCGTGAACCTCCTCGTTGCCACGTCCGAAGGAAGCAGGTTGGCATTCGTCGACGAGGGCGTTGAGCTCCCCCATGGAGGCGCTGTCTTGCGGGAGGCTCAGAACGACGCCCCTGCCGTTCTCGCCAAAGCGGATCTGGATGGCGTCAATAGCATTGCCAGCATCTTGTTGGTCGGCGACACCTTTCGTCTTGAACGGGACACATCCACCGCAAGCAAACGTGGCAGAGCGAGCGTGGGCCTTGACGGACGACTTGAGCTCCTTCAAGAACTTGAGCTCCGTTTGGGCATACTCGTTCTCCTTCTCATCACGCTGGCACTTCCGCTCGACTTTTGCGGCTTCTTTGGCGGCGGCACGGTCGGCTTTGGCTTGGGCTTTGTCTGCGGCCTTGTTCAGCTGGTCCTCGGTCGGGGGCAGTCGAGCTTGTTCCGCAATGTTGGAGGTTCTGGAGGGTGGATGAACGTTGGGTAAGAGGGAGTTTTGAGAGGAGAAGTTAGTGAGGGCAGGTGGTGTTACCTGAGCAGGCAGGGCAGGCAGACGCTTGCAAACGGCATGTTGCTACTTCAAACGGCGCGTCGTGATGAGCGGATATCCGCAGAATGCATCGCGGCTCTCAATAAGGCCGTGCAGTGCGTTTCCGTGTCTTCGTCCATCTCAGCCAGCAGTTGTCTGTTCACGATATCTGTATCATTTCCTTCTTGCATTTTGACGGTCCAAAAGACCGAGGCAACGAAAGTCCACGTAGTGACTCAACTTTGGCGACATACTCAGGCAGTGTATCAATTCGAAAGCGTACCCATAAACCCCCACCCACCTGCCCGAACCCGCATCGCCGAAGCGCAGACTATGCAACAAGAAGCATCCAGGATGAGGTATCGTGGACATATCCGTGTAACTTCACACTGTACCAAGTGCGTTAACTCTGCTTCACTTTGTGGCTGTCTGTGGTATTCTGTGGCCGAAAGGAGCGAAAGAGCTAATGCAGCCATGCTGATGCGTTGGCATTGATGTCGGCAGTGGATGTCGAGATCCACTCTGCTTCTGAACATGCCCATCAGCAATCTGCCGCTTCTATTTGTTACACAACATTGGTGGGTGTTGACAATCTACCAGCAATGGCTACGATGACAGAGACGATCCAGCTGTCACCGTTTCGCCATGTGCCGGAGACGAAGCATGAACGTAGGTGCACTCTTTGATGATCTTATCAGTTGTGCCATATCGAAACGTCTTCTGACATGTCTCAGTCGATTGGGCAGAGCTAGCAACTCTTGATCTTGCTGCATTCGATGAGCCTGGTGGCAAGGCAAGGCTCGCAAAGCAACTGCATCACGCTGTTCAGAACGTAGGTCAGTGAAGTGCTCAAAACCCTTCATCAACATACATACTTACCTGCAAGCCAACAGGATTCTTCTACATCACCAACACCGGCCTGACCCAAGAGCAAATCGACCGTCAATTCGCCATCGGCAAGTCGTTCTTCGATTCGCCCCACGACGACAAGATCAAGCATCGAGCCGACCTCGAACACGGCAACAACTTTGGCTACACACCGCTTGGCATCCGCGAGATCAGCCCGGGAGCGTTCAACAACTGGGAAGTCCTGAACCTTCCCAAGTTCACTCCAGCTTACGAGGCAGACCGGCCGCAGCCCGGCATCATTGCGGCGCATCGACAGGAGGTGGAGCACTTTGCCCGACATATCCATGATCACATTGTGAAGAAGCTTCTAATCCTCTGTGCAATCATGCTGGAAGTGCCAGAAGACTACTTCGTGCAGACACATCGGTACGACGAGCGATCCAACTGCCATCTGCGGTATATGAAATACCATGCCGCCAACTCGCCTCAGAGTTCAAGGCTGGACGGGACTTGGTTCAAAGGTCACACTGACTTCGGATCCTTGACGCTCGTCTTTCGCCAGCCTGTCGCTGCACTCCAGGTGCTCTCGAGAGATGGCAGCTGGAAATGGGTCAAGTCCATGCCGGGCAGCATCACAGTCAATATTGGCGACACGCTCGAGTTGGTGACGAAGGGCTTTCTACCAAGTAGCATTCACCGGGTCGTTGCTCCACCGCCGGATCAGCGCGATGTTGACCGTCTTTGCCTCATGTACTTCGTTCGGCCTGAGGATCAAATGGAGCTGAAATCTGTCAGTAGTCCGGTTTTGGAGAAGTCAGCGCTGCAGGCTCAACCAGGTCTCGACGCAGGTTTCACCGCGGCTGAGTGGGTGAAGGCGCGGGTGTTGAGCGGGAGAGGGAAAGTCCAAAGCGAACAGAAGCAGGAGGAAGTCTTGCCTGGTATGCAGATCAAGTACCATGTCTGAGCTACGCGATTCAAAAGTCTTGCTTTTGAGTGATTCGTGAGAAAGGTCATACCGTTGTTCACGCGATTCCCCTAACTGCGAGCCAGAGGTCAGCGAAGAACGTTCTTTTGGGGCCCACACAACCACCCAGGCCTCGGAGAGAATAAGGACTCGGTTTTGAGAAGTCTTCAAGAGCGTTATGATAGTGGATAAGATGTCCTCAGAATCGGGAGACCTGTGCCTGTATTTTCACCGCCCATTCAGGTCTTGAGGCACAATCAGATGGCCATGTCACTCATGGAGATACTGATTCTCGCCTGAGGTTTCTCGAATCTCCTCAACAGCCTCTCACTGCTCATCAGCCCAATACTCCTGCCCAACGCTGCGACATGCAGATCCCGTAACGCAGTAGAAGTCCCCAGCCCCCGAGTTGTCATTGGTCGGCGATGTGTAGGTGATGTCCTTTTCATCACATCCAGTGCAGGTATCGCAAAGGGACCTTCGAACAGTGTACTATCACGCCTATCAGTTCGCAGAGCCGCATCGACAGAAGATTCTTCATGACTGACCTCCTTGAAGCGTTTGCCAAACCACACGCAGCCTGTCTCGCCACTGTCGACGTCACATTCGTAATTCGTCCCGGTCGTCCAGGACATCTGAACTTCGAAGCCGGCGGAAGCGAACTCGGTCTGAACACTGGCCGACCATGTGAAGGAGTATCCTTCCTGGACGCTGTACCCCGCGGTGCAGGATGTAGCGGCGCCGCAGCTGATGTTGTCCTGTAGACATGACTTGATCAGCATAACATGTCCGCGGTAAGTCTGTTCGTTACTGACGGTCAGCTGCCGATGCTTGTATCGGTCTCTTTCCGACAGCGTCTCTTCGCGATCCGAGAAAATGCATTGTGCACAGCCGGTGCACTGTCTCTCAGACAGCGTGTTGTTGGGATCTGTAGGGAACCCGAGCGAGAGGGGAAGGCACGCAGCGATGAGACTCAGATAGAAGCGCATTTTGCCGACTTGAAGGCGAGTCTGAACAACGATCGAAGTGAACGGGACTTTGAAGGGAGGTGATGATGACAAGAACCTCTGTCGGCTCTTGATTAGCTTTTATATCTTTGAGAATCAAATTACCAGCAGTCGTAGCTTCCAGTGTGCAACGGAAGGCTGTGTTCTTTGAAGGCGGCCTCCTTATGATCCAATTCTGTCGGGAGCTGATCTTGAAACATTTCAGGCGAAGCCATGTGCGACTCTTGGCCTGGGCCGGTGTAGATATGCAGTTGTCGTACGCATACACTGCGCCCGTAAAGGCATTGTGATGCCTTTGGAAGATTTCCAGATAGCTGTTGGACGTCAAAAGTGTCCGAAATGGCGAAGCATCTTCAAACAATGATAACAGCAGAAAGCATAGTCCAGCGGGACACTCGAGCACACCAGCCTTGGTGAGAGGTTCGCGGCTCGCCGGGGTCACACAATCCAAGGCTGAAGGATCAGTCTGTATCAGCGTTCGATTCTCCCCAGGGCTAATTGAGGATTGTGCGACAGGCCTCGCGTCAGTCTTCCTCATGGGAGAATATCTCTTGGCGGCTGCTCCTGTCCGACTTGCAGAAGACTGGATGTGCTGCTGTGTCTCCCATGCTCAGCAGATCTCCTCATCTCGACACTGGAGCTGGGCAGTAATGTCCCAGGCCCGCATCCGAGAATGGGGCCATTCCGGTCTCTCAGTAACCTTTCTCTGCATTTCTGTTGAGCCAGACCAAGCTTTGAGATCCCTTCTGATGCGCTCGCTCCATAGGCCAGAAGATGCATCGGCTCCATGAGTTCCCACGATGGATCCGTGAGCCCTTCCGCGTCTCCCTTTCGATCTCTTCTTCGCACCACAGATGACGCTCGCAGCCAGCGCCAGGCCTGCAAGATGGTGCATAGTAAGATCAAACAGGCCATACACAACGCGAGGATCGTAACATCTTTGATCTCGACCACTACTACATACCGATGTTCGTATGTTTTGTGGCTGATGGGAGTGCTTCCAGCGATGTCCGGGTTGGTCGCGCTCCACGCAGTCAAAACAATGGCCACGATCTGGGACAGAATATACTCAAGCGGTGACATGTCGAAGGCCACCATACGATCATAATCTGGACCAGATTTGGCCAGGTAATCCGTATTGAGAAGTTTGCTGTACCCGTCGCCGACGTTGTTTGACTGCGTAGCTTTCTCGAAAGCATAGTCGAGCCATCCCATGGGGTTCTTCTTGCCGTTTTCTCGACAAGTTTGGTTGGTGGCATTAGCACTCATGACACCGCCATTGAGCGTAAAGTTGACCCATTTCCAGGAGTACGTCTGGTCATTGTAAGGTGCATCGCAGAGCGCGGTGAACTGTGTCTCGTTGTAGGTCTCGTTCGTGTACGGTGCTGGGTTGCCAGTGGTCAACCGTGACAGAATATCGGCGTAAAGACCCGATCCCGTTAATACCGTGAGAGAGGTGTCTTCAGGCTTCTTGCTACGGGAAACAACCATGGTCCCGTTGTTCTGGCTCGTCACCACATAAGTCTGGTTGTAATCTGTGTCTGGGTTGATGCTGATCTCATACATGTCCAATGTGATTCCGAGATAGGTGTCTGGGCGTGAAGTGATGTATGTGTATTTCGCTCTGCTGTCATCGTCAACAGGCGCGCAGGTCACAAGGTTCGGTTTCAAAACAGGCAGACAGTATTGAGCCTCCTCGTTGCCAAACTTGCTTGATAATGTTTGATTGGCGAAATGCTTCATGGCGTCAACGGGCAAAGCTTGAGTTCCATCTGGTCCAGAAAATGTAACGTTGCCAAACGTGAACGGGGTATGTGTGATGAGCTGCGATGTCAAGGCACTGGATGCCAGCCCGTATGTGCAATTTGCGGCCGTCAAAGACTCTCTGCAGGCATCTGGGAATTCCGGTATGTCGATGCCCAGAGTCAAGTTGACATTAGAGGTGTTGTTCGAGTATGGCATCAATCGTGCATCAATCACAAAGATCAGAGACAGCACCCAAGACATGGTGCTGAATGCCGCTATTGCGATAGCGCAAGGCCCAGAGACCCTCCAGAGAGGTCCATTATGCCAGGACAGTCCAATCAGGCCAATAACATCTTTCCTCGACACTCCTGAGCGGGTCTCCAGTCGGGCGAATGTGAGAGTCCCCTCCTTGAATTCAGCTGAGGCTTCGACATTGTTGGTGATTCTAAGATGATGTCAGTTTCGCTGAGAAGCCACTGAGATGAAAGACTTACGAGAGACAATGCGAGAAAATCACCGAAACCAACAATGCCACCGCAATGACAACGAAATTGACATATTGCTGCGTTGTTTTCAACGAGTATGTCGCTGGTATAGACCACGGTGAATAGGAAAACACCGGAAACAGAGCTACCGTAGTCGCAGCAAGCAGTATAGAGAGGATATGAGTAGAGCCATCGTACCAGAAGCGATGATCTCGGGGCGTGCTTGACTTCTGGAGCGGAGTATAGGAGCTCATGGGAGCAAGGCGGCTCTGCGATGGGTGTCACGTTACCAGCAGAGTGTGATATCGCAGTCCTTCTCCCGATAGGTGATTTGCTCGACTGAGAATAGATGCAAGGCATAAGTACCAGACAGGGTGGCGGCCTCGCTCAGCTCGAAGGATCGAAAACATCCTAAATAGAAGCTGAGCGTATGCCACTTCGGTTATGGCCAAATCGCTAGCCCTTGTCGTGGGGGCCAACATGGTGCACCAATACATTTCGAACAAGCTGATGGAAGCTGAGCGGCAGAGCTATGTTAATTACTGCAAAGTAGGTTGCAAGTTGGATTGCATAATAGCATGTGATCTTGTCGCTGCATGCATCGGGTGGCGAGCCGGACTTCTGGGGCTGAGAACGCGAGTATTGCGACATTGACTCCCACCTATCTGGAGCAAAATTGAAGTGAATGTACTAGCATCAATACTCGCGTCTCGTGTGATGGAGGTATAAGACTCTGAGACGGCCTGACGCTGCCATCTCGACGAATGTTCCAGTTCCGCATGTCCTGGTCATCTCATTCCTCAAGTGTGTGCTGGCAAGGCTGAAGCTGAGAGGAGTTCTGTCTCCAACAAATGGTTCGTGATCAAGCGACATGCTGTGTCACGATGTAATGATGCGATACTCGATGAAGGGTGAAGTGTTCAAAGAAGTAGAGGACGTCCCTGAGGGCATGGTCTGTGCACGCTCGAAGAAGACTAGCCTTTCCAACCTCCTCCTTTTGCTCCTGATTTCTCCTTCTTCTCTCACCACTACTCCTTTTCTTGATCCCATCGACATCGTCCACAGTAGCACTCAGGAGCTGGTTATCGTCAATCCAAAGCTTTGCTTATCACGTCGCACTTGACGTCGTCCATACCAAGCCAAGACGCCAACACAGTGCACAGCCACCTCGCCATGCAAGACACTGCCACATGTCGTCAGGTAATCTATCAGAGAGGGCTACGCGAGCCTCCACAAGAGATACCAAGAGACCAACTGCAATATTGAGCGAATCAACGTCTTGTGGCGTCACCGCAACACCCACTTCACTGCCCGGATACGATGACTGCTCTCGGACTTCTTGAGGCCTTTTCTGCCTTGTAAGGCGGCGATGTTTGTAAGTGTCCCTGTTTGGTCTCGAGACAAAGGAAGTCGTAGTCCCAAAATCTTCTCGTTCTTTGTTCAAAGTACTTCGCATTCCGAGGCATCCACGCATTGCTCAAGCATTCCCGCGCTCTTTTGTACCGAGCCGACGAACAGTCGAAATCATTCTTCACGAGTCTCGGCGGAAAGCCCTAAGTCCAGAAAATGGGCATCATGGCAGATTCGAAAGACATTGTCGTAGAGACATCGAGTCTGTCACAATGCTCTACAAAGGTCGATTCTCAGCAAGGGGAAGGCAAAGCAGCCTCGTCTTCCGCGAACCCATGCAAGAAGCGAAGCATCTTCAAGCGAGAAGAGAAAAAGCCAATTCCAGAATGGAAGCTCGAACAGGAGAGGAAGTTCAAAGAGTGGAATAAATCTATGTAAGTCCTGTACTCTCGACCCATGGATGAATCCTGCCCTAAGACGAGTTGCTGCAGGGACAAGCAGCGAAGCACTGTCGGCTTTTTTACCGACTTCTACAAACCCAGAGAGGGAAAGAACAAAAGTTTCTGGGTTTGGTGGATGTAGAAACAGATCCGATATGCTGTCTACGAACGGGGCGGATTTCGCGAAGCAAGCCGAGATGCGTCATTTGAAACCTCAACGAAAGGCGAGGTCATTCATGATTCTTCATTATTATCTCTTTCAAACGCCATCTTACCAGGCGCTTCACAGAAACGATGGGATCAGCACCACCCAAGCCGCAAATCTACTGCCATACAATCGACCGCAACAACTCCACCGAAGAAGCCATCGCCAGCTTCTTCGCCCTCGGCCAAGAAGTGTTCAGCAAGTTCGAACGCGGCAATCCACCATCGAGCCACCTCTCAACATGGGGAAACTACATCCAAATTGAAGACGCCATGGTTGCCTACACCACACAGGAGCCCGAACCAAATCCATCGAAAGCACTAGGCCTCTTCTTCTCCCTCCCACGCACTCACTCTCAGGTCGGATATGAGTTACCACACATATGGATTGCAGCCGTTAAGGAACCATATCGGGGTCTCGGTATGTTTCCCATCCTCATGAACCGAGTCAAGCAACACGCCCGCGAGTGCGGTCATAGGGAGATGACAGTCTGCACATACCCCGAGCGGATGGAGAAGATGTACAGACTCCTACGCCAGGACGGATGGGACGAGATCGGCAGAACAGAAAACGGCGCCAAAGTCGTCATGAAGCTCGCATTGTAGAAATACTCACAACCCACTACATCGCCGCCTTCTCCTCCCCCTTCTCCTCCGGAAACTGCAACGCCAACTCCTCATCCACCAACGCCCTCCTCACGCCCTCCAACCTCTCCACATTCCTCACCACCCCCGCAAACCTCTCAACCTCCCCTTCTCAAGCTGCAAATTCCCCATCCACCGCCAAATCACATGCAAGAAGAAATCCACCACCGTCACGCCCTCCCCCACCGCGTGCTCGCCCTCAACACTCTCCTCAATCCTCTCAAGACACCCCATCACCTTCTCCAGCACCTTCCTCTTCACCCCCTCATACGCCCCCTCCTCATCGGAGAATCTATACGGTCTTAAATACCCCCCAACACCCTGCCCATGCAACACCCCCGACAACCACGCCATCCACTCGAGCACCTTCGCCTTCTCCCACTCGCTGCGCCCCAGCATCCCCCTCTCCGGCCTCAAACTCGCGATGTAGGTCAAAACCGCCGGGTTCTCTGTCAGAGTCTTCCCGTCGACGACGAGCGCGGGCACGAGGCCCATGTGGTGGATATTCTGCTTGTACCATTCGTGTGTGAATGTTTCGTCCGCGGAGGTGAAGAGGCCGGTGGTTGGGGTGCGGGTCATGCGGATGCGTGTGAAGGGGAGGGAGAGTTCGATCAGCAGGGCGTGGGCGGCGAAGGCGCAGGTGCCGTTTAGTTGGTAGAGGGTTAGGGAGGGTGTTGGTGAGGGCATGTTTGTGATGTTTGAGTTGGACTTGGTTGGAGGTTGTATTGGGATTATGGCGAGTTGATCGTGTGGTCTTCTTGTCTTACAATTTTGCAATCCCACGCCCTTTATATACACAACCTCTCTATTTACTTCTACTCCGTCCGCACATGTGACACGAATCCCCATCACACTCGAATCTACTTCAGCTCCAGCCCTAGCCACCACTCAGCCTGGATCCAGCTACCCTTGCGAGCCGACAAAAGTATTCAATCCGCCAGCAAATAGGGCACTTACTCAGCCAGAATGGCAGGTAGACAAGAGAATACGGCGACGGCGACGGACACGTATAGCCCTCACACTTCTTTTCCGGTGCCGCTTCGAAGCTGCGCGGATGTAATAGGTATCGATTGATGGCGTATCCCCGAGGCGGTAGGTGAACACCACGACAAGGACATGATAGAGTCGATGATATGAAGATCGAAGGAATGATAACATGAATGGGGTGAGAAACAGCGGTAGAATTCTCCCACTGCTCTATCTATCCTTCGCAGCCCGATCCATTCAGGGTGCTACTCTTCACTGTACACAATGAGCATAATGCATTACACTTTAAACAAAACCACATCTCTTCTTTCTGTGGCAAGAACGACGACCACCAGATCGAACAAAGATCTCTTCCAAGTTGGAGTTGATCGGATATAGAAGATGAAATGTCCAGCCGTCTTGTTCTGCCAGTCGGTCATTCATAAAAACAAAGGTTTTCAGTCCCGTGGGTCCCGTTAGAGATAGTTGATGGAAAAACACACACAGCAGCGCCGACGCTCGCATAAAGCCATCCATTACGAATACGTTTTGGGTCTTGTTGGGTATCTGAGAGAGAAAGCAATTTCGAAAAACGCTTCCTTCCCTCTTTTACACGCCAGAATCATCAACGACAATGTCGAACTTCTTGGTGTACTCGTGCCACTTGGAGCACGTCCCATCGAGCTGACAGCTGTTCTTGACCGTCTTCTTAATCTCGTCCTGCGCCTCGATGATCTGCAGCGCGAAGCCCATGGACGTGTGCCAGCCGATGTGGCAGTGCATGAGCCAGACACCCGGGTTGTCCGTCTCGAACGCGAGCACCAAGTGCCCGCCCGTGCCGCCGACGGGGTCCCATGGCATGAGCGCGACGTCGCGACGGGGCGGGTTGACGGTGTTGAGGGTGACGTCGCTGTTGTAGAGACCCTTGCCTTGGGCGAGGACGAGGAAGTCGTGCCCGTGCAAGTGGATGGGGTGAGGGAGCGGGATGGGCGAGTCGATGATGACGTAGACCCATTCTTTGAGCTTGGGGACTGTGATGGCGAGGTCGCCCGAGTAGGTGGGGATGGAGCCGTTGTTGACGATGTTGGTGAGGGTTGGGTCGCCCCATTGCGATTGGAAGGTGGTGCCGGAGAGGGTCCACTTGAAGAGGTTGGGGACGCCGCCGTTGGCGCCGATGACGACGGTCTTCTCGATTGTTTGGTCGGCGGAGGCGCCTGCGGTGAGAGGGACGCGAGGTACAAGCTTCTCGTAGGGTTCGTCGATACATTCGGCGGTGTAGTTGTAGGCAGTCGACGTTGGTGGGCCGTATGAGGCACCGACGTAGCTGACGATACCCTTGATGTTGTCGGCGTAGGTGATGGCGGCGCAGAGGTTCTGGTTATCAGAGCGCATCCAGTAGTTGTCAATGGGTTGATCAGCCTTGAAGAGGAGATCGTAGCGCTGGCCGATGTTGATGTTGACGATGGTGGTCTCGTAGGGAATGATTGGGACAAAGTCCATAGCGAAGACCTTGAACTTGTGACCGTCGATGTAGAACTTGAAAGTGGACTGAATGGCGGTGTTGACAAGACGCAGGCGGTAGGTCTTACCCTGGATGACAGTCATCTTGAATCGTTGACCAGTAGCGTTGGCGGCGCCATCGACACCCCAGACGTTCACACCGTTGATGAGACCAGTGTCGAGCGTTCGTGGGCCATGGTCTGGCGCGGGACCGACGGTCTGAGCAGATTGATACATTGAGTCAGCAGTGGCGTGCGACCAATCCTGAACAACGATCATCTGCTCGTCGTCGTAGACCTCGTCAGTTGGGCCATGGATGACCATTGGACCGAAAACACCCTCGTAGGTCTGCAGGGCAAAGTGAGAGTGGTACCAGGACGTGCCGTAGTTGCTGGCCTTGAAGGTGTAGGTAAAAGAGTCACCAGGGGCGACAGCGCACTGGGTGATGGATGGGACACCGTCCATTTCGTTGGTGTAGTTCTGACGAATGCCGTGGAAATGGAGCGAAGTGCCGTTGTTCTGCATTGAGTTCTTGAGGTGAACGATGATAGTGTCACCCCAGTTCGCCTCAATCTTGGGTCCGGGCATCTGGCCGTTGATGACGAGGCCGACACGCGAGATACCATCAGGGGCGACAGTCTGGTTTGTGATCTCGAAGTAGTACTCGACAGTACGGCAAGTCTTGGGCATCACCTCGTAGGAGTTGTCGTCGATCGTGTAACCGCAGAACTTGTCCAAGCCGGGCTGGCCTTGGCAAGGAATGCAGAGATGGTCGAGCAGGCTCGGGGTTGGCTTGGTGCATGCAGAGCTGGTGGTCGAGGTGTGGTAAGACGATGGAGCAGTGCCCGAGCTGCCTGGAGCGGAAGTAGTGGTGTTGCCAGCAGGGAAGCTCTGCGATGGCGTGTGGGTTGGAATGAAGCCGCTGCTTCCAGGAGCAGAAGTTGTGGCGTTGGCATTTGGCAGAGTCAAAGAAGGCGTGTGAGTTGGGATCCAGCCGCTGCTGCCCGGAGTTGAAATCGTGGTGTTGATGTTGGGCAGGCTCAACGATGGAGTGTGAGTCGGGATCCAGCCACTGCTTCCTGGCCATGAAGATGTAGCGTTGATGTCGGGCAGACTTACAGATGGCGTGTGGGTTGGAATCCATCCACTGCTACCTGGCAACGAGATCGTCGTGTTGATACCTGGCAAGCTCAGCGAAGGCGTACGGGTAGGGATGATGCCACCAGTGCGAGTCGCCGAGGTGGTGGTGTTGCTCGCCGTAGACGACTCGGACCAAGTCGACGATCCTGTTGGATGGATGCTGTGGGAGCCAGTTCCAGTGGGCAACCAGGTGCTATGCGACTCCGAGCCCGTGGGCTGAACGCGGTGCGAGCTGGATGGTGCACTGCCTGAAGGCGATCCACCGCCGATGCTAGTGCCTGAAGTCGATCCGCTGGTCCAGGAAGAGTGACCTGGCGCAGTGCCAGATGGATGGGCTGATCCAGTCTCAGAGGACGAGCCGCCTTCAGTCGTTGTTGGGTACCATGCGCCAGTGCTCGACTTGGAGCTGCCGGGTCCGATTGGGATGGCGCCAGTTGAGGAAGAAGTCTCGGAACAAGAGGTGGAAGTCGTAGCTGGAACAGTGTAAGAGAACAAGGTCGTGCCCCATGTTACGGTACTCCAGATGGTAGAATCTCCGCCGCTGGGAGTAGATGCTGAAGATGCAGTAGAAACGACAATGGTTGAAGTGTAGACAGAAGTAACCGTGGAAGTGGTCTGGTAAGTCTTCGTGGTCAAAGAGCCGCCGTGGGAGTAGGTCGTGGTTGCTGGGCAGACGGTCGTGTACTTGGTGGTGTACTCAGTGAGGGTGGTCTTGCCGCTGCCCTCGGACTTGGATGGGCTGTAGCCAGCTGGTCCAGTGGGCTGCTCAAGAGTCACTGTCGAGGTGTACACCGACGTCACGGTCGAGGTGGCCTCGTACGTCTTGGTGAGCGTGGTCTCGCCATGTGCCTCAATGCTTGTTGCTGGGTACGCAGTAACGTAGATGGTGGTGACCTCCTTGAGAGTGGTAGATGGGTAAGCCTCTCCGCCACCAATCGAGGTTGGCTTGCTTGGAGAAGATCCTCCAGGGCTAGCCGGGTGCTCCAACGTGCATGTCGACTTGTAGACGGATGTCACAGTCGACGTGGTTTGGTATGTCCGGGTGATGGTGGTGTGGTCCTGAACTGCCGTCGTCGTTGCTGGGCATACAGTAGTATAAATAGTCGTCACATCTTTGACGGTGGTGGTTGGGTATGCGCCAGGGCCGTTGGGCGATCCCTCACCCTTGGAAGGGTATGCGGTAATCGTTGAGGTGTACACATCCGTGATGGTCGAATAGGTCCAGTACGTCGAAAGCGAAGTTGAACCACCGACTGCGTGAGTCTCCGTTGCCGGGCAGTATGTAGTGTAAATCGTGGTTACCTCTGTCACCGTGGTGCTTGGGTAGGAGCCTGCGCCGGTCGCGGTTGGTCCATAAGATGTCGAGTTGCCACTGAAAGAATATGCGTAGGATGAAGGCGCCGAAGGGCTGGTCGAAGAAGAGGTCTCGAGGCTGGAAGATGCCTCGGACTTGTGGTACGGTGAAGGCTTCTGATAGTAATGTGGCGCTGCCTGCTCTGGCTGGTAACTTGGGTACTCTTTGGCATGATTGTTAATGAAGTCGCTCCAGCGACGCCCCGGCGCTGCCAAGGCAGTGCTGGCCAGGGCGGCCAACGACCAGAACGCGGTCCTCATCGTCCAGGAACAAAAAACGAAGGCAGCGAACGACTAAACGAATAGCGATCGTCTGGGAAGAAATAAAATGTACGTAGCAACAACTCAGGCTCTTAACGAGTGAAGCCTGGTGCTAAGAAAGAAGAGACAGAATGTCCAACGGTTCGAGTGTTGAAGAAGATCGTACAGAAGAGACACTAACGAGGGATAGAACCGACTTATCTGTACGCAGGCGCGCCTTGGGTCGAGAGCAAGACAGCTGGTCCGTTCATGGCGAAAGCGCCTGGTCAGTGGTGATGGTGCCCCCTAGAGCGCATCCTGTTGTGGCCGTGATAGACGAGGTTGGACTCCACTGCCATGTGCTTGACCAGTGCGCCGAGCGCAGCATGCCTGATCAAGGCAAGAATCGGTACGAATGCTAGCGTGTCGCCGTGTGGTCGAGTGAGGTTGAGCGCCGCAGGATGCCACAGATTGGCTTTGGATTGGCGCCACCTCCCGTCTGGCTCAGCTGCCAGGCAAGGCTAGTTCCCGCCGTGGTTTTGAGCCTCCTGTTTCTAGAGTCCCATTCGGGAGATGATCAGGACCTCCGTCTCCCGTAAAGATGCACTTTGGCGCACGCCGGTTCTTCGCCGCCTCCTGGAGAGTATTGGAGGACCCTCTGTTCGGGCTGAACATGGGCGTCTTCACCCTGACTCGGCCAGGTACAACCACATTCTTCCAACCACGTTCCATGACGCCCCGAATAAAAGGATTGCTATTGCGGCTGGTTCTGCGACTGACAGCCGGTGACAGCTGCAACAACGTGGAACATGGGAGTTGTTCTGCGATGGTGGCCGCCATGTCCTGCCCTTTCGCAAACCAGGCAAGAAGTGGTAGATTGTCATTTCCACCCTTTGACGCCGTCAACGTCGCGGGCGTGCCGCCCGCTTTCAGCAACGCCTCAGTGTGCCGAGTCGCGTGCTGGAGCGGCCGACGTTTACAACGCACCAGATCAGCACATGTCGATGCTACATAGAAGAAGCAGCTGAAGAAGCGGAGGATCTGTCCCAATCTCCAATCCTTGCGTGCATCGTGGCCCATGTTGTGCGAGATGGCGGAGGCGCCAGGCTTAGCGACGTGATTTCTTCGGTCAACAGAGGCGCCAACAACAAATGGATGACTGATGATTGGGGTGAAGAGGCCCAAAAACAGAACAGAGGAGAAAGTACGAGAGGGCGGGATATCGTAGGGGTGGTTTGTTCTGATTGGACGACTGCGCTCGCTTCTCCTAGCTCTCCCGTCGCTCAAGCCTTTCTGGGCCGGCACCTTGACGGCACGCCTCCCGCGCCCTGGGAACTCTGCTGCGCGTTGGCAACTTCCACCAGACGTTGCACAGAAGACGACCGCAGAGTCCAACGCAGAAGACGGCTGTTGAGACCGGAAGTTTCTGGACGAGTCTACAAATCCAGCCCAAGCCTCCCGTCATCTCCATCATGTCTCTCGCAGAATCAACTCCAACAACAGTCCTCGACGAAGCACTGGAGATTGTTTCGAGGCGCTACTGGAGTACACCAACAAACACTCGCGAAGAATTGCCAGCAGTGTTCGGACTCGCTCTGTGCATGCTTCAATGGACTGGCGTATGCTCTGATGATACTCAAAGACTGTGGAAATCACCTCTCACCTGATCAAGAAGCCGTGTTCCAACATGAAGCCCTCCACAGCGTCAATCGCAACGACCTAGACGCTGGCCGTCGAACATGTCCACACCGGACGGCCACTTCGCGCCGGCCTGAATGGTATAGCGATTGCCCAGGTTTCAACACACATCCGCCAATGGCCGTCGTATCAGCCCTATCTCAATCAATCGATCAATCAACAATGCCTGCTGAAGATGTGAAATGGTGATGACATATCACTTTGCAATCCCAAATACCCGTCACGGACGGCTGTCGGCATCCCAACCAACAAGGCCCTCCCATGTCCACGATGCACGTCCGAGGAGGCTTAAAAAATAAACTTCAGGCCGGGGTGTTGCACGCGCGATGGCGCTAGACTTGGCTGCCGCATCTAATTTCGCTTCACGACAGGCCAACTGGAGGAGGCTCCGGACTTCTGTGCATTTTGCTTCTGTCACTTTTCACCACACAGACCTGTCGTTGACGCAGAGAATTTCTCCGTCTGCAAGCGACGCTCCTGGAGGATGACTCGGTGCCGAGAACGTGGCCTGAAGGGGTAATCATACCTCTGCTCGTTCTGGCTGTGGCGACTTCTCCTGTACGAGTTGAGATGAAAGGATGCACTTGCTCGTCTCGTCTGCAAGCCTCAGGTCACTGAGAGGAAAGATGTAGGCGCTATACACCAAGAATAATGTGATACCAAGAGACGACAGTGAAAAGAGACGAAAGTGAACAAGCACCAGCACTTCACCACAAATCCCGCAAACCCGACCAACACGCCGCTCTTCACCGGAGAAATTTGCACTCCAATACTTTCCACCACCGTTAGGCCACCTCCAACGGCTCCCCGAATGCCGAAGTTCGCTGCTTTCGCGTCACGGCCCAGATCCACCAGCACAGCAAACAGCCCAGGCTCGTTTCTCGTAACTTTTCCCTCGCGCACGCCGCGGCTGCTGGCCAATATACTAGGTTGGTCACGGTCCATCGAGGATGTGAGACATAACAACGGGCGACACGAGGCATGATGACTGCCACGTTGCGTGTCGAAACGGCGAAGGCGAGTTCTTCGTTTGTCGCTGACGATGATCTGTTGATCGAAGAGAACGTCGGCCTGGACGGTTCTTGCTGGACGGGCTCTTTACGAGAGGTAGGGTTTGGGTTCTGCGGGATCCGAATGTGAAGAGCGGGAAGTGTCCTCGCTTTTTTCCAACTGCCTTCCACGTTGTGCTGTGCTCAGTTGCCTGCCTCACCAAAGGAAAGATGTACGTGCCTCCCACATTCATCCATGGCACCTGAGAATGCAGACGACTCTTCCAGCAGCCATCATTCCTGTAAGGAGACAGAGCCGACGCTTCCACAATTCCTCTGACTGCTCGACCTTATCGGTTGTCAACAACGAATCGAGCCTTCAACTTTGATCGATACTTGCGACTCTTCCTTCCAGTCACCCTTGCTCGTCAAAGCCTACAGGAGAAGACGTAGCCAGCTATTCGGCCATCTCGGAAGGAGCAAAAGAACACAAGAGGTACGGCAGGCGGTCTACGAGCGGGGCGATGTGATGCGCTCTGCGAACTTCGTCTGATCGGGCAGACATTCTGCATCTGCCTTCGATCCTTGGGCTTTACCCATCTTCCCGACGTACCTCTGGACAATGAGATAGCCGGAACGAGCTCAATCCGTCGATCAGCGAAGGCCTGATATTATTATACCAAGACCTGGAGGAAGGTAAGTCGCACCCAAGTGACGTGGTCCAAGCGCTCAACGAAGCATCATTCGTTCGTTCCCCAGCGGTGTACCGGCAATGTCCTTGTTCTTCGTACACATGCAAAGCCGGACACTCCGCTGACATTGGAACATTCATCCTTCGATCCCAATCAGTGGGAAGTGATCTGACGAATTGGAACTACAACCGTCACTGTAGTTGCTAGCAAGTTCGAAAAGGGATGGTTAGAACCTGAATTCCATATTGCTCGGATTAAGAAGGGAGGCTATTACCAACCTTTTGTGTTTCTGTCTTTCGTAACCAGCGTTATGTAAGCCCTACCCTACATCAAACCCTGCATTGCGGGGGTCGTCCGACGTGATCGACAGCAGCGTGGCTTGAGACAGACAGGCAGGCCACTTCAGCTGCCAGCGCCTTACCGACATAGCAAGCGTTGTGTTCCCCTCCATTTCCTCCCGCCACGGAACCAGCAACCCTCTGCTCGCATGGTCCATCCCTGATACCATGAAGAGCACAACCCCCCAGTGACGAACATCCACCATAGCCGAACCGCACCAGCCGAGACCGAGGCGCAAGAACGAAGAAAGCCTCACAGATCACCCAAAAAAACCGTCCAATTCTACCCTCACCCTACCCCAAATCGAGCATGATACACCCGCCACCATGGACGCCAACGCCGAGATCCCCGCCCACCGCGCCTGCGCCGCATGTAGAGGCCAGAAAGTGCGCTGCATCCCCGACGAAAGCAACCCGGACATCTGCCAGCGCTGCGCGCGCTCCGGCCGGACATGCGTCTTCACGCCGCTGATGAAGCGCAAGCAGCGCAAGAGGACGGACACGCGGGTTGCGGAGCTGGAGAGGGAGATGAGGGCGATGCGCGCGGCGTTGCAGCAGAAGAACGAGGCGGCGCGAGGGGGAGCCGCGGGGAGTAAGAGTCCGGGGTCGGAGGCGCAGCAGAAGAGGACGAGCGAGCCGGTCGGGCTATGGTATAGGGATACGAAGCCTGATGGGGTGGCGACGGGGCCGGCGGGGAACTGGGAGTTTGGCGGGGAGGAGAGGAGTGCGATGGCGAGGGTGCAGAGGGCGGGACCGCAGCTGTGGCCTTCTGGGTTCAAGAATGGGCCTCTGCAGGATGTGAAAGATGTGGTGGATAGTGGGATGATCAGCATGGCGACGGCGAGACACCTTTTTGAGAGCTACAGGTCGGATGTGTTTCCTCATTATCCTATGGTTGCGATCCCGAACGATATCACGGCGGAGCAGATGCGTGCGACGAAGCCCGCGCTGTTTCTGGCGATTATTGCTGCGAGTGCTGGGAAGGAGAATTCGGAGCTTTCGGCGGCGTTGGATAAGGAGGTGTTGCAGGCGTATGCGACGAGGAGTCTGGTCCAGTCAGAGAAGAGCTTGGAGCTGGTGCAGGCGTTACTGGTCTCGGCAGTGTGGTATCATCCTCCCAGCAAGTTTGGGCAGTTGAAGTACTACGAGTACATTCATATGGCCGCGACGATGGCGATGGATATTGGGATCGGGACCAGGCCGACGCAGCATCGATCAGGGCGGTTCGCCAAGAGGGAGTCACGGCCGAGGACGATTCATCCTGCAGAGGATGTGAACAACCCAGATCTGAGCATGACGCCACGTTCGAGAGATTCTAGTCCAGATACGGCCAGCATTGAAGCGAGGAGGACCTTTCTCGCCGTTTACATCATCTGTGTGGGTGTGAGCATGAGCTTGAGGAGGCCGAATACGCTGCGGTGTTCGAGCTATATTCGAGAATCTGTGGACTATCTCGAGAGGTCGCCTAATGCAATACCGACGGACAGGACGCTGGTGGCGTGGACGAGACTAATTATGATTGCGGAGGAGATCAGCTCGTCTTGGTGTTATGACGACCCTGGTGGTATTGCATCGATTACTGAGCTGAGAACGCAGTTGATGATGAAGGATTTCGAGAAACGACTCACTGCGTGGTACACAAATCTGCCGGAAACAGACGTTGGAACTGGAGCGATGATGATCATGTACCACACCATTCGACTGTACCTCTTCGAAATCGCGTTGCATATCGACCATTCATCAGAAGACTTTAAGGCGCCATACCAGATGGGTGGCATACAGCCGTACCCGATTGAAGAGGAGGTACCGACTCAAGTGCTAGCGGACGCTATCGCAAACTGTATCCAGACTTCACATTCGCTGCTCAATACCTTTCTGGCCATGGACGTCGAGGGCTGCAGGTCATTACCGGTCTTTAGTTACGTGAGGATATCTTTTGCAGCGTTCGTCCTGGCGAAGCTGTGTTTGTCGGCAGCGCATCCACGGAGCCGGATAGCAAAGGTACTGGACAGGAGCAGTCTGAAGGTAGAGACCTACATGGATCGTGCTATCCTCCATGTGAGGAATATCGTGGGCGTCAAGCGAAGTCGTGTGCCTTCAATATTCCTCGCGCTGCTGTTCAAGCTACGGCAATGGTGTCTAAACCCGGATATCATCGATCATTTCGAGGACGAGCCGGCCCAGTCGAATCAAATCGAGGATGGGCATGACATGTCCAGCCGAATGATCCAGGATAAGGTGTCAGGAGGAATCATTGAGTTGGACGGCGCACGAATCACGGAGCAAATCAGTAGCAGCGAAAGCTCGCCGCAAGCCTTCAACACCCAGGGCCAGACTGCTGCTAACTCGTCGACTTTAGCACCGATAGATGAAATGACCTTCGTCCAAGGCGTCACACCCGTCTCACAAAGCGATAGCGTGCAGTACGGCAGCGGTTCTGACGAGTCCACCAGCGGCGCCTTGCCAGCACAGCGGCAGCCCATGATCAACACGTCAGCGCCGTCGAATGATGCCCAGTGGCAAGCGACAGGTGACCCTATGGTCATGGATAACGAGCTGCTGCAATTCATTGCGCAGATGAACGAGGGCGTGGAAGGTGGCCTGACGGGTTTGGATGACTGGGCGAGCATACCGCTGGAGCAGATGGAGCAGATGAACTGGTCGATGGGACATGGAGCTACGAATCTGATGTGATCTATGCGCGAGATGTTATGACTGTATGTGTGGGATCGATATAGAGGATTGGATTTAGACGATGCTCAGCAAGAGGTGGTGCCTGAGGCTACAAACGGCATGTGAAAGTCCAGCCTTGGCAGGAGGTCAGATGAAACGCCAGCAGCAAACGGCCTCGAGGGTCATGACCGGTACGTGAATAGACGGACAATACAACACCAGCAGTGAATGACGAGTCACACATGCTAGAACACTCGGGCAGGCCCGGTTCATTCTTCGCGAAAAAGGGCGTATTGTGACCTCCCAGCCACAATAGCAAACGGCGACAATGCTTAGGAGCGGGCCTTGAATAGAGACAGCTCCATGTGACCAGCGCACAATAGACCCGACGCTTCGTGACTATTGTGTTATTGTGCACGCGCGCCGGCTATTGTGGGCGAGTGACTCTCCTGCTTAAGAACTCTCTTCTTGCTCGTTCTGTCTTGAACTTTCTTCCTTCTTTCTGTACGAACATTCGAGAGACTCTGAAGACCAGCACACATTGCACAGCAAGACCAACCAATCTCTACAAGCACAGCAAGACCACGAGACCTCTCTACAAGCACAAGAAGATCATCCACATCCACATTCGCAGGCCGAATACACAGATTCCACTTCTTCGTCGCCACGAGACTACAGACTCCTTTCACACATTTCCGACACACACTCAGGATCATCCATCATGTCTTCCTACAACCTCGACAACAACATGTCCACCAACAACGTCGACAGCATCATGTCCGACAACAACACCGACAGCATCATGACCAACGAGCAGAGCCTCAACAACACCGTCAACCCCTTCGCTCCACCACAAGCCTCCTCCTCCATCACCACCGCCCCTCCTGGCCCCCAGCGCCGCAAGATCAACAAAGACTTCACCAAAGACACCAAGACCAAGACCGCCAAGTGCAAGATCTGCGGCGACCGCATCAAGACCTTCTCGCACCAGTGTGGCACCTGCAAGCTCCGCATCTGCTCTGACTGCAGCGAGGCCGACGGCGCCAACACAGACGCTCACAAGGCTGTCGCGCGTGACTACCTCGACGAGGGCTGCTGGTGTGGCTTTGCGAGCAAGTTCAATCCGGCTTTCAAGGATCGTATGCCTGGTGTCAAGATGAGAGATGAGAGTACTGGCAAGACCAAGGCGGGTTCGAGTGCGGCTGCCTCTGGCTCTACTACTGGCAAGAGAAAGAGAACCAAGTCGAAGAAGGCGGTTGAAGCTGAGGCTGAAGCTTCTCCTGAGCTTGATGCTACCGCTGCTGGCGCCGAGTCCGAGAGTCCAGACAATCCTTTCAAGATCCGTACGCCAACTGCTGCGATGAGTACCGAGTACTTCTACGTTCAGCCTTCCAACAACAGCACGCTCCCAGAATCCAGATCTACGAACGATGCCGATGTCGAGTCTTCCAGCCCAGTTCAAGAAGCTCAAGAGCCACCACGAAAGCGTCGCAAGTCCAACGACTCGACTCCCAAGACCCCAGCAGACGACGTTCAAGATCCATTCCTCACGCAGCAAAACGCTGGCAACTCCTCCTCAAGCCTCTCGTCAGCACCATCTGTCCTGAACGATCCAGCTTCTGAGGCCATTGAAGCCGATCAGTCTCCGCAGTTGCAACGCAGCACCAGATCCTCCAACTCGAGCGAAAACATCGTCCTCGCTGGTCCACCTCCACCACAACAAGCTGAAGTCCAGACCTCAAGACCACGCAGAAGCACCAGAGCTCTTCGTGCGCAGCCCACTCCATCGACTCGCAAGACCAAGCAGCCAGCTCCTCCCGCACCCAAAGCGATCCCGCCTCCCGTCCTCGAAGACCACATCGTCATCATCGGCGCAGGCGCTATCGGCATGTTCACAGCCCTCCAACTCGCCCAGAAGTCCGCCAGCAAAGGCAAGAAGCAGAAGATCACAGTCGTCGACATCAACAGCGAGCCTTTCGCCCTGGCCTCCGGCCACAGCGCAGGTTTCCTCACCACACACGGCATGAAAGAGTCCTGCGACAAGCTCATGGCAGCCGCCATCAACGAGTGGAACGAGCTCACCCAGTCGGCCGACTTCCGCAAGGCTGTCAAGCTCTCCTCCGCCGTCTTCTCCCCCACCGACGACGAGAGCCTCGCCCCCTCAACTGCGCTGCCCTGGTTCCGCGCCGAAGAAGGCCGCTTCACCGCCGAAGACACCAACACCCTCGGCCTGCTTTCCCCCGCCTCTCTCTCCGCCTGGCTGTACCGATCATGCCAACGGCTCGGTGTGTTGTTCCGTTTCGACCACCAGCCCACGGAGATCAAGCGCGATCGCGCCGGCGTGATGACCGGCGTGATCATCAAGCACGCCGCCGAGGCCAAGAAGAAGCCAGAACTCCTCTCCTGCGCGCACCTGCTCCTCGCAGCAGGCGCTTTCACACCAGACCTCGCCGCCCGCCTCTTCCCCTCCGGCGCCCCTCGCCCCGCCGCCCAAGCGCTCCAGAGCGCCCAATGGGTGCGTTTCGACCACCTCCCCCTGCCCGCCACCACCACTACCGCCAAGCAAGGCGTGCTCCTCCCCCGAGGCGAGGCGAGTCCCATCTCCCTCATCTCGCACCCCGCCCGCCGCTCCGTCATCCTCTCGGCGGCGTGGCCGCTCGCCTCAGCCCGGAGACTGGGCGCCTACGACGCCCTGGCGAACCCCGTCCACGACGCCGCGGCGCTGCGCAAGCTCGCTGGTGAAGCCCTTGTCGTGGAGGGGGTGGACTTCAGCCGCATCGGCACGACCGATGCGTGCTATGTCAGCGCCAGGCCGGTCCTGGGTGAGGTGGGTGGGATGGGCGTGGGCGCGAGGGTGTGGCTGGCGTATGGGTTTGGGATGGTGGGCACCACGGTGGCGCCCGGGGTGGGCAAGGTGTTGGCGGAGAGGGTGCTGGGAGAGGGGAAGGGTAAGGTTGATTTGGGGGGTTTTGGGGGTGAGTGTGGGGTGGTGGGTGGTAAGGGCAAGGGCCGGGCGGTGTGAGCTTTGTTGGCGGGTTTGTTTGTAGATCTCCTTTGAGAGGCCGAATGAGAACTTGTTGGCTGCTTGAGTATTCTCACTTGTGTCTTTCTCTCCATATCTCACTGGTGTTCCAAAGGCTTGATGAAGCTCATGGTAGCGTCGAAGTACGATGAAAGATGGAGATTGACTATTAAGCAAAGCTATATCATCGTTACCAGCGCCCTCTGAAATACTTAGGCATCCTCACCTGCCCGTCCCTCTCCATATCCCGACTTTCTCCCAAGGCCTTAATGCACTTCATGATAGCGTAGAAGCACAATGAATGACGGAGGACTGCCCTCAAGAGAAGCCCTATCATCGTCGTCGCCGCCCTCTGAAATACTCCTCACTTGCCCGTTCCTCTCCATATCCCAGCCTTGTCCCAAGACTTTGATACACTTCATAATGGCATAGAAGTACGATGAAGGGAGGAGAATAAGTGTCAAGCAAAGCCATATCATCGCCGTCTCCGCCCTCTGGAATACTTAGGCATCCTCACTCGCTCGTTCCTCTCCATACCCCAACACTTTCCCACGGCGTTGATGAAGCTCATGATAGCGTAGAAACTCAATAAATTACGGAGAACAACAGTCAAACAAAGCTATATTATCGCCGTCTCTGTCGTTCAAAGTATTTGAGCATCTTCACTGAACCATTTCATCCATATGTCATCGTTGTTCCAAGGCCTCAATACAGTTCACGATAGCGTAGAAGCACGATGAATGGCGGGGAACAACCGTCAGGAAAAACCATACCATCGTCGTGTCTGTCATTTCAAATATCTCATTATCCTCACTCAACTATGTTCTCCATACCTTAGCGTTCTCCAAAGGACTTAATACCGTTCATAGTAGCGTAGAAATACCATAAATGGTGGAGTATAGCACTTCATCAGAGTCACGTCAATTCCACATCTATCTCTCCAACACCGCTATCGACCAGGCTGATGATGGTGCCTCGCATCGCTTGGTCTGCTGAAATGCAACTGGGATGGACGTTTCAAAAAGAAATGTTGATGTGACTTGTATGATTGTCAAGGAGAGGGTCCGGTGAAGCCCATGATAGCGGTGAAGTACCACGAATGACGGAGAAGAACTGTCAAGCAGAGCCATATCAATATTTCTCCTACTCTCCAACAATGCCTTCTCAACCAAGCTTCCTGTCGCATCTCGCATCTCTTGGTCTGACCGATTGCAATGGAGATGGACGTTCCAAGAGGGAATGTTCATTTTAACAGTATCTTCGTGAAGGAAAACAGTCTGATGCCGTTCATAATATAGTAGCTTCGAAGTGACCTGAACAATGCAGAGCAAACATTAAACAAAGCCATCTCCATCTCCATCTCACTCTCTCTCTCTCTCTCGCACATCTCAAGATACTGAGCTTCCCTCCGCATTGGGTATCGCTTGGAGCTCTGAATGATGATGGGGATCGAGGTCTTGACTTGTATGGAAAGAGAGCAGGTCGTCGCTGGGCGCAGTTCGTGGTAGCGTAGAAGCACAATGCGCGATGGAGAACGAATGTCGAGAAAACCCGTATCAACATCTCCTCTTTCTCTCGAATACTGTGACAGACTGAGTTTCCCATCGCCCTTCCCATCGCTTAACCAGCTCGACAATAGCAGGGATGGGCACGTCCTTCCAACCATCAGGAACAGCCAATCTACTCAGATCCACGGCACGAGCATCGACAAAAGTAGACGATAATGAAGAAACACGGCACACGACCTGCAACCGACCTTCATCATGTCACAGAATGACTTCAATGGCAGAAGGAAATTGTCGAAGGAAAAAGAATGCGGCTGAAGCACGCCCAACCTCTTTCCGTCCAGAGGTCGATCGTACCTGTGCGCACGAGACCCACTTTTTTCTACTGCTTTCCTATTTGGGACATTGGACTTCACAGCGAGAAAACATGCCAAAAGGGAATATAGGTAGGAGGGACTGGATTGGGTATGGATCAATTTGGAGGTGGGATATATATGAAGGGTGATGGCAATGGGTTTTGGGGTTCTTGTCACATTGCACATCAACAATCAGTACATCGACAATCAACACATCAACGACAATTCGACCTCAAGGCACAGAAAACCACCTCCTGAACCATCCAACAGCAGAAGACCATTCAATCCAACCCAGACCAAACCACCACCAAACACCCACCACCATGTCATCCCCCACCACCCCACTCCCCCTCCCCCCCTATAACTACTCCTACACCTCCATCCCCCTCGCCTACGGCCTCTCAATCCTCCCACACGCCTACGGCCTCACGCGCCTAATGCTCGCCACGCGGGGCCAAATCTCCAACTCAATGCCACGCACGAACCTCGAAGCCTGGAAATCCAAACTCCCCACCCACCTCTGGAATCAACTCGCTCGGGCCCGCGGCGCGCACTTGAACAGTCTGGAGGTCTTTCCGCTGTTCGCGGCGGCGATGGTGGCCGGGAATGTTGCGGGCTTGGATGTGAAGGATCTGAATGGGACGGCGGCGAGTTTCTTTTTGGCGAGGGGGGTGTATATGGTGTATTATATTGGGGTGAGGAATGAGATGATGGCGATGGTGAGTGTTGTGGCCGTTCTTTCTGCTCTGGTTGTGTGGTTTTGCTGACTTGGTGGGATCTAGGCGAGAACGGGACTCTGGGCGTGGAGTATCTCTATCCCGATCATGGCGCTGATCCGTGCTGGGAGGAAGGCGGCCGAGAATTCGCAGTAAGGGCGGGGGGTATCGTTTCCCAGGCGCTCGAGGGCGTATCCATCGACAGACCCAATGTACAGTATTCGAATCCAGATCTCCATCACTCACACCGTCGACCTCAACGTCCCCGACCAGAGCGTGTTGAGTTTTCGACTCGCCAGGCGCCGAACTTCCACACTCTCATGACTGAGATCCTCTTCGAAGTGTTCCCGTGTCACCATAGCCGTATGCGCCACCCCGACTTCATGGCCTGTGAAGAGCCACGAATGCCGATGTGATTGTTGCTGTTGCAGGTCGATGATCAATCGAGCCAAAGCTTGGACTTCGGTTTCCAGCCGAATGCGATCCTGATCGCAGACGATAGCGAGGAGTCGTTTTACGAGGACTAGACATTCGATGGTTTCCCCAAATATCTGGCGTCGTAGGCCGACTTCGGATGGTAAGGGTGTTCGTAGCGATGACGCCACGCAGTACGATTTGTACTCTTCCAGCCAGTCCAAGTATTCCTGGTGGAGTTTACGGAGTCGATCTTCCAGCTCGGCGAGGGCATCGTCATTGAACAGGTCGTCTCCATCCATCACTTTCCCGACGTCGTGCCACAAGGTAGGCATCTTTATCATCAACTTGCGGGTATTGATGACCAGCGGGGTACGATCCGTGAGGTAGTTCGTTTCCTCAGCAAGAGACGTATATAGATCGAGCCACTCGGGCTGATCCAAGTAACATGGCTCGTCAGTGATCAAACACTCCGAAGTCACAGGACCGATATGCCCAGTGAAAAGCGCCTTCTCAAACTCTGACTTGAAACGACCAGGACTGCGATGTCTGACGAGCCGCATTGACCCCTTTATATGAGACGTCCACGCAGCTATCCGAGTAGTGTCAAGAAGCTCATGCAATGCCATAAGCTGCGTAGCCGCCAGCACCTCCGCCGACGTCGACGCACAAGGATCCGATATCGAATCCTGCAGCATTCTCAAAGCTTTCGCGTACATCTTCATAGTTTGTCCCGGACTAGCAGGGTAAGGCGTGAGGACCTCCGAAGCTTTGGCCAGGACGCAGTCGGTAGCTGCGGCTAAGCACTTGTTCGACTCGTACATCTGCGGGATATACTCCAGGAACGACCACGTCTGCTCCTCCATGAGGGTGAAGAGGCGCAGTGGATCGGCAGATAGGAGAGGAATCGCACTTCGGCTAACGCTCCAGCTTGTGAGGATGGACAGCTGGGGGATATCCACGCAAAACTTGGCCCTCGTGCGTTCGTACGCGGTATCGCAGCTCAAAGAAGGCAGGAGCTGGGACCAATCGTACAACTCATTACTGGTCCGTCGAGTAAGGACCAATTGATTAGTCGACTGCTCGCTCCACTCGGTGCCTGCTGTGCTTTCCGATGCAGGCTTCTTGCTGCTTGGCGTGTCGCTACCCGAAGGGGACGAATTCGAGGATTTGGAGCTTGTGTCTGCTACCGTTGACTCGATTCGGTCGTTGGTCTCTTCTTCCTCGACTACGACCACAGGTTGCCGCATGTTAACACGCCCATAGTTCCCTCGTTTACGTCTCGCAAGGCCAACGTCTTTCATCGCCTGCTTCCGTATCAGAGTCCTGACAGCTCCATCTTTTGGTGCTTTTGGGCCACACGAGACGACTAGAACAGGGTAGTCAGTGTCTGGATGTTCAGCCACCCTCTGGTCGACTCACTGAATGGAAATCCGCCGTCTGCTGCGCTGTCTTGTTTGGCAGCATCCTTCTTCGCCATGGTGACTTCTCAATTCGCTATTGTCGGTCTGGTAAGAAAGAGTGCTATACCAGAAATTGGTGTTAGGTAACATCTCATGATGCTGGAACAGTCACCACCCGCGTAACTTTTGCGCACCTCGAGGCTGAACATGCAGACAGGGTAGCGAACGCGAAGTCAGCTTCCAAATAAGCTTTACCGGGGTACTGAAACCTACTTCCGGTAATGATCGACGTGAAGCCTCAGTGACAGAGGAGTTTTTGCCGTCAGAAGTCATGGTCCGAAGAGATGGCGATATCAAGTTGGGGCGTTTGCAGGGCTTGGATATTCTAAGCTTTGTAAGACAGTCGTCTGATATCTTGAAGAGTACAAGGAGCCTGTCGCACAGCATGGACGGCACGAGTTCGGGTCGACACGGAGGAAGTACACACAACGAAAGGTCGGCATGTTGTCGAAGTCTGATATGATGTGCTCTATACTCTCACGGTGGGTGGACAGACCTTATGAACCCTCATTCATACATCGAGAGCGTCTCGTCGTGGCTCGTCTCCCTTCACTTCGACCGTCCACCACCAATATCCTGGCCCAGCTGTTGCAGGGTTAGCTGCCCGTAGAAGTCGAATCCTTGAGGTCTACACTTACCCGGTATCCTCCAATCTTCTCCCACTCGACCTTTTGCCGAGTCACCGGCAGCGGTCTCCTCAAAGCCTTGAAGCTGCCCTCTGCCAAATTCGTGAAGGCGCGGTTCAGCTCCTCCTGGAATTTGTTCTCGGCCTTTGCAATCTCCCTCACGATGCCCTCCGCACTGCTTGCTCCGCTAAGCTCCAGCTTCTTGCTCGTGCTCATCCTCACGTTGCCGTCTTCGTAGTAGTGCACATCTACTTTGACGGTTCCACTGAGGCTGTTGCTGGAGGGGTCAAGAATGTATGTGCTTCGCCAGCGGCCGTTCCAGAAGTTTTGTGCCGAGTACTTGTTGGCGACAAGAACGAGGGCGACGGCGGAGTCGGACTGAGTTGAGTAGATGCCGATGGTTGAGGAAGGAAAGTGTTCGGCGGAAGCAGAGCCGAAGGCCTTGAGGAGGGACTTGATCAGGTCGGAGTGCTGGCCTTCGAGAGGGTGTTGCTGGGTGTTGGAGGCTTTCTGGAAGAGCGTTAGAAGGATAGCGTAACGCCAGAGAGTGTCCGTACCTGTGCAGCATGGTCTACTTCAAACGACGTCTGGCTAGCAGTGTCATGGTATCGTCCGTCGCCTAACGAGTTATACTCGCTGATGAGCACCTGCCCAGCAATCAGCTTTTGCCCTAACCCATCCATCAAGTATTGTCCTCTTACCGCCTCACTGCCACCTGGCAACTTGACCGTCACATACTGCTCTTCATTGTACTTCTTGAACGCGGGATCGAGGGACTGGAGGAGGTTCGGTTGGTTGCTCGCTAACGCTTTGATGTCTGTTCGGCAGTCTCAGTACGGCTACGAGTATCCTGTCGCTTGCTATGCGTACCATTCACGACGTTGGAAAGCTGGCAATGTCAGCTCAAGTCGTATTTCCCAAAGCCAGGCGCTTCCTACCGACCTCTCCTGGTGGGGCCGACTCGACGAACGAGGCGACTGTCGCCTCTTTGGATCCCATCTTGCTGGAAGATCAATTCGTCCTTGTGTTATTCTGGCTGTGGTGGGGTTGCAGTTTCAATTGCGGAGTTGTGTTTAGGCAGTTACAGTTGGCCGGGTGGGTGTTCAGGTACGTCGATCACAAGCAAAGCAAGCAACAAGCTGGAAGGTCGGCCGATGAACGCCAAGACATATCCGTCGACGCTTTCTCCCACTACTCTCGGACAAACATTCAAGATATCAGAACACGAGTTTGGAGATCGGGGAAGACAACAGTGATTTAATGTTTGGGCATAATGATATGTCCATCCTCCTCGGACGACTCGTACAATCCTCACTCAAACTCCCCATACTCCAATGCTACAAAACACACCTCAGAAGGTCGCATGCCCTCCTCCGTATTCAATGCCGCTGTCCAGTCCCTATCGCTCAAAGTCGCTCCAAATGCCGGAATTGCTCAAGCCAAAGGCCTCACATGACAGTCTACATCCCAAAGTTAGCACCACAACCCACTTACTCAACCTCTCCTTCCGTCATCTCGATCAACACGTACGCAAGGAATGATACCTATATGCCCATCAGAATTAGCATCTCTCTCCCAATTAACATAGAAAAACAGTCTTGAACTTACAGCATTGACAATCATCACCTAAAACCCCAAAACACAGATACAGTTAGCCGCATACTCCCTCGACCCTCGAACGAACCCTGGCAGGACGATTAACATACCACACCAACAAGGCATCTTCACGGGCGGCTTCCCCATCACACTCTTGCCCACACCACTCCCGGAAGAAGAGCTGGCACTCGAAGTCGCAGACGTCGTTGATGGAGGCATGATCTCGCGGGGCCGGGCTAACAAAAGTCTCTCCAATATTTCTCAGCTGGTTTGTTCACGCAGGTCCTGTCGTCGAGCTGGGATTGTCCAGGAGATTTGGGGGGAATTGGACGTGTGAATGTTGGAAGAGGAGGAGGTTGTGCAGGTGGTGTTTGGGCGCCACGGAAAACTTGGCCAGTGCACACGTCATCCTGGCTTTCTGCTGCAGCGCCTCGCCAAGATCACATGGGTAAGGCGAGTTGATGGGAGGCAGTGTTTTGGGATGTGTTGTTCACAAAGTCATTCAGATACTAGAACCAAGTCTTAAGACACCCCTTCTTTCCATCGTCTCTAATCCGAGCCCTCGTGCGTTTTCATGCGCATCACCAAAGTCCAAACATCGAACGCTGACTACACGCCTCCCAAGCGTCTCCACTTTTCACGTGCTCGCTCCGCTAGCGCTCCGCCACAATGGGCTACGCCTCTCCCGCCAACCAAACGAGCCTGCAAAACAAGCCTCTCGCTTCGACGTCGAAGCCTACAAGACCATGTGTCGAGTTCCCCTGTGGGCCCGGGTGTGACTGGTATGTGTACCAGTCGAGGAACGGCAAAGAAGAGATTGCTGATGAGAAGATATTGCAGTGCGTTGTGCTGTTGTCCTATACCGTGCACGGTGATGTGAAGGGGAAGGCCAGAAAACAATGCGGTGTATATAGGGGTTATGTTGAAATTTGAACGGTGTCGATGCAAATGCAAGGCATAGATGTTGTGGAAGATCTGTTCTCATGTTACTCATCATGTGTCTCATCTACAAATTGAAAGTCCTTCTCCATAGCCAGTTGGATGACCTCCTCTATCATCGCGGAGATCCTGCCTCTCATCGTTGTTGCGCTTCACTCAGTGAAGTCTCGATCGTTGCTCTCGATTGCCATACATTGTGAAGTTGCTCCTCTCCATGCCGCCCCTCACATAATTCCATATGCCAAAATGCAGTAGAACACCCCGAAATGACTACACTTCCCTCCAGCTCATGCCGGCACGCTCATCGAATGGCGTCTTCGCGGCATGCGAGTCGCCGAATGGGTCTTCATCGCTCTCGTCCGCAGGTGCCTGCGGTGGTGGTGGAGGCGCGGGCTTGGGCGGCATCGGTATTGAAGCCGGCCGTGGTGGTTTCGCAGGTGCTGTGTCAATCGAAAGTCCGGCCAATTGCTGCTGTGTGGTGCTTATATTGCCTCTCTGTGGAGCCGGAGCCTTCGAATTCTCCCACGCATCGCTATCGCTGTCATCATCGACACTGCGGTCCATGATTTCGTACGCAGTCAGGGCCTTTACCAACTCATCATTGGCGTTGACAAGGCTACCAATCCATTGCTCAGACTCCACATGGGCAATGTAGTAAAGGATCTTGCGCCTAAGATCCTTGCAAGCCTCGAACCTTCGCACGACCTCTGGGTTCGTTGATACTCGCTCGTTCTCACGGTTGATCAGCTGAAGCCCGTTGACCAAGTTCGTCGATGCGATTGACGCTTGGGCGATGCAATTAGTCATGTTGTCCTTCTCCTTGGAGAGACTGAAGGACTTGTTGCCACTGCTTTTCTTGTCCTTGAACAATTTGGACGAGAAACCAGACGATGTTGGTGTCAAAGTAACTGGTCTAGAAGGAGCAGCAGCTTGTACTGGAGGCTGGGGCTTGGAGCTTGATCGGGCTCGTGTCGGTGGCTCTGCGAAAGGTGACTCGGCGTCAGAGTCGGCAGCAGTGGTGTCTTGAAGGACCTTCTGTCGAGCAGCCGCAGGTCGTTGGGTTGCCGTCTTTGGAAGTTCCTTGTACAGGGTGGCAATGCTCTGAAGTCCAGGTGTGCTCTTGTAAGCATTGGCCCATTGCACGAACAAGACCTGGCACTTTCGTCGAACTTGAGCATCGACCATGTCGTCACGGGCCATCAGTCGAAGACGCTCAAGCAGTGGTTCATCGGCAAAAGCCCGCTGGAATCGTCCTCCAGCATTCTGAATAAGACCGTCCAGGATGACAAGGGCTCTAATCTGTCTGTGAGGGTTGCCATATTTGCTGGCTATTGTCAGTTAAAGTAGTCTACATTAGAATTGATGCAAACTCACAGCTTCTTTCGAAGAGCTCTGGCAGCCTCGGTTGGTCCTGAGTCCTGGATGCGAATCACGTCCACCAAGTCGATGATGCCTCCAATGTCATCTTCCTCGTATTGTTCGCTTGTTAAGCGATCAATCTGAACAGTGATAGCCGTGTACGGCTTCCTCTGCGAGAGAATCCAGTCTGTCAGCTTATTCTTAAGGCGATAGGTCCGGCATGTGAAGCATTTGCTGGGATCGCGACAGTAGTGTAAAGGAGGAGGTTTTCTGGAATCGGGAGAGCTGTTGATAGGTGCAGAGTTGAATGGATATGGTGGAGGTTTCTCAGATCCGTCTCGATTGCTGGTCCACTGCTCTATCGCAATGACCTTGGAGACGCGGAATTTGGGGGGTTTCTGCTCGAGAGCAGCGGGATCATAAGGACAAGCGTAGTTGAAGCATTTCTCCAATATGAGTTTTTGCATTATGCAGGCAAGCAAGTGGAGACCTGACCGGGAAGCAGTGAATGGCCGAGTCGGGTGAAGAGGGTGGGTGGGGGTAGGCAGAGTTATGAAATAGAGAGATACATACTGATGAGCCGCTAAACATAGTGTAACGGCCAACCACCCCGCCTCTCTTAGGCGGAGCGATCGAGATGCTTGAAGGAGTGCTTGCTGCGGCGAAGGACGCAGTTGGATCAAAAGGGGGATTGGGATGGAATCTGCGGTAGGGCAATCAATGCAGATGTTAGCAACGTGCTTGATGTTGAACGCGCTCGACACCACGGGTCTCGATGGCCGCCAAGGGCTATTGCGCGAGGCCTGGGCCACTCACCCGTGCAACGTCCAGTGTGGCCTGCTGCAGAGAAGCGCGTCGTTGCGTCGGCCGCTGGGGAAGCACGCGAGACCGTGAAGAAGGCTTGATCGGCGGCTGATCCAAGCTTGAGTTCAAGCCTCCCAATGTGAGACCGAATCCAATTCCAGAGCGTGAGACCCCTGATGTGGCTGAAGGCGAGAGCAAGTCTTGTTCTGACGGCAGCTTGATTGACGGCAATGAGTTTGATGACATAGGCGTGCAGTGGACGAGGTGAAGTCACGCGGCCGAGCTGGCAGAAGCTGGGAAAGAAGCGCAGTCAACCTGGCTAGCAGCAACACAGGGACTTGATTCATTTCTCCAGCCTCGGGATTAGCCGCTCTGGCTGCCACGAGGAGCTGCCGTAGCTTCTCGGTACATGTAACCTCACCTCCTCCTCTTCGTCGTCGCGTCAACGCCGCCAGCGCCCATCCTCATCAATACAACCGTTGCCCGCTCCCTCTCACGTCATTTGTACCCAAGTACGACATCTGCTGCCCCGACGCTGAACATGCCCTGGCGCGGATGGAGTGAGGATCAAGTGCGTGGCAGAGCACAAGCATCACGAACGTGAGGAACCACAGGATCAAGATTCAAGACATTCGTGCCACGTGCTCATCTCGCAGAATCGCTCCCATGGCCGGATTCACTCCCATCAACGCGTCCGCCTCAGGAGGCATTGCATCCTCGCAAAGCCAATTCGAAGGAAGCAGAGAAGCGTCTGACCAGCATCCCACGAGAACCGTTGCCTCGGAGTACCTTGGTAGAAAGGAAGATCTGCCTGCTGCGCCTCTCCCCAAAAAGATCCATACCAAAGGCAAAAAGCGGGCGGCAACTGCAGGCGATGCTGGCAAAACTAACAAGCGACGACGTTCGAGCAACATCGACGACAGACTTCACGTCACCAAGTCTCGTGGTCAAGATGAGAAATCCAGCAAGCCGGACTGTACTGACAAGCCTGCGAAGTCTTCCAAGCCCAAGAAAAAGACAGCGGCATGCAAACAGCCCAAGAAGAGTTCGGGCACGGTAAGTTCAAGCAATGCTGAGGCCGGCATGCCCATGACCAAGCCTGTCTCGGTTTATGCTCAAACAACGTCGATGGATGCGCTCGATTCAACATCAGCAGCACGCACCTCTTTTGACTCTGTCAGAGCCAATGCTGGCCAGAGCTTCACTCTGTACCAGGGACCATCTTCGAACTCGTCCTTTCATTCCAACGTTCTATTTTCTCAGCCTTTGCTGACACCGGTTTCCAACACATGTCCACATGGCTCGCACGCGAACGCAGGAGCCACTGACGAAGCCGAAATTGGCGATGACTTTACCCTGCTGTCTTCAGATGACGATATTCTCGGCGCAGAAGTTGATTTAAACTTGAAGATTTCAAAGCAACCTCACCTGCCAGACAGGAAGAAGGATACTGCAAGTTCAAGAGCATCAATCACTGAAGATGGCAACCGACGTACCACTCGGCAGAAGAAGGCTGTCAATTATGCAGTTGAACAAAGCTTCCCATCAATTGATGAAGTGCAGGACATCCAGTTGGAAGCACCAGACAAAGCGAAAACAAAGTCACCAAGAAGGCGAAGCACAGCAACCCTTGGCGGCGAAGATGACTTTGGTGATATACCCGAAGACGAAGTGGTAGAACTAACAAAGGAGGTCGAGGAGGCTGTCGAGGAAGGTCGACCAGTTACGCCACCGCCGCGTAATCGAAAGCAGGACATGCGCGAGGTAGATGAGCATGAGGACTATGAGGGTGCACTCTTGTCCGACGCGGAGCGGAAGCTGCTCGGTAAGTGCGAACTCTTCAACATGTTCAAGACTGGTCGCTAAAGATTCGCAGCCAAGATGAAAAACGCCAGCGAGGGCAAGATCAAACCAATCGTCCGCAAGCCATTTCTACCAGCTGTGCTCGACAGATCGCCCATCTTTGGGGCTTCCAAGAGCACTGTCGTCCGCACCTCATTCCGACTTGGTGAAGCCTTGAACTTTGGTGCTCAGGCAGTACGATGCAATGAAAACGCCATCATCGAGCTGTATGCTAGAGCCACAGTCTCCAGGCGAGAGGGCCGAAAACAGCACTTTGTCTTCAAGGACCTCTATCACGACAACCCGCCGTATCTGGAAGGCACCTACGAACTTTGGGACCAAGCTCGACTGTGGGATCTCGACAGCAAGCCGTTTCTCAAAGCCAGAGGTCCCGGTATCCTCAGCCGCGTGATCGCTCGCATGAAGCGTGAAAGCCAGAAGTGGCGACTTGAGATATTGAATGTGTGGGAAGCAAGCTGGGGAGATGTGAATTACGTGGCGGGAATCTACACTGGCGAGGTGTATGAGGAGGACGAGTACAACATTTGAGGTGTTCTGCAGCGATGTTCTGCTTCTGGGATTTGCTTGCGATGTTCTAGCTATTGATCGGTACTTGCTGGCATGCATGTGGCTGCTGATGTACGAATGAATGCGAATGGTTTCACCCAGGATGCCCTGCATGCTCACGCACTCGCTTGCTGTAGATGTTCCGGTCGTTGGCTGAAATCTGGATCGAAGATGGGCTACGATTTGTTGGCGCGTGTGATTGGCGCTTGCAGCTTTCTCCACCTTTGACGCCATGCCGTGCGTTTAAACAGGGCTCGGTGCATGAGACATAGATTTAGAACGACCATCGCATTTCCAATCTCCTCCTCCCTTCTTCCCTCTCAATGTCAACGATTACACAATGGCGGAACGAATATAACAGCCCACTGGAACGACATCTGCTGATATCCTGCCCACCCGGACGCACCGGGCTTGGCGCGACCGAACCGGACTGCACCGAACGGCGTACCATAGATCGTCTGGATTGCTGGAGTTGGCATGGACGACATCGACGAGCCTGTCATGCGGCCGGCGTCGACGCCAGGTCGCAAATCGTCCAAATCAGGCCGCAGCCTGTCCGATCCGCCCACCAACACGACACTGGCGCCCTCGCCGAACTTCAAGGAGCGTAGCAAGGACGACCATGCCGTTCTTCCCACCACCCCGAGGCCTCCTCGGCGGCCCGATTTTCTCTCTCGCGGACTGACATTGCAGCTTCCGCCACCGCGGGTGGTCACTGGTGACGTGCCTGCGCCTGCTCTATCACCATTTGCGATTCCTCTCTCGCCAAAGCTCGACACTCACCAACCGTACATGCAAACACCGGGTCTTGCGCATTCACCTGCCACAGCTCTGCCCCGCCATTCACGCGGTCTGGACTTTTCACGGGCATGCACAAACTTGCACCACTCAACTGTTCCTGAGCGTAACAGTCCAGACTCGTCGCCTGTCATTACACAACGAGGTGTCAACATCCCTGGACGTAAGATGTCGGTGGGAAGTATGGCGCTCGACTCGCCAAATGTCAATGGTCCGGGCAGCTTGCCTTGGAGTATGGCGCAGGAGAAGGGCACACTGAGCAGTTCCATGGGCAGCGTCAACATGATGGGGTCGGAGAGCGAGAGTTCTGATAGTGATGACGATGCCAGCATGGGAGAGGACGCGGAGGATCCAATGTTTACGACACCTCAAGTGCACAAGCTGCAAAATCCGAACGCACCAACACCATTCAACCCACCCACGACACCTGGCGGCAACACGTGGGGGACTGGCGCTCACTTCTCTCCGGCGCAGGCTTCACTGATGAAGACAATCAGAAGAGCGAGGTTGCATAAAGGCGGAAAGAGAAGTAGGAAGAGCTCGAGCAGTGCTAGCAACAGCGGCTACAGCTCTTTGGCATCGCCTCGAGCTCAGTCACCACCCGCGATGAGGAGCATCGAGGGTGCTGCGAACGGCGGATACTTTTCGTGGGCAAACGCTGCGCGGAGTAGGCGAGAGAGCTTAGCAATGGGCACGGACGGGTTGAATATCTCGAGTGGGAATGACAGCGGTGATGAGGCATCCATGACTGCGCCATCTACTCCAGGTGTGGTACGGCGTCCTGTCGTCCGGCGCGGCAACCTCCTCCCCAAAACCAAAGGCTTTGCTCGAATTCGTGCTGCATTGATGGAGGAAGCTGCACCTATTGACACCGATGTGCGAAAGGAAGCAGAGACAATCCGACAAGTCAGAGAACGAGACAGCAGTGTTGGAGACCTCGACCTCCAGCACGATCGTCCACAAACTGCAACCGCAGCTTCATCACCCAACCTTCTACCCGCGGTGCCAGAATCGGCACAAGAGGACTTTGGCAGAGAGACAGAGGGCGATAGGGGCTTGGGAGTGAACTTTGCAATTCACGCCAGCCGCAACAGCGGTGGCATGGAGTATTGGAACCGATTTGACCCGTCCATGCGGACACCACCTCCACCCAACTTTGCGCGGAACAGCAGCAGCGTGATGTCCGACATCGACTCGCCGATGGGTGACTTCATGCAATGGAGACGGCCTCGAGCGAGATCTTCAGCATCAGATGCTTCTGAAGCATTTCAGCCAAATGGCAGCAGCGCCATTCCAACAGGTGTCAGCGACGATCTGCATCTTCAAAAGTTCAAGAAGCGACAACGCGAGGACGACTTCGATATTGCAACCATCAAGCGACGCGCTGTGTCACCAGGCATGAGCTCTCAGAACAGCCCCGTTCTCACGAACTCGCCGTCTGCCAAAGACTCTACTATCATCTGGGGCCAACCTCCGGAGAGAAGAGACAAGCGGGATCCGTCATCTGCTAATAGCGATGGCTCATTGCCCGGGTCTCAGAACGCTCTACCGCTGGGAAGGGCAGGCGGTGGTGGGTCGGTGAGTATGCCGAGTGGTGGGAACTTGGTCAGCCAAGGCAAGAAGTTGGGGTTGCAGCCCATGGCTGATACGAATGACGGCTTGATGAAGATGAGCATTGAGTGAGGGAGGATGACTTGGGTTCTTCCATGGCATTTGTGTTTTGTATTAGCGTAGGCGCTGGGTTGGGAATCACGGCTCTTGATGGCCGCAAGGATAGGACGAGGTACTGGCTTGATATCTACGAATGAGGTACGATCAAACTCGTCTAGGCTCCTCTTTCACACGTTCTCTTTTTTCATGTGATCACGCTAATCAAAGCTTCAATCAAATCGATGGCGGGGAGAAGCTAGCGCGCGAAGCGGAACCAGCTCCGCCTGGATCTTAACTTTTTGGCATCTTCAAGCTGCGACAAACCACCAACACACGCGACCAAACACACACTCCCAACATGGCGGCCGAACAACGAAAGCTGCTCGAGCAGCTGATGGGCGACCAGCTCTTGGCTGGACCCGGCACGCAAAAACAAGCCGCCCTCACCATCACCGACCCCAAAGTCTGCCGCTCATACCTCTGCGGCAGCTGCCCACACGACCTCTTCACCAACACCAAGCAAGACCTGGGCTCCTGTCCAAAACAGCACCTCCCAAACCTCCGTGAAGAGTACCAGAATGCCAGCGACGCGCAAAAGAGGGAATGGGGCTTCGACTTCGACTACCAGCGCGACATCGGCAAGTACGTCTCCGACTGCGATCGCCGAATCGACACCGCGCAGCGCCGTCTGGAGAAGACGCCCGACGAGATCCGGCAGACGAATGCACTGCTCAAGAGTATCAGCGACTTGACCAAGACGATCGAGGCGGGGATTGTGGAGGTGGAGATTCTGAGTGAGCAAGGCGCTGTCAATCTCGCGGTGCAGGAGTTTCATAACTTGAAGCTACAAAAAGTGCAGAAGGATGAGCGGGAGAGGGAGCTGAAGAGTTTGAGCGATACGTCTGGGCCGAGTGGACATCAGAAGCTGCAGGTCTGCGATGTTTGTGGAGCGTATTTGTCGAGGCTGGATAATGATCGACGTCTGGCGGATCATTTCTTTGGAAAGATGCATTTGGGATATGCGCAGATGCGGAAGGAGTATGAGCGGTTGAGCAAGGAGTTGAAGGGTAGGGCGCCGCCAAGGAGAGAGGAGCCGATGGATGATGGGCGCTACGATGATGGCCCATACGGTGGTGGGAACTACGGTGGGCGAGGATTTGGTGGACGTGGTGGTAGGGGCTTTGGAGGAGGAGGTGGTGGAGGCTTCCGCGGTGGACGAGGCGGTGGCGGAGGATATGGGAACCGGTGGTGAGGTCCATCTTCTCCCACACAGACTACTGGCACTTTGATTACTGCACGATTAGCGAGGCGTCGGGGGCGAATGACTCTAGGTACGGCGTTCACGATGGGAACAGATGGCAGAGATGCTTCTACTGGCACTTTTCTACAGTGGACGATACGAGCGCCGGCAAAGCGCTAGAAAAGCACTTCATTCCATGTTGGTTCACGACTCGATTCTCTTTCCTCCATGCGGTTCGAAGCCCCCAGCTCTATCAACACGTCTATGATGCCTCGATGCTCCCAAGTCTCGCGGTACGCCCTATTGCAGACCTGGTATGTTTACCCGCATTCGCATTGACTGCGTATTCGCTCCATTGGCCTCAGGAATGCACGTCAGAAAGCTCTCGGCCGTGGTGTGCATGTGCTCGGCCGCTGGTGGGAAGCTCCGAACAAGGCTGCGCGACAACAATTCCATACCCTACCTCGCATTTCTGCGACAACGTCTCCGCAAAAAAGACCTCGCCATTGAGATCCTGCGGAATTCTGGAGCCTAGACGCGAATGTATCAAAAACGAGATCAAAGTACTGGTCAACGAGCGACTCTCAGCCCACTGCTCACAAACGCGAACCGGAAGCGGAAGCTAAAAAAGTTTCCGCTCGCCGTTGCGGCGCGGGCTTTCACATACCCACCGCTCCCTCTTCGACCTCATCCGTTCCAGTTTCCCTCCGCTGGCTGCTGCTGAGGCCCATGTCGAAGAACGCCTCGTCGTTTATCCAGCTTATACTTGCATAACACGACACCGTGCTTGTTGCTGCTGGTACGACCATGGAGGCGCCCCCGCCACCGCAGGACGGGAATGCCAAAAACATTGTGAGGAGTTGCATTACTTGTGCAAAGGCCAAGGCCAAGTGTGTTAAGAGTGCTGGGGCGGAGAAGTGTGAACGGTGAGATTAGAATGGTTATATTGTGTTTTTGTTTTGTAGATTTTGGTTTACTGATCGATTATGGGGGATAGATGTGCGAGGTTGAATAAAGAGTGTACTTCCAAGGAGCCGGTTTTGAGGAGGAAGAAGATTGTGAAGACGACGTGAGTCTGGCCTTTTATTGTTTTATCCACCTGTGCACGGCTTGCACTGTGTGTCACCCCTGGCCACATCCACGGGACCGGGACTCATTCGCATCACTTTCTTCCCTCCTACAGGAGCTGACTCTCTCCCAGCCGAGCCGCCCAACTCGAGAAGCTCGAGAGCAAGATCGAACATCTCGTCAATACTCTATCCTCTGGTCCTCAACCTTCATACCGGACGAATGAGTATGGGCAGCCGTCGCCGCCCATCTCACAAGTATCCTCTGCTCAGGACAAGGCCGTCGTCGGAACCCGGACCGAGGAAGTCCTCCATAGCCTTTGCCACGATAACAATGGCACCGTGCATACCGACTCGAGCGGGCAACCCACCCCAGCTCTGGCCCCACCTTCTGATATCCCCGTCGCGAGTGCCATCACACTTAGCGAGGCCGAGGTCTTACTGGATCGGTATTGTCGGTTGATGTCCTCTGGTATGCCGTTTGTTGTAGTTTCTCCTGGAGCTACAGCTCAGACTCTCTTCGAGACGAAGCCTGTGCTTCTGCGAGCGATATGTACTGTCGCTAAGTTTCACGATCTGCCTCAACAACAAGCACTCGTGAAGGAGCTGGTGAAGGAGGTTGCTGGCCGAGTACTTGGCGAGAGCGAGAAGTCTATCGACATCATCCAGGCCATCCTCGTCTTCGTGGCTTGGTATCATCCACATGTGTTCTGGAGTCACCAAGTGACCAATCTGCTCCATCTCGCTATCGCTATGTGCATCGACATGGGCATCGATCGATCACCTGGACAGAACCAGGACTTCAAAGCGGCCACGACCAAGGCTGTTCATGGCCCGTGTCTTGCGCAGCGGATACCTACACTTGAAGAGCGAAGATCTCTATTGGGTGTCTTCTATATGACATCGATGTTGTCGTCCTCGTTCAAGAAGATCGACGCCATGCCTTTCACACGCTACATGGACGATTGCCTCAACAGCCTCGAACAAGCACGCGAGCACGACAGCGATCTGTTCCTCGTCCAGATGACCCGCATACAACACGTCATCGAGGCCATACATACTGTTGACAGCCCGACCGCGCCTGCAAGAGTCTACATCAAAGCCTTCCAAGCGGATATCGAACGACTAAAGCGCTCTGACCCCTGCAAAGGCGACAACGTCTTCCTTGTCATGCAATACGTCACCGCCGAGATCCTCATGTGGGAGCTCTCACTCATCGACCTGCAAGAGAACCGCACGAGCTCATTGAGCACCCATCTCGAAGACCTCTATCGCTGCGTCGCAGCAATTCAGTCCTTCCTCGACGTCTGGTACACCATCCCCTCATCAGCTTACTACCTCCTTCCCTTCTCTGTCTTCGGCCAATTCGCCCACGCCTTCATCGTCCTGACCAAACTCGCCTCCCTCGAAGTCGAAGGCTGGGATCTGAAGGCCTTGAACGAACAACTCAACTTCCTCTCCGTCATTCACGAATCCGCTTCAGCCTTCGAAGAAGCCACCCGCTCCACACCCGACGGCATCGCCGTCAACAACGATTCCTTCGGCAAATGGTCCTCCCGCATCCGCTGGATGCGACAAGTCTACGAAAGCAAATTCACCGCCGAAGGCAACGTCAACGCCGCTCTCCGCGAAGAAGCCGAGCGAGCAAGGGAGTGGGACGTCTCAGGGAGTGAAGCTGTGCAACAACAACAGCTCCAGTCACAATCGCAGCAACAATCGCAGTTGCACACCCCGTCATCGGAGAACCCTTCCTCGATGATGAATCCTACGGATGTCTTGAATGCGGACTTCTTCAATTACCTCGATGAGAACTTTTGGCAGAGCTTTGCGACGGACTTTGATTTGAGTTATCCTACTGTGGGTCCGTTGGCGCATGGGGCTGAGGGGCAGAGGTGGTGGCCGAAGGTTGGATGAGGATGAAGGTGTATGGTCCTGTACGATAGGTTTGGGTTGGGATGGGATGGGATAGAGAGGATGAGGTGTACATATACCCTGTGGAGGATGGAACGCCACTCTTGTGAGCTGAGATTAGAAGATATGACGATAATTAATGACCTTTGACTGAAGGGTGGTGGGCCTTGTGTTCACACTTTGTCTACGTTTTCGCGAAGGTACGGGGAGATCGTTATAGACATTCTATACACATCTTCAAGACTACGCAAAAGCAGCAAACCCAACCGCAATCGCCACCACAATCGCAACCCACGATCCCCCGGGAAGGACAGCCGCAGCAGCACCCTCATCGCCCTCCGCATCACTCGCCTGACTCGCCAAATTCTTCGCCTCAACAGGCGCCTCAAGACAAGACAAACTCGTCAGCCTCGACTGCGGAACATCACCTCCATCCTCACTACCATCCACCCTTCCGAACTTGGTCAAAATCGGCACGGCCTGATGCTCGAGGAAATCGATTATCGTCTCTTCGCTAGGGTTCGTGTCGTTGCCGATGCCGCGCAGGGTTTTACTCCAGAGGGAGTCGTCGCAGCAGCTGGCGTTGAAGTTGAGGGTGAAGGCGAGGTTGTGGGTTGAGGGGATCACCGGGTGGCAGTTTGAGGAGGCGTTTTGTTCTGTCGTCGGGGGTTGCGGGGCTAAGGGGACTGTTATGGCTATTGAGAGAGTGTGTCAGCGGTTGGGATATGTGGATGGGACGTGGAGGACTTGCGTGCGAAGCGGATCCGGCCCCATTCGCCGTCTAAGGTCATGGCTGAGCATTCAGTAGGGGGAGACGAGGAATTGAAGGCACCTTGGAGGCGCGAGCAGAGATCCTCTGCGCGCCGGAACGTCGTGTCGCCGATTGCTTCCTCTGCTTGATCCGTCAAGGCTGTCACGCATTTACTCCCGAGCACATCCCCACATGTCCCCGGTTGCTGGTTCGAGGGGAACGAGGCATTCGAATCGACGAAAAACGCCGCGCAGCCGTGGAATCCGTTCACTCCGTCTTCGCTCGACAAGTCTAGATCGGGCGGTGTTCCGAGGTAGTAGTCCTTGACCAGGTTGGGATATGTAGGACCATCCGGGTAGGCCATCACTGCGCCGGTCGTCCATGTTAAGTTCGTGTTGTCGCCGAAAGGGGAGGGGAATTGGACCGAGCCGGCGACGTTGTAGGACCGTTCTTGGACGGTGCAGTTTGAGATGCCCGTATTACAGTCGAAGTCGGCGCAGGAAGCTATGGAGCCGTAGGCGTACTGGCTGTTGGCCGATGTGGCCATCATGGAGAGGAGGATGGAAAGAACTCCAACCGCGGGTGGATTACGAGTTGCCATTGTGATCGAAAGACAGGAGGCCTCTACCAACGCTGGAGACCACCGACCTCGAAGGAAGCCGCCGTCGTTAAGAAAGATCATGGGCTCATACGAGCAGTCACGTAACTCACAACGTCACTTGCCTGGCTATAGCAACAACAACTCCCGCCAAGACAACCGGATGGCTGGCCTTGAAACGACAAGAAAGGTATCCATTCCCTGCGTATAGGGACTTGTTTGTCGGGAATCCACCACGTTGGACCGAGCAGCTAATCAAAGATTCAATAGCAAGTCCGAAAGGATTCTTCGATGTTGGCTGTACTACACTTGGCGCTGAAGCGATGCTTGGCTTCGTCTGGCAGCTGAGTAGAAAGTTGCAAGGTTCGGCACGACGGGAACGTACCAAGACTTCGTAGGACCCACTCCTATGTGGACGTCAGTCGTTCCTTTACTCATGGGTTGTGGTGTCGCGGGATTGGTGCCTTGGGGTTTTTTAATTGCCTGGATGTCCTTGGACGAAGTGGTCGACTTTCAAAGTGTCTTGGATGCTGATGCTGTCGAACGAAACAACGATATTTCTCAAGATCTCGACAGGGCACATGTCAAGGGAGAAGACTTGCATCAGGGGATGACAAACATACTCGCCGGCTCAGCCAACATTCACTCATCCGTCCCGTGTTGGTCCTACCGCTAGCGGCGCTTCGAGGTCTGGGTAGCGTTATGGATGTTGGCATGATCGATGTGTTTGATCGAATACCCACAGCTTCAGCCTCACAACGTGGCCAAACGACCAAACATGCATCTTGGGGCCGTCTCAATCGTCGGTAAGGCTTGTCGGGACTTGCTTAGCAAGAATATGTCAGACATGCCGTGATGAAGTCTCGGATTTGGAGAAGCAACAAGAAGGTTGTTGTTTAGCTTGCGCGCTTGCTTGACAGTATGTCTGCGGAATTGAGAACTGAGAGGACTCTTCGTTCGCTGCCAAAGATCTCAAGGCCCGTCTTCTCTCGGGTAAGTAGAACCCGACCCTTCACGAAGGAACGTCGCTTGACTACTATCCGCGGAAACATTGAACTTAGGTAACGACAGGAACGTTGCCTCCTTTGCAAGGTTCAGACACAAATAACAGTGGATACAGTTGGTCTCCCCTGGTTTCCAACTCCTACCATAGCATTACACAGCGCGGTCGCTTTCCTGAAGTGGATGCTCTCGACGCAAATATGGACGATGCTGTTCATCCATGGTGCAGAACGAAGGAATATTGGCAATATCCGTAGCCTTCGACAACTGTTGGTCTCCACGGCTGGCCGCCTATGCATCCACATGGTTGCGGTAGAACGAGTCTGTGGCGACAACATGGGAAGCGAAGCCTTCAGCTCGAGGAGACGACCGTACGTCGCTAAGACCTGTTCTCTCCTGAAGAATATGGCAGGCAAAGGAGGCGAAGATGTAATATAAGAACGGCCATGTCGTTCAAGGTAAGTTAGACATCAGCTCATCATGGCCACCGCAGTAGGCCTCATTCTTACTGCCATTGGCACAGGACTTTCGTTCGTCTCCATGCTTCAGAGCAACCTCAAGAGCGCCGATTCTGGCAACACTAAAATCACTCTCGCCTGCGGCCAAGTCTCAGACGATGTCAACGACGCCGATTCCATCTCAGGCTCGTTTGACGCCCGCATGTACAACGAGTACGGCTAGCGCGTTGGGGCTCCTGTGATTGATAAATATGTCAATAGGGGTAACACCGCGTACGAGGTCACGTTGAGTACATGCCCTTTTGCCCGTATGTGTTGAACGTGTTGATTGACTGGTCTGTTAGTATACCCATGACAGCGAGTACAGCGGCCAGCAGACGCCTTACATCAAGGTCACGGGCAACAACGATGCAATTTGCATTGCGTGGTTGACTGTGACCTGGGCGGATGGGACTGATTGGGTCTGGTCGGGTGGGTTTGGTCGTGGATGTGGGATTCTTCCATGGTGAGTATTTCCTCATTAACAATATTCTCTATGACAGCGCTGACCATCTGTCGCAGGCACTACAGCGATGCCATTCTCGGCAACATAGCCCATGTAAACGACGAAGGCACCCCACACCGCCCCGACTGCGCCTGGATTGATGGTGATGGTTCCGTCGGTGGCGATACTACTGCCTTCTCTGTCTATCTTCCTCATTTCACTACTGAGAACGACGGCTCCAGTGGAGCGTTAGATGGGTAAGTCAAAGTCAAGTTGTGGGCAACAACAATTCAATCCCAACTGAGCAAATCTTCCAGCGTCTGTGCCAGTCCCGACTTCGCGACCTACCAAAACGATGACGCCGGCGGCATCACCTACTGGGCAGACCCTCCGGCCATCGGCAACACGAACAACTACGACAACGCCAAAATGCACCGCCGTGACGACGCCAACTCTACGGCGGGTATCAGCGCCCATCAAGCCAACGCCAGACCCTCCCAGAGTCTCTACACCTCAGCCGAGAAGAACACCAAGCTCATCAAAAGTGCATGGGCGGTACATTCTGCCATTGACCTGTGCAATGATGACAGGTCTTGGGGCCCGAGCTTTGTGTCCACGACGGAGAACAAGTTCTGTGATATGTCGACCAAGACGCTGTATGACGTCTGCTCGTCGGACAACACTTCAAGTGAGGCTTGCTTCGATGGCGAGACGTTGGCGGTGCGTGGATTGAATAGGAGTGTGGCGTATAATTGGAAGACTGTCGAGAACTGGGGCCCTGAGGTGGCGGATGAGTTGAAGACTGTGCAGCTGTCTTAGATGTGGAGGCAGTGTCTGTTGGTGCTTATAGAGGTTGCGGCCTGGTGAATGTCTTCGCGAGATGGACTTGGATGCGGTTCTTCAACAAGCTGGTCTGAGATCTGGAGTGCGTTCCTGTACAGTTGGTCGATAGATTGAATAGACTAGAATCTTTCTCAACTCCTCCTCGTCCTACGATCAAAATGTGAGATGCACCTTCCAGATGTCGTTATTCCATCAACTCACCGGAGAGCGCGGACAAGTGAGTATGTCTAATAAGTAACACCGAAGTCTCGGCGCGCTCGGCAGGTGTCCGACCCCTAGACAATGCTAGCAAACATTCTCCGAATACAACCTCACCTCACATCACCCCAAACCTCTCCACAATCACGTTTCATCGCCATGCTGCCACCACGTGGTGGCAGGTTGAGACTAGACAAGTCTTGGAAATGGGGCTTTAGTCAACACCGTCGCTATGAGTAATACGCTTCGAGTATCGCGGTTGGTCTTGGTGCCAAGATGTTTCGCCGGGATATTGTGTGTTGACCATGATTCTGAATGTTCCGGAATGGCGTTAGAAGGGCGTTCGAAAGGGATGGATGGCGTGGTGTTTGCGGAGGGGTATATAAGGCAGTGTCGTCGACGTTGGTGGATCTGTCCACACAAGTCAACAACCCGAAAGCAATAGTCACTCACTCAAACGCACTCCTTCGCCACCACCGCAACAATGAAGACCACCACCATCACCGCCCTCCTGGGCCTGACCCTCAGCGTCTCCGCCGCCCCAAGCCTCAAGAAGCGCCTCAACCACCCCGACATCCCCAAGGCCGAGGCCGCCATCGTTCAACAACCCACCGCGGAGACCCTCCCCACCGACCCCCTCGTCTCCGTCTGGCTCGACGGCCCACAAGAGAACCAGACCGCCGCCAACGCCGTCGAGATCTTCGTCACCGGCCCCGCCGTCGACCCCAAGAACGTCTCCAGCGCCGCCATCGGCGACTGGGCCGTCGCCATCCTCGAGCTGTCCGACCAGGTCGGCTCGGAGGCCGCCCCTTCGTCGGAATCTGATCCTGTGGTCACCGTCTGGGCTGAGGGCCCCGTCAACGGCACCAACACGTTGGAGAGCACCGCCGTCGATGTCTTCATCACTCGTCCAGAGACTGATGGCAGCGAGGTCACGACTGGTGATCTCCGCGAGATTGCCGTGGGCATTCTGAAGCTCGCCAAGAAGGCCGAGGTTGGCGAGGCTCCTCGCCCGGGCCCTTATGTTCCTGGCTGGTCGGGCAGCTCGTTCGGCGGTCTCACTGGTGCTTAGAGTGAGTATGCTTCCACTAGTCGTCTTTGGATAGAAGTTCGTTGCTGACGGATCTGCAGTCAATTGTTGCAGGATAGCCGCTGTTGTTGCTCTTGCTCATCGGTGGAACTTAACATGTTGGGAAATGTACTTATATCTGCTACGCCAATGTACGAACGTCGCAAACACCAGCACCTCTCTCACTTTTGACTTCCATACCTTTATTCTGGAGATCCTGATTCAATCGAATTGACACCGTGTGTAGTGCTTTGAACAGACAGTGTCTCTGGTTCCAACCTTGCTGATTAATAAGTCGTACTATATACATTCGTTAAGAGGTCGTAATGGGGTATTGACATGAGGCTCCAAATAGCACACAATCCTGAATCTCACCAATAGTCGAAAAGCTTTTTCACTTCCTCCGCGAAATCAAAGCGAGAAGACGGCCAGAAGACCCATAGCAAGGGTGAAGGCTACTCCGGCGGTGAGGCGATTGCCAGAAGACGAAGAAGTTGTAGCCGCAGCCGCAGACCCTGATGATGAGCTTGTCGTAGACTCGTCGCTGGAGGAGGACGAAGAAGATGGCGATGAGTCTGAACTAGAGGTCGTCTCCGCCGCCATACCGCTCGAAACAGATCCAGATCCCGTCTCGCTGGCTCCTGAACTCGTAGCTGTAATCGTCACACCGGCCAGGTAGCCTGCAGGGTATTTTCCGTCGGAAACGTAGTAGGTATTGCCATCGGCCAGAGTGGTTTGCTGGGCGTTGGCAAAAGAGCTCGTCATGAGGTAGTCGGCGCTGCCGTGGTCGTAGCCAACCCAGTTTGTTTGGCCATTATCCAAGACCTGGCCGACGAGAAGGTACGCTGTTGTGATGGCGCTGCCGGCGGTTGTCTGGACGAAGCTGCGTGTGATGGGGATCATAGCTCCGGCTGAGAAGTCCCCTGAGCCGGAGACCATGGCTGTCGTTGATGAACTCATGTTGCCTTGTTGATCTTGGTGACGCACAGTATCGTGTCTTCTGCAGTGGGTCCTGATGGTGGAAGATGGAATTCTACACAATATGGGCGAAACGCGTCTCTTTGTACCACCAGACAACGTCGCCCAAGGTCACGCTATTGGAACCTTCACGGGTTGCCGCCGCGGACGGTGGCTGGCTTTTAATTTCATGGCCGTTTTGGAGGGCGGATGATCTGTCACACAGCGGTCATTTGGTATGACGTGGTCGGTAATAATTCTACCGCATTCGCATTCTGGCAAAATATTGTGATGATGCATCAACTTCGGTATGGGTGAAGTGGTATCGCAAGAGTTCTCGAGAGGAGATGTCGAGGGCCTCCAATGTTATGCCGTATCTTGCCGAAGCCCTATCTTCGTTGCGGCTTAGTCATGCACGTCGGCCATGAATGCCGACTTCAGTCCTTTCTTGACTGCAAACAACCCAACAAAACGAGAAATTCGGATTGAGACATCAAGAGACACAACAAATCAATATGGCACCTGATCTATTCTCCAAGAAGATCTCCTTCATAGGTCAGTTAGCCCAAAACTCATGAGGCGGTCCAATGACTAACCCAAACCAGGAGGCGGCAACATGGCCGCAGCCATCATCTCTGGCCTACTCGCCAAAGGCTTCGAAAAGAGCAGCATCATGGTCTCCGAGCCATGGGACGTCAACCGCAAGAAGATGGCAGACTTGGGCGTCAAGACTACCACCGACAATGCGGAAGCAGCGACGGTCGCCGATCTGATCATCCTGTCTATCAAGCCCCAGGTCGCCAAGACTGTATGTCAGGAGCTTGCTTCCAAGGCTTTCTCTTCGCAAGGGTCTTCTCTGCCTCTATTGGTGTCTATTGCGGCCGGTATCACGGCTGCGAGTCTGAAGGAATGGTGCACGACTAAGGAGGGCGCGAGCCCGCCGATTGTGCGAGTCATGCCGAATACTCCTGCGCTGCTTGGCGAGGGCGCCAGCGGTGTTTACGCAGGCAGTGATGTGACGTCTGAGCAGAAGGAGCAAGTGAACCAGCTGCTTCAGAGCGTCAGCCACGCCATTGAGTGGGTGGATAAGGAGTCGCTACTGGATGTCGTCACTGGCTTGTCGGGTTCTGGCCCTGCTTACTTCTTCGCCATGGTGGAGCATCTCGTCACTAGTGCGACGAAGCTGGGTCTTTCCGAGGAACAGGCCACACGTTTAGCGACACAGACGTGTTTGGGTGCCGGCAAGATGATGGTTGAGGGGTCAGACCCACCCGCACAGCTGAGGAATAACGTCACGAGCCCGAATGGAACGACGCAAGCCGGTTTGGAGAGCTTCGAAGCTTCAGGGTTTGCTGCGATCGTGGACAAGGCTGTGAAGGCGGCGACTGATAGAGGCGAGGAGCTTGGCCGGGTGCTTGGCTTTCAATAGGAAAGAGCATTGATGCCATGAGTGACGAGTGTGAAAAGTTTGTGGTCCTACGTATTCTTCGCCAACCTTTCTAGAGTGCTACTGACAACTTCATTTTCACTTTATGCAAGCCCAAACCCCATCGCCCTCCTGCCCTCTTCATTCAAAATCCCATTCTCACCCACAAACCCCTCTAACTTCCTCTCATTCGTACAGTTATTGTGCTGGAAGTCCTTCGGCGGCACCCCCTCAAGAAACCCCTCCAACTGCTGCTTGATATACTTCTTGTTTTGTTCAGTCGAAGGCGTCGCAGCGATGTACGCCACAGAAGCTTCATGCACCCCATTATGCTCTACCTCTACAGCATGAGCCATATCTGCATGCCACCAGATCGTGTCACCAGGCTCCATAGGAGGAATCGAGACCATACATTCCTTCAAGCGCAGGTGAGGGTGTGAAGATGGGCTGAGGAATTGGCTATCATCTTTCCATGTCCCTGGGAACCAAGGCGTGTCAGCGTCAAAGGTCCACTTGGAAGCGTCGAGGATGTCGCTGTGGTCTGTGGGTTGTTTGAAGAATGGACGAAGGAGGATGTATGCTATGCTCCACTTTACGTTTGGATATAGCATCAAGCTTCCTTCACCCGGCGCGGCTGGCGAGAAGGCTGTCCAGCCTTGGAAGGCGCGGAAGACGGTTGAGTGTGCGGTCCCTGGGAAGGCTGCTTGGTCTGCATTTTGACGAATGGAGAGATCGTAGTTGTCGAGCTGCTCGGGGTGGCCCGAGAAGACGCTTGAGTAGACTGATTGATATGTAGGATCAGCCCAGCGAGCCATGCTTCCGGCGTCGATGTGTGGACCTAGGCCGTAGAATGGAACACCCGGTGGTCTGATTCTTACTCCGTCGGCGTAGGACAGGGGAGTGCCGACTGCTTCATCGGCGTTGTGCCACCAGCTGTTGAGGATTTGACTTGTCTTTAGAACGTTTGGGTGAGAGCGTGCTGCCATCTGCGAAGGGGACTGCAATACATCAGCTCTTTACACTTCAAACGCATGTATGGCTCTCACGAAGTATAGATTCAAGATGAATGGCGTCTCATTTGGCCAGCCTAAACCAGAAGTCAAAATGAGCAACATCTCACGTCTCGGACACTACGCACCTTTGATAGCCGCCCGATTCAGAGCAACATACTCCTTCAAATCGTGGAACCACCCGTCCGCCTGCTTCCTCGGTACAACACCTTTGATCTTGAAACATCCAACATCCATCATCTTCTGCTTCTCCTCGGGGGAGATTGTCAGAAGGTGCTCATAATCGATCTCTGGAATGTAGCTCGTGCCGGCCTTGGAGATTTCTTGCGTCAGAGTCTCGAGTTCTTTGCACGTCTTCAACCAGCTTTGCGTCAATGCTTCTTCGCCATACTTGTCGATGATCGCTCGTTTGTAGTCGACGAGGTCGTCGCCTTTCTCTGCGTCGGCGAGGGAGAACTCGGGCCAGTTTGGCCATTCTGATAGTTGACCAGGCATATTATGTTCAGTCGACCAGTGTATCTCGATAGATGATACGAATGTCGTGGAGGATGCTCACTTATTGTTGCAACTGAAAAGTGGCGAACATGAGCCTTATCTTCTCCACTGTTGCCCGTCGGCCAACGCCTGCTTCTCAATGCATCTCGGATAAGCACATGCACACCCAGCCACTAAGGCTTGGTACATTACTCGCCATACCGTCGAGCTATCATACAATCGACATGGATCACATCTGGGCCGGAGGATAGGCGACATTGATCTGTGCGTGTACCAGTAGAGGTGGGGAGGAAGCATCTAGCAGAGACGATAGGGGAGATATGATTGCAATGGAGTCGCTGGGGTCGTGTCCCTCAAGAGCACGTTCAAATCCGTAGAACGAGTAGCATTTCTGCTGTCTTCTCTCCTGCTCACCTGTTGTTGCAATGATGCACGCGACATTCCCAGCCTGGATACCACAGCGATCGTCAACCGTGCGAGCATTGTTGATATTGACGTCCATCGTTACCTCTACCGTACGTTGCAATACCACTCTGAACACTGTGCCATTCTGACTCGACCATAGACATTGGGCTACGATGGCTCAATGATGAATGGCCTGAACATTCTGCCCTCCTATACCGACTACTTCGCCCTCAACACGACGACCACAGCCTTGAACACGGCCAGCGTGTGGGTTGGCGGCTGTCTGTGCATTGTGTACTCCAGAGTTCCTGACTGGATTGGCCGGAAATGGGCGTTGTTCTATGGCGCGGTGATCACTATCATTGGCGTCATTCTCCAAGCGGCTGCCCAGAACGTAGGCATGTTTGTCTTTGCGAGATTTCTGACCGGCTTCGGGACGGGAGCCACTGCCATTGCGGTACCCGTGTAGTAAGTCGGTCCCGCTCGTTCGCAAGCAATCCACACTCGATCGTATAGACTGATCTGACTGTTCTCTTGTAGTCTTTCAGAAACACTTCCAGTGAATTACCGAGCCTGGGGACTTGGACTGGTGTATGACGCCTGGTACATCGGCGAGTGTCACATTTGCTCGACCTTGCGGTCTGCTAATCAGTTCTAGGCGGCCTCATTGCTTCTGGGACAACATATGGCACGGCAAACTTCCAATCGACGTGGGCATGGCGGCTGCCATCCTTGCTGCAAGGAGTCTTCAGTGTTCTTTGCATCGTCATGCTGTTCCTGACGCCCGAAAGTCCTCGCTGGTTGCAGAGCAAAGGCAGGACAGATGAGGCAGTCGTTGCACTGGCCCAGACACATTCGAACGGGGTCGTCTCAGACCCGGCAGTCCAGCATCACCTTCGTGAGATCATCGAGACCTTGGAATTTGAGAAGTTTCACAAGCCTCTCGCCATCAAGGCTGTGGTCAGCGATCCAAGTAGTCGGAAGCGTATTTTCCTCGCCGGCACAGTCGCTGTCTGCACCATGCTGAGCGGGAATAACATTGTCTCCTATTACTGTAAGCATCGACCAAACTTGAAACTTGTCGTACTATTTGCTGATTGAGATCAGTGGGAACTATGCTCGACCAGGCCGGCATCACGGACTCGACAACTCAACTCGAGATCAATGTCATCCTGAATGCCTGGTGCCTTTGCGTTGCCATCGGGGGCACATGTAGGTTCTTACCACAACATCTTGGATGGCGCTTTGCTGATCATGGTTGCTAGTCTTGTGTGATAGAATGGGCCGCAAGTCGATGGCGATCCTGTCGACTCTGCTCTGCGCCATCATGATCTTCATCGTAGGAGCACTCACCAAACTGTATGGCACATCGACATACACGCCTGGAGTTTACGGCACAGTTGCCGCCATATTCCTCTTCCAAGGCAGCTACAGCGTAGGCTGGACTCCACTATCTGTGCTCTACCCGCCAGAAGTGTTGAACTACAACATTCGGAGTGTTGGCATGGGTATCTATACCTTCCTTGCCAATGGATCCGGCTTACTGGTCACCTTTGCATTCCCGTTCGCTCTGGATGATATTGGCTGGAAGACGTATATGATCAACGGAGTATGGGACTTTGTGCAGATTGCAGTCGTGTTTTGGACTTGGGTCGAAACGAAGGGCCGGACCTTGGAGCAAATTGACGAGAGTCTGGATGGTCAGAAGGTCGAAGTCATGCATGGCCTGGATCCAGAGAGCCTTGGGGGAAAATCTGGTGTTGGTGGATGGGAGAGTGATGAAGGGAAGAAGAGCAAGTCAGGAGGTGTCGCTGAGGTCACTGCCGTCGGTTGAACTCGGGCCGGCTGGAGGCGAAGCTTCTCATGACCTCACCTGTCTCTATTTTTCTATCGACCGCGAACATCAGAAGTCGACTCTCACGAAACATCATGGTGGCATTTAATACTGTTTCATCATACGATGGAAGATATTTGGCCTCTTTAGCAGACATTGAGCGGCGGCATTCGTCCGCGAGAACGTCCTAGACGCGACGACCTACGACCCCGAATGCCCGGGCGCAAGCATGATTCTCATCCATTTCTCCATCATAGTGCTGATCTCGGGGGATCAATCTTGCAACGAGTTGCCTCTGTGCAGCGAGTGATGACCCTCTGCGCGGAAATGCCTCGACCGATGGTCAAACTCGACACCAAGTGGGCTGGCTACCGACGCCATTGAGCTGGCCAACGCGAAGAGAGTTCAATTCGTCATGGCCAATCCTCTCTCCAATAACCTCTCAAAGTACTTCACTTACCCATACAAGCAAATGCAGACTCTGGAGGCTTTGAAGTGGAGGGACGCAGGGTCTCAAACTTCAATGCTATTGCGCGGCTTGTGGATGTGAGAGTTGGTTTCGGAACGACCCAAGCCTTAGGTGAGTGCTTGACTTATAGCCAAGGCGGTCCCCTGTCATTCTTTAACTTCGTCATTCGCGAGTAGCACATTGATACGTCTCTACTGCACTGCAAATATGAGAGTTCCCGTGACAATTGCTACTCTTTGCCTCGTTTCATCATATCACGTATCTGGCACTCCTTCTACACCGCGTTTTTCAAGGGGAGTGAATTTGTTGAGCTCAAGGGACGTTAGCCCGCGCTCACCAGGTAACTGGCTCCCCAGGGACAAAAATATCTTGCAACAATGGGTATCAAGCCAAGCGACAGAAGCTCGATCGCAGTACAACGGCACGCTGAGCCCCGTCATTGCCGAATTTCAAGAAGTCATCAGCAGACATGCCGGACTAGAACAGCTCGGCAATGCCATCTTCACCGAAGTGCCAAACAAGTATCCCTACAACGAGACCCCAGACGGCAAGCAGCCAGTCCATAACTTCACCGACTTCCTCGTCGTCTTGGATCATATCATCAAGAGGGGCCCAGAGTTTTCGAACAGCAAAGATCCCCCAACAGCACCCAGCGTTATCGGCGTTCCCATCAATGCCATCCTGGACTGGCCAATGGGAACGATATCTGGTTACAATTTTTTCCTCTCGCCGATCGTCAATAAACAGCTGCACAACGTTCTTTCGCAATGGTCGAAGTACCTGGCATCACCGGCTTCACAAAGTGTTCTGGATGGGTGGCTAGGTTCTACTGGCAAAGCGGTCATTACGGCCGTCGCCAACGACGGCAAAACGAACTACACTTTCGAGCAGCTCTTCGCCTGTCCGAACATCTCAGCACCACATCTCGGCTTCAAGTCATGGGATGAGTACTTCGTCCGTCCCTTCAACGAAGGCATTCGCCCCACAGAAGCACCAGACAACGGTCCACCTGACCCTCGCTACCCGGATACAAGGCTGGTCATTGACAATGCATGCGAGTCCGCTCCGCTGCAAGTCAAGCACAACGTCAGCTTCTACGACAGCTTCTACCTCAAAGAACAGCCTTACTCGTTGGTCAACATGCTCAACTTCGCCCCTGAAGCTCGCCAGTTCGTCGGTGGGACGGTCTATCAGGCATATCTCAGCGCTTTATCATATCATCGATGGCACGCACCAGTCAGTGGAAAGGTTCTCAAGATCGAGCAAGTCCCCGGCACTTATTACAGCGAGAACATCTTCTACGGCTTGGCGGGCAACACCACGGATCCAGACCCGGGTGCCCCTGATTTCTCACAGCCGTACATCAGTGCTGTGGCCACGAGGTCGATCGTGTACATCCAGGCGAAGAGCCCTAAGATTGGGACGATGGTAAGCTCAAAGCCCTGACGCCTCGTTCTGGACACACAAATTGCTAACACCTTGCCCAGGCAATCGTCTTCATCGGCATGGCAGAAGTCTCCAGCTGTGAGTTCATAGTCAAAGAGGGCGATGAAATCATCAAGGGCCAAGAGATTGGCATGTTTCATTACGGAGGCAGTTCACATTGCCTTGTGTTCCAGCCCGGAGTTGATCTGAACTTCGTCAACCCTCCACCTTGGGACACCGCGGACGTGGATACAGAGAAGACTTTCAACGTGAAGAGTGCATTAGCTGTCGTTTCGTAGAGATCTAAGAGTAGTCCAGCCGAAAATGTGATGAGCGTGTCACATACCACCGCTGTCTCAATATCCTTCGTCCTCGAACCTGAGAACTGTGGGCTGTACATCATGCTGCCGTTTCGCTATGCCCATGGACGGAACACATCAAAGTCGTCTATCCTTCGTCATCATCATCGTTACATGCGTCCAGAGCTGGGTATATAACGCCACATCACTTAATCCGATACCACTCCGCCGAGTTCTTCTTCTCCAGCTCAACCTTCGTCCACTTGCCACTCATTAGGCCAGGCAGAACAGCATCTCCAACAAGCGTGTAATACGACCCAAGAACACCCTGACATTTTCGCAAGATCAAAGGTCGGCTAGATCCAAGTGGAATGACGATCTCATCATTAACCTCAAGGCTCGATGGACCCAGCCCGACGAACCCAGCACTGGTCTTGAAGAAGTCCCTTTCTCGGTGCTTGGGAGCGTAGTCATGGAACTCCAGGTCGCGGGCCTGCGAGTAGAATTGTGTCTTGAGCATCATGACTTCGTCTTTGTTGGGAGCTTTCAGGACGTCTTTTCGCATCGGGGCATCAATGTTGCCCACGGTCAGGTAGTACCAACGTTTCGAACGTCGTGCGTAGGCATAGAGATTCTCGAGATCTCTTGCCATCTCGAAGTCTTGTCGGAAAGAGTCGTTGTCGCTGTTGTATGCCTCATCGACTTGCTCTGGGACGTAGATCTCATTCATGCGAGATCGTTTGGTTCGCCAACGTTTCTTGACGTAGTCTTCGTCCTCGGAAGACCGCTCGTGCCGACAGTAAGCAAGATCCTCGGCTTCCTGGTGCTCGTAAGACATTCCCACGTTGCGCTGTGGACCGTTGTTTCTATCTTCGAGCTCCTGCTTGACACTGCGCTTGCCTTCGAAGAGGTAGTCGAGGAAGAGTCGCCCAAATCGAGGTGTTTGATCAAGAATCTCAAGATGCTGATGCTCCGGTGGAACATCCTCGAATCGATACTGCAAGACATCGAGTATCTTCTGGATGATGTGTCCACGATGTTTCAAGCTGTTGTAGATCAAGCATTCATTCGGCGAGTGCTCGTACTTGGGAATGTCAGATTCCGTGGTCCGCTTCGAAATGCGGTCGAACAGCACGGCGCGGAGCCGTAGAATGCGTGGACGATCGAACTCGTCGTCAGAGGAGTCCTTGTCCTCAACCAGCTGAACCTCTGCCACGCCAGGTCCCGCGCTGTACATGTCTGGACTACGGATCGCTTCCCGCGTCTGTAAGCGAGTCAAGTCGGGGATCCAGGATGGCACAACATTCTGGAATCGCTCAGCTCCCCAGATGTTTCGTGAAACGCGCTCGTCCAACAACACATCGACACTGTCAGACTCATTGATGAGTCTAACGCAGGCTTCTTCGATAACCCGAATGACACTCTTCCGATAATCCGGCTGAATGCCTGCCGCGGCATCTCTCGCCATGCCCAATAAAGCGAAGATGCGGTCTCGTGGATCGCTGCAGCGATGCTTGCCAGTCATGTACAAAAGCTCGAAGAGTAGGTGGTTTGCAGTTGTCTCGCTTGCATTGAACTGGCCCAGGCCACGGAACAACGCCAACGGATCGTTCGGAGGCTTGAACATGCTGGAGAAATGATCCCAGCGAACGGCATGTCTTCCAATGTAGACGGAAGGAAAGTCCTGAGAAAAGTGGAACTCTTGCACGCACCAGAGTCTCCGAAACCACAACTCCGTTGATCCACTTCGGTCTTTCTCCTTGAGTTGTTGCACATTCTTGGGGAGGTCGCGAGCAACATCATCGTGCTCTACTGAAGTTGTGTGATCGGGAAGCGTGCAAAGGGTCTTGTCATCGCCTTCGGATCGCGGACAAGACTTCTTCCCGGGATCGAACTCGCCTATCCAGATGATTGTTCGGACAGCCAAGGTGTATATTCGTCGCATCATTTGAATTTGATGATTCCTCTCATGAACATCTGCCTGATTGATGCATATGGCGTCAACCCAGATATATCGCGGCCGAGATTCGTGCCGAAGACGGCGAATTGCATAAAGCAGATGCTCAGAGACCGGGAACCCTTTCAAATTGCCAGAAGAGATCTGTGCAGTTGCGACTGCCTTGCCCCAGCAATACGAAAGGGCTTCATACGGGGGAAGTTCATGAAGGTTATGCACTTCGAGATTGCAACAGACTGCGTGTCCCGAGCCGGGCTCGATGCGCATTATCCGGACATTCTCCCGGTTTTTCTGGAGCGTCTCGTAATATGGACTGTCCAAGTGATCTGAGATTGTGTCGAAGCTTCGTGCTAGTGGCTTGGGCCCACCTCTTCGGAGGAAATCATGCCAACTAAAAACAGGCCCGGGGTCGGTCGAACCGGGGCTCAACGGCTCATCGTCAGCTTCCTGTGGTCTTAGAGTGTCGGCATAGGCAGGACCCAAGGATATCTCGCTGGCGACGTCCACGCTTGTCATACCGGTGGGCGAAGAGCTGAAATTGGCCGTCGTTGGTGCAGTGGTCATGGAACCTGAATTCATCGTGGTTGGAGTGCTGCCTGGAAAGGGTGAGTGGGTATCTGATAGCCATGGCGACCCAATATCGAGCGAGGGCACAGATGTTCTAGACGGGACTCGCACAGGAGTGGTTCCTCGTTGCTGCTTGTCGAAGAAGTCCATGAACGAATCTCTCGCTATTGCGGCATCAGCGATTGCTACAGGGGGCTATAAAGGCGGACTGACCTGCATCGTCAACAAAGTCAAGCATGAAGTAAGGAAAGGCGTCGACCCATTTGGGAGGAGCCAAGTCCCCAGGTAATGAGACTTCAGTGCTTGTGCTCGAGGTTCCATGTCTCGATATGACAGTCCCCATCCGTTGCATGATCCCCGGTCTTTTGCTGCCATGCGCTGTGCTGGAAGACATGGCTTGTAGTAACGATGTAAGTCAAGTATCGAGCGAAAAATGAGGAGTCTTGACCTACAAGTATGTGCGCCTGATGACGCTCTTCTCTTCGTCTGCTTCAGATCCAGCCTGACCTCTTTTGAAGACGGAATCTTCGCGCAACTCATCCATTTCAGTGGTATTTCCTGATGCCTGACTTGGTTCCCAACAAAGGTGACAGGGATGGTGACGGTGGCAGGCGATGTTTCTCGAGGGCCCCAGAACTTGACCACGCTATGCTCGGTTTTGTCAGCGTTCTTGGTTTTTATGGACTTGACCTCAAACTCTTTGAGAAAAGCCCTGTCACGCAGAGTAGTTTGGAAAAGCTCGTAAGGCGTTTCGTGAACGAAAACATAGTCCGGACTTTGATCGACATGATCTTGGTGATGTCGTCTATAGCAGATGGTCTTGGAACCGACGCTATCATATGCCGTGAACGACACCGTCAACGGTTTATGGAGGGTCGTGTATCTCCATGGAATACGTCTACTTCGCTCCTGAAGACGATGCTCAAAGACAACATGCCCATCTGCGCCAAGCCATCGAAGGATGCCATCAGCCAGGCGGAACCCTTGTGCAGAGGCCGATGGATGACCTTCAAGCTCGATGGTGACCGGGCAGTGTATGAAGCTAGCTCCAAAACCTGATGTGACATCGGTGGCTCGTCGTGCAGCAAGAGACCCAATGCTAATGATCGATCCCTGATGTTCCATCGAACATCTGGAGATCAGACTTGCAATGGAGAGCCTCGCGAGTGGATGGCTCTGTAGCTTTGTGTACGCCAGTAAACGTCTTAACAAGTCTCTGTTCTGCTCTTCGACCTTCAAAATCTGCCTTGTATGCTCTGTGTGCCCAGCTCGGTTTTGGTTTGAGGCAGTGAGCCTGTGGTGCAGGTATCCCACTCGCGCGAAGCCGTCCAGCAATGCGGCGAGTTCGCGATCGTCGGGTGTGGTTCGGGTCGTGTCTGCGAGGCTCGCGTGCAATTGTGTTCTCTCGGAGCTCGTGTGGAAATCAACGAAGCCTGCGATGAGGATAGTAACGAAGTTGAGGTTTCTCAACGTGAGAACAGTGTGAGCCAGCCTAGCGCGTATACTGTCATGGTCGATTCTTGACCACGCGACCTCGACCGTCCTGCCCGAGTCTCTGCGAGCATGAGGCGGCCTCGACTGCGAAGAGACGGCCCTTTGCTTATCGACACAATCCAAGCTCTGCCTGAGGATCTCATGGACAGCTCCGAGCGGAGGCGGCTGGCGACCAGTGAATTGTGTCAAGGTGTGATTCTGCTCCAAAGCTCTCTGGAGAGAACGGAACTCCTGCAGCAGTTCAGATAAAGGACTAGGCACATCTTGGGCTGTGGCACTGAGAGCCTCCGATATGTGGTAGACGTCGGCTGCGAGCTGAGCGAGGTCGGTGCTGTTTGGCGCGCTACTAGGCATGGGCAGCTGGTGGGGACCCACCAGTTCGGTCCAGGGGGATACACGATCAAAGGGTCAAAAGAGCACACGATCAGGGCAGCGACAACAAGCAGCCGGCCACAGAAGCACAACAATTCGATTGTGCGATGAAACGAAGCACGCGAGACTGACGGAGAATACTCACGCCGCTCGGTGCTACTGTAGCCGCAGGCATACCATCACAACGGCGGCCTCCCGTGTTCGCATGCATGGTGGCTGTCATTAGGCCACCACGTGTCTCCCCAACTCGACAGGGCACCAAGCTCTTTTTCAATGAAAACGACTATTTGCTGCGCCTTGATGCTGTATGCATGAACGATGCCGAGGCCAACATTATCGAACAGGATCAGAAGCCCCCTTTTCGGCGACCCGACAGCCATCTGCGGCCGTCTGAAGTGAGGCCGCCTTGTTTTCAGCCCCCAAAGCTCGAAGCGCCGATCCACTCTCATTGCAGTCATCAGATGGAGGGCGACGCGAGCCTTGATTGGTTTTATTGCCCATCTCCAACGCCCTGGCTAGGCTGTGCTAGAAATCATGTCTTTGCCATGCGCTCTTCTTCCTAATTACTTTCTTGAACCACAATCATTGTAACAGGCATCTATGAAATAATCGAATTCGGAAGGCCGCGATGCCATCCGACGCGCGCGGCGCTGGCCAGGAGCGCAGCCGACTCGAACATCTGCTCTGGCCAGGAAGAGACCCTCAAAGAGCCGGAGCGGCGTTTGGAGTGAGATCCAGCCGCAGAGATGCTCCGCATATCTTCTAACATGAGGTACAGAATCAAAGGACTGCTCTCAGACGACGAGCCTTCATCGAGCAGCTTGAGGAATCTGGATTCAACTGGCAAGTCTTCGCTGTCGCGGCTTCAGGCTTCTTCACCGATTCCTACAATCTGTTCGCATCGAATGTGATTCTCCCGGCTCTTGCGTTTGTTTACTGGAATGGCCCGAACCATGACATGGCACTCGCATTCAACCTAGCAACTCTGGGCGCATCCGCCGTCGGTCAGCTGGTATTTGGCGTATTTGCCGATCTCTTTGGTCGGCGAGCATTATGTTCGTGGAAACTGTCCTAAAGTGAGACTTGTGTCAGTGGCTAACTTAGCACACTAGATGGGATAGAGCTTATCATAGGTACGAACCGGCCCTACCAAAGAGGCAGAAAAGCCAGTCCCGAATGGCCATCTAACATCTTGACTTAGTGATAATATCGACTATTGGACTTCTGCAGTGCTCTCCTGGTTTCACCGACGGAGACCAGCACACTTGGAATATCGACGTTTGGATAATATTCTGGAGAACCGTCATGGGGTTCGGCATAGGGGCGGGTTCGTAAAGAGCGATTGTCTATGCCGAAGTAATCGCTAACATTTTGCTAGAATACCCACTCAGTGCTTGTAAGTCGATTGATCACGCTTTGGGAATGCTCCCTGACCTGTGACTACTAGGTATCGCAGCGGAATGGTCGTCAACGAAATCCAGGGGGAGAATGATGAGCGCCGTATTCCTCATGCAGCCACTTGGCCAACTGTGCGCCTATGGTGCCGGTCTCACTGCTTTGAGAGCCTTCGGCAATTCCAAGGTCGATATCGACAAGCTCTGGCGGTATGTCATCGGCATCGGTGCAGTTCCTACGTTGCTCGCCCTAGCTTTTCGCCTTTACATGCCCGAGTCGGGTAGATACACCTTCGATGTGCGGGAGAACATTGCAAGGACACAGACGGATACCAGTGCAGCCCTCTCCCATCCCTCGACACAACCCAACAATGATTACGACTCCGACGCACCAGAACCAGATATACCCGAACCGAATTTGCCTGAGCCCAACATACCTGAGTCTAATGCGCCGACCCCCAACATCCCAGACTCGCCATGGAACCAGTTCGATCTCAGCGAGCTGTGGAACTACGTGTACCATGAGGGGCATGGGAGATATCTTGTCGGCACATCTGTCACCTGGTTGCTTCTAGACTTCGTTTTCTGTCAGTAGAGGCCCAACGATGCCGCCGATAAAGCTAATCACTTCGCAGACGGACTTGGCTTCAACAATCCATCCACCCTGGCAAAGCTTTGGTCGTCGCAATATCTTCAATATCCGCCTGATGCGCCTTGGTGGCTAAGAACATCCGACTTCCTCAATGCAACCATCGGTGGCGAAGTCATAATCAATGGCACATTCGCCAACGACAGCATCGCGGAGCCATTGATCCACGACGTCCTGGGAAACAACATGACACACGCCGTCTACACGGTCTCCATTGCGTCGATTCTAGGGTCCATCGCCATGATCATGATGATCAACCATTTCGATCGCAAGGACATGCTGACTGGGACTTTCGTCATCCTTGGGTTCGTCCTCATTATTGTGTGTGCGAGCTTCAAAGCATTGTTTCATCAGGGTGCTAAGCACATCGTTTTGATCGTTTTCTGGATTGTTATATCTTTTCTGTTCCAGTTTGGGCCTAATAGTAAGTCAAAGTCGCTTCGTGAAGCGGACATAGGATCGCTTGTGCTGACAGATGCCAAATCTAGCTCTTACATTTATCGTACGCGAAGTCCGTTGACGTCTCCAGAGGACAAGCCTGCTAACATGTTTTAGATACCCGCGGAAGTGTTTCCGACTCGATATCGTTGTTCATTCTACGGGATCGCTGCAGCATGGGGAAAGATCGGGGCAGTGCTGGTCCAAATCGTCATTCTACAACGACAAAGCATCTCGGACCCAAACTCGACATCGATCAGATGGTTGCTGCTGGGGTTTGCCTTCTGTATGTTCCTGGGAGCCGTCTTCTCCTATACTTGCCTACCGCATGTTCAAGTGCCCAACACGAAGACAGCACCTGAGGTGTGGTTTATGCTGGGTGGGAAAAGCTTTATGAAGAGACCGCCGCCTTTGGTGAATGTCCCGCTGGAAGAACTCCCTCCTCCGCCGAGAGGAAGACCCAAAAGTAATGAGCAAGATGAAGAGCGATTGCAGGAGATGGAAGAGATACAAAATGGCCATGCACATTAAACGATGCTTCTTAGCTGAATAGAAACTGAATTCGTTTGATTTGTCTGCGCACTGATCGGGAGTTTCTCTGCACCGATGGCCGACTAGCAGCGTCTCTCTGGCTTACAAAGTGGTTCGTATGTAAGCTCCTTGTTGAATCCTTTGAATCCTTTGAATGCGTTCTCGTATGCAGAGTCAGCTAGTGAATAGGGGCGAAGTGCTTTTGCCGGGAGATTCGCCGAAGCAACGACTTCTCGATCGCACAGCCTTGTGACTGGCATGGCAAACGCTGGTCCAACGTGGCACCTGTACCCGGATCGAATCGTGGCGTAACGATCCTACCGTGACCGGGTACGATGTCCTGGTGAAAGGGTACTCAAGCCACGTGCGGCGTTCATCCTTGCCGCAGAGCCTCATCAGGAGCCAGAGCCGTGTCTCGGGCCGTCTAGCCTCAAAGATCCTTGTGCATCCAGAAATTTTTCACGCCACAAAGGTCATGTCCGTCTTCTTCAACAAAGAGTCGCCACATCGCACTTGATACGGGCGTATGGCCAAAAGAAACGGACGGATACGGCCATCGGGAGATATGTCGGCTAACGGCATTCGACTTATGAACGCCAAGTGCACGCCATCGATGCCGACCGAGGCAATCATAAACTCTCCTTACGGCACGTTGTAATCAAGCACAGCTTGGGAGTATGGCGAGAGTGCGAAGCTGGACGGGAACTCAAGCTCGTTCTGGAAGGTTGTGATGCGAGGAGACACGCATCGGAGTACATCGAATGCCGGCATTAACGAAATGCAGTGAGAGAAATCAACACATGACGTCGAGATTCCGAAATTTATGCACAGCAGAAACGGCATTTCGGGTATGTGCAGGCTAGCGTCCGTTTCACAGAAGGTCGAATGGGACGACGAGCCTCGATTTGTCGACCAGATTGTTGAGCCCATCGTCATGGCGACTCGCCTTTCTTCGACTCCCGCATGGCGTGGCACGGAGTTTGCACCTGCACCCAGACGGTGATAAACTGCGTGGTGCGTCTCAAGGCTTCATCAGCAGTCACCCCTTTCCGATTTTCCGAAAGCCACTTCAACTTCTTCTCATAACACGGAAATCCGGCTAAACAAGCGAGTGAACTAGTGGGGATCGATCTTCTCTGGTCGAGTGAAGTGCTTTTTCCTAGAACTGACGACGACTCGAAAACAAAACATACCGTTCGACCCACCAGCCGAGGGCAAATAACACTTTTCTTGTTCAGATCCTAACAGATCGCCAAGACATTCCTCATTCCTTTCTCACAGCCATGTCCGACCAGGACGTGGAAGGCGGCAAGCCCGCTGCTGCAAATCCAACACAAATACCGCATTTCAGACAAGTCCTCGACCAGGCTGGCGTTACGCCTGAGGTTCAGAACTGGGAGTATGAAGGCAGCGGAACCGAGGAAGATCCCTACGTCGTTGTCTGGATCGACAATGACCCAAGAAACCCGATGCTGTATAGCGAGTTGAAGAAGTGGTCCTTGACCATGGTGGTGGCGATCGCGACTCTGGCGGTGGCATTCGTATCCAGTGCCTATTCAGGAGGTTCGAAAGAAGTCATCAGAGAGTTCGGCTGCAGTCAGGAAGTTTACACTCTGGGAATCTCCCTGTTCGTGTTGGGTTTTGCGATCGGTCCCTTGCTGTGAGTTTGGCATCTCGACTTTGGCGCTAGGTCGTTGCTAATAACCGTCAGGTGGGCTCCCATGTCTGAGTTGTTCGGTCGTCAGATCCTGTTTGTCACCACCTATGCTGGACTTACTGCATTCAACGCTGGCGCTGCTGGATCTCAGAATATCTGGACTCTGATCATTCTTCGATTCTTTGCCGGCGCCATTGGCTCGAGTCCGCTCACAAATGCCGGCGGAGTGATTGCAGACATGTTCTCTGCGAAGGAGCGAGGACTTGCAATGTCACTGTTCGCCGCAGCACCGTTCATGGGTCCAGTCCTAGGTCCCATTGTTGGTGGCTTCGTGGGCGAGACAGTCGGCTGGCGTTGGGTCGAAGGAGTCATGGCCATCTTCACGGGAGTACTCTGGATTTTCGGCTCGGCCGTGGTCCCAGAAACCTATCCACCTGTCATCCTCCGCCAACGGGCCAAAAAGCTTTCGCAAATGACTGGAAAAGTGTACAAGACTCGTGGAGACATTCAGCAAGGCTCAGTCCCTGTTGGCGAGATCTTCAAGACTTCGCTTTCGAGACCACCGATCCTCCTCACCCGCGAGCCGATTGTGTTGTTGCTGTCGATCTACATGGCGATCATTTACGGCACACTCTACATGTGTTTCGGAGCCTTCCCAATCGTATACCAGCAGCTCCGCGGCTGGAGTCCTGGTATCGGTGGCTTGGCATTTCTTGGCGTTGCCGTAGGAATGCTTATGGCGGTTGGATATGCCATCTGGGACAACAAGAGATACTCAAAGATCAGTGACGCGTACGAGGGCTTCGCGCCGCCAGAGGCACGGCTACCGCTTTGCATGGTGGGTTCCATTGCTGTTCCGATCGGTCTATTCTGGTTCGCATGGACCAACGGGCCATCCGTACACTGGATCGTGTCTATCATAGCTGGTGCACCCTTTGGTTTTGGAATGGTATCTTCCTCGGCATAATGAACTACCTCATCGATGCGTATACGATCTTTGCGGCATCTGTCCTGGCAGCAAACTCCGTCTTGCGTTCAATCTTCGGAGCGGTATTTCCGCTATTCACGACCCAGATGTTCTCCAACTTAGGCATCCATTGGGCGGCGTCTATCCCGGCTTTCTTGGCTCTCGTCTGTGTGCCTTTCCCGTTCATCTTCTACAAGTACGGAGCCCAGATCCGAGCCAAGTGCAAGTATGCCGCCCAATCCGAGAAGTTCATGCGAGACATGCAGCAGCAAGTACAAAAGGACCCAGAAGACTCGAAGGATTTTGCCACACCTCTCGACAGCGAGGAGGCAGCCGATGAGGAGAAGTATGAGCACGATCGTCCGCGAGAGCCGGTTGAAGAAGTCGAGCGGCGGCAGTCCCTCGTGGAGTCGGAGAAGGATGACGAATCCCCTCAATTCGCCCCCATTTTTCGGACGATCCAGAGTCGGACGACGGAACGCAGAGGATCGACATACAGCGGAAATCCTTTTGACTTAGATAGAATCCATACTAGGGAGAGTTTCAAGTCTTCAAGGAGCGTCACATGAAAGCCTTGATCAAGAGACTACTTCAAGGCAGGAATTTGCATAGACCAGAAGGGAACACAGCTGTCAGTACCTACCTTTCAAGCCATCCAACACCTGAAGTCAAGTGTGAGAGGCGTGTTCCATACCGCGGCTGCGCGAAACCTTTGCACCGTGTGGAACCGCGCTTCACCCACCGCCGCCGCACTGGCAACGACGACGAGATCACTTGGAATGGCCATGGTTTCTGCACACAACAGGCAAACCGTTGATTGTTCTACATATCAGCTATCGTCCAAGATCCTTTCATCTGCCCATCAGGCCCGTACATTGGATGCTGCTGCCATAAAATATCCGCCACCAAGAAAATCAATGCATGTCACGGTGCAGATACACCAGATCTTGCCATGAAGTTGGCCGTGGACCGACCGAATCAATCAACTGGGAATTGGACCAAAGTCCCGGCTTTGGTGCGGCGATTCGTGGTGAAAGTTCGACCATCCGCCGGCTCTTTCTTCTTGTTCTCCCTCCACCACGCATTACTGCACTCGGAGCAGACGAACGTAGTTACCGTACTTGCAAGTCCCACGACGGTGCCCGCGGTCTTGGTAACGATCGTACCAAGTGCTTTTTCCCCATCCCATGGCTGAATGACTTTGCAGCACGCGCACCGGTTGCCATTGGCATTCATGAAATCCATTGCTGGCTTGAAGGTGTCCCAACGGATGGCCATGCTCGACATAGATCGTGTCATTTGGTTGCGCTCCACCCCCTTCCAAGCGCACACCTCATCGGCGCGACGGGCGAAATCCAGTCTCTGAGCGAGCCAAGCTGCTGGGTCCTTGTCGCCGTCGAGGTCGCCCCAATTGGCCCAGCACGGCATGCACATAAACTTCGGCGACTTGTACTTCTCGTCGACAATGGCGATGTCAGCAGCCAGGGGATTCGGGGTCCAATGCATCCTATCAGGGTGTTTCATCGCCTCAGCCTGGCTCGCCCAATGGTCTGTCTCGACACGAATGCGGCACGATGGGCACGTGAAGTCCTGGCAGCCCGATGGCTGATTGATCGATCATTCATAAAGGCCTCCGATACACCGCTGCACAAGAGCTTCAAGCCTGCCAGCGGCAGGAGTCGAGCGAATTCGAGAGCCAGTTCGAAGGCGAGCAAGAATAGAAAGTAAAAGCTATAGACTATGCTTTGGAAGCGGCATGTCATGTTAATAAGCGCGGCGTTGGAGGCATTGAGACGGTTTACGTGAGACAAAAGACCAGGGAGCCGGATGTTGCAGCTTCACCATCCTGTCTGAATACTACTTCTAATCAAGCATTATCCTGATCGAGCACTAGCTGCTCATTTCGAGTCAGTCTCCAGTTCTTTGGCCTGTACGCTGTCGGAGAGTTCCCCAAGCCACCATCACGCTTGCAGCTTGGAAAAGATAGCGTTGACTGCAGTCTGTTTTCTTTCCCACTCTCTTGATCTTGCTGTTAATCGACAACTCACCGATATTGACATCACACTGACTGTGTCACCAGACATCATATTATCTCGTCACGTGTTTCGCCTAGGGCTATTGGACACCAAGACGTGCCCGCGTCTAAACCCAACAAGGTGCCAAAGTCCCGATCGACCAGGGGACTGGCACTCGCTGACATGATGCACTGCTTGCGCACACGTTTGATAAAGCTCTCCCCAACTGTCAACCATGCCATCCCCAACGCCACCTCATTATCACGGCGTTCATTGTTGCAGACTTGCGGAAGATGAAGCGGACGTTGAAGTCGACCAAATCGAGGGGCGGATGCCAGAGGTGCAAGGCATCTCGTGTGAAGGTATGGAAGCGCCCGGCTTCCCCTCCGAATACGAGAAGAGCAAAGCAGAGTCAACCCGTGACTGACCACTTCTACAGTGCGATGAGACGAAGCCGGGATGCAAGGTCTGCTTTGCAAATGGCGTTGACTGTCCTGGATATGCAAAGCAGCTTCGGTGGTCGAACAAACATGAGATGTTCGGCAGCCACCCAAATAAACAGGCGAAGTACTCGCCCACTAAGGAGCCCGTACAGAAACCCCCTATCGCAACCAGCTCGGCGGCGGTGGCGGCGACGAATTCATCAACACCAACAAGCGCAGTACCCTCGCCGTCACCAAGCTCCGTCACCCCGGTGACTGCCGCCGAGGGCCATCCTCTGGCATGGCCCAACTTCGAGGAGCTGTGCGGGTACGAAGACTTCGGCTTCTCAGCACCTCTACTCGAGCCCAGCTTTCATGCCGAGCCAGACATGAACTTTGGAGATCTGTTCGCCGCGAACCTGGGCCATGCCTTTCCCTCGGCGCCCGCCGGGTTTGGTGGCAACCCCCGCGTGGAGAATGCTGAGGAGCGTGATTACCAGATTGTCTCGCCATCAAAGCCGTCCCAAAAACGACCAGCTAAGTCTTCTGCTTTACTGCAAACTTACTACAGGATGTCTATGCCTTCGGATGTGCCCGGTTTCTCAGACCAAGATCTCATCAATCATTATTTCAACAGTGTTTGCGCCATCTACTCTTGTTACGATTGTGAGACCAACCCGTTTCGTTCACTTGTGGCGAGTCTTTGGCAGAGCGATAAGACAATTTATGTTGTGAGTGGGATTTATTCTCTATGTTATATATTTTTTTACCCCTTTCTGATGCCTTTTTCTTAGGCAATACAAAGCATGGCAATGGCTCATCTGGCGAATTGGTACCCCTGGCTTCAGCCGCTCAGTCTGACAAAACGTTCTCAAGCGTGGATGTCACTGCAAAATGATTTGAGGTTGCTAAGAACCGGCAAGCGATCAACCGACAGCGTTATGCTGAGTCTGCTACTACTGGGACCCTCAGCATCATGGCATCAAGCCACTGCCCTCGGTCTGCAATATCTCTTGATCGCTCGCAACCTGCTTCAGTCCAATTTACAGCTCAACAAGGAGCTGGACGAGTTCTACATCAACGCCATGATGTACTGGGAGATGTGCGTCAGCTTCGTGGATCCTGTACCATCCCTACCGCTATCTGGCGTCAAAGAGCCGAGATTCGATCTGGAGGCTAGTGGAGACGAAATCCACCCACACAGCTGGACGGGTGTTGCCAATGAGGTCTGCTTCTTGCTGGCTGAGATCGGTCGTGTACTTCGACGGCAGCGAGGGTCACCCACTGCATTTGAGCAATTCTATCACATCGAGCGGGAGTGGTTTCAGAGCTTGGAGCGGTCACTACATGCCATCAGGATCCCCGACGTTGACGCTGTTGCTGATCTTGGTGACTCCAGGACGAGCAAAGACGATCTCATACGCTGTGCTGAAGCTTTGAAGTATGTCGGACTGCTAGAGATATACAGCATGTTTCCGGACATTCTGTCAGAACGCATCTCCAATGACCTCGGCTGTCTTTCTACGATTGAGCAGTTCGAACCATTGGAAAGTGCAGATGGTTGGCTTATTGCGGTGGCGCTCCACATCCTCAACGCCGTCAAACCGATCTCAATATCTTCAGCTGCATGTCGCCTATTCCCACCGATACTGCTCTCAGCGTCTAGCCAGGTACGAATAGACCCTGACTGCAGTCCTGAGTGTCGCGAAAGAGTGGTCGACGCTCGATATACTGTGGAGGCGAGAATGCTCCTACTGTCAAGGAAATACCCACAACGACCATTTCTACAGATGATGGATGTGGTGAAAGAGGTCTGGGAGAGATTGGACAATGAAACCAGTCAGCCGCACTGGATGAATGTCATGCACGAAGGCGGACTCTTAACGCTAATATGCTAGCTCGCCTGCAGAATACCAATCACCCTGTCAGACTAGTCTATCGAGTAGACTCGCTGGGAGTTCTAACATGGCGAGGGGCACGTATTGCTGCGATCCGTGAACATCATTCTCTCCATATCCGCCTGAACACGATGCTTGCCCGTTCCTCTGCCTCGGAATCGTTGCTTTGAATGCCATGGCTGCATCGAAGAACCCTGACCAGATGATTTGGTCCTCTTGAAGCCCGAACATTCTCGAAATGACTGCGGCATTCAGGATGTCGGCTTTTTTGACGACCTCGTACGTTGCCTGGTCGTCGAACATTACATCGAGAGTGATCTCGTAAGGTCCGGCATTTTTCGAGCGCACGACTTTGGCCACGTCAATCAACGTCCGAGGTGGCGCCTTTGTATTCGATGCTGGCTTGAGGATCGCCGCTGGTTTCGCTGCCTTCTTTACTGCGGGCGTGGACGATACGACGTTGGGAGTTGGAATGTTCGCATGTGATTGACGACCTTCGCCTACGATCTTTGCCGCAAGTCTGAACAATCCATGAGGACTATCTCGAGACTGGAGACACTCTTCGCCAGGGCCCAGCTCGAGGAGATGGTAGACGGAGAATTCGGCGCACTCTCCCACTTGAACTTCCAGTTGTCCGCCAATTCCCATGCCGAAGTTTCCAGATGTTGCTTTCTGTCCTGGATACGCAGCATGCATGCAGAACACTCGAGCGGTCGATGCGAGGTTCGTTGCGTCTGCTTGGGTAGCTGCCAGGACTTCCCCTACGACAAATACCGCCTTATCTCCTGGATACACATGCCAAGTCAAGTCCCAGTGCTCTTCGATGTCGCCGTTAGACTGGGCAAGCTCGTCTTTGATACGATCCAGGAAGGTATCGATTTGCGGCATGAGAATCGGATCGCAGAAAGAACCCATCATGAGTGTGCGGTAACCGGCCACTCGGGCTCCTTCAAGCTTGACGGTGTAAGGAATTCCCTGAGCTTCGACGTGCTGGAATGAAGACCCTTTCACCAGAACGGAGACGCCATCAGCAGACTGTACATAGGTCGACTTGGTCAGATCCAAATAGCCGCCAGGACCGATCAGAATGTCTGGGCGTGTCTTCTCGTACAAGGTGTGCGCGGCTACAGATAATGGAGTACATCTTGCATGTGGATCTAGCGGACGCATCTCGAAACTGCCGTCTTGATACACCGTAGCAGCAGCACCTTTGCTCTTGGGCGTCGCACAGAGTCCGCCACATTCAAGGATCTTGCCCATGTGGGTGAAAGCGCCGAGCTCGAGCGATGACATGTTTGCGAGCGTGCCATTGGGGGCGTGTTTCCTCGAGTGAAAGGCGCAGAAGGCTACGTATGGTGCTGGGTCGTATGCTCTGCCTCCAATCACCACATTGAAGTCTGGATTTGCGATCATGGCCTGCAGGAATGGTTCTGGGCCCATCTGGCCTACTACGCGAGGTGTCGTGTTGAGGACTTCTTGTTCGAGTTTCGGGACCGCAGGACCGGACCCCGTTACTTTTCCATCCGCCAGTCTTTGGCTGACGATGTCTTTTGAGATGCCAGAGAAGATTGAGAGCACTTTGAGCTTCCATGATCTGCGAGTACGTTAGATGGACTGAATAAGAAGAAGAGATGCATCTGTTCCTACGCATGTTCTGCTTCGTTTGCCAGCTCGGATATGATATCAGTGAGGAGCTCAACATGGTCGTCGCTTCCATCTCCACCGGCGGACGAGGTCAAAACAGGCACCTGGTACTTTACTCCAAGCCTCAGCAGACGACGCAAGTCACGAACATAGGAACTTCGCGGGCATGTCGTAGTTCCCAGCGCCAGTTTTGACGGACCAGAATCGGTAGAGCCAGAGTCGAGGATCAAGGCTACTGGAGCGTCATGGGCACCGACGGCTTTGGCGAGAGCATCATTGGTCTCAGTCTCGTTGAAGCCATAACCTAGCATGCCCACTGGGGTGATGATGTGGCAAAGAGGTGCTGCCCTCGCTGACAGCGCATTTGGAGCATCCACGATCGTCTCGTTGAAGTGAGGCGCCATGGTGACGGTCTGAAGTTTACAAAGGAGATCAGAGTGGAATGGGATCTCAAGACTTCTTCAATTACGCGTCCGGTCCGATGCCGTTCAGCAGCTCGGCCTTTAGATACAACAGCAATGCTCCCTTTCGTTTCAGAGTCAGCTTCTACCTCAGGCTGTGGTCGCGCTGGCTTGCGATATCGCTCAACCGAGCGATCTCGGCCAATGCCTTGTGGTTCTCAACCTGGCCGAGACGTGCTCCACCGCTACGAAACATACGATGGGCTCGCAATCACCAGTCGTCAGCTCGAGGATGCGGGGAAGCTGGTGAACACACTGAGCTCATCAGCCTTCAAAAGAGTGCAGAATCCGTCAACACCGCTCAAGTGAGCGATCACGCACAACCCTGCCATCACGATGCCACCGAAGTCGAAGCTTGCAGCATGTGTGAACTGCCGGCAGATGAAGGTACTGTAACATTACTCGCGCCTTCGGTTCATTGGCTACGTGTGGCGTGTGGCTGACTGATGGATAGCTCAAGTGCGATGCTCATGAACTGTTTCCGGCCTGCTGTACTCGTTGTGAAAAGCAGGGCCTACGATGCTCGATCGATCCTTCGTTTCGAAGGACAGCCAAGCGAGAGTGAGTTGTTGAACTACTGCAGAACTTTGATACACTAATTCAGGATGTGACAGGCGGTTCAAAGCACTCGAAAAGGAGGTCGAACGCTTGCAGAGCAATCACACTGTTTCCGTGTCACCATGTGCTTCTGTCGAGCCTGAGACTAATGGCTTGCCGGACGCTGTCCCACCAATACCCGTTCCTCTCCCAGAGTCGCTATGGGTAGGCGATGTTGAGATTAGTACTTCGCTAGTCTGGGAACTTTTCGACATGTGAGCGCACGCTGGAGACCAGCCATCATTCACGGCTGATCGCTAACGAGTGAATGTAGATACTATCAGCACTACCATCCAAGATTCCCCGTTCTTTGTGGACGGGAATGCTTACCCAACTGGTACAACAAATGTCCGCTACTCCTTGGAACCACGCTCTGCGTAGCTGCAGAGAACAGAACCCAGTACGCTCCTCTGAGAGACAAGCTGGTGCCAAGCGTACAGCGACTCGCGATGGACACCATAGGGGCTGCCCGGAATCCATGTCTAACGGTTCAGGCTCTTCTGCTACTGTCGTGGTGGCCACTTAGTCTTGATGCGAGCGTATTGAATCCGTCTTGGGCCTACTGCGGCCTCGCCACCCATACTGCTTTGCAGTTCGGATTACATCGATCACAGCGTCCAGGCGATTTCCGATATGGGTTCGTCCCCAACGAGCATTCTCGGAACGCGATGAGCCGAACTTGGCTTGTTTCCTTCATAGTAAACCAGAGGTATGTCAGCGGGAATTACCACAAATGCCAGGAATGTTGCTCACATGTATCTCATTCAGTGTCAGCTCATACTTGGGCGTACCAGCGACTACGCCTATTGACCATACTATCCTTTCGGCGGTCGGAGGTACAGAATCGTCGCTTTCACCCGTTTTACAACAATACCTGGAGATCGTTTACTACGACTACCAATTCACTCAAGTTTTAGGCAACAGTGGTCTTTCTCCGACTGGCCAGACACCCGATCCGTCTGGTCTTGTACAATCCTTTGACAGGAATCTGCACGCATTGAACTTGAAACGCAGACTGGAGTGGAGCAACGCCACTGAAATAGCATTCCTGAAGACAAGGCTCAGTCTTCAGTGCTTTGCTTGCAGCAAGATCTTGGGGCCAACTTCAAAGACCACAACACACCCCGATCCGTGTAACACGACCGTCATCTCTGAAGCCGAACGCTGTGCGGAGCGCATCATCACCCTCGCGTCGCGAGAGCTTGAGCTGGTTGAGCAAGCGTCCAGCGACGTCAGAACTGCCATGACGAAGTCCATCTTCTTTCTCTTGAAGCTTTCCGCAACGAAGCACTCTACTGTGAACCAGGACCTGGTCAAAGACTCTTTACGACAAGCGTGGAATGCATACCGTAAAGCATCTGTGCGACGAACAGACCAATACGCCAGGATCTGTGCAATCATAGAGTACCTGAGTGGAGTTGGAGGGCAGGATCACGAATTCACTACGACGATGCAGGTCGAATCCAGGATAGGCGCCAACTTCTCATACGACACAGCTTGGGCAGCGAGGGCACGCTTTCCTAAGCATGTGGTTGATATGAGACCACTTGATTACACAGCGGCTGCAGAAAGCCAACAGCCTTTGGCAGCACCAGGTGATCAACCTGAGGACCTGCTTATGGATCCAGATTTGATGGCTGATCTCTTCGGGTCGGATCTGCTTGGATGGGATTTCAATGAGCTGCACGCCAGATGATCGATTCCAGTGGTGGCCACCAATTTCTCACGTTCGTCTACACATCTTACTTGTAGCCGCGATGAAAACAGCGAGTGGCACAGGAGAGCTTGACGCCCCTGCTCTCTACAGAAGCCGAGTAGAGAAGGTACCTACGATGGACGCAAGTGGCAGCATATGGAATACAACAGAGCTGACGCCTCTGCCGCAGCTACACGATGTCCTATTGGCGTACGAGAGTACTCAATACATCGACTCTCCTTCGGCATCTGATGTCGCTGTCATGAGCGAAGTCGCTCACTTCGACCCCAGATCAGTTTCCCACAGCCTGGGGTGCAGTAGGCATTACTAACGGGGTGAATATACACTGTATTGTATAAAGCGAGTGCCCAGTTCAGGTTACACATCCTCTTCGTCAACCAACTGCTGGACCTCGACATAGGCATCGCTTTATTCCGCAAACATGTTCTTCCTCAAGCAAGACCCAGAGACTCCCAAGGAGGCCTTCAACTGGCGTCTCTACTACGGTATATTCGGTATGAGTGCCCACTCGCTTATGGTCTGCGCATTCCATAGCTGATCGTGTCACCCCTAGCCTTTGCTATCCTAGGCTTCGCACGCTCACTCGACGAGAGCCTCATCGGAACATCTGCCTCACAACCCAGCTTCCAGCGTCGTTTCGGTTTGGACGACCCTTCACTCAGCGATGCTCAAAAAGCCGATCTGCTTGGTAATATCGTCGCCATGGTTCAGGTCGGATCTATTGCAGGAGCCCTGATGGGGTTCTACATTACAGACAAGATTGGTCGACTCTGGGCAGTTCGGGAAATGTGTATCCTCTTGGTTATTGGATTTGTTATTTTCCTATCTGCTGGGGTGAACGGTAGCCTGGGCATGGTTTACGCTGGTCGGTTCACTGCGGGTATGGGGATTGGACAATCTGTTCTGGTTGGACCGATCTATCTGTAAGAACGATGACCATGAAAGGACCAGACGAGGCGGCTTACACTTTTGACAGAGCTGAGACATCACTGAAGCACATGCGAGGCTTTAGGTAAGACTAGTCCGTTACGATCGATGGCAAAGATTCCATACTAATTTGGCATCAGTGTATGCATGTTCGCTGGCTCTGCCTACCTGGGCGTCGTGCTGGGTTATTTTGCGTCGTACGGAGCCGCAATCCACATCAGCAGCAATACTCAGCTCCAATGGTCGGTCAAAGTCTAAGAAGTATCATAATGGCACTCAAGCTGACCTCGTCTACGATTGTTCCGAATCTGCTGAACATCTACGTTGCTATCATCATCTTCGCTCTTTCGTTCGGCGCTATTGAATCTCCTCGATGGCTGATGAAAGTCGGACGATACACCCAAGCGACGGAGAACCTCTGTAAGATCCGTGGCCTGCCAGCAGAACATCCGTTCGTTCGGACTGAACTGCACGCCATCCAAGCACAACTCGAGCGAGAGCTGGAGGCGAGCTCAAGCCTTTTCGCCTCCTTCAAGGACCTCTTTGTAAAGCCTGCGAATCGATATCGATTGTGGCTTTCGGTCGGCTCTCAACTCTTGAGCACGTGGTATGCTATTTTAAATTCCAATTCACTCATTCGTGTAACTGACTCTTGTACTTCTTATAGGTCCGGAGCCAGTTCAATCACTATATACGCCCCGCAATACTTCGCTATTCTGGGAAAGACCGGCCAAGATGAAAAGCTTCTCGCTACAGGTATCCTTGGAATCGTCAAGTTCTGCTCCTCCATGCTTTGCACCATCGTGCTGGTCGACTACTTCGGCAGGAAACGAGCACTTCTCTCAGGCATCACACTGCAGTTCATCGCGATGCTGTACATTGCAATCTTTCTCGTCGTTGACCCGAGCGTCTCAACGAAAGGAAGCGTCCAATCTTCGAGCCAGAAATCAGCAGCTACAGGTGCCATAGCGATGATATATGTTTCGGGCTTTGGTTGGGCACTTGGATGGAACTCTCTACAGTATGTGATCAACTCGGAGATCTACCCACTACATCTGCGAGCGATTGGTGGCTCTCTTGCCATGACGCTGCACTTTGCAAATCAGGTATGCCATGCCCAATCTCAGGTCTAAACCCCATTAACTGACAATCAAACAGTATGGCAACAGCCGCGCCCTGCCCAGCATGTTCCTCGCTTTATCAACCGCTGGTACGATGTTCTTCTTCGCCGCTATCACTGTGGTAGGGCTGGTGTGGGCCTGGTTCTTCCTGCCTGAATTGGCGGGTCAGAGTCTCGAAGCTATCGACGCTGTCTTTGAGTTGCCGTGGCACCAGATTGGTCGTCGTGGGAAGAGTGTAGGCAATAGCCATGACTACTTGGTTGAGCAGTGGAATGAGGAGAAGGAGGCAGTTGATAGGGTTGAATATGCGAAGTAATCCGTCGAAGGGATTGAGTTGTGTCGGACAGACGAGGGGAACGAATTCTTTCACGTCATGAATGCGATGTTGTTATGCTTGGGGTATCGCTGAATCGCCGATGGAGGCAGATTATGTACATTCTGATGCCACTACCAAGGGATGACTTCTTGCTGTCCGCTCATTACGAATCATTTGTCATCGTTCTGTCTTTGTGTATGCTTTAATTATGACCTGTATTCAGAGTCGACTTGATGCCTTCCTTTTCTCTCCGCTTTTCCCGTTCTTCTTCCGCATTCACCTCATCGTCCTTGAAGCCATCCCGTGAGCGCATTCCCGGTGTCTGCGAATGCTTCGTGCTTGCTGAACTCGAGTTGCCCTCCTCACCATTGACGTTCCGTTCCTCTCGCTTCTTGCGTGCCATCGATACTTCAGGTCTCTCTGGTTGACCGCCCATGGAGCATAGCACGACATCTGAGTCCGCGGTTGGAGCATCCAGCACCAACAGTTCATGTTCAGTAAAGATCCTTGGCAGAACAACCCATCGCAAGGGAATGAGGGCGGTGATGATGACGGGGAAGCCAATGGCCGCAATGGTCTGTGAGACCGCTACGCTAAATCCCACGCCGAGGATCTGGAACATGGTGAAGTATAAGATTCGCCATTTGCTCAGAGTGTTGCGAGGGTCGCTTGGGTTGATGAAGCGCTTCTCGCTGATGCAATAGAGGAGGTTTTGGGTAATGTTGAACCCGGGGATACCGCTCCAGCCAACGACAAAGAAGACGCCAGCAAATAGACCGAGGGGCATGGTATGTAGCACAATCAGCAGAGGGCCGGTCATACACCCAACTAGAGCGAGAAACATGAGGAAGTGCGAGACTCGTTGTTCGCGTACTTGCACTGCTTCGATCTTCTTGTTGTGATGGGTGACCCACTCGTCGCTGGGGGGATCTTCGCTTTTCTCCTTTGTCACGGTGAAGACATCCCTGTATTCGACTAGAGAGTCGGTGTGAACTGGCGCCTGAGGTACTAGGCCATTGGGCAGTGGTAGGCCGATGATGCCAGCAATGAAGCACGTGCATCCAAGAAGGAAGAAGTCCCAGTGAAATCCAGCTGGCTTCTTGAGAGGGAACTGCTTAGCCTGTGCGGTGAGCGAGCTCACGTTATGATCGTAGTAGAAGAGCAGGGTCATCAACATTCCCATGGGAAGGGCGACAAACACCCATTTCACAGGCAAGTTCCAGAAGTCCACTAGCCAGCCTCGATCTTGGCTTGGGTAGAATGCGCGGGTGTGCGGGATTCTTAATAGATCGGCGTTCTTGATGCGGCCTGGAATGTGAGAGAAGCCGGTCCAGAAGATGGTGGCAATCTATAATCTGTCAATTTTGAAAACACTCTGCAACCAAGAAAGGCGACTCACAGGGAAGGCATAATCAGAGAGCAGTTTTCGCCAATATGGTCGCAGAAGACGAGTACTACCCATACTCTCCAACCACCAGACGGTGGCCCAGAAACATAGGGCAATGATGACCCCAAGATAGCCAGCTGCTGCAGTCGAGTCATCAAAATTGGCAACCAATTCTTCGACGCCCTTGACTATTCCTGATGTCAGTCTTAACTCGACCAGCATACCAGACAATGCAATGACTTACTCATATAGATGATCGAGACATAGGTACCGAAGGAATTGCTTGAGAAATCGGTAATGTACCGCATATAGTCGCACCAGTTGAAGACAGCCGCCATCCAGTGAGTGATAGCAGCCCATATAGAAACCCACGCGATAACTTGTGGATACAAGTCTCGAATTCCTTGATCCACGCAGATGTCGTAGATGGTGTAGTTGAACAGTGAAATCAGACCCGTGATGCCGACGACAGTCAGCGGCTGGCATGAGAATAGACTGAAGACGAATGCTGCCAGTGCAGACGCAAACAACGCCTCGTTGATGCCAAAGTAGTATCCCGTTCGACGCATCATATCCAATTCGAATGCCAACGCGGGAAGCAGATTGACGAAGAAGATTCGAATCGTTCCCGCCATTGTGCGGTAGTTGAAGCCGTCTCGAATGTCGCTCCAGTAGTAGGGCAGTCGTCTCTTCACATCATAGTACATGCCACGAAATGGTCGCAGCGTCCGGTAACTTTTCCATCCCGTGAGGCCATCCCAGGTATATGGATCGTTGGCGAAGCGATTGACGCTTTCGCTGTCAGTTCGAGTCGCCATGGTTTGGAGCAAACCTGGGATGCTTGAGATTTAAAGTGGCACTTGAATGAGGGTCAAAGCAGGCACGGCTTCTGCTAACCACTTCAGGCTTTATTCAAGCGGTCGGCACTCCGTGAAGAAATGGCCAGTGCCGTGAAAATGTTCCCAACGAAGGATTCTCTTCAGCCGAGCGCGCCAGGGACGCACATCAACAAGAACAGTGGGGACCGCGGCGGACGATCCATTGAAGGGCACGCCTTTATCAAAAAGACACACTCGACGGCGATTGCATCAGCGCCTAGCAGTGAAGTGAGACGGGTGAGTGGATGGTGGATGGAAGGGCCTGCACGCCGGCGTCATGGTTGTGCAAAGAAAGTGTGAGGTCGAACCGACACGAGGGAAAAGTTCATGCGCGGGGGTTGCCAAGGACGAATTAATATTCGATCCTTCATCAACAACAACAGATTTGTACCGACGTCGTTGTAGCCAACAATAACCTCTTCTGATTTCGCATTGAAGACAGCTCTATCACACTCTGCCACAGATGAAAGCGTGTCAGTCTCACAGCAGTGGGTGAAAATACCGGCGTATCCAATCGGCTAAAGTCGTTGCTGCCCGGGCAGTCAACAATCCGCCCCCGATTTGGATGTACAAAGCACAGTATCTACAACCATACAACTAGTGGCATCGCCTCTTGGAAAACACTGTACTATCTTCTGCTATTAAAGACTGAATCGAGAGCCAACAGCACCGGCCGTCACAAGATTCATCTCGCCTCGGCTAGCGCAAAGTCTATTTCGACGACAGCTGCATTCGGCAGGATGGACGGATATGAGTGGAAACAAGTCAATCAGTACTACCTCCTATGTACAACGCAATCATCACTCAGGTCATCATCATCTTAGCCCGCATGGCTGTGGGCACATAGGTCGCCGTCCATTGCTCGCCGTTCTCGTCAAGATTTCTCTTGCGGAAGATCTCCCTCGAGCTCAGCGTATTTCGGCAGACGTCCAGATCCACGCAGACAGGATACCCACAGCAACTGTTCGCGTTCAGACAGTACTGATTGGCGCCACAGTCTGAGTCGACATTGCAGTCCTGCCCGTTACAAGGGGTAGCACCTCGGAAGCAGGCCGCCACGCCATCGACATTGGTACCGCACACGCAATTGTCGCCGTTGCTGTTACCAGCACCGCAATCGGTGTATGTCTGGCATTGACCGATATTGCTGCAGCTATATGGGACTAGTCCCCAGTACCGGGAGTTGGTGCCGGTGTTGGATCTGGAGTGGGCGATTCGATCGGTGTTGGATCCGGGGTGGGATATACCGTTGGATCTGGAGTCGGATATGGAGTCGGATCGGGCGTGTACGACGATACGGGAGCCTGGGTTCCACAAGGATCAATGTCGTCCTGCGTGACGGAGCTGTACGAAGTGCCAAAGTATGCCGCCCAGACAACCTTCCTGGCTTTCGAAGGAACTTGCCAGTCATAGCAGGAATCCAGGCTGGTCTTGATGGAGTACGGGCAGTTGTTGTTCCCTGCGGTCGCTGTCTGTCTTAGTATATCGAGCATGCGTTTCTCGTGTCCTAAAGCCATCAATGCGACCGTGTAATCCTGGCATGTAAGTGCCGAGCTGCAGAATCCGCTCTGCAGGTAACAGCTTTGCTGGGCGCCGAATGCCACCTGTTCGAGGTTTGAGCAAGTGGCGCCACAGTTGACCACGGGTCTGAAAGAGGCGTCATCATGATCGTCCACCATGATCTTACTGCGATGCTTGACTTACCGCAGAGCATTCTGGACACAGTTCATCGCAGACTGAGCGAAGAAACGACCTGACCCGCTGAGAGTTGACCCAACGTTGCTCGTAAGGTATCGGTTGCAATTCTGCTCGCCAAAAGACAATGCATAACTCGATGGGTCACCGTAGCAGGCCTTGCTGCTCTCCATGCAGTCACTGTAGAAAGAGCAAGTGCCAAATTGCTGGCTCTGGCAAGTGTCACTACATGATAGGTCAGAAACAGCGCTGGTTTGATCAGGTTCTGCGACTCACTTACCTGCAAATAGGATCCGAGGAGCACTCATCGCAGTTGCCACAACTGCTGCACCCACCAACGAAGCCCGCCTTGTCAATGACCAGTGCGGAATCGTAATCGCTGTCGTACCTGTTCTCAGCCGACATATCGAAACGGACCTTACTTGCTCCGGGTGAGAGTGTCAGCTTCAACTCCATCCAGTCGGTGGCACCATTCTCGTCGACCTGGTACTGAGGAATCGTGTTGACGCTGCCACTGTTGTTGCGCGAGGAGATTAGCATGTTGTTTCATGAAGTTGACAGAGAAGACTACACTTACGTCTTCCTGACTGTATCGCCCTTGTCAGACTTGATGGTGACAACAAAGTCATCGTCATTCGTTCCGAAGATGCGTCTAAACTCGCTAGTGATAAACTTGAATCGGATGAAGACAGCCCTCGTCGAAGAGTCCACGTTGAACGTAGCAGTGTTGGTCACTTGTGCAACTCCATCTATTTCAAAGTTAATGGCTGTCTCTTGTATTGGTGAGTGGCGTGGCATACTTGTCCTAATGAAGAGATCGGAGTCATCAGGATCTCGGCCGAACAAAGCCAAAGCAGAATCTCGCTTGCGGGTAATATTGGCCGTGGGTGCAACTCCATCGGTAAGGTTGGCGCTCGGCGTGATCTTTGGATCTTTGGCAAGTGTTGTTAGGATTGATGACACGTTCTTCTTCTGGACCTTGGAGCCGTCGACGACGTTGGAATCGTTCTTGCGCAGCTGAACGTTGGCTGAAAGCTTCTGGATGAACTCAGTCATGTTCGCAACAGCACCGTATTGAGGGGCTTGGTCAGCGCTTGAGGTGCCATTGCTGGAGCCACTGGAAGCTGATGAGCCGGCTGCTTGACGCTCAATGAGCGCTCTCGGGATTGTTGCGCCGCCAGACTCTCGCTTCAGTAGGACTGGGAAACAGCAAGGGAGGAAAGGAATGCAGATCTCATCATTTTCGCAGTAGAAGTCAAGACCACACCAGAAGTCCTACAGATGCCTTGGTCAGTGATCGAATAGCGGGGATTTTGGGACGTACTTACTTCAAAGTCGAAGCAGAAACATCCAAAAATCTGGTCCGGGTTGTCGCAAAACCATGGTAGCCATGGCCACCAAGGCAGTGGATCAGGGAATTGGATGGGCTGGTCGTAGTCGCATATGCCTTGGCTCTGCAGACATGGGTATTGTTCAGATTGATAGACGTCACCACTTCCGCTCCATCCGTCTTTGCTGCCACCGGAGAAGTCCCAGTTGCCATCTTGTGCGCCGCTGAAGTCGGCGACTTGCAGGGTGTAGTATCCGCTGCCGGTATAAACGCCCTCGGCATCAGCGAACTTGCCATCTGGAGTGATGGCCTTGATGTCCACGTTTGTGTAGGGAAGATATTGAAAGAAGGCTTCGCCATTGCCATCTGACTGCATGGTTACAGAGAACGGCTGCTGCTGGATGATACCCGTCATGTGCAGCTCACAGTCAGGGATGCGATTGTGGTCCGAGTCTACCACATAAACACTCATGGACGCATACCCGAAGACTAGGTCAAAGCTGCTGATGAACGGGTACCCATTGGAGTCCAGGCCGAAGAGCGAGAGTGTCACTGGCCCGTAGAAGCCGTAAAGGAAGCGGATACCGGATTCGTCGATGGATAGCTGGCCATCGTACATAGGGTAGCCGCTTTGAAATATTGGCAGAGAAGGCGGTGCCAGCTTGGTTGACGCCGTCCTCAGAGACGCCCTGCAGTGTCCAGAGTGGGTCACATCCAGGTGCGATCAACACCTCTCCCGGCGTGGAGGAGGGAGAGCAGGAGCTAGTGCTTGACGTGGAGTCCTCAGTAGTTGACGTTGACGTGGAGATGGACGTCTCATCTGGAGGACGGGTAGTGGTTGTATCCGTGGGCGTAGGTGTTGGACTGTTGTCTGATGTGGTAGAGGTAGAGGTTGAAGAGTCAGAGTCCGAAGATGTGGGAGCTGTGGTCGATTCAGACGTCAAGGTGGACGAATCTGCCGATGTTTCCGATGTAGTCGACGAAGTGCTTGTGCTAATCTCTGCCTCCACAGTAGCAGTACTCTGCTTAAAGTTAGTGAGTAACTGACAACTTTGGTGACACTAGCTGAGAATGCATTGCGCAATGATATCTCTTCCCCAAAACAAGGAGACGACTAGGCTCGTGGGCGCAGCTCAAGACGATTAGACAGCTTGCGCTTAATGGGGATGCCGCAGTCTTTTTGAGCTAAGTCTGAGAGGAAATGGACTTACTGTGGGCGTGGCCGACGTTGAGATTGTAGATGTAGACGGCTCGCTGGCTGTTGATGTGGTGCTGGTACTGGTGGTTGCGCTGGTGCTCGAGTCTGTACTTGTACTACTGCTGCTGGCGCTGGTGCTCTGTTCGATATTAGCGAATGACCGATAAACCTGCAGATACCCTCGACGATCCGCTCAAAGTGCGTTGCATGAAGACCTATCCCCGACAAATGTTGAGGCGACTGGGCTCATGATTGCAGCTCGAGTCAATCGAACAACATGCGAGCGACGGGGATGCATTCTCGCTCTTGAGCATACTTCCGGGGCTAGGGACACTTACTGTGGGCGCAGACTCTACCGTAGCAGGGACAGACGACGTCGATGCCGGAGTCGAGCTTGTAGACGACGTCGAGGTCGTCGATGTTGTCGCACTCGTAGAGGACGTAGAGCTTGTGGAAGCATCGACGAGTTTGGCACCCCAAACACCTCCATTGTCATGAGCGTCGCCTAGAGTACCCTTCATGTAGCAGGCACCTCCTGAGAGAGATACATCCACGCATCCAGATGTGGTGGCGCATGAATCGATACATGCCTGGAAGCTGTCGACGCTGACGCCACCGATGTCGCCCCCAGAGTGGTCAATAAAACATTCGATCAGGAATGACTTGCCGTGAGATACAACTGTCGTGCCGTTCGAGCCGGGACAAGTGACCGCCGTGCTGCTCGGCGCAGCGCTTGAGCTGGTCGAAGTAGGAGTAGCACCGCACGGCAGACCATTGTTCGTCAAGTTTGCGAACGAGTAGCTGTACGAGAAGGTATATTTGTCGCCGTTGAGATAGGTTTCGCTCTGGGTACCATCGGAATCCTTCCACTGCTGCGAGTACATGGCGCAGTATTGGCCCTGTGACGAAAGTCAGTTGTCGAACGGGTTGGACGATTAAGGTAAATAGTGTCAGGTATCCCCCTATGTCTCAACAACACTAGTAGCAACGCAAGAGCCGAGACAGCCTGGTCAGACTTCTTTTTGGGGGAATTCTGTGTGGCACAGCATTGACGTCGTAATTACTTACCTGTGGTTGGCCATTCTTTGACACGATATACGTATTGAAGAAGTAGCAAGGGTGATCCGGGTCAGCTGATAGCTGAGCATTACAAGCAGCAGCGCATCGACGACTGTCATACGGCAAGCCGTCATTCCAGTACTGATGTAACAGTCAGTCTATCAGACCGGTCGTTTCTAGTCTAGCATAGTTCTCACCTGGCTGCTGACGAGACTACTTTGGCCATGGCAGTCATTTGGTGGATTGAGGATACGGTTTCCCAAGAACCCAGGTAACGTGAAACCGGCTACATCGTCAACAGTCTGGTTGGTGTACCCATTGGATCCGGCGTTGACGACATGGTAGTTATTCCGCCATTGACCGTCATTGACGGCATTGGCAACACTCACTGGACCTCCCCAGAAGACGCCTGACAGATAGTCAGTATGAATAGCACGCTTCAGGGGTCGAATGGCTTACACTTGATGAGGTTCGTTGTAGGCGGCTGCTCGCATGCTCCGCCGAAAGGTGACGGATCCTTGGAAGGGCTACGTTCGAAGTTGATGTTGATTGCTGCGCAGCCATCAATGACATTGCACTTGCTGGCACAAGCCAGGACATCGTAACTGTCTAAGAGAGTAAAGCCCATATAGCTTTGCAGCCATTAGCATGGTCTCTGGTGGAGTATGCTAGACGATCGACGTACCCAAGCGCATTTGCGGTGGAGTTCAGGTTCTTGTACGCAAGCTTGTAGCCAGGAGGAGTGGGTGCATTGTTGGCGACATCCTTCATGGCCTGGTTCTGCTGAAAGGCTTCGAATGTGTCAGGAGTTGGGACTGGGCCACTGCCGAGCCACTGCGGATCGCAAGCAGCCCTCTTCTTCACGCCAGGGGTCTCATCGGAATTGGCCTCTGCACTCTGTTCGGCAGCGGCGGCAGTCTCCACCGCGACATGGTTGTACTTGATCACCTGAGAGGGCACATTGATGGCGATGATAGGGGTAGGAGGAGGACCGGCTTCGGCAACAGCAGAGATGTCGATTTGTGCAAGGGCGAATCGTCCTAGTGTTGCAAGTACGAGGCCCTTTGCCAGAAGGCGAGACATCTTGAGGTTGCCCTGGTGGGCTGTGGAACAAGAGAGAGCGACGACTTGACTTGGGCCGACTGGCGAGCAAAGCAGAGCCATTCTCTTATACATATCAACGTTCTTGAGCAGACGAACTAGATCACAGTCTCATGGACGCATGGCTGTTGCGGTCGTCAAGCCCATCGCTTGATATTGTCGACTGTGCATTTTACTCGCTTAAGATGCAGTGATCGAACAAGATGTGGCTGCAACGTGGGAGGCACGAGGCCAGAGAAGCCGTGATCACTCATGATTCGAACGAATTGCGCTCCGTTATCTTGAAGCGTGCGCGGAGTGAGTTCCATGCCGTCCGGTCCCGAAAGTGTTCGCATGCTTGGCAGTGTATATGGCTTTGCTGTGGCGGAGGGTAGCAGAAGTGTAAGTCAGAAGGCTGGCGATATCCCATCTCCAAAAGCAAATCATCGTTCGTCGGGAGTGCTCGCGGATGCCTGTGTCCGGCGTTGATCGTACGAGATAAGGCCACCCAAAGCATGTAAGAGTGGACCGTTATTTCTCGAACTTCAAGCACCGACGGTTTGGCTCTTCTCGCGGCGTGAACCAGAATCGAGGAGACGATGAAAGAACTTGAAGCGAAGAGACGAAGCCACGCATCTGTGGGTTTCTTGCTATGCTCGATTGGAGTCTGATGAGCTCGATTCGGTCGAATGCTAGGCCCAGAGCGTGTGCACTACAGAGCTCCTGTACTGAGCCGCTATCCAGATGAAGCTGGTGAATCCTAGAGCGGAAGCCGAATCTGCAGTCTGGGGCCAATGTAATGGAACTTCTTCTGCGGCCGACGCTGATAACGCTGCATACGGCCAATGGCGATTTAGTCGAGCACACGTGCTGTCATGTGCAAGCTCGATGAAGCGCGGACGATTGAAGCTTATGTAGAAGTGAAAGTCGAGCTACTCAAGCCCAGCACGTGGACGCCACAAACTTTGATGCGTCTAGATTTCTCCAGGTTCATCAAGCGGCAGCATGTGCAACTGAAGCTGCTGGCAGCATCGCAATACCGTGACTGTCGAATTGTGGAGTAACATCTGGAGTGAGGTCGCAAGTGATATTCAGAGTGAAGCCCCAAGTGATCCCTAGAGGGAGGCACCGAGTGAATCTATAGTGATCTTCGAAGTGAGGAACCAAGTGATTTCTCAAATGATGCCTAGGGTGATGCGCAAAGTGATCTCTGGGGTAACAACAATATTGTGTTCGTAGATGTGATCGAATCGGCAAGCTGAGACCACGTGTACATAGTCTTCCATGCAGAGGGTCAGGTTCTGACTTGCCCTTCTCATTCAGCTCAGATTGAATCGTTCATTCCAATGTCATGCGTCCCATTGAGCGGAACAATCGGTAGAAGACAGCAGCACCGTGTCCTCTATGTTGCGTACTGAAAGACTGGGTTCTCTTGATCAGTCTGGTCGACGAACGCTGTCTTTGGATCGCCGATAAGCTCTTGATGTTCATCGCGGAATGCTGCCTTTCTTCTGTTGCGGAGATAGTAATTGAGCCTGGCATGATGTCAGCTATTGATGTTGGAGCATTTAAATGGAGCGACGTACCAAAGCGCCGCAAAGGCCCCTTCGCTGACACAGAGCAGGCACAAAGCTGAGATCTGGCCCGTGGGATACCCACGAGATGCCTCGTCTCCATGATAAGCGAAAGGCCCAGCATATCCACCTAATTGGGATAGCATCACGACCGTAGCGTTGACTGCAGATTTCTTGGTGTGGCCCGCAACATTGCCCGACAGAAGTGCGTACATCTGGACCAATGCACCGAAGAATGTTGAGGCCTGTGCGAATAGTCAGTCATGCGCGATACACGGCATCTCCGCACGTACAATGTAGAGTCCGCCAAGCAACATGGCCTTGTTGTCTCTGTCGCCTTTCCAGAGCAGGGAATAGCCGACGATTCCTGGCAGTAAGAACAACATAGCGACCAGGATTCGGCGTCTGGGGAAGATGGAGCCCAAGACTCCGAAAGAAACCATGCTGACGAGGGCGATGGCTGAGACAGGCATCGACATGAGTAGGGACTGTCTCTGACTGTAGCCAAACGAGGAGACCAGGAATCCGAGAAAGCTACCGAGTGCCTGAAGCGCAGACTTTAGCGAATGTCTCGGTATCACACTCCGAACTTACATTGTTGCAGAAGGAGAACGAGAAGGCGTAGATACCCAGCAGCCAGAGCTGTGGGTCTAGTGCTGCTTCTCTCAATTGCTTCCACTTGAACTTCCTCGTTTGGATTCCCGTATTGTTTCGAGCCAGTCGGCGGACCGCAATCTGTCTCTCTCGCTCACGCAAGAATCATGCCTTCATAGGAGACGAGGGAAGTAGCGAGAATATGATGAGTCCGATGCCGATGGTCGCGGATCCAAGGATAATGTAGATCCACTTCCATGGGCTTGCCGCATATGCACCTCCGATGTCGACTGCACCAAAGTCAATGCCAGTACCGATGATACTGCCAACTCCAGCGCCGCCGATTGCGAGTCCAAGACGGAGCGGCTGCTCATTCGTCTTCCACCACATGGCCGCGATGATGATGATCAAGGGCTGTGTAACATAGCCGAACCCGTAAAAGAATCTAGAGATGGGTCAGCTCAACATGATGTTCGCCTTCGCTGCCCTCTTCATTCCGCTCGAAGTGGGAGACAGCATTGTCAATCATCCCTCCAATTGCTTGAGCGACCAAGTTGTAGGTGGCACTCCGGATCGCTTTGACAGCCTGCGAGCTATGGGGATAGTTCTACCTTGAGTGGAACAAGGAAGGTGGAACAACGCACCTCAAGGCCATGATGTCCCGGAAGTCCCGGCAAACGAGCGTCAGCATAGCAAGTAGTCCTCCATAGATACTCGTCAAGCCCAGGACTTTGCCATAGCTGAAGAACTGAGCGACATAGAGGACGGGATATTGGCCCTGGTAAATGTCAGTCCCGTTCGATCAGCTGGGCAAGTATCTATCTGAACAGCATACAGCAGCAGAGCCAAGGTTGTAGATCGCAGCGGCAAACGAGTACCTATCGGTGTTTTGCGTCTCTTCACCGTTTACCATTTGGATGGTGTACAGCTTCAAGTCCTTGATCAGGCCAAACAACGCAGCAAATCCGAAGGCCCCGGAGTCCGCAAAGCCGATCATGGCACAGAAGAACAGCTAAAACTGGTTAGCATGTGAGTAGGATGTGAAGCTTTCAACGTACTAATGGCAGAATGACCATATCGATCTTAAAAAGCACTCGTTTCTCCTCGGTTTCTCCCCACACAGTGTCGCCACCCTTGAGCGCGAATTCCAGAGCATCATCAACTTGGCGGGACTTGACCTCGCTCTCAATTTCTGAGGAAGGCTGGGATGAAACGATAGCATTATCCGACTTGGAAGCCATAGTGGTGGTGGAAGATGGATGATGTAGGCCGGGGTGCAGCAATCAATATAACACCGATTCTCATCCAAACTCGCCGCAAAAAGTGGGAAGGAGTGTCAGCGGTGAGGGTCGGAGTGAAGCTCAAACGTGCGATTGTACATGTTTGGCTTGCGAGTGAGCACGGAAAGCCTTCCCAGCAGCGAAGAACTCTGTTCGTCCCGCCACGATGGTGATCATCCTTGAGGGGTCGACCAGCTCGCGATTGGCCTGCACGCTCAAGAGCGTTCTGCTTATGCATGAAATCGATGCATAGAACGCCCTTTATAAAGAGCGCCAACGGCCCAGATCCTCGGTGACGAGGGTATCCTTGATTGCCCGACGGCAGGATCGGTAGTCGTCCATCCTCCCAAGAGTGGAATATCTATCATCTCCGTAGCTCGCGGACTGTCTAGACAACCTGGAGTACGATCAAGAGCACAGTCACACGAGAATTTCCGGGGACGATGGCAAAGCCCCTCGAGAGAGATTGCACGTGGTTGTTCGAGGACCAGGACATGCGGTGTATTGCCTGTATGCTTCGTATGGGATCCATGCGACGACAGTTTCGGATCGCAACGTGCTGATGACTGCTAGAGTTTCATTCTTGCCGTCTCGACCTGTGACTTGATTGCCGGATCTGCGCATCTCCAAGCTCCGTTGTTCGCTGGATCATGGCCCAGAGCAGATTGCCGACCCGGCCTGCTCACCCGTTCGAGTCGCTGATGTGGTGATGGACTTGCTCGTTGTGATGGGGGGAGTGGCACGTTTGACGTGGCACGATGTGAAAGGGTGAAAAGCACAGGCGGGATGGGAGAAGCAAGTGTCGTGCACACATCCTTGCCGCCATGCCGAAGCGCCCGTGGGAAGTAGATCCCTCTCCGCAGATCTGGTATATCACCCTACCTCCAACAATAATAAAACAATGTCGAGACCAATGTCGTTATTCTTGTTGCTAACAATGCCAGTGTAGTACATCCAAGTGGGTATCTCTGCGAAGAATCAACCATGACCACCCAGCAATAGGCCCCACAACGCCACGCTAATCCATCAAAGAGTACTGTGTGACTGAAACGTCCATTCTCACAATCATTTCCTTCCTTTGCCATTACCACTTGGTCCTGCGCCAGCTCCAGCCCCCTCGAAAGCCCTATCCAGCTTGGCCAAAGCCTCAATCTTATTACGATCTGCCCCGACCAGCTTATCCCCAAGCGGTAGACTGCTCAATGCAGAGCTCATCAGCTCCGCTGCTCTCTCGGCCGTCAACTTGGTCGAAGACAGGCGCGGGGGCTGCGGATGAGAGGGTTTGCTGACCCCGGCATCGGTGGCAGCCGATTTACTCGAGGACGCAGTAGACGCGGCGTGAGGCCCATGAGCGGCGGGTTCCTTGCGACGTAATCCTACTTGACCCTTGCCGTCCATAAACGTCTCATAACCGTTCGTGTCAAGCACCTCCCGCGGCACATCTTCCACGTTGACGGGGCCGGGTGTCGGTGGTGCGCTTTCGGTTGCTTTGGTAGAGGTCACGGAGGGCTTTGCGGTCGCAGGTCGTTGTGTTCCATTCCCTGCTTCAATGGCTTTGGCGCCCTCCTTGGCTGCCATGCGGCGAATAACCTTGGCATTCTCCTCACAGCCCTCAACCGCGAATCGTAAACACATGATAGCATGCTCTCGAATGTATGGGTTGTGCTCATCATGCCTGCAACATCCAACTAGAGCCTCGAGGCCACCGTAGCGGCGGACTTGGTCTTGAACGGCCCGATTCTTCCAAATTAGCGACGACAGAACGAGGACGGTCAGCTTCTTCAGATTGCGCCATTCAAAGTCGGATGGCTCGTCCTGGTCGTGAGAGAGGTCGTGAGCACCCAGAGAAGGCAGTGTTGCATTTGCCGAATCTTCAGGGTAGGCCAGCGGTGTCTCGGCCTCAAAGATGGGCGGTTGATTTGCAGAGGCCGGTGGGTGCACAGGCAATGGAGGGAGCTTGGGATCAGGATGCGGTGGATCGACATCAAATGGACGTTCCACCGCTACTGGAGCCGGTGTTGACGCTGGACCAGATCCAGACACAGGCGAGGGTGTCGGCACGCGATGATGCACGGTGCTGACGGCATCTGCACTTAAGGCCCTTTGCAAAGGCGGGTGCGGTGCTTTATCGACGCGGCGTGGCATCTGCGGCACGACAGCTCCCATCTTGGGGATGCCACCCTCGAGCTCACGCAGCAGTGTCACCAATTCACTGGCCATCTCCCACTCGCCAAGGATAGTCTTCCACAAGCCTTCCTCGGTCAACACGGCAAAGAATTCAAGGTACTGATACACCCCTTCATACATGCGCTCCATGTCCCATAGGTTGAGCGGGAAGTCTTCCGGACTTGCCCTACCAGCATGAATCTGTCCTTGGAGGAATATAAGCGCGCACGTCTGCGGGATAATGTGTTGTCGGAACTCGGTGAAGATGAAATTGAGGATGTGAAGGTCGACACGTTTAGGCATGTACGGCAGCTTGATGACAGGCCTGTCATCTGGATGTACAGCAATCGAGACGGGTCCACCGATAATCGTCACCGATTGGGGTGGGGCTCCGGTCTTGTTTTGAGCGTTCGCAGCCACGGCAGCCTTTGCCGCTTCGCCTCGCCCGCGGAAGATGCAGGTCAACAATTTCATGATGACTGCTTGGGCGGGACTGATGATGTCCTTTGACCGCGAGCGGTCTCGAAATGCGTGGTATGCGTACGGCATGAGTGCATTCTTGAGGATGGCTTCCATGATCTTGACCATGAACTTGAAGTAAAGCTCCTCCTCACGCAGGTCCCAGGCAGCGACAAAGATGAGAAGCTCCCGAAGCAAGTTGCGGCCGTTGCTCTGAGATAGAAGGATATGGGTCCGTACAGTGTGCATGTTCATGACTGTGTTTCTCTCTTCGATTGTGTATCCGTCTAGATTCGTAGGCGGCACCATGCCGCTCATGATCAGCATCGGTAAGACTTCGATCTCTGAAGGACCTAAAATGAGCGGTACATCGGTGAGTAGTCCGCGGCCGTCCTCGGTCGATCCAGGATAGTCTTCCTCCTCGTCCTCGTCGGCTTCTTCCTCGCTCTCCTCTTCCT